CTTGGGTATAGCTTTAGTAGACATACGCTCTTTCAGAATTACTGTTTTTTTCTTCTCTGTATATACTTGATGCACCATCTTGCACCATTCCAACGTCAGACTTACGTGCGTAATACAACATCGTCCTCTACCTGCACAAACCATTCGTACTCACAATAAGAACGACGCAAAAATTTTCTTCTCCATTACTCATACACAATTATATACAACATGACGCTGATCCGCCATTGACTTACAAAATATACAGCCTGACGCATTTATTTTTCACTATCATGTACGCCCATATTACACGATGACGACTATGACGCCGGTCTTTTTGTTTTAATACTTGTACGCTCAAGCACATCATCATCGTAATGACGGTCATCTCTTTCTTTGCTGTATGTATTCACATCACTGCGATGATAATTATATTCCTATGATGCATACACACCACTACAACTATAATCCTCCTCTGCAATTCGCTGTACTCGCACACACACGATGGCAACAACGATTACCTTTTTCTTTTTGCATATGCCAACACGAACATTGCCGGTCTTGATGGATAAGGTAGCTATATATGCTGATGGGTGGTATGTAGGGTTTTATTATTGTTACTGTAGATGCTATGGTTGGGATGAAAAAAATAAAAGTAAAAGATCATACATTATGTAGTCATTATGTTTCAGTTGTCTGCATAAACGGGTGTGAGATGGGATTGCATGTTATTACAAGTGCTTCTATAAAAACTATAGATATAGCTGTCAGCGGGATGATAATATGGCAGGGACAAAGAAGAAAAGGCGTTCGTTGTTATGAAGGAGGAAGTTCCTTTGCTATTACAACAGCAAGTTTATTTTTTATTAATAACAACAACTATGAACAACCAACAAGTTACTACCCTTGACAACATTCGCTACGCTCTCTCTCACTCGACTGTACGTGGAGTTCTTGCACTCATTCCCAATGAAATCGTGCGCCTTCTTGCTGCTCAATGGCAGATCTTTAAGGATCGCATCTCGGAATTGTGTGGCTACAAATGGGTTCACAAACGCGAGACTGTGCATGGCACCAGACGCTCTGCCACGCAATATCAATAATTACAATAACCATCCTTCACCACGAAACAACATCCTTCGCACCTGTATGACTCTTGTAGAACCTTCTTCGTTGTCTTTCTTATATAACGGTCAACATACTTTATTTTCATCCAATCCACAGCAACACAAAAGGAAAGAAACCCGTCAGTTATCCTTCCTGCTATCTACAGCTCATTTTCCATCAAGACCGGCGATATTAACGTTAGTATATGCAAAAGGTAAAAAGTAATCGCGTCAGGCTGTATATTTTGCAAGTCAATGGCGGATCAGCGTCATGTTGTATATAATTGTGTATGAGTAATGGAGAAGAAAATTTTTGCGTCGTTCTTGTTGTGAGTACGAATGGTTTGTGCAGGTAGAGGACGATGTTGTATTACGCACGTAAGTCTGACGTTGGAATGGTGCAAGATGGTGCATCAAGTATATACAGAGAAGAAAAAAACAGTAATTCTGAAAGAGCGTATGTCTACTAAAGCTATACCCCAAGCACAACCAGTAACCTTTCCCTTCCCTTATTTACTTACCCAGCGTTTTTTAAGCAGCAGTAACGGCGGTCTACTCCTTTATAAATCTTGAACACATGCTTTTTTAAGAAAACAGTTACCTTCATTTCGTTTTTCAATAAATCCGTGGATTGTGCCGTTTTGTTTTCTTTGTTTTTTAATCATCGTGAAGAGAGTAGGAGCCATTTACAAGTGTGCGTCGAAGCTGTTGATTTGCCATGGCGAATGGTAATGAGAAAAAAAAAGGATCTTTGGTTGTTGTTTTTTCCCTCCCTGCTGCTGCTAACAAACCCCACACTTTCCACCTACCTCTGCCACCAGCCTCCAAATTGTTTCAAACTCAACCTGGGTAAAGTGAAATGAGGGGAAACGCTCAGGCCCTATTCCCACAGCAGCAAAATAGGCTTATGCCTTATGCGCACAGTGAGTCTCTGACGCACCCTTGCCATTTCCTGTACATTAGCCTACAAGCTTCTTGTCACGAGTGAAACAGGCATACTACTATATCTTGACATTGGCTTTGTACTGCTTAACTTATATAATGTCTTGACTTGAATTGAAAATCTTAAGTACTCATATATTCTGCTCTGCTATACTTAATATATTATCTACTTCAACTTTTATTATGTCTTAGTTGACTAAAACTATGTCTAGGTCGACTGTTATTGTGTCCAGGTTGTCTATTATTCATGTTTAGATTGATTATTATTCTTGTCAGAATGATTTTCATTCATGTACAGATTGATTTTTATTTTGTCCAGATTGATTTTACTCATGTCCAGATCGATTTATATTCATGTCCAGGTCGATGTATATTCATGTCCAGATCGTTTTATATTCATGTCCAGATCGATCTTTATTCATGTCCAGCTCAATTTTCATTCATGTCCAGCTCGATTTTCATTCATATCCAGCTCGATTTTCATTCATGTCTAGCTCGATTTTCATTCATGTCCAGCTCGATTTTCATTCATGTCCAGCTCGATTTTCATTCATGTCCAGATCAATTATTATTCATGTCCAGATTAACTTTCATTCATGTCCACTCAGACTAACATTCATGTCCACTCTGCCTAAATAAAAGTTCAAACGTCCGCTAGGAGATGAAAAATCCTGTATATTTATAAATTTTTATTTTTATTAATTTCTAAAATGATAAAAGTTTTTAATATTATAAAATATTTAAAAAATAAAACGTTCTACTACGTGATATTACGTGAAGAGAACTTTTTAATTATTTGAATATATTATACTTAAGTAGTATTATATATTGTCTATATACAGTATGTTACACAATCTGAGTTTTAATTTTATTTTGAACAACTGCGTCGAGCTTTCTTTTAATAATATTCTATATAAACTGAGAGAAACATTCTATATTATATAACTTTAAATTTATTCTTTAATTTATCTATTTTTAAAGTTTTTTGACAATTTTAAATACTAGAATATATTTATTTTTTATTAATCTTTTAATTATTATTATTGTTTTAAAGCTTTTATTAGATTTAAACCTTTTATTATCTTAAAATCTCATTTTATCTTTAAAACTTAAATTATATCTAATAAATTTAAACCCTGCAACTACTTTGAAATACCCAATGTCTATACTATGTTTCTCTATATAAACACGTCAAAAATTATTTTCAAGTTAATAGATGCTTCATATATAAACTAGCACTTTTGTCCACAAATTCGATATAAAAGTTATATATACCAGTAATGCTATATCCGATTACGTGAGATTTATGGAGCAGACTTGGAGTGTATGTTAATTGCAGTAACATATCTCTCAATACCAGAGGCATTTTCAGCGAGCAATCGTGGAATGCCTTGGATTGATCCTTAGCTGCTCCAACTTCACAGCAGCCAAGTTCTCTCGCTCCATACTTGTATATGGTGTCGCATCAGCGACCCATTTTTCTTTTGTTGATTGCGGTGACGGACGACAACTGGCGAGACGAGTTAATAGCGTTAGCATTGGCTTCGCTTGAGTTCTCGGTACTGTAGAACGGGAAAGAAATATCAATTAGAATCCATCTTTAAACTCATGTTGCTCCGCTATTATTAACCCATCCATTTAATGTCTTACCCTCTTGCTACGATGTCGGATCCAACAAAAATGCTGTTAAAAAAGCCAAAAGCTATGTATTGCTGGTCTGTTTCGGGCATGCCAGCGATGTTAAATGAGTGCGATTTGAAAAAAAGATGAGCTATATTTTGTAGCTCTCGCGACATCCAAACTTTCAAATATTCCATAACGGGATCATTGATTTCGATCGCTCTTGCATACTGGTAAGCGCCAACACTTGTTTTCTGCAAATAAAAGCATTTATTACTGTTCTTATCTTTGTGTTGCTTGTTACTATTGATGTTGGTGATGCTGTTTACTTTTATTGTTATATATACATACCACCCTTCTTAAACCAGCAAATTCGCGGTTAAGTTCCTCAGGCTCGTGGCACACAAGTGAACCTCCCTCTTTGTTTACTTCCTCCAGTTCATCTCTGGTGAAGACGTCGTTCCAGTTGTTATCTGTCAAATCCAGAATAAGCGACTGAGAAGGGCTAGAACGAGAAAGCAGGAAAAAATTATTCATCAACTGACAATCGACGATCACTGACTTCAATTAAAAGACACAGATTTTACTTACTGGTAGAAGTTACATGTCAAGGCGAAGTTCATAACCTTTTCTTCTACTGACAAAGGACTGGCGCCATCCATCCGTGCTTGTGCTTTGGTTGCATCAAGCACCCAGAAGTTTACTTTATTTCTTTGAGTGAATTGCTCGAATCGTTCACGCAACATCTCTTTGTCTTTCTCTGCAAGTCTCGTTGCTAGAGTAGGCAAGGAAGACGAGGAAGAGGAAGATGGTGATGATGGGTGTGAAGAAGACGATGTTGCGGATATTGGGCCAGTTGCATTGTTGCTGTTGGTGGTGACAGAAGGAGTGGTGGTATCGGAGCCTATAATGAACAATCAATAGTTTATATTTAATATTTCTTATATAATATATATGATTATTTTATAATACAAATATTTTTTATTTTACCTTCTTAATTTATGAAGTATATAATATATTCTTTTCATTAAAATAGTCAATAATTATTTGTTTTTGTTTAAAATCACTTTCATGAACCCAACTATTATCACCATCTTGGTAGCCTTTCCATTTCACATAAAACATATATCTTTTATTTTCTATCTTGTGATTTACTATTTTTTGAACCTCAAATATATTTTCATTTTTATTCATTTTTGTTTACATTTCTATATTCATATATATTTAAACTTTTATTTTTATTCTTTGACCTTCTTTTTCTTTCTTTAGATATATTATGATATTCAGGAAAATCAATATCTGTATCATTATGATCATTATTGTTATCATCAATACTATTTGTTTCATCTTCATCAACTAGCATATCAGCATTTAATTCTTCATTATTCAGATCTAATTTTAATAACTCCATTTGAATTTTATTTAAATCTTTTATTTTTTCTATTTGTTCCATTTGATTTGTATATACTATATCTATTAATCTCATATCATTTGGAAAATCAGAATTATCATTTATCCAAATTTTATGCTGTTCTTGTTCTATAATATTAAACTTATTAACAAAATTCTGGATATCTTTTAGTAAAAATACAACTTTTAACTGTAAGTTAATATATTTTATATCATCTGTTTTTAATATAGAATTATTATTTGAGAATCTTTTAAATTTATTATATAAATCTTTGAATTGATTTTTAACTATACTTCTAAAACTACCAAATACTCGGTTATAATATTCTTCTTGTTTATTTAATGGTATACCTGTTTCTTTACGAATAGGATAGAAAAAGTTTTTATCATTTAAATCAATGTTTTTATTTTTACAGAAGGATTCAAATTGTTTTATAAAAAGAGTATAGCCACCATCCACTGCAACACAATCTTGTTTTTTTATAGTTTTATATAATAGTAAATAGTATTAAAAGTAAAAATAATACTATTTTATATCTGAATTTTAATAATATATTTGTTTTAGAAAACAATTTCTAAATGTAATATAATAGAAGTAAATATAAAGTTTTGTTTATTCATCTATACAGAAACATTAGCGTATGAAGCAAAAGTATGAAAAAAGTCAGACCAAGCATACAAGTAGCCTTACAAAACAATTGTTTCCAAGGAACTCGCGATTTTGTCTAAACGGTTCAAATTGAATTAATTTGTTAGTATATGATTATACATAGGGGATCTTTTAAAATAAGCCCAAGGGCTAAGGTCAAGCAGTATATTTGTAATACTAAAGTGATACTAGTATATTCAAACCAGTAGAGTATCAAATACTTACCAAAGTCTTGTCAATATTTTTTGCCTCAATGCTAATCACTCTTGGCCAAAGTTTCTCAATAGATTTGTCGGGGGGGGGGGTGTTCTGCTTAATGAAGTTGGTGTGTTTTAGCACAAAATCTGCGATGGAGGGTTCTTCAGTAACCTCCAGGTATTCACGAACAACTTTGTAGTAAAAAGAGATATAGAGTTTAGTTTATTACACGTATTGATGAATATTCTTCTTTATACTACCGTTTTGAGCTTCCTGGGTCGCCATAGTAACAATCGCTGCGTTCAAAGGACAAGACGCGACAACATATCCGTAGCAACAACCCGCTGACTCAACGTTTTTGCACTCAGACAACGTTTCAAAAGCCGCCCTGCAGTTGACATTCCATCCTTTTCTTTTCACCCACACCCCCCATCTCTTTCGCCTATGAGTCAAAAAAAACGACACCGCTCCAACAATCACACTCGCAACGATAACAAGTCTAATTCAGGACGCAATCGCCCTACGACGACGAAACCTATCTTAAAAAACATTCGTCGATCCATCTTTTCTCCCGGGGCGCTGCCAAACAACTCTGGGCCGTGTATCCGTACCAATGTTTATTTTCCTTCCATTAATCCCAGTCTCTTCTTTGAAGTCACCTCGCTTACTAAAGATCGAGCTACCGTGCTCGACGCCGTCGCCAAACAACTACCGGGCAATGGACCCTTGGGCGTCGAATTGCATTTTAAGGACACTCGAGTAGTCGTCGAAATCACGCCTCGCAACGAGCAACAACGCAATATCCTCAAGACCGACGGTCTTATTATAAAGAATTGTCGTATTATCGGTACGCCAGCACTTCGTAAAGGTTCAGGCCTTTTGACAATCAACCTGTACGATTTGCCACATGCACCTGTCGAAGACCTCAGTGTGGCCATTCAACGTATGCTCGCTCCATACGGTCGAATCCTTGATATCAGCATTTTCCTGTCCTCTCAACACTCGTTTTTCATGGGCCAAGGCTGTGCGTATCTCGATGTCACTCAAGCTCATCAACCTTTGTCTACCCATACGCTCATGTACCCCGATCTTGAGCATGAAGTCCGGGCTTTCTGGAAAGGCTCGCCCCCATACTGATGAATAATCAAAAATAATAGAATATAGGATTATTTTATATTTAATAAAAAAGGTATAATTTAGTATTTTGAATGAAAATTTTAATATTTTTTAGATATATATCTAAGGTACTAAATATAATTTAAGAGTTAAATAAAATCTAAAATTATTTATTATTATTTTATTTATTAAAATTTATTATTATTTTTTACTATTTTAAAAAAGTAATTTCATTTAGTTATTATTTATAATGGATAAAAAGTTTTAAAATAAATAAAAATATTTTTTTTTAATATATGATCAGCGGAATGGTAATGAGCATCCCCTCCTTTAGTTGAGGACAAAGGACGAAAACTAACTTGTCAATGATATTTAGAGATGGAAGGTTGCAGAGGGAGGCAAGCCTTCCATGGGCAATTAACATTACAAACACCTTCCTTCAAATTAGAATTAAAAAAATATATATAATTTAATGTTTATTCATCACTATCGATTCTGCCACGAAGACACTCATGAGAAGGACCTTTGTCCCAAACGCGCCGCCACCCTTGTCCAAGCGTGTTCCCAATGCGGCGACTATGGTCATTCTCTTCGGTCGTGCCCGCGATCGGTTCAAAGCAATCCTGTGTCCGCCTTCGTAGGTACTCCTCCGACTCTGCAACCATCATTGTCCGTTCAACTAAACGCAGAGCATGGCTCTCTAATGGATCTCGAAACCTCGGAAGGGGCTGCCGCTGACCAGGGCAGCGTCGTTGATTACTCTTCTGCACCGAATTCACCTTCCCTTTCAGCCAGTATGGAGGTCGAGGTTGGATCCAATGTCAGCAACACACCTGCTCCGCAAGAGGCGCAAGAGGCGCAAGAGGCTGCTACTGGTCAGGTCCTATTACCAGACCCTGCTTCGCTCCCAGCTTCCGTTGCCGCCAACAATGAAATTACTAGTAACGACGTTCCTGAGATCACTGAACATGCAACTAACACCTCAAATAGTTCCAAGGACATATCGTCCCTTGAGATCTCAGAATCTTTTTCCTCTGTAGCCACCACTTCTTCCGCTGCGGCCCCAACTACTACTGTTACTTCCTCGTCACCAAATTTTGTCGAAACCATCGCTGACGCTGCTTCTAAGCTATGGGGTTCTACTTTTGAATCTGGTTTACATCGCAGTGCACGCACCCCCGTTCCCAACAAAAAATATCAATAATGAAAGATATCAACATTCGCATAGGTACGCTCAACTGTCGAGGTTTACCCAAAACAGAAGAGCTTGAACGCAGTAAACAATTCATACGATTTCTTCGATCTCAATCACTTGATATCTTAGCCTTACAGGAAACCCATGCCGCCTCTGCCGACCTCCAATCTCGCTTTCACACACAATTTCGCTCTACATCTTCTTTCTGGTCGCAACACGTTGGGATCGTTTCTCTCAATCCTTATATTTCTTTTTCTTTGGTTTCCCTTGATTTGGAGGGTCGGTTCTTACATATCATTGCTTCACACACCTCTTTTGACTTTGCCCCTATACACATTCTCGTTATTTATGCCCCCGCCCGCGCTCGCGAGCGTGGACCTTTCTATTCTCGCCTTACCTCTTTGCCCGTTTTCAACTCGGCTCCAGTCGAACGTAGCGTTCTGCTTGGAGACTTCAACTATCAAATGCTTCGTCGCTCTTCCCGGAGTATCCCGGAAGAGTGGAGCAACCATCTTTCTTCTCACTGGTTTGATTGTATCACTCCTCCGGGATCTTGCCCTCTTCCTACTTTTCTGCGACATTATTCTCGTTGCTGTATTGATTACCTTTTTATGTCCCCTGATCTGCACCCTTTCACTTACTCACCAACTATTGATTTTATTAACCCGGTATGGACAGATCACCATCTGTTGTCAGTCCAGCTACGCCTTGGACAGGTGCCACTCGGCCCTGGTCTTTGGCGATGCAATCCCTCTTTAGCTTCGGATGATAAATTCTGTTATGAGCTCAACCATCTCCTCGATCAACTGTGTACCGGCTTTTCACCCACCTGTTCGCCACAGGACAAATGGGAGAACATCAAGAACGCCACTGGGAAGCTAGCACGTAAGTTTCTACCTAGAAAAGGCACTCATAATCAATTGCGCCTTCGCTCTTTACAGAAAGAACGAAGACGGTACCTTTCCTCCCACACTCTTAGCGAACTACAGCATGATTTCTATCTCAAGTCTCTCGAGGCTGAACTTGCATCTGTACAAGCTGCTACTATTGATAAGGACGCGCTTCGCGCAGGCCTTAGATAGCGCGAATATGGCGAGCGCTCTGCTGGGTATCTCAAGCGTACGATCGAGGTTCGCCAAGCTAAGCGCAGTATCACTCATCTCCGCCATCCCATCACCAATGCCATATGTCACGACCCCGCTGACATGACTGAAGCTGCTCGCCAATATTATCAACACCTCTACACTCCAGAGGCCATCGATTCACAAGCAGTTTCTTAACTACTACAGTCTGTCCCGTCCGGTTTGTTGGATGACCCTGCACTACAGTCGACGCTAACTACGCCGTTCACTTTGGATATACTCCAAGATGGCGCCCGCCGTGCACCACATATCAGTAGCCCTGGCAGTGACGGTCTCCCGTATCCGGTTTTATGTGTGATTTTTGCCCATCCCCTTGCAGGTGCCATCGCGGTCGATGTCTTCAACGACGCCCTCCTGGCAGGTATTTTTCCTCCGTCCTGGGCCGAAACGCGCTTATGTCTCTTGCCGAAAAAGGGTGACCTTTCACTGCTGTCTAACTGGCGCCCGATCTCATTGATTAATACCGACGCGAAAGTGTTCACCCGTCTAGTCAATGCTCGCTTGATCCCAGCCGTTCGTCCTGTCCTTTCCCCTGTTCAAACTGGTTTTCTTCCTGGTAAATTTATTGGTGACAACGGTTTGGCTGCTCGTTTGATAATGGAATATGCGCGCTATCATCGTCTTCCTGGTGTTGGCTTACTGCTTGATCAAGAAAAGGCCTACGATCGGGTGCATCCCACCTATCTCCGCCTTGTTCTCCTTCATATCGGTCTACCTACATCCCTCGTCCTCTCACTTTGTACTTTGTTTTTTAGCACTTCCATTTCTGTAATAGTGAATGGATTCCTCAGCGATTCCATCGCTCAAGGGCGGGGTCTCCGACAAGGCGACCCAATCTCTCTAATTCTGTTTAACTTAGCCTTCGATCCCCTGATTCGCATGATTCTGGCTGATCCACACTTTAATGGTTTTTCCTTGGTTCGTACGGTTGGTTCACCTAGCACGGTGGCTCCGCCACCTGTCAAAGTGCTTGGGTATGCAGACGATGCCCTTTTCTTTCTCTCCTGCCCCAACGATTTCCACCGACTACAAAATACTTTAACCTTGTACAGCCGGGCCTCCAATGCCAAAATCAATTACCACAAGACAGAAGCTATCTCCCTGAGCGGCATGCGTCAGGACACCTGGCAGACCCTCCTCCAGTCTGTAGGGATCGATGCGTGGCACGATTACCGTTCCTTATCTGCCGTTCGCTACCTTGGATATCCCCTGGCCTCCACCAGTGCTCAAATATCAGCTTACCTCGACGGCCTCCTGGTCAAGGTCCGTACAGCTTGTGATATCCACTCACAACGTGGCCTGTCTGTTCAAGGCCGCAGCACGGTTGTCAACACCCTCATTCTGTCCAAAATCTGGCATGTCTTATGTGTCACTCCCGTCCCCCAGTCATTTCATCAACGTTTACGTAGTTTAGTCACCAAATTTCTCATGTACCACATGTTCCCTCCAGTACGGTATACAACTCTCACATTTCCGAAATATATAGGTGGCCTCGGGGTTCTGGATTCAAGACTACAACAACAGGCTTTGCAGATTAGATGGCTTTCTACACTTTTTGACACTTCATCCTCTCCATCTTTTCTATCTTGCTTTCTCTCTTATTTCCTGACTTCTACCTCTGGTTGTGCTGATTCCCTTTTCCCTTTACTCTTTCCCTTTATGCGTACACCTTTACTTCGTTCAATGCGGACCTTAGCACCTTTATTCTCAGCTATTGATGAACTGGATTCCCAACCTCTGTCAACTGATCCATCCATGGCAACATGCCTCTCGCTACCTCTCTCATTCGTAGTCCAGGCAGATGACCGTTCCGACTTTGTTCCAAAACGACGGCTCTCTTCTCTTCGTGTATCCGATGCGTTCCTCTTTGACCCCACCATCAACCGTCTCCGCTTCCGTTCTCCTGACGAGCTGATGACTGGCCGCGGGTCAATTCGACATCTGTTTCGAGCTCTGGACTCTTGCTCCGCCAAAATTGCGTCGTTTATGATGCGAGCTCTGCTACCAAATGCTCCGGTGCTCGAGTCTGCTGACTCCTATTGTGGTCGAGTCGACCTACAGCCTTTCTATGATTGCCTTCGAATCAATAACGTCCCTCTCGACTCTTGCAGTACTCGCGCGTACTGCCTCGCTCGCCAACAGCCAGCCATCGCTCTTGCTGCTGCTGACAGTACCTACCCAGTACTTACCAAAGCCAAATGGCGCCGCTTTTGGACAGCCCGTATCATCCCTGCCGCTCGAACGATCTGGTGGCGGGCTCTTCATAACAAGGTATCCTGTCGTGCCGCTCTACATCACATTTTACCTGATCGTTTTGATAGTCCACTGTGTGCTCTTGGTGACCTCGCGTTGGATTCGGTCGATCACTTTTTGTTTGCTTGCTCGCTCAAATGGGAAGTCTGGTCCCAAGTCCTCGAAGATTGCCTACTCGTCTCAGTGTCTCTAGACACTATTTCCAAAGCCATTTTTTCGCTTGACCTTCCATCCTGGCCTATAAGGAACTCTCCGCTCTCTGAGGTCCAACTTATAGCAGGTGTTCTACTTGGCGTCTGGCGCACGCATTGGTCATTTATTTTTTCCGCCGTTCCTTTCAACTCCATAGTCGTCAGCAGCTCTACCCACAAACTTCTTCTCACCTTCCGCCAGGAAGAAACCATCTTTTTGCATAAACCACCATAGACTTTCTTTTATTACAACTACTTTAAAAAAAAACAAAAAAAAACAAAAAAAAAACGCACAAAACACAAAAAAAAGAACCACTTATACCTCCATCCCCTACCACATCATCATCTTCCTTAGATCATACCCTATTTTTGCATCTGTAGTATTGCCTTGCCAGTTTAGTCTTGTTTTCAGTCTCCCCAACCACCGCTACTGATTTTGGCGGCGGCCGTCAATAAATTCGCTCTTTTGTGAATCTTAAAAAAAAAAAAATTTTTCTACCCACACCAATAACACGTTCAACAAAAACACGGTAAGAGATTATAGCTTAGCTGTAAAGTCTTATATTTCTCTTTAGTAAATGCAAATGCGTTGACATTCTTCTACGTTAGTGCTGTTCCATTGTATTGAAATAAGGAGTTTTTTTTTTCGCCAACATACTTTCCTCTGAAATTCTACACTGAAAAACAAAGAGGAGGAATCATATGTTACTAAGATTAAGTATCAAGCAACTTTTTTTCATCCTAGCGTTAACGATTATTTTCAAAGGGTTCTTGACGGACTCAATGTGGATCGTTCTGCTTTGTTTCCAGCTCATTGTAACCCGAGTAGACCGCGATGGACCCACTGTAGTTTAATCTGCCTCTGCTTCCCACTCCGTGTCTGCGCCCATGTTGTTATGCGATGGACCCATGTAGTTCGTTCTGCCGCTGCTTCCCGCTCCTTAACTGCATTTACTATGTAGCCTATGTGATGGACCCATGTAGTGCGTTCTGCCGCTGCTTCCCGCTCCATAACTGCATTTACTATGTAGCCTATGTGATGGACCCATGTAGTGCGTTCTGCCGCTGCTTCCCGCTCCATAACTGCATTTACTATGTAGCCTATGTGATGGACCCATGTAGTGCGTTCTGCCGCTGCTTCCCGCTCCTTAACTGCATTTACTATGTAGCCTATGTGATGGACCCATGTAGTGCGTTCTGCCGCTGCTTCCCGCTCCATAACTGCATTTACTATGTAGCCTATGTGATGGACCCATGTAGTGCGTTCTGCCGCTGCTTCCCGCTCCATAACTGCATTTACTATGTAGCCTTATGTGATGGACCCATGTAGTTCGTTCTGCCGCTGCTTCCCGCTCCATAACTGCATTTACTATGTAGCCTGTGCGATGTACCCATGCAGTTCGTTCTACCGCTGCTTCCCACTCCATAGCTGCATTTTCTTTTATGCCTGTTTATATTGCACACTTCCATCTTAATTTTTATTAACCAATAATTGCTCTTTACGTCATCCATATATATATTAGAGATCACAGGTGTTTTAAATCTGTAAGCAGTTCAAACGAACATGGTGACGAAGAAGGATTGAGGAGGAGTAATTCCACAGCAAGCAGCGTTGAGTATCACTTGTGCTGGGCAAAAAATAAATTTTTATACTTCTTTTTGTCAAGACGCAATATGTTTGTTATACCGTCATATATAGTTTTACGGCTCAAAATGGATTATTTAGGCAGTGCGTATATAAGCAAGTGGGCATGAATCCATAGTACACGGCTAGAAAATATGAATCTGATCATCTCAATCAGTTAGCTGTTAGCATGTTAGCCTGTTGCCAGAACAAGTAAACCGCCTCAAAAAAGCAAAGTGATACTATAAATTAGTCCTTGTGTCCTCTACATGATTTCTTTATAGTATTATTATTGGTAATATAGTCGATAAATTGATAATAAGGCGCAAATGCAAAAATCTTACCACGTGAAATAAAAACTTTCGCTCTGCGAATGTAAAAATGGGGTATGAGGAAAAAACTAATATAAGAACTTATCCGACATGAACTAGTCGAGTAGTCCATGTAATCCTTACTGGTGGCAACAGCTGCATATGCCGCTCGGACAGACCGGTCACAGCACATCAACACATACTTAAAAGATAACGGATTTCGATAGAGCACCGCTGAACTTACTGCGGAGAAGGACGGGCTCTCCGTCGACTTGATAACTGCGGCATGTTCTTGTGCCTAGCACTATCATTTCCTACTTCCCAACGCATCATATGAGACTTATTAGCATGTGCACACCACCCCCTGTCTCTTATCCCCATTGCCCATGAGTCATTATGAGGTATATTTCGTGTGTAGCAAGTTTTAAAAACGCATATGATGGATCCGACTAGACACATATACACTCGTCGGAATTGACAGCACTCAAATTTTTTTTTTTTCACCTGCGTATCAGCAAAACTTCGAAACAGCGGCTTTCTTTTTCAAAAGAGCGAACCATCGACACCAACACGAAACGAACAAACGGTCCTCTATTCATTATATTTACAGAGGACAATTAGCAGTTACATTTTGCTATATAGCCATCAAACCGCTTACACTTGACTTTGCCGCTTTAATATCGTACCTATAGCCGGTTGGTTTTTTTAACAAAAAAAACACGCAATCGAACGCCAACGCCATTCGGATCCGATATTTCCCTTTTTCTTCGATCGTTTTTCCTCTCTTCTCTGTGTAATCCGCTGCGCCCTTCCCGATAACACAAAAGAGAACACCATTTTTTTTGGTCAGCATAATACTATAACTCAGTAATCGCTCGTCGCCTTAGTCATGGACCAAATAGAACAAGCTGTAATCTACGCATTGGGACCTCAGGTCGATCCGAATCTGAAAGCACAGGTAACAAATTAAAGGGATGTGGATGCGCGCAGTTGATTGTCTTTTTTTTCATGACGCGTCACTTTTCGGAAAAAGCACTTGACAATTGGTTGCTTCCGGGATTCTCAGGGATAGGATCGAGGAGGAGAAAAAAGGGAGAGAGTGCGTGAGTTGTGTATTCGTAATTCTCGAGAAAGTGCACTCGGATCTAACGTGTTGCTGGATGCATGTAGGCAAACGCTTACTGTGAACAAGTAAAGAACGCGGCAGAAGGTTGGCAAATGTGCCTTCAACTGTTTATGAAGCAGCCTAAAGCGTAAGTGTATACACATATATTCTCGGGGTCGCGGAGAGGTGGGTATGGGATCATGCATATCTTTATCGTTAATAAACGTTCCTTGATTTGATATAGTGTTGCAGAAGCACGTTTCTTTGCATTGCAAGTGCTGGAAAACACACTTCAAAATCGGTAAATATCGAACTCTTTTCTCTTTTCTCTTTCAAGAGAACAACAAAGCTCGTAGTGGTAATGACGGTTATATAAGCAAGTTACTGACCCAAATTTTTTTTTCTAGATACGAGACGTTGGATAGTAATGCTGTAGAGTATATTCGACAAACAATGATGGAATATCTTCGACGAGAGTTTGTTGACAACACCGATAGTGCTTCTGAAGAAAACTGTATGTATTATGTTGGTTGGAGGAAAAGAAGGGTAAAAGTGCATTAGGTGTAAGCCAGGATGAAGAGTCAGGGAAGGAGGATTTGGTGGAAAAGGCAGTTATTTTGGTTACTAAATCCAAGAGGATACTAATTTTTCATTCGAATTTAGTTATTCGCAACAAGGCCGCCCAATCTTTGACGCTTCTTTTCGCACACGTATACCCGAACGTTTGGCCGACCTTTTTTAAGGATGTTATTGCACTTGTTCAGACCCCATCCGGTTCCTCTAGCCACGAAAAGGCAGCCGATTTCTTTTTACGCCTATGTATGAGCATCGATGAAGAGGTCGCTCGCCTCGATATACCGCGCAACCGAGATGAGGTCGTTCGTAACACAGCCATCAAGGACCATATGCGATTGGGTGATATTCAAATCCTAGCATCGTTTTGGTTTGAGTTGTTGCAAGAATTTCGAACGCAAAATTCAAGCATTGGTCAACTTGCGTTGAGAAATATCGGTGCTTATGTGTCGTGGATGGATATCTCGCTTGTGGTGAATGATCAAGTGATGAGTGCGTTGTATGAACTTTTGGGCGACTCGAATTTGCGAATTGCAGCCGCTGAATGTTTGGCTGATGTGAGTTTAAATGCCTTTTTTTGGGAATACGTTTTTGGCTGAAAGTAGACGTATGCTGTGGATTTTGGTAACTACAAACACTGATTCTTCTAAATTTGTTTGTTACGATAGGTGGTTAGCAAAGGCATGCAGCCCTTGGACAAATTGCAAATGATTCAGATGCTTAGTTTGACTGACACGTTGGGACGATTGGATCGCGTAAGTTTAGCTGCTTGTTGGTGATGAACAAAGTATGTTGGAAACTATGAGTGCATTGACATACGCTATATTTCTGCAAATCTAGTCTGATCCAGAGTTTGTTGAACACCTCGCTCGTCTAACGAATGTTATCGGCATCGAATTGTGCAAAATCTATATGGATGGCTCAGTGCAAGATGATGGAAAAGGTAAAAAAGACAAACATTATTTTGTTTGACATGTGGAATCGCGTGGTGTCATAATCTGTACTGATCACGTGTGTATATTACGATCAGCCGCTGCATATGCTTTGATAGAGCAGGCAGTTCCATTTCTACTCGAATTCTTGGGCAACGAATATGACGATACCTCGACTGCTGTATTTGCATTTGTAAACGACATGCTAGCCATCGTAAGTATATATAACCATGGAAACGGGAGAGCATATTCATAAAATTTTCATCTGTAGTTCAAGAAACAAAAGCGAGCCATGCAGCCATTTTCTCAATCGCAACAAGAGTTTCTCGGTCGACTATTGGAAGTTGTCATTCGGAAAATGAAGTACGACGATGAAACAGATTGGGGCAATGAAGAGGATGAGCCTGAGGAAGAAGCACTTTTTGCAGAACTTCGAAAGGTAAGCTGAAAAGAAAGAGAGCGGGAAAAGGGAAAGCGGGAGAGCACCAAGTAGCAAGTTCAATGCTAAAATTAACTGACAACATTTGCTCGGGATATGAATTCCTTAGAACTTGAAAATCTTTGCTGATCACATTGCAATTATCAACGAAGAGCTGTACATCAACTATGTACACTCTGTCGTCATGGATACCTTGCAAAAGTACAAGGTTGGAACTAGTCTGGATTGGCGTACAGTAGAGCTGTGTCTCCATGTATTGTTCACATACGGTGAAGCCCTTCCAAAGGGTGCAATGCAATTTGTCAGTCCCAGCGATCCTAGTGTGCTTTCTCCTTTGGGCGAGATGGTCTCAGAAGTCGTTACATCGAGTAAGTCTTTCTCATACATACAGAAACTACTCACCAAGGGAAGGGGAAACTAATGAATCGTCCTACAATGTGTGTATAATATAGATATTTCGGCATATCAACATCCATCGGCAGCGCTACAATTCTTTGAGGACATTGCACGGTACTATCAGTTCTTTGATCATCGTCCTGACCATCTTCCTCAGGTGCTGAGTGCATTCGTGGACGCACGCGGCTTGCACCATCCTTTAAAGCAGATTAGATCACGATGCTGGTATCTTTTCCACCGGTTTGTAAAGAATCTCAAATCTCAGATGAGTCAATATGTGGATACAATTTTGAATTCCATTGGAGATCTCTTGACTGTGCAAGCCGAAGTACCTGTCGAGTCAAACACGGCAGAGGGCATGCCTATTCCGGCCGCATCTATGTTTGATAGCCAGTTGTACCTGTTTGAAACAGTGGGCATGCTTATTTCATTGGACGGCATGGATGTCATGAAGCAGACAGAGTATCTCAAAATTGTGCTTGAGCCGCTTGTGGAAGGCATTCGAAAGTACATGGAGCAAGGCTATAATCCCGAGGACGAGCTTTATTTGATTCAGTTACATCATTATATCACGGCTATTGGCAGTGTAGCAAAAGGTAATACAAGAACTCGTGAAAGCAAAAGGCTTGAGAAAGACGTACGGATGTTGTATCGTGTGGATTAGTAACCAAAAGGTATAGGTTTCCCATCTACTCCCAAGGAATCCGGATGCACACAACCATGGGCAGTTGTGTTCAAGCAGGCAACCGAGGTTATTTTGAACGCATTGCAAGCCTTTAACCAGTTTGAGGTGATCCGCGATGCAGCACGCTTCTCATTTGCACGACTTATCAACTGCCTTGGTTCCGAATTGCTTCCTTATTTGCCAGCATTCATCAGTGGCCTATTAACTGAATGTCAAGTACCTGAACTCGTCGACTTCCTTCCATTTATTGGCATGATTTCATTCAAATTCAAGGTAAGAAAAAAAGCTATAACAAAGGAGTGCCTATGCGTATGACAAGAATACTAATGGCTTGATAATTCTAGCCCATGATTGAAAACATAACCGACGAACTCCTCTTGCCACTAGTAAAACGCGTCTTTGATTTTCTCAATACCTCTCCCAGCGGCACCGACGAAGCACTGCTCCTCATCGATCTTCGCAAAGCATACCTCAACTTTATTCTAAGCTTATTCAATGCAGATCTACAAGGCGTCTTTATTAGTGAACGGAACATTGAACACCTCAACACGATCCTTCAAACTATTTTACATTTTGCAAAGAACAACGACGACCCGGCCACCCAAAAGATGGCATTTGCAGTATTCATGAAAATGATCAATACCTGGGGCGCTGGTGAGGGCATTGCTGGATTCAGTCAGTTTGTATACAATGAACTTGTTCCAGCAACATTTACAGTGCCTATGCATGCGTCGTTTAATGTTGCAGACGGTCAATCTATACTGGTAAGGAAAACAGGGATGTGGCGGGTTGTTGGATAGGAACGGGATAAGCTGAAATTGGATACTTATATATGGATCTTTGATACGGATTTATCTTTTCTGAATAGGTGTTTGGTGAAATGACAAGCATCCAAAAGACATTATACAGCAAGCACGGCAACGAGTTTTTAGAGTATATGAATAACGTGTTCTTGCCATCTATGCAGTGCCCCCCCGAAACAGCACAAAATTACTGTCAGGCACTGCAGCAGTATGATAACAGAGCGTTCAAAAAGTATTTCCAGGTAAGGGGGTAGTACATGTATAGTAGATTGAGTAGATTGAGAGAACGAGATGAAGTTGTATACTCATATTTTTTCTATAAAGACATTCATTTCAGAAGCAAAGAGCTAAAGAAAACTGTATTCAAGCCTATAAACCACAACCACAGAAACATATACATACACTTTATATACAAGAACAACCCTCACACGCACACACCACTGTTACTTTTTTCTTCTTCTTACTCGCTACTATATACTCATTCATTCACTCAATCACTCACTCGCTCGCTCACTCATTACGCTATATACACTCACAAAGACTATACAGCAAAAAAGCGCGCACACACCCCACAATCACCCGCATCGATAATAATAAAATAAAAGTAAAATCCTTAAACAGTATAAAAATACCTCTTATCTACGAACACACAATAGATAAATCATTATTATGCCCGCTCTACCAACACCTGCAGGAACACTATCCAAATTGCCAATAGAAATCACAGATTACGTCTTGCAATTGCTGGAAGACAATGATCTCGTCCGTGTTGGGCGGGTTAACTCATGGTACCGTAACATGGTGGCTCCCATTTTGACCGAACGAATTACACATCAAGTAGAGCATGACGGCTGGCGAATCTATGTTTGTAGTCATAAGAGGAAAAGAAGTTAGGGAGTGGAGAGTATGCTGAATATATATTGATAGGTCAACGCAGTGAGTCAATTAGTTGTACCCGAGGAAGAAGAGGAGGAGGAGGAGGACCAAGTGCAAGAAGAACAAACAACAGCCTCAGATAAAAGCAGTAGTAGTGCTAGCATCTCTGCTGCTACTACTGATACACTAGAACCATTATCTGAAGTCTGGCTTGACCAAGAAGCCAAGCTTCTAGGCGAGCTGCGATCGATTAATAGCGAAACGTTGACTCTGGACTTTGATGCTATGCCATTGGACGAAGAGCACGGGTTCCGTTCATTAATGACGAGCAACAATGATGACGATACTGTTACTAGCAACAGCAACAACAACAGAGACAATGACGATCTTATAGTACGCAGGAGTACGATAGTATGTCCTTTGAACCCTCGACATATGAAAATTGACATTCATCTTTATTTTGCCAAGATTGACGTCAACACACAACCGCCACGACTCGAACACGTCAATTTGATGGGTATCACGTCTCTGCGCGCACGCGAGCTGTATCACCGCGCACTACTTGAGGGCGATTATGAGAGCAGAGTCGCGTTTGGTAATGTCGAGAATGTTTCGGTGCATTATCGCGTCACAAGGTCGACTTCTTCATCCGGTAGCAGCTGCAGTAGCCCTCCGACTCTTCGCGTCGAGTTTGATGGGATCCGGGCGTCTCCAGAATGGTTTCTCTGCCAGATTGGCAATCCATATACTTCTTACATGCAGTACATTTCCGAGCACAGTACTTGGTAGTGCTCCTGTTACTGTTGCTACATCGCTACAATTTCCATTTTCTTTAGCATAAATCTCTATGTCTGCTACCCTCTCACTCAAGCCCCAATATGTCCAGACAGTTACATACGATGTGTGTATACAACCCACTGTTGTTGGTTCTTATAAGCATCAAAAAACAAAAGACATTATTTAGCTTCTTTTATTTCTGTTCTCAACACAGATAAAGAGAAATCACCCATTATCTTATCTCTCTGCATGCAGAAATTATGTACGCCTTTTTGAGTTCCAACTACACTGACGAGCTGCATAAACAATGTGGTCATTCCCTCCTCTCTCTCACATATATTTCATCTCTTAAAATGACTATACATGATACATAGTCTATTGCTTCGCAGCTACCATTCGAGAAATATGCTGGCTTTTGTTCATCGTGCTGGTTTTGATTTTGCTGCTGCAGATAATAATGCTTCCCAGAAAAAGGACTAATTAATAAGTATGACAGTCTCATCGTTACCATCGTTTGGATGAGGCGGGCGTTGTTAGTGCATGTGTACACAGAGTAACACGCGAGAGAGAGGAAGAGATGTTGATTATCTCTGACCTCTCTCTGCTCTTCCCTCACTGTTGATTTTTTACTCTTGAGTTCGGATTCGATGGCGATAAGAAAAAAAGAAAACTTCAAACCTGATTTTGTACTACTTGACCTCAGTGGTACATCACAGTTTGCTCCAAAGAGAAATATACCCGAGCTAGAAGATAAATTGTTATTAGATCTTTTCCTTGCTGGCTCCACCATTAAATGTAATGTAATCTCCCCCACTTGAAAGCATCTATCGCCGATATTACAGTTAAATATTTTTCCGCGTATATAGTCGTTCGGATCTCTTGTCAATGATATAGCCTACAAGGTTCCTATGCGCTGCTTGTGCACTACAGATTAATGATAAGCACAGGAAAGGAAGAGAATGGTCTTCACCATCCAAATAATCCTAGAGTCTATCATTTAATTGGTGCCTGTGTTATATATGTTCTATCCAACATGAGTCCCATATCAAGGAATTCGGCATGCCTTTCCAAAAGAAGCTGTGCTCATGATGTCAGACAAACACAGTGTTGTGGTAACCTGTTAGTGTACAGTAGATCCGTAACTTCGGACATAGAGACCGGTGATGTACGGGTGTGTGTGTGATTGAATGGGTATGAGTTCCATACATGTACATTTGGGGGGGGTCTCCAGGCCCAAAGATCGCTTCTTTTTTGTTCTTGATCATCGCCACCTAATCTTTATACGATACCAAAACGTTCGTTATCAACAAGAAAGGGGACGACAACAGTCTTTGGCTTATACCATCGATGGACATATAAGGTTAGCAAAGACAACAACGTATGTACAAGTGAATGCACTACGCAACTGCTCTCCAGTAATTGTCGTCGTTTTACAAGCAACAGGAACAGGGGAAACGTTTGGCTTCCTCTCAGAAGGTGTATTCGATAGATAACATGGCGACTATTTGTTTGTGCAGGTTTTCTTATCACATGGACTAAACAATTGAGCTCTATTTCACCGAGCCAAAAAGAAAGCGCTTTCGCCTTCCCCATAATGGAAAACCCCAAAAGCCGCCGCCGCCGCCTCGTTTTTCCTTACTTTCACCGAGTCAATGGTTAAAAAAAAAGAACGAGATGCGCTTCACCGAGTAAACTCCTTCCGTCAACCTTTTTTTCTTTGTTACGAATAAGCCGTTTATGGGTGTCATTATTTCTTATCTCTAAAATTTGTTCGTACAAAGGAGAGCTCATTACTAAGATACACTACTTGATCAGAACAGGGGCTTTCTTTACTTCAAAAACAAGTGAGGTGCCAAAAGCCCAGAAAGATTGATAGATGGATGTCAAAAAAAAAAACTGATGTTGATAATGTCTTTCTCTTTCTCTCCAAAGAGATCAGAAAGCAAGGATGCATATCGGTATTACATGCATGTCATTGATAACGCGGGTGCTGCTGTGCAGTGCTTATAACAGGTATAAGCAATGTGCAAGATGATCAGGACAGCGTCAGCGACAAAGGCTAATAGGTTGGGAAATCCTTTCCACAAGCAAAAAAATAAGGGGACGATGACTTCTCGGGATTGCCTTTCTTTCTTTTTTAGGTCATCATGCATTAAACCCACACAGTAAAACTTATTGGACTTAACAACAACAAAACGCTAATTCCCCAAGTCTCCCATGTTTTTATGCTCTGTCAGAGGAAATGTTGTATGCACAAAGATAATGGCTTGTTAGGCTTCTTTTAAAGGGGTTGCGTGAGAGTAGTAGTATACTCAGTTACTAGATAGCGCTGCTCTGCCATGCTACATACATAGGCAAATTCCGGGCTGAGACAGTCGTAATTTACGTAAAAAAAAAGTGAATCTCAGTTTCTATATCGGTAGTTCGACATACCCCTACTCATTTATATCACAAAAATACTGCTGTACAACCCAGACGGCTAGTATAGCTAATTTATTATAGCCTCCAGCGGCATTATTGTTCTACTGCTTCGGTGTTTTCTGCTGGATGATTAGCGTCTGTAGCCGGATCACTATGCATAGCAAAGGGGATATTACAGCATCACAAAAGCTGCGTGTGTGGGGGAGCGTAGGAGAAAAGAAAAGAGATAACAGCAGCAGTTGTTAGTAATAAAGAAGCGTGATCTATTAAAGGAAGTGATAAATGGGTAAGGCGAAAAAAGCAAGTCCGTATCAAGAGATAATAAGATGAAAGGGAGTTACATGGTGGGGGAGTGATGTGGCAGAGAGAAGAAGAGGGGGGGGAGGGAGGAGGAGGGAGAGGCTCACTGGAGAGAGAGAGAGAGAGAGGGAGAGAGAGGACCCGGACACCGGACTGATCAAGCAACATCCGTTAATCTCTGGCCAATCCGACGGCAGTATCGGCAGTTACACACAGTGTTGACTCAGCTGATAAGGAGCAGAGTATGTGTATGTACTTTTGCGAAATGGTAGATATACACACACAAGGGCTGCCCATTCAAGATCCGCTTATGCACACTGATTGGTCCGATAACCTTGGGATCCTTTTGATCAACCGTTATCTTTTTTTTTTCTCTCAACTAGTCAATGTATGCCGCTCTGCGTGCAAGCGTGTGTGTGGCGATTCTTTTCTTAACAGCACACTTTTTTTTTTCTTTTCTTCCTTCTTCTTCTTTAATCTTCACTCTCTTCCCTCGCCTCGCCTCGCCTCATCTTATCTCACTCACTCACTACTTTGCACTTTTTATCTCTCCTATATACCAAATCAAAGCCAATACCAACAACAACAACAGCGACAACAACAACGACAACAGCAACTCCATTAACTACATCATTCAACAACATATAATTACCATGGTCACCCCAACTCACACAGAGCCTATCAAGCGACGTCGCAGAAAGTCCGTGTTGCGTTGCGCACAATGCGGTAGCATGTTTCGCCTCCCGCTCTGGAGCCGCGAAAGTGGCCAAGGCCCCGTGTGCGATGCTTGCAGCAACGGCGAAACGCTCCAAGAAGACATGTGCGTCAAGCCATCACCACAAGCAGCAGTAGCAACATCACCACAGCATCAAGGAGATGAAAATGTCCCCGCTAGCAATATAAATAACAGCAATAATAAGCCTACACGCTCTAATCGCGGACGCAAGCGACGAGCATTCCAGCCTGATAGCATGTCTGTCTGTGCCAACTGCCAGACCACCAACACACCGCTTTGGCGTAGAGATGCAAATGGCAATGCTATTTGCAATGCTTGTGGTCTCTATTACAAGCTACATCTCGTCCACCGGCCTGTCACCATGATGCGCACAGAAATCAAGCGACGAAAGCGCTCGTCTGATAAGAACAAGCGTGGCAGCAGCAACCCCACCACTGCCTCAACCAAAAAGCAAGATGGTAGCGATATGATGATGGATGATTCGAATCATCATCACCACCAAAAAGACCTGTTACAAGCCTCACCACAGCACCATCACCACATCCTTCATGAAATGGAGCCCGCAACATTGGGTGGCAGTAGCAGCAGCAGCAGCAGCTCATCTGCTTCATCCGCCTCCTCAAGAAGTCCCAGTCCTGTATCGAGTCCCAGTCCCAGTCCAAGCTCATCACCCGCAATGGAATCCATGTTAGTACCACCTCTTCAACAAGACCCATACCCACCTGTCCTTTCGTCGCCTGAATCAAAGTGTTTACCATCACCTACGCCCACTCAACACAGCAGCCACCACTATCCCCTGATGCCAACGTCGCCGTACTGCGGCCATAGCACCCAAGCACTCCTTGATAAGCGACGCGCTCTTCAACAAGAGGTCGATCGTCTGACTGCATTGCTCGGTGAAACCTCTGATATGATCTCTGATATTGATACCACCCTGTCTCAACGACAGACACCCGTCGAGGATGTTGCCCGGTCACTCCTCACCTTGGCCCGATTACCACCTCCAACACTCTCTCCTCCGCGGCTCAATGATCGACAACAGCAGCAGCAACAACAACAAGAACCTGCCACAACACCTTCACCTTCTTCTTCACCTCACGACTATAAGCACTTTCCGAGGCTTCCTCCTATCACTGCTGTTGGAGCTGCCACTCCACCTCCCTTTGAATTCTCATTATGAAATAAAGCTGGTTTATTATGCTCAAATGGTATATCTTCTTTTGCATTGCTCTTTACTGATAGTAGCATCATGTTGTCGGTTCTCGTTTTCTTACAAGAGTGTTAACTGAGTATATATTGTGCATGCGGGTATGCGTGTTGTACATGTTACGTGTTACGGGTGAGTAGGTCAAAGTGGCAGTGGGATGACATGCTTGTTGAAGGGGTTAAGAATGGTAATGCGAACAAGATAAGAAAGAAGAAGGTGCTGCTGATACATGTGATTATAGAAGGGGAATAAAGGATGGTAATAATGGTGGAGAAGATAAAATAGTAGTATGATAAGTAGCGTTGGATATATGTTATATAAAAGAAGAGAGCGATTATTTGTTGTATCGCGTCATAGATCGAACAGGCATTTTGCCTTGTGGGGTTAAATGAATGACAGCAGCATCCAAGAAATCGTCTTCATCTTCGTCAGGACGCCAGCGCCCCAGTCGATGATTTGAATCGATCAATTGCCGTAGCACTTGTTTGCATTGCAAAGTGTATTCGGCATACTGTTTTCCCGAAGAGCTGACAAACATCACCGCTGGCGTATGTGTCATTCCATAACGTTCCAGAATCTGGGGCAGTTGGTCATGTAATACTTTTTCGCGCTGCTGCATCATTTCACTGGACGTGGCCTGATCGACGATCAAGACGAGCCGTCGCCACCATAGTTTATCAGAGTCAATACCGGTCATGCAGTTGTCGAGTATGTCGAGCTGCCGGAAAAACGTCTCCCTATTATACCATTAGATCAGTTTTGTGCGTGCCTCAAAAACCATTCAATGATATAAAGCTGTTAACTGAGTCCACTTACAAAGAAGATGCGATTACCAGGAACGTCGAAATACCGATACGGTCACCGAGATCAAGCAGCCCTTGTTTAGTCGTGAAAGGACTGAACGTGAGCGTTGCAGCAGCTGAATCAACCTGCCATGACGATTCGCGTTCAGCTGGTATGTTATCAAATAACCACCGTGCTATATCCGTCTTTATATAATATTAGCTGTTTTTTTCTCCCTTTCCATAATGGTTTTAAATCTCCACAAAGATATTTTATACCATGCCGAATGCAGCCACCACAAAGTGCGGCTGATTTACATATATCTTTGGCGATAATGTAATGATACGCTGCTTACTGCTATTGCTAGGGGATGTCGATGTTATCGGTGACGACGCTGTTGATGGAGACGCCGTCGAGTTTGGTCGTAGTACGTCGTCGTCATCATAAGAGTGGGGGACCTCGTATACGGTGACGGGTAACGTGGCCTCTGTGGTGTTGCTTGTATTTGAAAATGCAGAATCCCGTGACTGTGTTGAACGGGTTGATGCTGAAGATGCTATAGAGCTGTGATGCGAGAGTGGTGTGGCCGCAATGCGGTGTATGCTTGAAGAAGAGGTGGTAGTAGTAGCAGTAGAGGTTGAGGAAGGACGTGGTGCAGCAGAGTGGCTACGAAGACTTTGTCGCTGTGGGCGTTGTGGCTGCTGCTGCTGCTGCTGCTGTTGCTGCGGTATCAGATTAGCCTGTTTCCCATATAGCACAGTCATACAGAGTTATATATGCACCATTACCTTTTCAGTGACTAGCAAGTTATCCATAAGGGCATCAAGACCCCATGTAGCTTTATTCTTTCCTCGTTGCATCTTTAATGACGAGTAAGGGGAGAAAGGGAAGTCTTTTGCAGAAAGATGAAAATTAAAGAATAAAAGGGAAAGAAGTGAAGAAAAAGGAAACAAGCGAAAAGAACGAGTAAAATAGGAAAAAAAAAGAGATATCTTTTGTAGTAAAGCAACAAGCGGAAAGATGAGAGAGACTGAGGTGATAGAGAATGACTAGAGAGTGTGTGGCGCGGAATTCAGCGACAAGCCTTGTAAGGTAGTGTTAAGTAATACCATTGTGACACCATGATGGCGCGACTACTTTACTACTACTATAAAAAACACCAGCCGCCCGGGGTAGATTGTTTCTCATCCCCTCTCTCCTCTTTACGTTCGTCTGGAAGCAGCAGACGTAGCAGCAGCAGCAGCAGTCGCCCCTGAGCAGAATACCCGGCCTTTTTCGAGCACCGTATAGGGCATTGTGTCGTAGATGACAAACGGCGGGCAGATGCAAAACTCGATTATACCGGACGTCAAGCCTTCTTCATCGACCATGGTGACATGATTAAACGGCTGTACTCCCTCTTGTACAACTGTGGCCACAATATCAACCTCCTGGCCCTTCATTGCAAAGCCGAGAGCAATCGAGTACTCGACCAGTTTTCTGACCTTCGTTTCGTAGCGTTTTTCTGGATCTGATTCCGTGTTATCGTACTGCTGCATGTAAGGGTATGCTTCATTGAGATTGCTGTAGAGGCCATGAGCTGCCTGCTTGATGGGCTTTGCCAATAACCGCTGAGCATCCGCCACGACGCTCTTTGCCAGCTCTTGCCGCAGCCGTGTAGCCGTGTACCGATCGTGGTTTCGCAGCCAGTACTCGAGCGCGATATAGTCCTTTTCAACCGACAGGCCCGGGAAGAAATGCGGCGTCATGTTGGGTATCAAATAATCCATCATGTATTTCTCCGTCAACATACGGATCCGATTCAGCGGCAACAACGCGCCCATCTGTTCGATCGGCTGCTTCAAATTGAGCCAAAAGTTGCGCAAGGCACCCGTAGCACGCTTGGGATCCACATTCTCGAGCAGATCATCCGCTAAATGCGCAATCATCGCCTTGAGCTGTCTCAGTTTTCCCGAAATACTGGCCAGGTCGTCGTCTGTGGCACGCAGACCTCTCAAGTGCTCGTTATAATTGCCTTCCAGCTGGTGTCGCGCTTCTTGTCGTTGTTGCAGCCGTTCTTGCACTTTGGCAATTCGGTCTGTCAGTGCCCGACTGTCCAGTCTGTATTGTTGGCGTTCAATCTCGAGATTTTCAAGGCAATAGCGTTGGCGTGCAAGTTCTGCTTTAAGTTGTGCTAAAACTCGGGCATTGTTGTTTGCTCCTTCGTCTGCTGTCGTCTTTTCTGATGTAGCTGACTGTTGCTGTTGTCCCGGTGGTGGCGGTGGCACTGTTCCGCTCGATGACCGAACAGATGCTTGGCGTTCGAGATTGTTTTGTTTTTCGACTACTGGTGATGACGGCTTGCTGTTGCTATTGGTATGAACGGCACCGTTGTTATCGTAGCTGTTGTGAATGTGTTCGGTTTCAATGGTGGAGGCTATTTCACCAAAAAAAGAAAGAAAAAATATAAAAGGGAAAACAATTGGCAACAGTAATAAAGAGAAAGTTAGTTACTGGCTTGCTCTTTTTCGGCAGGAAATATAAGAGGGCGAGCGAGAAAAGCGTGAACGAGAATCTTACTTGTCATGGAAGAGTTGTGAAGTTGAGACAGATGATGGTCTAATGGAGAGTATGTTGGTGCGTGGCTTTGGCTCCACTTTTGTGTTGCATTGTGGTAGTACACACTATTGTTGCTGTTGCTGCTGCTGCCATCGACATACACACTGCTGTCCACTAAGAGATCGTTTGGCTGTTGATACTGCATTTGCTGTTGATGGATATGGTGTTCCTGTTGCTGCCACTCGTCTTCATCTTTGCTTTTACTACGCTTAAAGAACATCGAAATGCGTTCCTTGGGCGTCTTTCTTTGCGATTCATCCACAGGAGTAGCAGGATCCAACAGGTCACTCTGTAAGCGCTGTTGTTCGGTACGACCACCACCCGTTAGTGTCTCGTTGATCATTATATAGTCTGTTATTCTACGCGTTCTCGGTCGTCGCCGTTGTTTTTAGTAGTAGTCGTCGTTTGAAGTGGGTTAAAAATACGATAACAGCTTAATTCTTTGATAACGAAAAACAAAAAGGCGCTGAAAGAAGCAAAAGAAAATGAATGTTTATTTTGTGAGAGCGGGAAACTGTTCGTTCGCACCCTCTGGTCTCTGTCTCTTGGAGTTTGTGAATAATTATAAAAAGTGCAATAAAGACTTAACCAAGCTTGTGCAACGACGATCCTTCCATTTTTATTCAAGAGCGACCGCACACTTAGGAAAGGTCGGAGGTCGCGAACGTTTTCTTTCATAATGGTCGGTGGGTCGGTATAACAAAGATAAAAGAAGGATTGCCATCCCTCTTTCGGTCAGTCTTGGCAAAAATTAAAGATGATGCCTGCTGCATGTGCAGTATGTCTGTACAAAGTAGTAAAAGGCTGCAAGTGTCATGCTACTACTGTGGGGTACTAGTGTATGTGTTTAAGAAGAAAGCCTTTTAGTTAAAACTGGCGCTATAACATAAATCCATCTATGAAAGAAAAAAAAAGAGATTCAACCTAGCCTGCTATGTGTATAACCTCTGCGTGCCTTGGTCTTGTAACGCGAAATTATCATAAACAGATTGTGATACCCAGGGCCCACATCGTCATAGTATAATAAGCACCGGTGTGGGTTCGTGCTTTTTATAGAGCAGAATGTATAATTATCGTGTTGCGGAGAGAGAACACAAGGCTTGTTGGTTTTGAACGGAGCTCTTTTCTTTATATGAATCCTTTATTTCCAGGAACATGGATTGATTACTGCGGAATTCTTAAGAAAGGTATATATACCAGTAAGGGTTTAGGTCTTCATCAGGAACGCATCTATCCTTGTTGTTTCTGTTGCTGTTTGAGTTATCGAAAGGCCATAAAGAGCTTCTGGAGAAGCCCAAGAACCAGGAAGAGTAACACAGAGATTGAGTACGACAGATGTTTATTTCCTACAAGGATGCTCCACATGATACAATGCCTTGTATTTTGTGGAGAAGCTAATCTGTGTATGTAGGTCTAGTCTCTCAGACATATCCGGATACATCATAGAATTAGCAGGCCCATCACTCTTCTCTTTTCTGCTAAGAAACAAAGTGCTTATAATAGCGTGTTTCGAAAATAACAATGCAAGGCACAGCTGTGGCCTACTTTCTGCTGGAATGTATGGTATCTTTGACTATTTTTACTGCTACACATTGCTCTGCTTGATCCAGGAACTTGGGTTGATATGTCATTCAGCTGTCAAGACGCCGCCTCCCAGCCTCAACCCACCCTTTCATGAAAGTTTATGTTCCCTTCGTGTTTATTATCTTTAGTGTTGCCTGACTGTTCCTTGACGTCACTAAACCCAGTAACCTAGAACCAGCCGTAGTATGGATATTGAGAGATTCATTTTTGGACGTGTTTCTCGGTTCTTATCTCCTAATCCCAACTTTAAGCAAAACACGGCTCTCCCGTGCTCTTCACTGCTTGATTGCCATTTAATGTGAACTAACCTAGTAATTGCCTTATCATCAATATCCACGGCCATCGCTCTATACGTAGTGTGTTATAATGGTATTTTCAAAGTTGTTTTATATGGTAAAAAGGTGTCGACCGAAAAGGAATGTGTATGAGTGCGTCGTGTACGTGAATAATATAACAAAATTAGGGCGAGCGAAGCGATATTATGAAGAGTCGCCGCGTGGAGGGGTTGGAGGCGGGTTTGCCGAGCTGTATGACAACTCTCTTGTCGGTAATGGAGGAGGAGGAGGAGACGCGCCAGCAGTAGACGATACAAAACTGCTACCATGAGCTAAAACGGGCTGTGGTTGTTGGATCTCGTTCATGGGTGTTTGTGCGGCGGATGAGGATGGGGGCGGTGGAGGAGAAGTCTGTTGCTGTTGCTGCGATGCACGTTTATACAAAAATCGTCGTAGCAGCCGTGCGTTCTTAGTGTTTGCACGATACAGCATCGTTAATATAATGCCCAAGATTGGTATAAGGCCAAGCTATTATGTAAGAGAGAGAGAGAGAAAGAGAGTAAATTCAGTCTAAAAAAGGAAATGGACCCAAGTTCGCGCCCCCCCCCCCACTACTACTACAATAAGGAAAAAAGCCTACCACAAAATCTACAGTAATGTGATAAAGCATCGTTCGTCGAAGAGAGCCTGGTAGCTGACATTGGCATGCCAGCCGATACATGGATAGTGAAAATCCAAGTGAAATCACCTTGCCGACAATAGGGATAAGGTCTATTTTTTTTATCATGAGTGTCCATTTGGCGTATATACACGGCAACACCAGTGTAGAACGAAGGAAAATTTACCGAGTAGTACGTCGTAGCCGATCCAGCAGCAACATATTTTGATCATTTCATCAAACTGTTTTGCGCGATGTTCATATTTGGTGAGAATGCGAGCGTCGCGCTCTGATAGCTGGACTTCGACGGGTGGTTGTGCCTTGCGAAGGAAGCCCATGGTCGTCGTCGTTGCTTGCTTTTTTTATTTTGAAAGAGCGAAAAGCAGTGAAAGGGGAAGAAAAAAGGCAGCCTAGGCTTATCCCTGGGTTGTTATTTTGTAATCGTCCTGTGTAAAAAGGAACATTCTACGCTTCCAAAAACAGTTTTACTTGACCATATGTGATTATTGATTGTTTACTGTATGCGAAGATTCTATGCCAAGTCTCTCTGTGGTCCATGTGTGTCTATCTCCGTACAGTGTCTGCAGCATTAAACCGTCGATCGCAGTCTTGGCCCTTGCTCTCTCTCTCTCTCTCTTTTCCTTTTCTCATATCCTGCATCCCTTTGCTTTGACCGTGGTACAAGCAACACGACATGCAGCTCACTTTATATTTTGCCCGGACCGACCCGCCCATTCAGTCTTGTCCTGCTGTGCCACTTGCTTCGTTTTGGATTCGTAGCTTGAGCCTTGCTATTTATCACATGAAAGAACTGGTCTTATAAAGAATCAAAATTCACCTAAAAAGTTGAATATATATGCCGCGTCACATCACAACTACGAGCGGGACCTCGTTGGACCTTCTTTTTCTTACTTGTGCTCATTCTTAACGGCTCCATCTTCAATAAATGAGCAAATTAAAACCAACAGATTCAAAAACAAAAGAAGAATCAAATACCTATACCCAGAATGCAACCCGATCGCAAATACCGCAATCGTCACCACCGCCATCACAAGCTTACAAAAGCAACACAGAAGACGACAAGGAATTGACAGAACAATTGTCAAATCTGACACTCGTGCAAGCGACAGCGTCGTTGTCATCGTCATCGTCATCGTCAACGTCATCTTCATCTTCTTCGAAATCAGAATCAAAAACAACAGCCGTGCCCAGCTCCCAGCAACAACCGCAACAAGTCGATTCCGAGCTGGCCGATCTTCTTGGCGATCTCTCTGTTTCTTTCGAGCAGGCTCCATTTATGCCTTACTGTTTATGAAAGGCCTCCCGGTTTTCGCTCCATATATTCTCTTTACTTGTACATATGTATCACAACTATTTACATTGCACGACCTTCCATCCGGTTATTAACATATTATATACCCATCTTTGTCTCTTTCTTTCTCTGTAGTCACCATTTCTTAAATGTAATTTAATAGCTCGCTTTTTGTTCGCAATAGAAACGTATCGAAATCAAACTCTGCTGTTGAGTGTTGGTTTCTTTCTAATCATATATCGAAACAATCGGCACAATAACAAAACTCATTTGGCATGCACTCATGTGTGCCAGAAATGACAAAATGGTCAAGCCCGTTTAAATCTTTGCTTAGAGGTAATGAGGTCAGCTTACTGGTGCAAATGTACAGTTTACTATGCTTCTTCCCCACTCCCTTCCCTTTCCCAGGAAGAAAACCGGAAAAATTTTAAAAGAAAACGATGTTATGTATTATACAGTTTGCACATCGATTTTTATAATATGCTTCGACACAAAACTCGATCAAAGGAAAAGAAAGACGATTTTAAGAGGCAGATGTTATATAAAGGTCCAAGATGACTTAACGGAGAAAAGGGGCGGTTTGTTTATGTGTTGTGTTGGTTATTAATTGACGTCGAGATCTTATATATCTACTCTATTAATCGTCAATACTCTTTTTTACAACATGTTGATGGACGTGCCAAAAGAGAAGGACTACATAGACATGATGAACGAACTACTCTTGAAGAAAAAGAAACATTTACTTATTGATGTTTCAATTGTGGAATCTTTACTTAAAGGTATACAGCTAGTTGAAACAACATCACATGAGTTTATATAATATACATATAAGCTTATAAATGTGATCAAAGACAGTGTCGCCAACAACCAATCAATCATTATCGTTTGTAATGAGATCATAAGGTATCCTGGCTTCTTGTCAACATCTATGCCAGTAAAGAGATCAAACTGCCGTCCTGGCTGCATTGGTATATCGGTATTACTACTTGGTCTACATCCATATCAGCTCACAATGATGCTTTAGAGAAATACTAGAGCAATAATAAACACGACGAAGCAACAATGTTGGAGAAGCATTGATCGAACGAACTTTGACATATAATACCATCATCAGTTTTTTATATCTTTTACTTTTCTACATATAACATAATGGGCAAAACGCGTCACCGACATGACGGGCAAACTTAATATATTTTCTTGTTACGTTGTTAATTCATTAATTGAAAAGTAGTATCGGTTAAAAAGTTTTCCTCATTAGGCTTATTACCCCTTGCCATGCCCGTTTGGAGCTTTAGTAAAATGATGACTGCTAACATCTTTAATGCTATTTTCTACTGTAATCATATCTTGCTCTATATCTGATACCTGAAAATTTGTAGTGACTTTTGTTATATAACATTCATTAGAACGTTATCTAAAATGACTTATACTATGTGAGTACCACCTCCAGTTGTCCTTACGTCCCTCTCCTTAGTATGTATCGCAAAAAGGATGTATCTATTGTTATGCAACGAAATATCAAAAGATTAGCCTCAGCCTCTATATTAAATTGAAAAAGGCTGCACAACGTATAAAACATATAAACCGAATCCCGGTGCTTAATTAACTTGAGGACTGATACAAGTGTGTACTTAATGTTTGTGATGCATCAAAATTGTGTATGAGCAGCATTATTGTTGAAGGATAAAGGACTTAAGCTACACTTGCTTACGGAACCGACGCCGGCCGGTCCGGTAACGTAAAAGCTCACTGAGCAGCATCGCCGTTGAAGGGTAAAGGATACGAGCCACAACCGCTCAAGGAACTGACGCCGGCTGGTTCGGGAAAGAAAAAGATCACTGAGCAGCATCGTTGTTAAAGGGTAAATGATACGAGCCACAACTGCTTACGGAACCGACGCCGGCCGGTTCGGGAAGTAAAAGAGCTCGATCACTAACTGCCAAGGTGGCTGGAGAGATAAATCGGGAAATCATGCTTGACTACATGTCTGGGCTAGTTAAGGATAGTTACAACGTACTTACGACATAGTAATATATAGCTGATTATATGGCGAATCAATCCGTGCTGAACGTCATTCAAGCGCTTGATTAATTGCTTACAACTACTTGCTATATGCTATGTTTCAATATATGCGTGGTATATCATTTTTTATGCTGAACATTGGTATAGATTTTAATCTTATTCTTACTAGTTGTTATATATTTTACGACCTAAACCTAATCGAGAAGGAAGAGAGAAGGTTACGTGGCGCATTTTCAAAAGGTTTTGTATCACATTGATGCAGCAACAACAACAACAAAAACAACCAAGGTTACGCGAAATTGGCACACACTACCTTTTGCAGTGGACCACGGGAAAAAAAGACTGTCAGTTTCCTGTATACACCGCAAGATTTTCTTTTTCTTCGTGTAAAGGTGATACTATATTTTCTATCATCGTTGACATGACAGTTCGCCCGGGACTTCAGCTGTTACTATCGTGTTCCTTTTTCACTGTCATATCCGTTTTTTGCGATTGGAATACCATTCCACGAGCAAAGATTGGAATACCATTCCACGAGCAAAAACAATCGTGAATGAATATTACCATATCATTCATCTACTATACGTATATACTATAAATGTATGATTCACTGTAAAGGTTGTGCAAATTAAGCCAACAAAATGCAGCAGGAATATTCACGACGGCAATTACCATTATCCGTACAATCCAAAAGTTATGTTTTATTCTTTTTGCGAACCTTTTTTATTAGTAGCCAACAAGCAGATGGCTAGACATACATATCTAAGCATACTATATTACTACGGTTTAGAATGCTCTCATTGATATAGTATATAATTGCTATGACATTAAGGAATAGAGTCGCTAAGGAAAAGGGCTTGTTTTAAAAATTTAGTAGCTGTATGTACACATCATTATTAGTCAAAGATTTGTCAAAATAACTTGGCATGATGATTTAGACCGATAAAGCAATAAAACGTTATCAATTTTTGTAGTATTATTATTAAAAGAAAGCCAAGAGTTTCTGGCAAAAGAGGATCGATCTAGAAAACTGGGCAAAGTAGCAGAAAGCAAGGTAAAGCTTAGATTTTGGCGAGGCTCGGATAGATTTGCTTAATAATGGACGGCAAAAGCGTTGATGTCGTGACACCCATCTTTTATTGTTGTTGGTACGGAGTGATCAAATTAATAAAAAGGAGATTTCAGCGGCGCAGTATTAATAATTTAGAATATTTTAAGTAGTGTAAAGAACCTACTAGCATATGCTACTGGCTTTTTCTTCTCTTGTTGCTGGCTGTTCCGCCATTATGGAAACTATGATGATTCTTACTGCAAATTGCCTTTTATGGGTGAGCCCTTAGGCGAGTACGATGTTTGGTAATAGGTTTCGTGATTGGTTAAAATAAGCAGATCAGCAGTTTCATGGCGCCACACACATATACAGCTTGTACCTATTCTCGTAGCACGAGCCACATTGACGTAAATCCCGGTGGGAAGCGATCTAACAATCCAGAACAACACCGGGCTACGCAACAAATCAAGCCGATTGTGTTCCTTAGGTCTTGTTTGTGGCCCTCCGGCGACTTGGATTCAGGGACAAAAAGAAAACATGATCTAAGATAATGAGATTGCCATATTTGTTGTTCTCGGTATACATATTGTTGTATATATGTCAATTTTTGGTCAACGCCTTTTTATTATCACAATGGACAGTACGCAAGCAACACACGGATCAAGAGTGTTTGTATAAAAAGCTAAATAATGCCCAGCTTTTTTTTGGGGTCATAATTAACAGGGTTTAAAGAAGAGAAAATATATATGCAAAATGACAATGAGAGTAGCGAAAAGGAAGAGAGAGGGAACCTTTTTTTAGTACATGCATAGCACAGGTGCTTACTAAATGCTTACATCACATAATGAGAGGAGAAGGAGATGATGAAAAGATACCAAATGAGCCATTGTTATAGAGTGTACGAAAGTGGTGTTTGTGCTGCGCAGGCTAATGAGTTGTTATTGTTGTCTGGAAACTGCCACTGACCGTACACATTTTAAAAAAGGAAACACCCGATGCTTCCGATCGCGCTTAGCGCGATTTATACCACAAACAGAAAGCGAAAGAGTGAGATTGAGTCAAAACGCTCAAGAGAAATCTTGTCGTTAAATGTGCTGCTTATACGAAAAATGTGCGGGGTGGGGGAAAGGTAAATAAATTCGTATAAAAGTAACCTTTTTTTTGTGTTTCTGTGCTCAGTTTATCCATCATCCGTTCTCTCTTTCTGCTTTACTTATTGTTTTTATTTCTACCACTACTATCATGCCGTTCCAATGGGTTTATCAAGCTGGCACTCACTGGGTTGCCTTTGATCCGCGATCGAACGTGTCTATCGAAAGCTTATGGCGAAGAGGTTCAGCAGCGAATATATACGTACCGTCCTTACAAGGTGTCGTCTACGTCAATGGCCCTGGTCTTTATGCACAACAATTCTCGACTCGGATTGCAATCGCACGGACAGGATCATAATTCTATTACTCTTCTGCTCCACTACCGTATCTGCGTGTTACTTTTTGCTCTCCTTTTTTCTCCCCCACCCCACCCGTTTTCAAATTCTAAACTTTCTCCACCACGTACATAGCACACTCAGCATCAATAATGCACCGCCAATCGTCAGACAAACAAACAAGTAACGCGTTGTTTCTCGCTCGATATTAGCTTTCATTACGCACAATACTTTGTATTATATTCCCAGCACCCTTTAACCCCAGGTTTTTGTCTCTTGTAATATAGCCCTTTTTTCGACAGACATTCATTTCCAAGCACTATTTGTTGTTCTCTTGACGTATTTCTTTCAATATGGAATTGTTCTAGACAGGGACAACCTCTTACAGTAATACAAATAAACTTTGTTGCACAAAAAATTATCCCAAAAGTAGCAACTGCTGCTGCGCGGCATATCTCCTCACTCTCCGTAATCGATACTGTCACAACACATGTCTTTTAAAAAGCGGTCGTGATTTAAACTTTTCTTTTCCTTGTTGTCCAATGTTGTCAACGACAACTCAGCATTACATAAATTGTACCTGATACGGAGTAGTCAAGGTATAAATGTTCTTTTGGATCCATCAAATATGACGTACTTTCCGGCAGTCGGCAATATCCGTTAGCAGGGTGACAATGGAGGACAGGAGCAGCAGTAAAGTGCGTATGATGTATCGCGCAAAAGTTGTGTCATAGCCAGGAGTTTATTTTTTGATAGTGATTATAATAATTGAAGCAGTATGAAGCAGGAAAGTTTATCAGAGAAGCGCAGCAAGCGAAAATGTTCCAGGTGAATGGATAGTGTAGGATCTTGTACTAGTAGTGAGAAAAGCTGTAACAATGCAGCAATAATAAGAATAGCAACAGAGAAACCACCAATGTTGCAGCCCATCATTGGTCTGACCGCTGCAGTGTAGCATTTTCTGCCGAGAAAAGTTATTTTCATCTCTGAAATCTGTATGGACAGTTTGATAACTGCATGACAGCGACAGAAAAAGACAACAACCATATACGGGAAACAGTAGAAAGTACATGATGGGATGAGAGAAACACGTGGGTGGCGTGCGGGGCCACCAACAAGCTTCTACTAGACAGAATGAACATCAACAAGTCATTTGCATTCTGCTAAACAAGGAAGAAGAAGAAAAGCATTAATGCATGTGGCACGAGTAGCATATACTCAGGGTGTCGTTGCTACTTAAGGTAGAACAAGATAAGAAAACCAGACTATGAGTGGACAAGGTGATCGCGGTGCTGCTAGAACTGTTGCTGCTGCTGATGATCCATGCAGCATATGACGTTATTTGTATTCGGAATAGCAAGGATTCTTTTTTTTGGCATATGTGGAGAATTCTGGTGTTACGTCGAAATTACCCTATTAATGCTCAGCACAAGAAAATAGGGACCAAGTGGCAAGAACCAAGCGCCGCAACAAAAAAAGGGCGGCCGATCGCTGGGCTGATAATGAATTATCGGTTTTGTCGTTGCTAGGCAATAAAACGTGTCGCCATGGAAACTCTTTAAATTTGTGTGCGCCATAGCAACCGCCAAAAAAAAGTTCACAATGCGCAGCTACCACCACTCCAAAACTCCTATCCTTACCTACACTGCAGCATTTTTTTTTAGCTCTGCTGCGCAAAGAACAATAGTGTCTTTAGCCAGGCCTGGCCCGAGCTCAGCTATTGAAAAAAAAATTATAAATATAAATACGTCTTTGCTGATCAACTGTCTTTCTTGTCTTTACTTACTCCTCTCTACAGTGCTACAAATTCCTTGACACTTTTTATTTCATCAACAAGAAAATGACAGTCCAATGGGTGTATCAAGCCGGTACAAACTGGTACCCTTTCGATCCACAAGCAAACTACTCGATCGAGCAATTGTTCCGTACCGGTTCATCCGCTAATGTTTATGTCAAGGCCCTACACGGCATGGTTTTTGTCAACGGCATTCAACTCTACGCACAGCAATGCGCTACACGCATCACCATTGCAAGAACCGGTGCATGATATTGTTGCTTCAACGACCATATTACGATATCATTTCACCTCACGTTGTTCTTCCACCAATCCATCACAACAGTCAAGACACGAATACATAGCTCCAACTATCAAGCACTAGAGCACATTTCTTAAATTCACAAGTGCCACACACACACACTCGCGCACACGCGCATATGAAACGAATTTTCTGTATTTTACTTTTTTGTATGTTGTTCGGCAAACCCTCCAGTTGTATGTATATATTAAGGGCCCTTAATTTTTAGAATGTATAGTCGACTTTCCTCCTGTTTATATTATATGTAGAATCGTAACATCCTTCTCTTTTCATTTGTAATATTACACGTCATCATCACCAGCATCCCCAATGACATTCCTTTTTTTTCCACCACACACTTTTACCTCAAAACTATGCTTTGAAAACGTTTAAACTAATAATAATAGTTATAATAAAAGATTTATCTGTCGTTATAAAAATATCAACAAGATCATTTATTACGAGCAATTCTTGTTTTGTAAATTATTATGCGCGTCTTTAAAAAAGTGTACAAAGCATATCATGCATATTGGCAGCATGCTTATTGTTGGCAGCATATCAGAATTGCTCAAGCTTAAGCGTTTATACATACCGTGATATACGAACATTTCCCTGGGGATTTCCAACTGCACCACGCACCTTTCTGCCTATGTATTTTCAACCGACCAGACAATAATATGAATCATCTTTCGTCTGCTGGTTGTAGTACCGGATCTAGACAGGGGAAAGCTTTATGTTACTGTCTCGTGTATATCTATTCGTCGCAGACCATATTTTTCTTAGTTACAACTCTTTGCCAAGAGTCGAAATACCAAGACGATCCACACGGCGCTGGAATAGATCAAGATGAGCAACTAGTAACGGTCATATTACTATTCTAATATAAAGTGAGTAGAGTCGACTGCACTTGTTACTGCGGAGGCGACGCCGGTGGAGGTGACGCCGGTGGAAACGAGGAAGCATAACAAAACCGCAGCAGCAGCAGCAGCAGCAGCAAATATAAGTGATGACCATGGCACTCTGTGTTTCATGAAGTTTATTCCAAAAGTGAGCGTGCTTCTTCTTGGCTACTCTCTATGCCCACATCCCCTCAGCCCACTATGATAGCTAATGACAGGAATTCTTTTCCGCAGCAGCACAAGAAAAAAGCCTAATTCGTATTCGGGGTCAAAGCAATAGCAATAATAGTAGTACAATTTGTTATCTGTGGCGGGTACAAAATAGCTAGCGTTGTGTAGTAGTAGTAGTAGTAGTAGTAGTAGTAGTAGTAGTAATGGTTTCGTCACGTCAGAAAGGCACCGGATCGAATCAGTCTCGATTTAGTTATCCATACTGTGCGATAGTGTACAAATAAAAGTAATTACAGTAACGCAAAGGTCGAACAGTTATTACACAGTGACAAAAGACCTCTCTCGATCGATCGGTGCAGAAGAACCTGAGTCCAGTGTATTGATGAGCTGGCGAGTCGTGCTTCCGCCACGTTATACAATGGCGCAGTTCGCTTACCAATATGCACTGTAAACGGACGCGATTGCTATAGAGCAGCAAACCTATTACCGGTTTTAGGTGAAAGCCACAATCCATCAAAAACGAGTGCTCGTTTAGATGGGCACCTGGCTGTTACGCCTTAAGTCTTTCAATATATACAAACAATACTGTACATGTTTAGTCTTCCAGGCTCTAGGTAATACTTGCATTTACTGCTCCATATTTAAATATAATGCCTTTTGTTCAAAACCAGTGGTGGTCAGCCGTAGACTAAAAAGGTATTATGGCGTAGGGTACACAAGCGCCTCAATGGAAAATGGAAGGTGCAGCCTATCCCGATATGGAGGACATCTGAAACCTGGAATAGATTTCCTCAGTGGCTTCCCCTTTTCCAACAAGTATGACTCAAATAAAGGAAGTTCCAATTGTTCTCTCCTTTCTTTTTCTCTCTCTCTTTATGATCCGGTAGAACACTCACAAGAAGCATAGAGTGGCGCAGTACATGCATGCATTATGCTTCGTGCAACTAGATCTCTCTCCATTACTACCGAGATGATACCATCACGGCACCACAAAAAAGAAGATGCCATGGGTAACAATTATTCATCAGCGCTCAGAAACCAACAGTCATCTTGATGATAATAGTTTATCCGCATTCATCAGTTTATTGGAGTTATTGTAAAGTAAGAATAGAAGGCTGGGATACTTGTTGCTTATCGTTAGTCGTCGACGATATTGAGGCTTCTGCTGCTTTATCATCCGAAGGCCGAGTGAAGTCGTCCGACTCTGTGTATAACCGATAGTTTTCATTATAGAGATGTTCATTGACAATCTTTTGCAGCTGGACAAGGTTCAACCCGTTCTCGACTGCGACAGGTATGCTAGCACCTTTACTATCGACTTCATTCTGGACCATCTTGGTGGCTTTCTTGACTGCGAACCGTTGCATAAACACTTCCTGACGCAACTGCGCAATGTGTTCAAGATCGTTTTCCAGAACGGCCTCCAATTCGTCGAAATGACTCATCTTAACGTCGAGCTTCTTGACCTCGAAATCAATCACAGAGTGAACCAGTCGTCGAATTTCGCGTTCCTCAATACCTGCCAACGATTTTGCCTTGGCTGCCGCAGAGCCTAATGCCACCGCTGCTGCCTTTTCAACCGTATTACGTGGCTTTTTGTTGGGTTTGGTACTATCGTTTTCTCCATTTTCGTTTCCTTCATCGTCATCTTCTTCGGAGGACAGTTTTTTGCGTTTGCCCGTTTCTTGGAATTCAATGGCAGCTTCTGCAGCAACAGCAGCTAGATCTGGATCCACTGCCGATGACAAGTACGCCAGAATCGACATGACTGGATTATCAGCCTGTGAGAACGGCGTGCGTTTGTGTTCGAGCGTGCGAGACGATGGGATGGAAGACACATAGGGTTCTTCGATAGGCAGTTGCAAGAAATGCATGATACACTGCTCACGGGTACGGCTTCCGACATGTTCGGCAATGGCATTCCAATCATCATCGAATATTTCAATGGCTTCCAGCAACAACAATGTCTCCTCATCCGCCCATTCGTCCTCAGCATGCTCGTATCGGCCCGGCTCGTATTTCACAAAGTCACTGCTCATGACGGTGGATGGGAAACGGGCTTCCTTGTAACAGGTGGCACACAGATCCATGTTTTTGGTCTTTAGGCTGTGGTATCGTTCGCGCGTGCAATCCGTGCCGCAGGTCGTGCAGTAATAAGGTTTGGTGCTTGCAGCATGGGCTTGCTCTTGGGTGCTCTCAAACAATTGTTGTCGCAACTGTAAGTTCATGTTGAGCTCATTGTTCTTTCTGTTGTTGTTGGCGGTGTCGTTGTTGTTGTTGGATGATGAAGATGCTGATGGTGATGAGGAGGAAGGTTGAGATTGAGGTGCTGCCATTTTCGCCTTGATGCTCGGTCGGAACGGTTGAAGGCCACGGGGCGTATCCGCGGTGAGTCGAAAATGACCCGTAAAAGGTGGGCCCACTGTAGATGGCAAAGTGGATGGATCACACTATAATTTGTAATATAGTTGTTCCACCCCCCCATAAAATGTCAATAGTCCCCGAAAGTTAGTAATTGTTGTTTTTTGCCATATGCATATAGCAAGAATCACGTTAAGGTTTTTTCAAAAAAACACCATTAGTACCTGATTGTTGATCAGTCCCCACTGTTCTAAAAAGGCATGTACGCGCATAATAGCACATACATCACCCGCTAAATTTCGTCGACACGCTGTCACTGCAAGATATTCCGTAGGATTCAGCCGGTATGTGCTAATCATGAAGTCGCGATAATCTTGATAAATGCTGGGTGATTTCGATTTGTTGCGTCCTGTGAAAAATTCAGGCAATGAAACGCGTTCAATGTCGTGGATTGTTTCCATGCTGAACCAAGTCGTGTAATGTGGTAATGACACTTTTTTGGTTTGATCAAAGAGATATTTGCGTGCTTCTTCTTCCATTTTGGAACGATGTGCTAGTTGCTGCTGTTCTTGCGACTGTTGCTGCTGCTTTGGCTGCTCTTCTTGTTGTTGCTTTGGTTGTTCTACTATTTCTTGTTTGGGCTGTTCTTCTTCTGAATTCTTCAGTTGCTCTTCATGCTGCTGTTGAGGTGGCTGTTGTTCTTCTGGGTTTTGCTGTTGCTGCTTCTGTTGCTGCTGCTCCAGTTGTTGTTGTTGTTGTTGTTGTTGTTGTGATGAGTCCTGTGCTAGGTTTTGTTCAGGAGCAGACGTGTTTTCAATTGGAGTAACAGTAGAAGAGGCTTGAGCGTCAATGATGACGGTATCAGTGGCATCTGTTGTGGTGGGTGGCGACAGTGGTGGTGCGTCGGGCATCGCCTGATCTTGTTGATTCATGGTGTCGTGTGCTTTTTCTATTTGCGTGAGTGGTCGTGGTTGGTTCAGCACAAAGCGAAAGCTGGACGAGGTAAAAGTCACCCTCCTATTTTTCGTCGGAGTGTTTTTTCCAGGTTTAGTAGCTAGGCAAGTGAGGAAGGGGAGTGGAAGGATACAAACCTGCATAAGTCCTGCGTGGCGCAATGAAAGAGAGCGAGAGAGAGAGGAAGGTAACTAAAGTAGTTGCTAGTATGTTCTCAGGTACTAACACGCCATGAGCAGGGTCTCCAAGAAGATTTCCCCTGCCTGAGAGAGAGAGAGAGAGAGAGAACGATGGGCAGTAAGTGGGGTGCTTCGGAAATAGCTGGTCACTTCCGGTGATGCCGAAAATAATATAAAAAAAGGCACGTTCTTTTTTTTGGCATACCATTTGAGGGCATGGCCCAGATCGTCTTGTAGCGGTTGCTAGTTTATAAATACACACTCTCATCCCCAGCTCTTATTTATTTTCGTCTCTTGTTCGCTTACAAGACGAGGGAGCTCTCTGCACAGTATATAAAGACGCATCTATCCATCTCAGTCATCTCCTCTCTGTCGCGGCCTTGTATTCATTATCGTTATACCTCTTGATACCCCACCCCCGTTGCTCTCGTCTGTGTCCTTACCAAGATATGTTCCAATTCCTTCTATCCGACTGGACGAAACGGTTGACCGTAGGCCCACCAACTGCCGTTAAAAAGGAGCAGCAGCATCATAACAACAACCAACAGCCGACAGCCATTGCTACAGCGCCAGTAGCAGTAGTTGCCAATAACAACAATACCCAGTACCACCACCACCACCACGAGCAGGGTGACCACCACCAAAAGCAGGAGATTCCGCGTTCAGTGTCCTGGGAATCGTGGTCATCGTCCCTCACATCACTTTGCGACGATCTGCATGACGACAAGCGCACCTGGTCTTTTAAAGACGACTATGTATCATTTCCAAGCTTAGCGGACGATGCTGCTGCTAATAACGAGAAAGAGCAACAGCACCATCTATCATGACTTTATTCTTTCTGCTGCACTATCACAATCATACCACATCACATCATTCCTCCCCAACAAACAACAACAAACACCCAATTCTTAGTGTACATACTTTCTCTTTCATTACCTCTTTTTTATTATATGCATGATAATTTCTCTCTCTTTTTGTACTATGAACAAACCCCACGGTCCTTTTTTCCCATCACCCTAACGAAAATGAGCGCCCGTAGTAGCAATAAACCTTCTGGAGTGTCCCCAAAGTCTACAAACAGAGCAGCAGTGGCACTCTCTCCACCCCACGTGGCATTACATTGCAATAGACTTTTCTTTAAATACACGTTTTACCAAATAGAACAAAGATCGCCTTCTCATATTCCCACACGTGTTACATATCCTGAAGAGCCAAACAGCTGCTGATCGAATCTGTAAGAGGACCCTATGTAGTATACAGTAATAGTGCGATGCCACTTTATACAGGACGACCTAGCAAGTTCCGCACCACCGCTGCCAACATCAATGCTTCGGTTTGTTTGTCACCTTCGTAAATAGCTGCTTACAGTAGGTTCTATGTATATCCTCCATCTTTGTTCGATAAAGCTCAATTTAGCTTTATTGAGCAGTCCCTTGATTCAAGCCGTACTCTTTTCCTTATTACCGCCATGGGCAGGCAATAGCAATATATAAACTATGATTACTGTGGCTGTGCGCTTGCACATGCTCTCTCTGTCTCTCTCTCGCGTTATTCTTGTGATAAATGCACTTATCTAAGCAAATGTGCCCATCTCCTTCGACTAGGATCGATCTGGTCGACATCGTCAATCAAGTTGACCTATCCACAGCCTATTCCTTCTTCCATATCTACACCAATAAGTAAAAATGTGGCAAGGTCGAGCCGACCTTTCGAGTCCCGACCTTATAAGCGGGCAAACCTCAAAAAGTATAAGAGAGGAAAATGGGTGTAGTTCTAGAGATAAAAAATGTTTCAAGTAGTCGCGCAACATGGTATCTTGTATTGGTTCACTTGATGTCCAAAGGTGCGACAGAGAAAGCGTTGACTTCCGCAAAAGTCATCAATGGACCCATATCTCATAGTACAGCTCACCCACGTCCTTTTCCCTGATTTTGATTCGTTATCCTCCCATTATCTGTCCCGAACAGAATAGTCCCACTCAGACGCAATGTTCATCTCAACATCTTTACTGTGTATGATACAGCCCACACAGTATTGTCATAGCCTATACACTTTTTAGAACCTCCATGTTTAAGAAGTTATTCGGAAAGCTTAAAGGCGCAAAAACTTGAAGGTGTCTCCAACGTTCAAAAACACTGTAGCTGACATCTGTAAAATAATCATGCTTTTGTTCTTTAATAGTAAGTTTTGTTGTAGTTGTATAGAGAGTAGTGAAAGAGAAAAAAAAAGTGCGTGCTTCCAAAGTTTCTAATTTCCAGGCTGATTAAACACATCGACATATCTACTTCGCATAGGTTTACGGCCTGCACGCCTTGCTCCACCACTAGGCGGTGGAGATGTTGCTGATCGAGCAGGCGGCGTGGTAGCCGTTGCTGAGGCTGGCGTGCTTCCCGAGCGCATCATAGCGGGTGGCCGTTGAGGAGGTGTCGATGCGGTTGTGGAAGGTGGTGCATTAGGAGGAGGTGTGAGTGCATTGTGGCTGGAAGAAGAAGAAGAAAAAGGTGGTGCTGGACTTGAGCTTGCCTTGGGTGGAGGAGGCAGCGGTGCTGCTGCTGCTTGAGCGGGAGCCTATGATGAGAATAGTTGTTCATGATTATTAGTAACTGGAAAATATAAGCTATTCAGCACATTTTGTTTTCAAACTTACATTCTTGTTGACCCAGCGCTTTTCCTTCTCGTCATAATAGAATGCACTTTCTTCGCCAAGATTGGCCTTGACAGCTTTCTTTTCACCCGGGGTTGAGTTGGAAGGCGTTGAACTTCTTGAGAATAGTGAAAAGATACGCCATCCTTTGGCTTCATCTGCTATTGTGTCATACATCATAATCATCATCAGTTACCCATAAAAAAACCATCCTACATCCCTAAAAGGGCGATTACAAATACTCACCTGTCTTCTGTTCATCTGCTTCATGTGGTTTGTCCGTGGGATTCTCTTGCGATGATGGTTCCGGTGCAGCTGCTTGAGCCTGATTTTCATTGTTGGCGTCACCAGATCCTGCTGCAGGTGCAGGTGGAGGTGCTGGTTTGCTCTTTGTAAGCGAAGTGTTGCCAAAGCCAAGATCATCATCTTCTCCCTGATAACTGGGCTCATAATTGCTAGCTGCAGGTGTCGGTGGTTCGTAACTGGGAACTGCTCCTGCTCCTGCTGCCGCCGCCGGTTCCGGTTCCGGTTGCTGTTGCTGCTGCTGCTGCTGCTGCTGTTGATCGGAGCCATACCAACCACCATAACCATTTTGCTGTTGTTCTCCGTATCCAACAGAGGGGTCATTACTGTAAGAATCCTGGCCATAGTAAGACATACCATGATGTTGTTCTGCTGCTGGCGTACCACCAGCACTATGACCGAACGGAGAAGTGGTTGCATTTGTCGGTTGAGCACCGTAGCCATAACCACCATACGGTTGGCCATAACCATAAGCACTATTATTGTCTTGATACTGATCTTGCTGTTGCTGTTGCTGTTGATCGGCTAAAGATGCAGCAGCAGCGGCCTCCTGGGACATTTGTTCTTCCTGTTGGGGTTGTTCATGCACTTGACCATAGTGTGAGAGCGGGGTAAAAGCATGTGCAAAAGGTCCCGCACCACGAACACCAGGGGATGAAGAACGACGGTCACCATAAGCTTCAGACGCCATATTGGCTGTTGGCGTCGCAGCTCGACGCAGACTTTCAGGACCAATGCTAGATCGAGCAGCGTTGCGGAAATCAAAAGCAGAGGCACTACGAGCAGGTGGACCATCTTTGGCAGCGTCATATGGCGTGCCCATAATCTCGGTCGATTTGCGCACAGGCGGTTCTTCTGGTGGCATATCTTCTCCACTCACAAACTTGTTGAACTTGCCCTCAAATGAACCCCACATGGACTCGAGCATGTTCTTTGAAAGCTTGTTCTTGACCCACGACTTGGTATCACTAATTGTGGTTATCGTTTCAGTAAGTAATCGACACGGACATTCTTTCTGTGTGTCTTGAGTTTAGTCATAAAAAAAGACTACTATACCCAATGCTATGTCCACTTGCAGCTTCGCAAAGCTCACCAAACTCCTTCAAATTCTCCAACAATTGACGATGCAAGTACGGGCTGCCCTTGGTGTAACCCTTGATAGCATTGGCAATCGCTTCACAGTACCGTTGGGCCTCAGTTAAGTATCCAAAGTCAGCAAGCCACCATGCATGCACAAGCTTATAGCCTTGCAGGAACGGTAATGATGATGCGCCACCTTGCTTGGTGGATAATGCAAATTCGTACAATTCAGTGAGATAATATGCATCCAGATCTGAAAAGGCAGTGGTGCCCTCTGCACCAATAAGCGTTAAACGGACATGTGGTGCATCGATGCCAGAGTGTAATGAAGATTGCGGGGAGACGAGATAGCTGCAAAGGTATCATAGAAAAGATTAGATCAATCTGATGCTCTTTCTCTGTTTGTTTCTTGATTCACTTACCAAATATGAGCCGCATCTAACCAGCCATGTGCGCGCAAAATATCACCTAATGATGTGATGGCCTCCGTGTCTCTTGGCGTTCGATTGGCAAGGATCAAGGTCAGAGTGATTCTCCACTGCTGTAGCTGATCCTCGGTTGCTTGTGCTGGCTGTGTTTGAGGTGACACGCCAAATGGAGTACCCAATCGTTGTTGGGGTGTAGCAGCAGGCAAGAATTCGGAAACTATAGTAACAAGTAAAATGCTTTGTTAGGAGAGATGTTTTCTTCTCTGGCAAATGCTGATACTACTTACTAGACGCAGCTCCTGAGCCTGCAAATAACGAATACAAGACTCGCAATGCTTGCTTATCACCAGTAACATTCAGACGGTCTTGACGCGGCGTTTTCCCGGCCGATTGCGATAGTTCGCGCTCCACAAAGTTTGTCACGACCTTTTTCCAGACATCCTTATTTACACAGCTGCCCAGAATAAGTGCATGGGCCCATAAATCCTCTTGCATTGCGTACTCGACAGCACCCGAGCGATCACCCTTGACAAGGCATGCTTCGAGCTCGCCCAACACCTTTTTAGATCGCTCACAGTTTTCGGCATCTTCATCTTGTTGGTGGCCATCAGCCTGTGCGTATGCAGGCACACTAAAGTTACCCTGGTCATTTTCATCTCCCTTTTCGATCGGCTGCACAAGCGCACGGACGGCAATATCCATCTTGTCCCTGGATAAAAAAATAAAGAAGGTGAGTTGAAACCCTTGTTTTTGTTATTGATTCAACCGCTCTTCTTTCATCAACAGAAACTTACCCATCCCCAATAGATCCATCATTCTCAGTCAAGGTCTTGATTAATCGCCACAACAACACCCGATTCTCAGCGTGGCGATACTCGACACCAAGGCCTTCTTGTACAGGTAATGCAGCAGTCAACTCCTCAATTCGTTTATCCACATAAGCCAGTACCTCCTTCTTTTTACTCTTTGTGCTGCCTTTGCTATCATTCAAGACTGGACCCACAAAGCTTGCCAGGCTAGCCACCGTGGGGTTCTGGTCACTACCCACGACGTCCTTGAGTTTTGAGATTCGAACAGCACTTGGCATGGCCTTGGTGATCGGTGCACCGCTTTCGTATCCAACATGACTGGTGAATCGTTGGACCGTTTGTGGGAACATGACACACATTTTGCCGCCAAAACCAAAAGTGACAATGGGACAGCCCCTGGCTCGGTGCAATGGATCCGGCGGGTATTGTGCTTGTTGTGGCTGATCCATCTGTTGTTGCTGTTGTGCTGCCTGGGGATCATACACATCAGTACCTGTCTCGGGGTAGTAAGACGTTGAATCAGATGGTGGTACTCCTCCTCCTCCTTCGCCGCCAACCATCAATGTAGCGGGCTCTGCTGAATAATCGGGCGTATACATGTCTTGACCAGCAGGTTGTTGTTGTTGTATAGGTGCATAAGGTTGATAACTCGACATGTCCGGTATCGTAGCAGCAGCAGTTGGCGGTGGTGGCTGTGCCGCAGTTGCCATTATGGGTGTCACTGACCTCGACACACCTGAAGTCAGAGGCCGTCCACATTCACAGCAAAACTTGGCCTTTGCCTTATTTTCACCCTCACAACCAGGATCCGGACAAGGCAACAATTGCTCCAATTGAGGGGATGCAAGACGACTTAACATACTGCCAGATTGCACAGTACTTGTCTCGGCTCTGTTTTGCTCGATCGATGATCGTCCAATATAAGCTGATTCGACGGTTGCAGGTGTAGCAGCATATGCTTCGTCAGGCTTCGATGGGGTATACACAGCAGGCATCATGCTGGTTGTGGCAGTAGTCTGATCCTGAGTATATGTGCTGTCGGTATAGGCTGATGGTTGATATGGATCATAAGCCGATGGTGGTACAACTTGGTCATTCGTGGTAGCATTTTGTGTTGTCTCTGGTACAACAGCCGCCGCCCTTGCTGCTGGTGGTGGAGGTGGCGGGTGTAGAGGTTCCACTGCGGTAGTGGGCTCGTTGTCTTGCTTGGGATCGACATTGCTCTTTGGCGGTGCAGCAGGTGGTGGTACGTGAGACTGTTGCTGTTGCTGATTTGCACCTTCCATCTTTTGTTCGTCACCATAAATATCGTGCGTATGTTCTTGAGGTTGCTTTTGTACCGCTTCTTTGCTTTCAGCAGTAGTAGTTCCTTCTTGTTGCCGTTGTGGTTGGTATGCACCAGTTTCGAATTGGGTAGATTCTGCCCCCGCCTGCTTCTGAACTTCTGAAGCTCCAGTATCGAATTGCGCAAATTGTTCCTGCTGCGATTGTATACCTGTATCAAAAGACGTGTACTCTTCCTGTTGCGATACTTGTACTTCAGATGCTCCTCCGCCAGACTGATCGTAGCCAGCGTAGTAGTTATACTGGTTGTACTGCGCATATACATCCTCTTGCTGTTGTTGTGGTTCCCCTCCCTGCTGATGCTGTGTCGTATCCACTCCACTGTCGACAGGTGCAAACGCATCCTTGTGCTCATCCTGGGTTTGCTGCTCTTGTGGTTGCACTTGTGCCGCTCCACCTCCCACTGGTGCATACGAATCATACTGTTGTTGTTGTGATTCTGCCCCTCCTACTGGTGCATATGTATCCTGCTGTTGCAATTCTGATCCTGTTCCCATTGATGCAAAAGCATCCTGCTGATTCCCTGGCTGCTGAATTTGCGCGCTAGGTTCTAATTCGTGTCCACCGGCTTGCTGAAGAGGCTGTTGAGATTGTGGATGCTGCTGAGAAGTTTGCGCTGTGGTATCAAATGGAGCATACTGTTCCTGTTGCGCTGATTGGACTTCAGGAGCCACTGCACCTGTGGCATTCTGATCCGCTCCATAGTAATTATACTGCCCATACTGCTGATCTTGTTGTGTATACTGTTGATATGTATCGTGCTGCTGCTGCTGTTGGTATTGTTGTGAATACTGCGAATACGCGTCATTTTGTTGTTGATATTGTGGTTGCGAGTATTGAGAATATGCATCCTGTTGTTGCTGTTGCGCATGAGGATTATAAGGATCATATTGAGCCGACGCACTTGGACCGTTCGTTGCGTCATAGCTTGTGGCGGAAGGGGCGTATTGCTGTTGTTGTTGTTGACCATATTGACCAAATTGCTGTTGAGCGGCAGGATCATATGGGTTATATTGCTGCTGCTCCGTTGTTTCCCCTGGCTGAGTTTGAGACGCACCAGCAGTAGCAGTAGTAGCAGCAGCACCGGCAGGCTGGTTGTGATTCGCATAATAGTTACTATTATACTGTTGTGGATCATATGCGGATTGCTCGTAATAGTTCGTTGTCATAGCAGCATTAGTCGTATTAATAGTAGATGCTTGTGTTGTACTTGAGGTAGTAGCAGTGGGCTGATAGGCAGTAGCGGCATATGGATCTTGTTGCTGTTGTTGGAATTGATAGTCGGCGTAGGGATCATATTCAGCACTCGGTTGTTGTTGTTGTTGGTCTTGTTGCGCATACTGTTGGTAGTAAGAAGATGGATCATATTGTGGTTGCTGCTGTTGTTGACCGTATGCTTGCTGTTGATCATATTGCTCCTGCCCTTGCTGTGCATAGCCTCCGTATCCTGGCTGGTGCTGTTGACTATATTGTTGCTGCTGGTCATAAGCACTCGCCGTAGTCGTTGCTGAATGCGTCTGTTGCGGCTGAGGACGCAGTTGTTGCGAGAAAAATGGATCTTCTTGCGCACCTTGACCGTTGGAGAAAAGGGAATCTGTTGTGCCAAACAGTCCATTGGTATCATTATCCCCACCATTACCAAACAATGCACTTGCGTCGCCTGCGATCGGTTCTTCTTGTTGAGCTGCTACTGGTTGTGGTTGTTGTTGTTTAACAACCGGTGCAGCGGAAGCAGTCGTAGTAGTAGCTGTTGTAGTAGTAGCGCCAGAAGCCGATTGTTGCGTCGTTTGTGAATTAGATGGCGTCATCTTTGGTTGTTGTTGTTGTGCATTGGCGTTGGCAGTGGACAAGGTTTGAAATGGGTCAGTGTCGTTGTCCTTGGCAAACAAGATGGCACCATCATTAACGGTTGACTCTTGTTGGTTGGTTGCCATGCTATTGTCCTGTCTTCTTTCTTTCCGGGAAGAGAAAAGGCGAGAGGAGGGGTTCCTAATGTCGTTATTGTTGTTGTTGGTTCTTTTTAAATTCTTCTTTGAAGTCGGCCTTCAACAAACTCTGTTCCCGGCCAGAGAGAAAGTCTTATTGTCTTGTCAACGTTTGTTTGGAAAGGAAATAAGCCGCGCCTTGTTTGGTTTTCTGACGGCAGCGAGCAAAGCACACACGCACAATATGGCTTGCCACTCGGCGTGCTCGCATTTGAAGAGCGGAGTTTCTGCCTTCTTGATCAGGCGTATATTATAAGGGTCCATCCTGGATGATCTTTTTCTTTTCTGTTGACACGAACAAATTACGTGTATGAATGGTATGCTGCCATGTTGTTGCACAAAAACTGTTGATGTTTCTCTAATAGTACTTGCATTGCTTTTGACGAAAGAGCATACTTACTCAAGGTACTGTATACTCGCAGGATATGCGGTGGATACTGGACAAGACGCCTACGCTGATGACGAATTAAGGTTTGCAAAAGGAGAGGGAGCCCGAAACGTTGTGGCGCTTAAAATATCTGTCGTTGCTTTAAAAGAAACAAGTCTACACTACACCAATGTTCCGATATTATGGTCGAGAATCTCTCTTTTCCAATAGCTATCATACAGGGACATACTAAATGAGCGTATAGCAAACCTTCTGTTCTTTGCCAGTACTTCTGTCGACAGAATGCCTTCCTTTTCCAATGGGCAGCAGTATATAAGAAGCATGTCAGTAAGCATTTACACGACTATTTTTGTGCTAATACTATCCTGACTACCAAGTATAAGTACCGCTTGTTTACGAGTTATTAAAGCTTTTGTATCTACCTACAACAGCCATGTACTAGCTCTTTGCATCTGTATCAATTAAGGTACAGTCGATCCTTTCCGTGATTTGTAAAGACTTTAATATATGCTGCAAAGCCTCGCCTCTATAAACATACGACGCGTTTATAACTATCTGCTGTTGCTGATTCAGCTCTTATCGCTACAGACATTGAATACTGGAAAAATGACGATAGCAAACTGTCAAGCGAGTAGAGCTTTAAGAGGTGTATCTATATACAGTTTCATCATCAAGAATACTTCTAAAAGTGAAGATTCTTCCCAAAGTTTATGTTCGACAAAAAATGCATAGCTACTGATATCGCATTGGAGTGAAACCAGTAGGTAAAACTGCTTTCTATCTCTAAACAATAGAGGAGCACAATACCGTAGGTGGAGAACAAAGCGTGGTGAACTGGCTGATGGTTATTGATGCGAATTCTTCTTCATCTAATACTACTACCCGACGCCATTAGCACTAATCACTCTTCATAGTCATATTTCTGGAAAGCCAATATTATAATAGAGTAGGGGAAGAGAAGAACCACCATCTTCCATACTCTTGAAGCTTAATCATGTAGCTAGAAAGAAAAGCATTAAATTTAGAGGTATTTCATAGCTTTTCACTGCTGCACGCGTCGAAATGGAAATGCGGGGATACTCTTCTGAGGACAAGCGTGACTCCGCTAGTTATACCCTGTCTGTACGTTTACTTTCGGCAAATTTGAATTCTTTTTTTCCACACGCTATATAATAAAAACACACTTTCGCCATGTTCCGTCCTACTGCTTTGCTTAACGCTGCCTCGCGCGCTGCCGCCACCACCGTCCGCCAGCAGACTGCTATCCGTGCCTCGCCTGCTGTTTTCGCTCGTTTCTACACCTCTGGTCTTACGCGTGAAACTGTCGAAACCCGTGTGCTCGACATTGTCAAGGGCTTCGACAAGGTCGAGAGCTCCAAGGTAAACACAAATTTCGATACTCTCTTAAACATGTGGTTAGAAAGGGAAGAAAAAGGATGAAAAGAGATTGAAAAAAAGTATTGATCGCAAATATATGGGATTTTTATTCGGAATAGGTCAACGCCACCTCCAACTTCATTAACGATCTTGGATTGGACAGTCTCGATGCCGTTGAGGTTGTAATGGCAATCGAAGAAGAATTTGGTGTCGAGATCCCTGATAAGGATGCCGACGAGATCAAGTCTGTCGAACAAGCTATTGACTATATCTCCAAGCGCGATGACGCACAATAATTTGTGTTTTTGATTTCAATTCTTATTGTATAAAGAGATAAAAAGATACATGGAAAAAGCCAACATATTTTTACATATTGCAATCTTCAAAGATTTCTATATATGAAACGGTTAAGAGTAAGGGATGTTTGGTTAATTGGGTCGTTGGGATGCCTGTAATACAATTCTACTTTATTATCGTCTTTTTAAGTGGATGATGATATTATTTACAACAGAAAAAAAAAGTACAAGTGCGGTTTTTTTATTTCATACTATTTTGAAGCTGTTCCAGCACCATTTTCGTGACAGCTTCACGTAATTCTTCCTCATTCTGTACACCACCTTGCTCTTGTATCCGACGAACCATGTCCTCAATATAGTGTTCCATAGCACCATTGTCGTCTTCTTCTCCATCACTGTTATCATTGGCTCCTTCAGCACCAGCGACGGCAAATGGGTTCGCAGACGGAGCAGGAGTAACAGTAGCATTCTCAAGTGCTTGTTCAATATGGTCATCCACCGTTGGTAATTCTTCCTTTGTTATTTCGGCCAGCATCGTTGCCACTTGCTGCCATCCTTCTTGGTGTGCGTTGAGTGCAGGACTCACGCCTTCTTCGTTTTTGTGCTTGGGATCAGCCCCTTTGTCGACTAGTAAACGGGCCATTTCGACAGTCTCGGCCACATACAAGGGAGTATCTTTATCAAAGTCTTCAATGTTGACATTGCCGCCCTTTTCCAATAGGTATTCGAGAATTTCTTTTTGGTTGTACGATACCGCAGCATGTCTAATATGTTATCAGTCTCCTTCTCTGTCGAATGTTCACTCTCACTCTCCACTTGGAATACAAAACGTACAGTGCGGTATAGCCAAATTCATCATGGCTGTTGACATTGGCGCCACCTTCGATCAGCTCCTAAAATAAGCGCATTGGATTAAGAAAAAGGCCAGCTTATGCATATAGTGTTCGTTTTATTGATTTTAACCGATACAAACCTTGACTCGATCGAGCTGTCCATCACCTAGATCAACATTTCCAGTGTCAATCCCTCAGTAAACCGGTCAATATGGTGGCAATTAGCAAGGACTTACCAGCAGCGATCCAAAGATTATCCTTAGTTTCGTGTCCTCTCATGTGTGTGTTTCAAAAAAAGAGATTCAAGCAAAAACGTGAAAAAAAGTCCGTCAGCCACGACGAACTTTTGAGCGGGAAGAAACCTTAATCAAACGATTAATCTGGTGCGTTGCTCTATGTATAGGCAAACCCAAATGCTAATATTTCTTATATGTTTGAAGACACAAGTTGTACCAAAAAAGAATCGAAAGAGAACGATGGATTAAAAGAAAGAGTTCTTGGGAAGTGTAGTGGTAATGAAAAACGAGAGGCTTGGTTGCCTGGGTGAGGGACGGGTCAAGCAATATGAGTTATAATGATGGAGGCTGAGCGCTAGGTAGTGAGTGATTAAGCCAAATGCCCAGATGTTCTTTTCCTTCACTCATTTCCAACGGGTACATTCACAATATAGTATGGCAGAGCAGGCTAAATAAGAAAAAGCATACAGCTCAGTATATATCTTGTAGTCACTTGTCTTCTTTGTTATCATTACATACCTGGATCTTGCTGTTCTTATCACATTGGATCACCCAATCTGGCTTGACCACTGGTATAGAGCTCATCATTGCCTTGTCATAGTTATCACCACCGGGTTGTTGAGCAATCAAATGTGTCGTATCGCTGGTCACTTCCTCTGACCAATGTGCGCCCATCTTCTCGAGCAATTCCTTCAATTCCGTCATGGCAGGGTCTGGTTGTTCAAACTTGCCAAATGCGACCGAAATGCCCGTCAGATTTTCCATCTTGTGCGTACGTGCTTGCACGCGGTTCGATTCAAATTGTCCGGCCGTCGTTTTGATAACAATGTGGAACTCGTATTCGTGATCAACGTCCAATCCAGATAGTTTGATGTAGTTTGTATCGTTAGGTACGTGCTATATCGAATGTGATAATAATTATCAGCAATCTCGTTCCCAATTTTTTCTTTGCTTGCCACAAATATCATCACAGTTATCACCATTCACTGAAATCCTTCACTCATTCCCTGTTTACCACAAAACTGTACTGTTGTCAAGTAATCTTCCACGCACCATCACCACCAGATACTAACCTGTGCCAACTTAGTATCATTCTTGTATATATCCAAAGAGCGAAGTCTCGATGTGTGCAGTTGCAAAGGATCCCATTCAAGAGTAAGAGAAGTCTGTGTAATATTTCGGACGCGTAGCACTGGGTTCTCTGGTTCTACTTCGCCAAACGCTGAAAGAATCTTCTCCTGTAGTTCCCAGAACTCATTCATTTTCTTCTCTTCTTCGGCAGTGTTGCGATTGACTGTAATATTCACTATAGAGCCTGATGACACGCCATTGGGTAAAAGAAGCGATGGGAACTCAATGAGATGATGGTCCTCTGTCAAGAGAATAGCCTTTTATATACATTTCAGGTTAGCTATACACGTCTTTATATTATATGTATATGTACACATATGCATTTTTTTTACAAAGACCTCTTCTCCTAGCTGACCCCTCCACTTTATCAAAAAGAAGTATTAGGCAATACTTGCCATGCCAGCATCGAGCCGACCAACAGTAAATTGCACGGAGGTCATTATACGTTCGCGTCGTTTTGTATTATATTATTGTAGAACACAGAGAAAAAAATGCCAAGGGACGAAACTCGGTATGCCGCTCTGGTTTTGCCCTGCTAATTTTAAACACGAAATTGAGGAAGCGCTATAGCAGCCAATCACAACGCAGTGCTTTTCCTTTGGAACAGCAGGCATCTGCTTATAGACTCGTTTTAAGTGGACCGTGATGCAGCTCACAGCTCACACCAGGAAATTGCGAGTGTAATGTGGAATATATAAGAGAAAGCCGTAGTGGCGGGAGTAGTATCTTATATAATGATGCGCTCTCTGTAAGCTTTAACCTTTCATTTCTAAGAGATTATTAAAGAAGTTTGGCTGGATGACAAGGCTCATATTTTCTTGATATCCAGGCACGACATCCTGCTGTTTCCGAATCAAAGATACCGATTTAACACTAGCAAGCCACAGCAAACTTTCTCGCTTTGATGCTGATATCTACTAGCTCCTTTCATAACTTGAGCTCCAAACTAAGAGTTATACGTAGACTAGTACACTTTTATCCTCTCGTTCTTTTACCCTGAAAAAAAAGACACTGAAGCTTGGAAGGAACAGTTATAGCAACAAAAACATTCGCCTTCTTATTTTGTCGTTGGTCTGACAAACCACCCTGTTCCTCGAGAACTCCGCCACTCGATTTTTGTTGACGGCTTTTTTTCCTACATAACACTTCTTCGAAGTCCACGCACCATACACAACTCAAATGGCGTATCGTGTTCAACTCACCAAGCTCGAGCAACACGCCAGCAATTTGCTCAAGGGCAACTTGTTGAAAAAGGCACCTGTATGGCTCCATGCCGTACGTGCTGTTCCTCCTGGACCTTCCATTATCCGTTCTCGCAACCCTAATGCTAATGTATCCGCTCATACCGACGTCGAAAAAGAATTGTTCACCAACGCCAAACAACAGCAACAAGCAACCAGCAGCACACGTCATAAACAAAAACATTTACGCACGAGACCACCACGACCTGCTCAGATTGTATACCCTGAGGACAGAATGAGACGTCAATTCTACAAAGATCATCCATTTGAATTGGCACGACCGCAGTCGTTGGTTGAGAACAAGCTTGGTTTGAACCGTACCGACTATAGTCAGTTGCTATTGCCTGACATGCTCCCCGAAGAAGTAACTGGTGAAACGTAAGTTGCCATTGTTGAATATATGTGCATCTCGGTGCTTATCTCAAACTAATGCTCCAAAACATGTATATACATATAGTGTTATCAAGTATCAATTGCACTTGGTGACAAACGAAAAGATGCCTGAACGAAAAGCATACGCAAAAGCAACATCCGAGTTCTACGAGATCCGTGCACGTCAAGAAGAAGTCGAGCGACAGATGCGATCACAGATGGATGCCGCCCTTCAAGAATTGGAGAGCAAAAAGTGGACAAGACAAGCTTTGGAGCTTGAAGAACGTGCCCTCAAAGAAGGCCAAGAGCGTGTTTCAATCTAGAAAATGTTTAAATCAAAAGTACTAAAAAAATTGTATATATACATACTACTCTTTCTTTGATAGAATAAGATAATCAAAAAGCTTTTAGTTGAAGGAGAAACACGGTGTTGGTGTGCTGGGAGAGGAGTGGTGGTGCTAGTTGCTTTTTGCGCTTTTGGTGGGCTATGCTTTGTATCTGGTAGTCCATTAACGAATCATTCTAAAAGATGGAATACTGGTAAGTTAAAACCTTTGCTGTGTGGAATGCAGAATGATTATGGGTGGTACTAAAGGGTCATCCGCTCACCAAAGCCCCTCCATTTAACGTTTGATCATAATTCCCATGGTGCAGCACCTTGTATCCATGGAGCATGACTTTAATGCCATTGAGTATATATAAATATGTGCTACTTTAATCCTTTGAAATGTCACTGTTGCTTTAAACAACCAGGTCTATCCGTATCTGGACATGCAAGAAAATGAAAAAGTTACGCTGAACAAGCGTTATTATTTCATACTATGACCTGCTGTATTAATTCCAAAGACGCTCAAAGTCTTGAGTGGAGCCATGAAAGAAACCTTCAAACATCCAGCTCCGACCTGGTATCTGTCTTGGATCAAGCTGAAGAGAAGTGTAACTGCGGGAATAAAGGATGGTGTCACCATCTAGCATCTATCATAGATAACAAATAGTAGGAGGGAATGGGACTAGAGTAAAGTATAAAAGATAAATGGAAGCGCAAGAATGGTCAAAGTCAACTGTGAATTGCTACATGCGCTATATCGCGTTTTCAACCAACACAGGTATCATACGCGCGCAGGCCAGTATTCTTAAATTTCAACATTCCTTGCAGAGGCATGCAAAAACAAAAAACTTATCGTCAGATGTCAAAAAAATCTATCAAGGCGTTCATTGGTCCACCAGTTTACAGCAGGCGCTGTGAAACGTGAAACACTTGGGATCGCCTCCTAATCTCTCTCCTGCTATTTCCCGTGCTATTTCCCGCTGGCGTAGCTTTATTATTTTCTTCTTTTTTCCTTTGACTGCCACCCACACATACAGACCAGCACATACGCACCATTGTATATATACACATACCACAACACATGGCGTCCAAATGGATATTTTCCGCTGCATGTGCAGTTCTGTTATTTAGCATCTTGACCCATGCTCAAGATAACCCCGTAGAAGAGGTACAATCCTTCTTCTCATTGGCGGATACACGCGAATCTAGTGTGAATTTCGGGGAAGGTACAAGTGTTTCATGACTGATTCCAAAAAATTAATGGTACGTTTATATATAGATGGTCGATGCCGGTGCCCTTCCACCTTCCAATGTATTGGATTCATCAGACGCTTCGTCAAGGATAACAGGAGATGACCTGGGTGAAATAGTCGACAGTGACGGCGAAGACTTACGAGACCTTGAACAATCTCTGTTGATTTCACTTTTAATGATTATCGTTTCAGAGATTGGTGACAAGACCTTTCTTATTGCAGCTATTATGGCCATGAAGCATTCGCGATTCGTCGTGTTTTCAGCAGCATTTTCATCACTTGCACTCATGTCCGTTTTATCGGCGTTCCTGGGCCACGTCGTTCCCAATTTGATACCCAAGGCCTACACAGACGTTATCGCTGCCTTGCTATTTTTATTCTTTGGCGTTCGCATGATATACGAAGGCTATTATATGGAAGAAGACAACCAGGAGGAAATGACAGAGGTGGAGGAAGAATTGAAACAAACAGAGGATCGCGACCGAGTGCACAAGTTGGAATCCTTGGAAGTGGGCGGCATGGAGCCTGAAGAAGACGATGATAACCGTCGTGTCAACAAGGCGGAAAAGGCCAAGGAAGGACTCATGAACCTTATGCAACTGGTCTTTTCGCCTGTCTTTGTGCAGACATTTGTATTGACTTTTCTGGGTGAATGGGGCGATCGATCGCAGATTTCCACGATTGCCTTGGCTGCTGCTAACGTAAGTCTTTTCATTTTTTTCTTCGTTATCATTGGTTGTTTTACCTTTTATGGAACAATGTGATTGTGAGTTTCTAAATACGAAATGGGTTTTGTGTTCATATAGAATGTATACTGGGTAACCGCAGGCGTTATTGTTGGTCACACGTTGTGTACTGCATTAGCAGTAGTAGGTGGACGTATGTTGGCAGCTAAAATCTCTGTACGAACAGGTAAGAATTGGAACAGAAGCACTCCTCCCGATCGACCTTATTGCTTTGCATGCATTTATGTTTGTTGTTGTCATTCGTTTACTGTTGTTGACTAATAATGTGCACTTTTACCTATCCATGTGTTATCTAGTGACCCTCGCAGGTGCTGTCCTCTTCCTCATCTTTGGCATTTACTACTCATATCATGCATATCATGGCCAGTTAGAGTAACTTGGTCTCTCTCTCTCTTTTCTCTCTAATGTTTCTTTTCCTTGTTTGCCCATCTTCTATTGTTTGTATAAATGATTTTGCTCTTGCATTGGCCATGAAATATGACAGTTATTACTACCATTACTTCCACATACAACGGAGAAAGAGACTCAAAAATGTAGGAAGACGATGATCAAAATCAAGGGGAGCGTGTGCTTGTGTTTTCTTTTCTCTTTTTAGCTAGGAGCCAGGGGCAGGCGAAAGAATGCGAGCAAGCTTATATCTAGCAGAACAGTACTGTAACATACATGCCAATTGCCACGCATGATACACCACATTCAGAGAGAAAGAAAGTTTTAGAAAAAAAGTGGCCAAGCATGATGAATCTGACTTCTCGCTTCTCTTCCTCCCTTTCTTTTCCTCCCCCCCCCTCTCTCTCTCTCTATCTCTCCCACTCTCTCGCAGGCATTCTCAAACTCGCTTTAGTAGTATCACGTACATTTCACCACATACTCTCCACTCCTTCATAAGTACACGTACGCACTCGGTTTACTTGCTCCCTCTTTCATCCGCGTTTCGCATAGACAGAGCTCAAATATGAACCAGACAACAACTGCACCAACTCCATCACTGGGATGCCCTCCAGGTTCTACTTGGCTTACGTTATGGATGGACATTGCCACATGGATATCAGGCAAACAGCAACCAGCTGTCGACCCGATATTCGCACATGCTAACCAAGAAGACGTGCTTATGGGCCAACTTACCGAGTTCCAAAAAGTTTACGAGTCATTCCCAGAATTTAATGAAGCCGAAACGATAGAACCGTCCCCTTGAAAAATCACAATTAAATAATAACGGATGATACTGCTGATACATAAATATTTTCATATCTTCTTCCAGAAGAAAATAGCGGTGTGATGCTGTAAAATATGTGAAGGGGTGGTGCATGTTTGAGTAGAAAGGGAAAAACGGTAATATGATATGTGTGGTGTTTCTGTCCGTATACGTGAATATTGGAGGAGTGAGAGAAGAGGTGTTGGAGGGGAGGGATATAGACAAAAGATGGTTCCTATAATTTTATTTACAAGTTGGCAATCACGGCATCAGTAAATTCCTTGGTAGTGTTCTCGCCACCCATATCATGAGTCTTGGCCTAATTTTTTGTATAAAACACTCAATGATTAGCAATGTATACTTGATAGACTTCCTTATTTTCAACAAATCAAACCACACTTATTATCTTTTTCTTTAGCCCCCATTTACTAACCTTGCCACTTTCAATAGTCTCGAAAACCGCGTTGGAAATGGCGTCAGCATGTTCGTTCAAGTTCAAGTGTCTCAACATCATGACGGATGACAGGAGCAAAGCAGTTGGGTTAGCAATACCCTTATCTTGGAGCTCAAGACCCACTTGATGACAGCCCTATACGAACAACGATACATGATCAATAATTCTGTTTCCTCTCTGACAAGTCAACTGTTTTCATCTGCTCTGCCTTACCGGTTCGAACATGGCATATTCACGACCAATGGAGCAACCAGGAACCAATCCAGGACCACCAATTAAACCGGCACCCTAATAACATTATATGATATAACAAATGTTTGAGTATACGAATCCGGATGTGCAAATGGATATATCTCATCAGCCCGTAACAAAGTCGAACAAGTAAACTTACAATGTTAGAAACAATACTGCCGTACAAATTGGGCATGACCATGACATCGAACTGTTGAGGACGCGAAACCAGCTGCATACAGGTATTGTCGACGATCAGGTCGTTGTACTGGATACCGTGATGTTCATATTCCTTTGCAACTTCGCGACAGGTGCGCAAGAAAAGACCATCGGCCAACTTCATAATGTTGGCCTTGTGGATGATAGTAACCTTCTTACGGTTGTTCTTCAATGCAAAGTCGAAAGCGAATCGAGCAATACGTTCTGTCTTTTCCTTGGTAATAATTTTAAGCGATTCAACAACACCATCGACCGACTATGTATGTCACATTTTAATAATAAGTCCTCTTCACCTTCCTCAAATGACATCACATCATCCTAATATAGAGATCCCATAAAAACTTTACCTCATGCTCAAGACCAGAGTATTCACCCTCAGTGCTTTCACGAATGATAGCGAAATCAATATCTTTCATACGCGAGGGCACGCCGGTAATGTTTCTGACTAAAGAAAGCGAAGCATACATGTCGAGCTCCTTACGCATGGTAACGTTGAACGAGGTACGAGAGTCTTTTTCAGGTGAGGTGAAGAAGATACCCTTAATACCGACCTTGTTTCGTCGCAACGATGCCAATGATTCTTGGAAAAGCTGATCGTGTTCGTCTGCGATACCGGATACGTCGTATTGCTCGAATTCGACAGGCACGTTGGCAGCCTTGAAGACAGCCTTCAAAGCATTTGTATTTTCTTTACCAACACCATCACCGGGAATCAGGGTCACAGTGTACTTGCCACCATACTTTTTAGGGAAGAACTATTGTCATGTGTGGTGTTGATACGCATTCAATTATCTCATGTACAAGGCAACTGTGGGGGAAAATGTGGGGTAAGACTCGTAGCAGAAAAAATATTTACGGTTTGTTGGTCTCCGGGGGCAGGGACTGGAACAGCGGTGGAGGGGCGGGACTAACGCAACGCATATGCAACAAACAATATCATCAACACAACAGCCATGGATCACACAATTTTATCTTCAATTGTTCTTTTCTTCATAATCATCGTAAAAGTGCTGTAAGAAAACACACCTGAGGAGCTGCCATGAGTGTAAATGATGATATTTAGTTTTGGAACAAGTACAAGAAGAATAGATGAAAGAGAGAAAGGAAAAAGAAAAGTAGGAACCCTGCATTTACGGGAAGGCATTGAAACGAAAATTTTGAAGGGTAATCCCGCCAAGGATAAACGTTTTGGCCTTTGCTTGTATGGGTTTTAATGGAACACCCCGGATAACTTCGGAGCTCCTTAAAGGATGTCCTTCTTTTTAAACATTTTTGTGTGTCTTTATTGTAATGAAGTCATTGCTTGGATTACCCCGCAGTAGCATAGGAAGTTTCCATAGCAACAACGGAGTAGATCAAGCTTAGCAACATATTACCGCTCTCCTCGATACAATCAATCACGAGAGAATCCAAACTGTGTATCTATCCAGAGTATCGTATGTAGCATTGATACGCTTCTACAATTGATTGAGCGAGGGATAGTAATGACGGTGAAAGGCAAGTAACAAAAAACTCTACACGGTTCGAAAAAGTAATGCGAAGCTCGGATCAATGCGTCCGCTCAATGGAGATAACCGCGATTAAAGCTTTTGATCTGTGGGAACCCAATTTCTGTCGGAGAGTTTCGCTTCAGCAAAGCCGTTAAAACTGCGTACATATCCGCCCGGCCGTGTTATTATAATACCTCTATATAACTAGACATGGACTCCGAGGTCGAAAGCGTCATTAACAATACCATTGAAGGCCTCAACCATGAGCTTCGACAAATCAGTCTCCAGGTCCGTTTTGAAGGAATATCCGAGAAAATTGCATTAAGTACACAGACTATAAATTTACCGCCACCGCACCACCATTAACCCTCACTTTTTCACTTATGTAGATTCACGACAATCCGGAGCTCGGCAATCGCGAGTACAAAGCACACAAGCTACTTACTGACTATCTTGATAAGCAAGGTTTCAAAGTACAATGCGAAACAGCAGGTCTGGAAACCGCGTTTATCGCTGAGTTTTCGAACGGACCTGGTCGTCGTGTTGGCTTTTGTGCTGAGTACGACGCTTTACCTGGAGTTGGACATGCTTGCGGCCACAACCTCATATCGATTTCGTATGTACTTAGTTGTTGCTTCTTAAGCGAGTGATATAAAGCAATTTTATACTGTTGTTCGCGAAGCTAACATCCCTTTCTACTTTGATATCTTTCGAAAAGTGGCGTTGCATGTGCTATGGCTACAAAAACTCTCTTGGAGAAGAACTTAATTCAAGGAACCGTTGTTCTTTTCGGTAAAAGATACACTATAAACAGAAATGGCAAAATTTGCAAAAATGAAGTGTGGTGCTTCATGTGTGTGTTGAGCTGTTGTGGAGAATGAAATATTTGGCTCATAGCTTGACCCGTCTATCGTTAAGGTACACCTGCCGAAGAATCCACTTCAGGCAAAATTGATTTGGTCACTCATGGTGAGGTTCAAAAGCGTGTTGACTTTGCTATGATGCTGTGAGTTACTTTTTCAGAGAACTAGACCAAATTGACATACATTTGTCGGTGGAAGTTTTCAGTGGCTAAACTTGTTGGTTTTCTATTGTTATAGTCATCCTTTTGCCAATGATTGTCTTTATGCGCTGATGTTGGCATTGGACTCGGTGGTTGTGGAATACTTTGGAAAGGCTTCGCATGCTGGAATGGCACCATGGAATGGTATCAATGCTGTGGATGCTTTGATGCAAGGTTGGAATAATATGGCGATGCTTCGCCAGCAGACCTTGACGACGAACAGGTAATAAAAGATAAAAAGTGAGGACGGGGATGCTACGAGATAATTGTTACTAGAAAAAGAGGACTTGTTACAACTACTTATCTTCTTTTCCTTGTTTTTTTAACAAGACTGCATGGTATTATTCTTAACGGTAAGGCGCCTATACTCCTTCGAATATTTTCTATATTTATATACGCTAATGCGCACTCTTTCTTTCGGCATTTTTGTTTTAGGCGGCAAATCCGTAAGCAGCGATGATGAAAGAAAAAGATAAACGAGATAAGGCGGAGCTGAATGAACTTGGCATCTAACCTCTTTCCCCGCACCTTCTCGTGGAATCGTTTAGGCGAATGTAATTCCTGACTATGCTTCAGCCAAATTCTATGCTCGTTCCGTCACTCGTAATCAGCTGACCGAGCTCAAGGCAAAACTTGAGCATTGTTTTGAAGCTGCTGCTAAAGCAACAGGCTGTAAAATGAAAGTCACGTGGGCTTCAAAGGGTGTTGTTGAAGGTAACCAGAACATACACATCAAATGTGTTTAAAAGTAAATACACTAATGATTAGAGGTAAAAAATGCAGATGTATTTACCAATGATGCCATGATCTTGGAATACAAAAAATACATGGAGCAAGAAGGGATCGATTTTCCTTCGCGTGCTGAAGAAGAACGCACAACAACAGGAAGCACAGGTGCGTAACTTTTCTCAAGAACAGCCAGTTTACCCCGTTTTTGTTAATGTGCATTCTCTTTTTCTGTCAGATTTTGGAAACATATCAAATGTAGTTCCTGCGATCCATCCTGGCTTTGGTATTCATACCACAGCATCCAACCATACGAAAGAGTTTACCGAGGCTGCTGGCACTGAGGAGGCTCATGCGGATGCTATCCGTGCAGCTCGTTGTCTCGCAAAGACTGCCGCAACTGTATTTTTGGATGATGCATTGTATGAACGTGCTGTTGCTGATTTCAAGAAAGGCAAGCCCCAATAAGTTACCTATTTGTTTTGAAAAAAAATAATTGCATTCCATCTTTCATTTGATATGAAAAGAACAAAATGACATAAACTATTTAATGCTTTAAATGCATATGATAAAAATGTAACAGCTTATCTACATGGTAATTTCAAACAATTTAAAGTTTCTTAGTTGTATGTTACATACAGCAAAGGACAGCAAGCGTGTATTAGGCCGACTATGTTACAGGATCACATACTATGTTCTGTTAGTTCGCCTCCATCACAACGATAAAAGGCTTGCTACTTATATAAACAAACTCATACATATGATTCTGGAATTATGCGTAACTGTCATACTTAGCGGACTGAGAGTGTGTATTGAGTGCTTCTACCTATTTTATATAAAGTTTTAAACCTTGTCACTATTGCTGTAGCATGGCAGAGCATACCATGATAAAACAAGGCAAAACCGCTATAAGTAAGTCATACTGGTGTGCTTTCCAGACAAAGAAAACTATTTCTCTGTTAAGGCATGTAGATCCCGCATCAGGAGACCATTGGCATTAGCTGGTATCTCAAACGGCAGCATACTCGTTTTCCTTTTACACAGTAGGTTTCAAGTTTGTGCTGCTATCAGTTGTCTAATATGTAATTTAATAAACCGCACACCCGTCTTTGTTTTCTTTACCATCCAAATGTATAAGCTCCATATACAATACAGGCTTAAACTGCAAATTTTAATTTTGTAGCAATATCTTTATCGTGTAGAAGCAGGCCCTTCTTTTTTAATATATTTTGGCATACGTCACCGGTTTACATGAATATATATATATATATATATATATATATTCTTGTGATGCTTCTCGCCGATCAATGGAAATTGCAGTCATAAGTTTTGTATTTGTAAAAAAGGTAGACACAATTTTGAACCTGAAATTAACGCAATATGTACAATATTAGGGATTGCATCTGTTAGAAGTCCCCTCTTCCATAGTTGCTGATGAGGACTTTGAACGCGCGTTTAATAAGTGGGATCTTGTAATACATAGCCTAGTGAGTCATAATATCGACGTTTTTTTTTCAGAGCGTGATGCCCCTCCGTCTTTGCAGCTGCTTCGAGTGCCTGCACTAACTTGCGACCAACCGCCGTTGCACCGAGCTTGTGATAGACTTACTTGGTAATCGACTGAGTGTGTCCACACTACTATCATCTTTGGATCAAACTACTGTTAACGTATATATCCGATCGGGTTTCCCTTATTATCATCCCCTACATTTGATACTTTCGCTAGTGTTGATATCAAAAGTAGCGTCAAGCAAATCAAAAATTTTAAAGTGGCTTCGTTAGATTGCATGAAGAATCTCAGTAGTATAGCTCCATGTAATGTATTTATGTACTCGAGGCTTGGACGCTCACAAAAAACTTATATGGACGTCAACACATTTCTGGATGTCTTTTAGAATACTGGCTTGCCGGATACGGATATTGGTGTAGTTTGATATAGTAGTACCGCCAGCGATCATAGAAAGACAAAAGAAGGGAAGGGGGTAAACTGAAATGGCTTTTACTTGAAATGTAATAGATAAAAGTTAAGCACAACATTATTATTATGACTCATCATTAGCAGCACAAAACAATGCGCTTCTAAAAACTTGGCAAGTTTGGCGCCGTTGAAAGCTATTGTAGATAAGAAACATCAATAACTTGACGGGATAACTTGTTATAATCTTAAGCAGTGATGATACATTCCATATTCAATCTATCTATGAGTATTACTAGTACACGTGTATCAGTAGCAGTAATGTTGAGAGACAGTAGCATGAGAGATTGGTGGCAAGACCCAACAAGTTGGATTATGTAACTTCCCTAATGAGCTTATGTACTGGGCCTTTTATACTGCAAAGAAATCAAGGCAAACATCATTTAGTTTGGGTTGGCGATCTGGTTCGTGTATATGTGAATATGGGGATGGTCTGTTTGCTTTGCGATACGGTTTTTTATTTTGCCACCAACAATTTGCAATCATTGTTGGTATAGTCGTGAAGGTAAACCAGCTGTATTGTTTTTGAGAGCACACATGCGAATGCACAGCCTACGGTTTTCTCGACGACTCAAGCACAAAAAGGCTCATTTGCAACTACATAACTGCTCCAGAGAAAGCACCAACAAGTACCAAGCGCAATGGCAGTAGGAAGATGTAAAAAAAATGATCGCGTTTATTACAATCGTCACTCGATCTGCCCAATAGTTACAATTACATTATTTAAGAAAGTACAATAAGAAACCAAGTTTATTTGATGTTGCCTGACAAGTCGACCGACTTTTATGAATCCTTCGTTCCTCAAGGGAGGTTGCCCTCCCTTGTTCCCCGCAAGCCTCAGTTCCCGGCAGAACCTACACCTCTCCCTTTCTTGTCCACAAGCCTCAGTTCCCGACAGAACCTACTCCTCCACAGTTCCTACAAATAAAAGAAATATGATAGCACAAAGGTCTGTCAGCGGCGAACATATACGTACCTCCACAAGGGAGGTTGCCCTCCCTTGTTTTCCGCAAGCCTCAGTTCCCGTCGGAACCTACTCCTCCCTTTCTTGTCCGCAAGCCTCAGTTCCCGACAGAACCTACTCCTCCACAGTTCCTACAATTAAAAGAAATAGCACAAAGGTCTGTCAGCGGCGAACATATACGTACCTCTTTGCACACACTCTCGCTTTCAGTTTTTGAGGAAGATAAAAAACCAAGATGAAACTAAGAACTTTGCAACTGTACAAAAGATGAGCAAGAGCCAGTCGTGCACGACTAGCTCCCTTCAACTATGTACACCCACAGGGCCCTCGTCCGGGATAAAAAAAAAGAAAGGTAAAAAGTGATAATGAAAGAAACACTGCAAATGTACAAAGATGAATAAGAGCCAGTCGTGCACGACTAGCTCCCTTCAACTATGTACACCCACAGGGACATTCGTCCTGGTTAAAAAAAAAAGAAGAAAGGTAAAAAGTGATAATGAAAGAAACACTGCAAATGCACAAAGATGAATAAGAGCCAGTCGTGCACGACTAGCTCCCTGCATCTTTATACACCCACATTGCAAATGCACAAAGATGAATAAGAGCCAGTCGTGCACGACTAGCTCCCTTCAACTAAGTACACCCACAGGGCCCCTCGTCCTAGATAAAAAAAAAAGAAAGGTAAAAAGTGATAATGAAAGAAACACTGCAAATGTACAAAGATGAATAAGAGCCAGTCGTGCACGACTAGCTCCCTTCAACTATGTACACCCACAGGGACATTCGTCCTGGAAAAAAAAAAAGAAAGGTAAAAAGTGATAATGAAAGAAACACTGCAAATGCACAAAGATGAATATGAAGACTAAAGAAAAGAATAAAGGGCAAAACGCGCAGTCGATTCTTTTTTTTTATGAGCCCGATAAACAAAATGACGGAGCTTAGAAATTTTGTTGTCACTACTGCCCTAAGGAGCCAGTGAACTGCAGCAATGTGAAGAAGTGCCTTGATGATAATTATCGTTGTAGTCTGACGACTGTCATGCTAGTGTCTTTTTCTTATGGTGCGTATATGTTTGTTTCACTATGCGGCTCCGCTTGCCGTGCTCCGCTCTGATCCAACAATTGTCGGCGACGGGTCTGTGCGCTTTAATGGAACAAAGAACCGGCGATATAAAAAGAGTATGAAACCTGGGGATCATGATGATTTTTATATGTGAAGCGTACCCAGCAATACTATTGATACTCGATATGACCTTCTTTTCTTAGCTGACGATCAAGAAACGGCCGCTGCCAATTTCATCAGCGCAATTTATAACGGTTTGACAATCTCTTTTATGAAACGTGGGGATCGTGATGATTTTTATAAGTGAAGCTTACCACCTATTCAAGAAGATGCTTGGACTTTGGAGGACCATGCTGCCATGTCCAGTGACGATAACCCTGTCGCCACTACTAAAGGAGAAAACAACAACAATTATTATACCTCGCCAACAATGCAGCAACAGCATCATCCATAACGTGTCCATCGCAATAACACGAGCCAAATTTAATTTTATACGTAGACAAAGTTTTTCAATGCACTGGTCTTTTTATTCACGAGAAACTTTTATAATTTTTGAGAAAGGTAACAGTTTATTATAAGACTCGTTAGGAGATTAAAGACGGAAACTGAATGTATCTGATGAGGAAAAAACGATGTGTAGGGAAGGTAAAACATATGTAGATAGGGTGGTGTACAGAATGAGCAACAGTGTTGATCGTTTCGAAAGTTGTATATTACAGGAAGAATGACGGTGGAGATAGTAACGATGGCGGAATAGCGGCTTATCTTGGAGCATCCAAGGGATGCTGATCACGCCTATTCATGGCTCGGGGGCAGATGGTATTATGGATTTGAGAGCAAATGCTAGAGACTGGAATACTTCATCATTTATATAATAAGCCTGAAACAGTAGCTCAAACACGTGCAACCGCTCTTCTAACTTTGCCATACGGCTTGCCTCGTCTTCTTCGCTATCATTACCGGCAGCTGTTTCATCTTCGTATTCATCGCTCGCAAAGAACTGCTTTTGATGGATTGTGGGCTCCATTTTACTCTTTTGCCAACTAGCCGGCTCTGTGTTTGAACGCTTTGGTAATTTTAGATGCTCGTCGTTGTCGTCCTCGATCTTCTTATTTTTATGTGAACGTGCGACAGCAATTGAAAACCGACGGTGCACTGGATGTACGATAGGCACATTGACCGCTTCTGGAAATTTCCTTTTTAAACCGTCCAGCAATGACCGACGCAACTGGCCTATGGACCAACGATGGACAACGCCCCAGGGAGATCTTGGACGATATCCAAATAAGCATGCCTGTAATCCAATAATCAGACCGAAGATACCACCAACGACTCCCATGCCGTTCACAAGCGTGAATGCTCGCTGCTCACGCATCACTGTCACTTGATAATCTTTAGGAAAGACATGCAAGGCTCCCAGAGGCTGGGGATCACTGAGAAAGCGTGCGTTATCCGGCTCAGTCATGGCTCCGCAATTTATATTATACTGTGATTGTCGGATGGTGCCTACCCCTGCATAGTTCCATACGTTGTCTGTCTTTATATCTTGTCGCTCAATGAGCTCATAGCTACTGATAGTAACCTTGTCTGCTTCCAGGTCGTATGCATTTTTCGTCCTTAAATTCTCTTGCTCGGTCGACTGAAACTCGGCGTTCTCTTCGGGCCCGTACCATTGAAAATTCGGATCATCATCCAGAACGTGATACACGGGAAGATTAGGATCGTGGAGCTTGTGATAAAAAGCAACATGTACTCGCGACACATTGCTATCAGGCGGCTCTCCATAGTAATGGAACTTTAGGTATGAGCCTTGGCCATGACGGTCGCTTGTCCGTCCAAGCCGAAAGTTGACCGACGGTGGTGCTCGAAATAAGAAACATGTGAGCGGATCGCCGTAGTAGTTTAGCCCTGTTTCAATATTGGTTGTCATGTTGACCATAAACTGTGAGCAAGGTGTGCCATAATCAGTGGAACAGTGAACGATTGGGCTTTCCCCGGGAGACCATCCATCAAAACAAAAGCGGATATCTATGGACATTGATAAGCAAATGCCGTTAAAACCATTGATAAATATACAATATTCTATTCTTGTACGTAAGCATAATGGTATATACCAGGGACGTCGATGGTGTAGTCCTTATTATGTGTGTAATACTTCTCGTCAATAATTGGACTGTTTCGAATTTGGAGTACAATTATCACTACTACCGCAGTAAATATGGCAAAGAATAATAATCCACAAAGTGTCCGCGTGATTTCTGCCCAAAAGGGTTCTCCAGCGCTAACACAGATATAAAACTCTTGTTAGTATAACATGAAAGTGTGAAAAAGTGTCATTAAATATCGTTTTACCGTGGACTCCAAAGTAACACTTTGATTCGCTTTGCCACATTTCGGAAACGGAAAGAAAAACGTAGTCTTGCTAGCGTGTAGCATCCCAAAAGAAGTAGCACCCCACTGACAACGCCAAAAACGATCATCATGCTCACAAATGCAACACACATTTGCTCTGTACGATGTACCGGCTCTTCATCAATAGCTTGTCCTAGCCATTTTCCTTGTATTGAATCAAATACGTAGAGGCCGTCATATATCGTCTGATAGTTTAGACCTATTATTACGTTTTTATTGTGGAAAACAGCAGCGAGCAACAGTATATAAGTATATACCAAATTCGATGTATACGATATAGAGAGATTAGTCAACAAAATCTCTTTTTCTCTCTTACCAAAGCCAAATACCATCTGTGATTTATTTACGAGCAATGCAGCAGCAAAAGATCGTGGAAAGGGTTGGTTGGGTGAAGCGACCGGAATTTTCCATATCCATTTCTGTGTATCCAATACAGCTGTCATCGCCTGTGCATTCCCCAGCGAGGAAATGTATATTTGAAAAGGCTGTGCAGCGCCATCTTGCCCTAATAGTAGGGTTAGCAATAATGATGAAGTAGCTCCATTTTTTATGCATATTAATGCTTCTGTATCATAACCCATAATCCATACACATACCTCCACATATGACAATTAAATCATCATCAGCTATTACAATATTACAAGATCTATTAATACAATACAAACATGTTGATTTTTTCGGTTGCTGTTTCAAGTGATGATAGGTGGCTTACTCGTGACAGCGCTATGATGTGTCCGTGCGTCAGGGATAATGGGTCCCCGAGCGATTGATTCCGCCACTCGGCAGTGAGGGTACTATAGACAGACGCCTGATCCATCGGGAATAGTGTTTTCTCTATAATCGGGTTGCTGGTGTAATTGCCAACACAACGGTATCCTCCTAACAAAACCATTTGTCCGTCACTTTAATTCCAACATGAACGAAAGCAAAATGATTAGGTAAGAATCAAGACGTTTTCTTCTCTTACTAGCTACTGTGATATAGCTCACTCACCTCAGCATATGAGCAGTGTGGCCACATCGAGGAGCCACGTACGAGGGTGTAAGTGACATTTTCTGCCAACTGTCGGTTAAAAAATGGTACACCCAAAAGTAGTTATCCTGCTGGTCAAGTGGCCCTGTTATATTCATGCCGCCAAACAAATATGCTCTGTTTTGATAGGCCACTGTGGAATGGTAATACCGCTCCAATGGTATCCCTTGCACTGATTGTTTTTGAAGAGGGGTCCATGTCAAAGTATCGAGCGACAGCCGATAGTATCGAAGTGGCTCTGGAGGAAGCGAGTCGCTTACGTTGATTGGGTTGTGTCCACCAAAAGTATAGAGGCTGTTGTTGAAGGTTAGCATTTGACCGTAGATAACAGTGGGTGAAGCGTATGGGTTCGTAGGTAGCTGGGTAAAGGTTGATGGATCAATCGCGCTTGAGATTGACCACAGTGCTTCCATGTTCCATGGTGGCATCGCATAGTATCCGCCATAGATATACACTGTATCGGCGATGGTGAGCGCAGAAGATCCAAATATCGGCCTGTCTGTTGATCGAAGTTCTTGGCCAGCATACATAACTGAAAAGGTTGTGTTTGGATAGTAGGTCGCTGTGGTCGATATGTTGTTTATACTTGTTGTCGCCAGGCGAAACTCACGAGGTAGGCATCACAAAAAAAGTATAACAGATATGGCGTTTTCTCGCTTGTTTTCTTTATTCCCGCGTTCAGTGTTGGAAAGGAAGAGAAAAAGAAAGAGAAAAAGGAGTTGCCGTAGAAAACATAAGAAGCCCTTTTTAGCCACGTACTTTGACACTGGATAACGGGAAAACTTGCTTAAGGAGAAGGTAAAATGTGCGACTTATGTTTTAAGGAAGGTACCGGCTGTTGTATGTACATGACACTGCTTAATAATTACATCTCTTCGTTTAGCTTTCAGCTCTGCATTGCATGTCGAGTTTAAGAAGGGCTTCTGTAAACCGGGCTTTCGACCACTGACTGATTGGTACATTGCTTTATCGCTCACTTGATAGTCACTCCCTAAATTACAGCCTTCCCTTCTACCTCCTCGCCAAACCACCCTCCCCAACCCTGCATAAAATATGAATTCACTAGCAAGACAAGATGCACGCTACTACATCGAAAATGTTTCGAGGGTTGGTTTTACGATATAAAAGAATTGAGATGGATCTGAATAAAGAGTAGGAGGCACACGGAGAAGAGTGAGGATTGAAGAGTGAGATAGGGGTGGCGGTGAAAGTGGAGAGGAAACATAAAATATAGGTCAAAAGAGAGTGACAATAGGTGTTGCTTTGCAATTTATGAAGAGTCGTCGGATGACGATTCCACAGACGATTCGTCTGTTTCTTCGTCTTCCTCCTGGCCATTCGTCTGTTGTGTGGGACAGTCGCGAGAAATATGGCCGGGTTCGCGACAGCGGTAGCATACCTTGACAGGCTTTTCGTTCGTTTCGTCGTCTGCTGTAGGGCAATCACGTGAGATATGTCCAAACTTGCCACAGCTGTAGCACTTGATGCTGTTTGCTTGACAATCGCGTGCAAAATGGTTATATCCTACATGCAACCGAATCTCGTTTAAAAAAGGGAGAAATCAATTCCACATCATCTTGGATAATTACCTCCACAATTGTAGCACACAACTCGACCTCCACTACCACGGCTCATACCGCCACGTCCGCGTCCGCCGCGACTAGCACCGCGGAATCCACCTCGTCCACGACGGGGACGCATGTTCACACTATTGCAATTCCGTGCGAGGTGACCCTATATCATTTTAATTGCCAACAACAAACTGAGCTGACCCGTGTTTCCTGGCGATCTTAGTATAAAGGAAATGTACTTACGACATTGCCACAGTTGTAACAACGACCTTCACCGCTTGAACCGTTACGCGCAGAAGGGCAGTCAGACTGGATATGTCCAACTGTTATTAACGAAAAGTAAATCAATTTTCAACGTTTCATGCTTCATGCGGTAAGACATGATTTTCTTTTTGTGAGCCCGCCGAACAATAGGGCGAACTTACCACCGCCGCAGGTATAGCATTGCTTTGCGTCAGTCGTTCTAGGCTGGGGACACTGGCTCGATTCGTGTCCTGGCTGCTTGCAATTGTAGCACAATCGCTCTGGCTCTGGGCACACGTCAGCAAAGTGACCCACTGATAATATTGTATAGAAAATAAAAAGAGAAACGTCAACAACAACAGTAACAACAAGTCTTTTCGAAAGTATAACAAGATCATTATTACCGTTTCCACATTTAAAGCAGCCTCTTCTCGAAAAAACCATTTCAGCAACACACTCCTCTTAATTTCAACAACGCGTTTTCCTTGATACACTGGTAAAAAAACGACGTTAGTCCAAGTTGAGAGAAACTTAGTAACGTTGATTGCGAAGTATACCAAGAGAATGTGTTAAGTCGATTCGTGACCAAAAAATTAGAAGCGAGAGAGAGGAGAAAATGGGACGCTCTGGATGGTGGGGTACCAAATTGACGGTGCTGTAGGAAGTTAAAATAGACCATAATTTTTAATATCATAGGTCGCCTAGTCGTCGAGAATGACCCGCAAGAAGCAATACACTTTGCGCTATAAAGAATGTAAATATCACTGCACTTTCACCAACAGTTGTGTATAAGAAGAAAACAAGCTAGCTAAACCTGCCATGTATTAAGGATACCGCCACTTTCAAAGCTTCTAGCAGCAGTTGGCAGCAATTAAAATAAATCCTTCTCGTGCCTTCTTGCTGAAGACTAAAGTGAGATAGGTAACCAGTTTATTGAGCAATATGGAGCCATTATTATCTGTATTATTTAAACCTTCTATATTATGTTCACATCATCAAAAATCTAATAAAAGGAACAAGAGCACTACCATACCTTGTCGAGAGCAGGTACTCAATTTTCCACTTATATATACTGCGCGATGTAGTAACGAACTAGTTCACAGACTGAACTATGCATAATATGTAAAATTGCTTCTTAAAGAAGTCCCTAAGTTCCAAAGGCTTCAATGGCTCTAGAACTTCTCAACAAGGTGCTATAAAGCGTTGATTTTCGGACCTATTTTACTGTACTTCCGGTACATGATAACCTACTTTTAAACTCGGTTTGCATGTTTCTTGTTGTTCTGGAGTAGTCATAGCATAGTAGCGCCTGTAGTCCGCCCTTCATCATCAGCAAACAGGTAGATAAGAGTTTGATATTCCTGTACACATACATGCTTTGTTCCGTGTGCTCCATCATCTGTATCATCATATTTTTTCGATGAGCCTGTACAGTTAAACATAAAGACACACCGCCCTTCAGAATTCCGTACACCAAATAATGACCACGAAAATTGAATTGCGCTTCAGAAAGCAATCGTAGTACATGATATATGAAACACTCGGTTATTGTACTTGGAAAAATAAGTCGGTTTACTACTCTCAACAGTCTGTTCAATAAGCGTTATATTATTCAGTTTCAACAATACGATTTACTTCGCGCTATGGTGACATAAAATAGTTAAATCATTTTTTAAAGGGCCTTATCAGTTTTACCGCTTGAATATTGAAGCTGACATATCATTAGGAGTTTCTCTATCTTACTAAATACAGATATCGTCAAAAGTATCTGTATATCATCTATGATTCGAGAAGGTTATACATACATGGAATCAAAAGAGCTTCACAAAATCCATATCCATGAAATTTTGGAAACGACGAAGTGCATAAAGAAATTATCTTCAAGTGCTGTGCCAAAAAACGTAGAATTATTCTACTGTGTCCTTCTGTTGACAGCTTCTTGCTGTAGCAAGTGTAGTGTGATATCAGCAGCAACGGTACAGGATGCACAATTGCTTTTAGAGATTTACGGCCGGCGTTAAATCAAGAACATATATGTATAATAAGTATTGATATCGGGAACGGCAAAGTTTAATTCTATGACGCATTACATATTAACTCTAGAACCTTACTCTCAAGCTATTTAATTCATAGAGGCGTAATCTATTGAATAAAAAGTGACAATACCATGTTACGATTCAATGCGATAGACATTAATTGTGTCCATGGTGTAGAATGCTGGAGCAGCTCTTTATGCGAAGTTATATTATATATAGCCATGCAGTGGCTTATCAGAGTAAAGATTATAAGTAGGACGTATGCCTATGCTGACTTCACTCATGGAAATTGGGCAAACATTCAAAGCGACGTGCGTCAAATTCGAAAGAGTTAAAAGCGTTCCCGTGCGTGGATTAATTTGAAGCATTATCAGTGCATAAACGGATGACACGCACGTTTAATAAAAGCTCTTCAACAACATGCTATGTGGTGGTAGTAATAGCTTTAACCTTCTTGTTAAAACTGGAAAGAATCTGCTGTTGCAAACATAAGCAAAATACGGAAAGGGGCTCCAACATAATTGTTGTGCATGCATAGAAGTGTTATAGGCATCAAGTGACCGTTCAACATATACGTTTTTATATTCCTATTTGAATGTATGATTTTCTAAAACCTGGGGTCGTGTACCGTACCTGTCTTTATTTTTCGCGCTATGTATCACGAATAAAATTGGTGGTGGTGCCAATATACATGTGTACAAACACACGGTTTCTAATATCGCAGTGTCAAGGAACGGATCCAGTCGGTCTACCGTAAAACCATTTGTCACCAATTTTACCAGTGTTGGATTATTCACCGTGAATATTCGGAGAGCTGATAATCACGCCGTGTAAAAGTGAAAAATGTACGTGAATATTCCAGCGTGAATAAACCTTCATTAATTGGAAATGCTTGAGGGAGAGCAAAAGAGAGAGAAAGCAAAGGCTCCAGAGTCCATTTATAAGTATAGGAAGGTCTATTCACGCGTGAATATGTACATTCTCACTGTCCGTGAAAAATGGTCAACGTGAGTATTGCCAACGCTGAATTTTACTACCCCAACGCTACGGATAAAACCTTTATCCTGCTTCTCTTAGAGCTGGGTCCGAAGCTAAATCCAGAAACAAAGAAATCAGGGGGCATTTCGATTTGTTGGAAACAAGCATATCTCGGGAGCTCAATAAAAACCAAAGTTTAAAGGTTTCAAAGCTTTTTACAGGAATTTTTCTGCTAACACACATGCATTACTTCTGGTTGATTTCTTAATAATGGGAGCTATGTCTGTAATAATCATAAAGCAGCAGCACTAGCTATATGGTAGATTATAGATGATAGCACCATCATCTATCTGCAGATCTGTCATGCGAACACCCATGCGCGTATATTGCTCGACTACAAAAAGTTACTCCAAAAAGTAGGTCGCTTCGCAGTATAGATAAACTGTATGCATGTGCTTGTGTGTGAAAATATAAGACTTTCATCCGAGGAAGAAGGGGGCGGAGAGCCAAATTTGGCTTTCACGGACGGATCGTCGTTATACTGTCGACACCAGGAATCCGGTCAGATCCTTATGGTTATCACACAATTACCCACGCTGAGATGTATTTTAATCCGACCAAACAAAGAATCCCATGGAACAAGTAGTTTGAAGTCTGTGTGTGCGATATATGGCTTTGTCAGTAGTCATCAAAGAAAATGTAATAAATATATTGGATCCCGATCCTGAGATCCAAGGCGATAAGACGTCCACATTACTTCAGTTTTTTATAATAAGAAATGATGTTATCGCACCCATAATGCTCGATCTATTGTCAACGTGAATGAATCAGATGGTATAGTCATATCCATACGGAGCACGTTTTGCCGGAATACGGACCATCACCATTATATACAGCAACAAAGGATAGATCGTCTACGTACATACTACACCTTGGGAAATTGAGCCACACAAGTGAAAAGAGCCAAATGCTTCGAATGTGGGCTATCTCTAACGATAACAAAAAAATTGTAATATACTCCGTATAGATCATCCCGTTCAAGGACTGCTGCAACAATTATTGGTCTTGCTAATCAGGCATCTGAAATCAAGCTTTTCGAGAGATGATGTACTTGTTGTGTTTTTTTTGTTATTCGGGTAGCCTCCTCGAAACATGAGTAAATACGCACCAATCCGATGGTTGTTTCATATACTATAAAGTGGTTCGGGATCCTATAAGGACATGTTGCCAATAGCCAGAGGAGGTTCGTGCGCGTGCACATTGAAATATAGGCAAAAATAATAGCATTGTCCAGAGATCTGTGGCTGTGGCACTAAGTCCTTGAAAGGCTGATTTGACCTTTTGTCCCAATCTTTTATTTAATCCATACCATGTCAAGAATTTCATAAACTGTAATAAAATTAAAGCACAATGTATGAGTGGGAGATGTTATGATATACTTCCACGCTGATCATCTATTCTCGTACTATCCACCTTATTCATGCAACAAGTCGTTGTATCAGCTCGTAGTATGCACACTCCTTTTAATTCCTTCCTAGAATATAGCAGGATATTTCTATCCAACGACAATCCGAAATAAAAGACCAATATAGAGATTGTGATTGTGTGATCATAGGGAAAAATCAAATCATAATGTATTTGTTTTACTGATGATGATATTGTGCTGGTGATGACGATGGTGTGATGAGCAGATTAAAACAGTAGTAGAATATAAAAATTATAGAGATCATGTGTGGCGTAGTAATGCTATGTACAGGTTTTTTTTTGTATATGTAAAGGGGAATATATGTACGAGGGGATGGGATGCGATGGTCCAATGACGACAGTGTGAGGGGTGATAAATACACAAATGGAGCAAGCTCCAAACAAGGAAATTATAACAACAATGGAAAGAAAGATATAGGGGGTGGGAGAGAGGTCTGGAACCTCTCTTATGCATAGGATAATTGTGGCAAAGAGTTGAGGCGTGCATGAAGGCTTGCAATGGCTCCGGCATATTGTGTTTCCAGTTTGATGGAGTCAGCCTTGGACAATCGTGATAGTAAAAAATGAAATCGGTCGACACATGCGTCGATGGCTTCTTCTGCGGTTTCTCTGTCGTTATCGAAGTAAACAGATCCTTGAGAGTCAATAGCATATGCCAGCTATAAGAAAACGTAATGGGAAAGCATATGTCAATGCAACAGCTCCTTTTTTATATGCGCGTCACACAAAGAAAGTTTTTTTTTATTTTTTTCAGTGAATTTACCTCATCCTCAGCAAATTCATATGCTTGCATCAACTCGGTCAGTTCTTCTTCGTATGATACGTAGGATTGTTCGCTGCTAGTAGATGATCGTCGACGGATACGCTTTGATAACCATCGTGCTGGCGCTGAAAAGGATTTTGCGTCGTTGTTGTGGCAGCTGCAAGAACAGTCGTCTTGGATATGATGATCATGATGGCGTTGTGGATCATGGTGATGATGGTGTTGTGAGAACGGTTTGAAGAGTCGAAGTGATGGCATTGTGAGCATTGCTTTGATTATATAAAATGTGCGTGTTGTTGTGTCGTTTGATAAGAGATTGAAAATTGTAGAAAGAAGTTAAAGTGGGGGGGGAAGCAAAAAGTTGGAGAACTGGTCCGCTCTTTATATAAGTTTTTTGGTGTTTTGTAATCATGCACCTGTCTTGTTCGCCGCAGTCGCCCGCTCCCCGGCACAGCCGTAAATGTAAGTGCCGAAAACTTAATAATCAAACTACTCCGAAAAATTTCAAAGCAAACAGTATACGTACTAAAAAGCACGGTCGGGATCCATTTGCGTTGGCACTCCCCAACGTCAACACTCCCCCCATTCCCCCTCCTCGGTCTCCGTCGCCCCCCGAGATACTCCTTTTGAACAGACAAGAAATCAAGCATCGGCCTATTTTGATTTCCCCACATATACTCGATTTAAGGTGGCTATGGCTACGCCTGCTACGGTTACAATTGTTATGGCTACGGTTGTCATGGTGACTACGCGCAGTTATTGCTGCGGTTCAGGGACACCATCATGGATCAGCTTGTATACAACGTGTGTGGCTGCGGCGTCCTTTGATGTTAAAAAAAGAAGCAAGAGTGAGTAAGAGGGAGGTGTTTGTTGTTATTGTTTTTATCCATATGCCTTGGCGAAATCCGTTGTGGTCCAAGACTAATGTAGACAAACACACATACACGCATTTACATGAAGCCCCTATTCCTTTTTTTGATTCTTTCACTTTTTTCTTGAGAGAGTTTCTATAGCCAAGCAATGGAGGAACAAGTGGCAAGAAGGTCTTGGCTATACCATCAAGCGTGTACTTTCCAAATTTATACACCGTGTGGGAATACCAGCAGCATACATGCACACCCGATATTCCCCTTGAAGATTTTTACACGAATTTTTTCTACATTGGTGCACATTGCGTGCTGATGACTCAATCGTGGTTGGCTTTCCGTTTGCGGGGGCTGGATGATCAACCACCACAGCACCATGTTTACGTGTCAACATTCCGAATTGCATAATCTCACTATTTACTCTAATACTGCTGCCTCCGCTTACAAAGAAAATTGGTTGTTTGTCAAACTTGATCAACTCCGTTCACGCATTCTTTGTTCTCAACATCAACATAAACACAACCAGGGCGGACTCCAACTTTTATGATTTTCATATCCGCCCCATAAACAAGCTTTTTTAACTTTCATGCCGACCAACCTGTTGAGCATTTCATCATGTCGCATCCGACGCGCTTTAGAATGAATGCAGGTGTGTGTCTTTTTCATTAACAGTTTTGGCACAAAAAAAAAGGATATGTCATGACGCTTGATTCCAGACTATTTTTCGCGTGCATTGCTGACAAATTTATGAGTATTTAGCCAAGGTGGCAGATTATAGTAGTGGCGCGTGATTACTTTTTGTCTTCGTAAGCAAATTGCCTTGTTTGTTTTGGCTGTCGCTTAATCAGCATTACAGGGACGACGCGTACACTTGCCCCAAAGAAATATGATTTGGTAATATCGCTCGTCATCAGCACGCCACTAGAAAGAGAAAACGTAATCCCATATATAAAAAGAACCATGATTGCACAAGCGGGATAAAAAAAACTAATTTAGAACCTCTTTTTCAATGCAGAACACGTCTGTCATATCGCGTAAAGTTGACAAACTATTAACCCTAAAATATTTTTTTAATTCAGCTTCAAGGTCGTTGGAACTCCTTCTTCTTTGTCGATGCATGTTGTGTACTCATATAAAGTCAGAACCCAGACAGCGTGTTCAGATACATTCTGCAAAAACATGAAGCTATAATTCGTGAGCCTAACAAAATAGAAATACATTAACACAAACAAAAAGAACAAGTGTACGGGCTTACGTAAAAGCAACTTATTCATGCTGTTTCCAAGTCTAAGTAAAGTACGTCAGCATGTTCATTCATCCCAAAAATTCCGCTGGTTTTGATTTCGCGCTTTGTAAGACTTTTAACCTTAAAAATTGTTCGATCAATTTCCGATCACTGCTAGAACTCACAAGTGCAACCTCAACCAGACCAATCTGGATAATCATTATATATTATACTCTGATAGAAGAGATAAGAGGGAGAGTATATGTGTGCGTTAAGCATGCAGCTACACAATACAAGACAAAGCACAAATAAAGATTGTGATCTCCCAATCGACTAATAACAGATATTTTTTTTTCGTCAACGCTTTATTACTAGCCTAAACTCGTACTGGTTGCCGGCGTCATATAGATCACACCGCATAGAGGCATATTTTGGGCATAACTACTGCTCACTTACTATGCACACAAAAACGTATATATTCTGTTGGTCTAGACACAACAGAATGAGAAATTCTTTTTCCTATTGGAGCTGTGGACGAAATAGGCAGTTGATCTCTGCAAGTCTATGCACGCAGAGCAAGTTTGGTCCAGAATGAAAGGGTCGATCATTACATAGTCAACCGGGCGACGGTGAGATTGAGACATGTCTTGTGTTCTTTTTTATTTACAGACATGATCTAAGCATTATTGAGATGCCAAACCTTTTTTTCTCCAAAATAAATAGTATCACTAATCGCTGATTGTAATTACAACGGCTAAGGGGGGGGAGAGAATATCAAAGAAAGAGAGGTAGGGGAGCGACGATCCATTTTAGTCCATTATGCAACAAAAGGCTAAAAAGCTACATTTACTTTATACTATTGCAATGACAGCATAGAATAGACTTATAAAACATAATACAGCTCTTAATTACACTTGTTATGGAGAAGGCGAGAACATAATGAAAAAAATTGCCAATATCAAAAAAATACTTTTCATATGTAGAATATTCCCAAGACGCGTGATAATCTGCTTCAGGCCAAGCAGCGGCAGCCACAACAACACCAACACACCCACTACAGACTCCTTGGTATCACATTGTGCCAAGCTAATATGTAAAGCACTAGCATGTGATAAAGTTGTAAAGTATTATTTGCCTCACAAGCATGTGAATTATCTTGGTATACCACAAAATCCAACCTACTGGCGTGATAGATCGGCTGCTATTGTTCGCGATTCCGTTCAGCGTCATAATATCAGTCCCAATAAGATCGTTTGCTCTTTTGTAACAAATAAATGACGTTTCTTTTTTATGTACATTTGTATATAGACATGTGAAATATAAGTGAAGTGATCCAAGTTGCGGGGTAAGCTCTTTCTTTTTATGATAGCATGAGTAAATGATTCATCATCAACTCTTCCTAGTATAACAATTCTGGTAGTGTATAATAAGACGGAGCACATTAATATTTCGTCGCATTCTGTTGTGATAACTTACTGCGTTTTGGCAAATGAAACAAATGACTCTTCCAGCGTTTGAACTTGATATCCACAATTCAGAATACTACAGGAATAGTCAGCGGAGAACTCTGGATTACTGATTTATTGGGTGACAATCGAGTTCATGCCTCTTTTGTCTTCCAATGACTTGCCGTGGCTAGAGAATAATGTTGGTTGTTCATATTTACTAGTTATGGAACGAATCCGCTGAAGTAATACTGAAAGGGTGATAGCAAAAATCATCTATTCTCGGATGATATGCTTATGGTAACATAGCAACGGCTACCATGGCAACGAATTAACCGAGTGAGTCGTTTTAAAAATAACATATAGAGTCTAATTGAGAATGCCAGTTTGCATCACTGTCAAATTGAATATATGAGAATAAAGGAGCCAGTAATATATAGCAGATGCATCAACAGTGCAGATGCTATTTGTTGTACGTAGTTGTTCGCAGGAACAGTAGAAACAAGAGCGGAGGAGAGAGGCTGATATATACGTGAGCCCAGGGGCAGAAAAAATTCATTAGCGAAATTCGAGGATCCGCTGGGGGAGTGAGCTCCAATGAATTAGAGGAAATCCGATATACTGTGATCTCCCTCTTTCATCAATCCATTGACGGTAAGCCATCCATCCATTCAATCCATCCTATGTAGACATCAATCCGTCTACGCCATACGAACGACATCCATACACATTTGCAGCCCATCAATCCCCTCTTCAGACAACAACAAAGAGCAACGACGACGAAATATACATCGACAATGGCAGAAGAAAAAATAGAAAAACTAATTATACCTATATACTTTCCATCCAATTTTAAAAGTCATGGTCTCCCCTGCTGTTAAGCACACGATCGTCAAGAAGCGCACTGCCAAGTTCAAGCGCCACCAGTCTGACCGTTTCGCCCGCGTTGGTGTAAGTGGAGGACCAGAACGAAAAAGTTGTGGGGGTGAATTACAGCGAATCTATATTATACAAAAAGATTTGGAATACTTAATTTAATGGGGTTCAATTTCAATATATAGGAATCGTGGAGAAAGCCCAAGGGTATTGATGGTCCCGTCCGCCGTCGTTTCAAGGGCCAGATTCCCATGCCCAAGATTGGTTACGGTTCTGCCAAGAAGACCCGCCACATGTTGCCCAACGGTTTCTTGAAGTTCACCGTCAGCAACGTCAAGGAGCTCGAGCTCTTGTTGATGCACAACCGCACCTACGCTGCCGAAGTTGCCCACAACGTCTCTTCCAAGAAGCGTGTCGAAATTCTTGAGCGTGCTGCCCAGCTTAACGTCAAGGTTGTCAACGCCGGTGCTCGTCTCCGATCGCAGGAATAAATTGTGTTGTAGCATGTGTTATTTGTTATCAACAACTCAATTAAAAACAACCTTTTCTCCAATTATTTTTTTACTCCTGAGCGTTTTCTCTTGTTTAAATGTGTAACTTTTTGGCCCAAACAGCAGCAGCCGACAACAACGACAGCAACGACATTACCCAACTACACAAGGGGAACGCTATTGTACGCATACGCAAACACGCGCGGTACTTTTTGCTTCAAAAGTTCGGAGCTCTCTTTTGCGCAGTGGTGTTCTTTATATTTAATATTGTGTTTTTACGCGTATGCAAACAGGATCAGAAAAGGATGAACAAACAATTTAACAGAAGGGAGACATGGTATATATCAGATTATACGGATGAGAAAGAAGAAAAACCGAAAGGAGAAAAGAGGAAAGGGGTGGGGGGAGAAGAACGTGATATGGAAGAAAAAAATAAGAGCAGAGGAATGATTTACAATGCTATTTGTGAGTTAAAAGAAGGATGTAGTAGTGGGAACATTTAAAATAAGGGCGAGGTCACGAAGACGACGTGGATGCAGTAGCGGCAACGGCAGCTGCAGTAGTTGTAGCAGTAGCAGTAGCAGTAGTAGTAACAGTGTTCTCTATTTGAGATTCAAGATATTTAGCACGCATAGCCGGATTAAATAAAGGCACAAGATGGGTTAGTTACCTTCTGAGGTGGAGGCACATTCAGCGCTTTTCGATTCCTGCGGCAGCGACGAAGTGGATGGTTCACCTTCAGTGGTAGTAGTTTGTTCTTCTTGTGCTCGCTTTTTCAACATTTCGAGTACCTTGAAGAAAGTTTGTACGTTAATAACCAAGACATCTGTAGTATAACACATACAAACACATACCTCAGTAGCCTCTACTGCCACGCTTGCATCGAGATCAGCATAGCTTCTACAAAGTGGACATAGGAAACCGGGATAGCTCTGCAATAGTGGTCGGCAGCATTTGAAGTGGAAAGTGTGCGAACAGGGTGCGACAAATAAGGCTTGGAACGGCGCAATTGCATAAAGACAAATGCAGCAGTCTTCGATATGTATATTTTCGCGATCCGCCAAATCTCCCGTTGCTGTTGCTGCTGCTGTTACTCCACCAGCATTACCCATGGCTGCATCAAGTACACTGACGTTGTTTGGCGGCGTAGTCAAGTTGCGCAAAGACTGAAACGTATTCAAGCTGAAACACGGGACATGATCATCAGTTACTCTCTCACACTTTACACTGATATAAAAAGCCCTTTCACCAACTAACTCATCGTAATGGTAGTGGTAACAGTAGTAATGATGCTACTGTCAAGAGAAGTAGCAAAATGGAACGGATAATCACCTAAACGTGTTTGTTTGATGCTGCCAGGTTCGGTTCAGTTCAAGACGCATTTTGACGGCTCGATATATCTCTATCGAGAGTGCAGTGCATGGTCTGTTTAGATCGTCGTGAACAACAGAAAGAGGGTTCAGTGCTATCTCTCACCTTCTGTTCCGCCCTGATAGTCCACGCCTAACTGGACAACGTCGCCATCCTTGAGCTGGAAGGGCCTTGACTCTTGGTTGGGTGCGCTTAACCGGACATGGTTGAGAAAGGTTCCAGACGACGAGCGTGTGTCGCGAATAAAGAACTATCAGATTTCAGATCAGTCAAGGGAATATGTCGATGATCACTTTGAAGCTCCCTTCTTCCTTCTTTTAATTATTGCCCGTATTTCTTTCCTTTCTGTCTTTCCCTCCAATAGTGAATCAAAATAACAGCCCTTTTGATTCTCCTCGTGCCGCGTCTCCCCCACCCCGGCTTATATTTGCTCCTACTTCCCGCGCTAATTTCCCTCCCGGTAGAAAATGGCTACACATACCTTGCCGCCTTCAGTCCATATTTCAGCGTGACCTCGGCTTACCACCTTGCTTCTAAACGTAATCCGGTTCGGTGATAAGAATCGCTCTGTGAACCGTCCGATTTTCAGGACGGTGTCTCCCCGCACATCCCGTTCAATCACACTGAAGACGAGTGACCGTGGGGAATCCAAATGTGGAACAATGCGAATGTGTGGTGTTGGTGAATCTTCGTTTGTTTCTGAGATGCAATTCTCACTATTAGTTCTGGCACTGTCATTGTGATTGCTGCTGCTGCTGCTATTGTTGTTGTTGTTGTTGTTGTTGCTCGTTGTAACTGTTGATGAGCGGAATGTGTTATTGTTCTCTTCAGTGGCTGTCGATGACCTTATTTGACGTGAGGTTGTTGGAGACGATAGTGCTGCTGTAAGCATAATAGTGTTGTTGTGTTGATCCCAATCAGAGATGTGAGGAAGCGAAGAAGAGAGAGTAAAAAAAAACAAAGACCAAAAAAGAAAGTATGTGTGCCGACGAAGCAAAAGGGGGGAGGGACAACCCGCTCACCCACATTTTCTTTTTGCTCTCTTGAGTTTGATTTCTTCCTCTTTCTCTCTTTCTCTCGCTTGCTGTTCTTTGAGTGCGTCAATTTTTTTATTTAAGCATTGTGCCGGGTGGTGCATGCAAAAGTTCTATTTCACTTTCTGTAACTAGGTGACGTTACGACTTTCTTGAATCAGCCATGGCAGGACAAACCCCATTCATGCATCATCATCCTTTTGTCTTATCGCTGATATTATGTGGCCCTGGAATTGTCGGGTGCCTTTTCGCCTTTTTGGCTCAGCAGCTGCTGGATGCTGGATCCGCAGGACGGAGTTGTGCTTGCTTTGATTGCTAAGGAACCCAAACAAAACGCCGTCCCTTGGAGCATGCCATCACATTGTATGTATCATTATTTTGTTTAATTATCATCGTACTCTATACATGATATAATGGTACACAGTCGCCTCCTCTTTCTGGATTGTTCTAGTGCACAAGGCCATACAATGCTGGATGTGTACGATATGTATGTTTTAGAAAAAGTCTGCTCCGCTCTACCATCGTCATTGCTACTGCTGGCACCGAAAGCCTTTTTGTACCACCATATCAGCAGCAACAACAGCAACGTCAGATTTTCTATTCTTGTATTACCACCAATCTTGTTGATCGCTCAGCAGCGGCGAGAAGAATAACATTTCTGCAGGAGATGAAGATGATGATATATATATATATGTATACATATAACCAATGATAGACGCTGCATGTTAAGAACAAAGTTAATATCATGATACTGCTTCACACTATTGCAGCTGATAGGCAGCAGTAACAAGCAGATTGACTACTAATACTATGACGACAACAATCTCATAACGTGCTGTATGATATGTTCCTTAGCGACCACGAGGACGTAGACACGACAATGACATCTTGTTTAATATCTATCTTACCATGCTAATCTGGTCGCATGCCAAATAGCAACCCGTTCTTCCTATTTTTCCCGCCAAACATCGGGTTAAAATTACATGGTATGTGTTGATGTTGTTGCTGCTACATATACTCCTGCTAACATGTTAGTGATGCTCCCTCTTCTGTTTTGCTCCTCCGCCAGCGGATTCCCACAAGCCAACATAAAAGCGCCATTGGTACGATGATAAAACCTGGTAGACAGCACCGAAAGCAACAATCCAGTATTCGCTCCCTTTCACTAGGTACAAGACCAACCTAACTGAAGAAGGTAAAAGCGGGCCGTTATTAAGACAGACCTATATAAAGAGAGAGTTTAGAACCATTTCGAACAAAGAATTAAACGCATTTATCAAGAGAATACAGCCAAATGGAAAAGAAGTAGCTAAGATATATGACTTCAATGAAACTTTTCGTATACAATTGAATCAATAACAATGTCAAACTATATCTGAGCCTCTCTCATACTTGCTCTCCGTTTATTTTGTTGTCACTCGTATTATTATGTATGTAAACTTTTTCAGCTTTGAGTTATTATGCCCATTAAAAGAAAACTTCGCTGATCCTTGCCGTTACTAATAGGTTGTTGTATCTTTATATCGATAGTTGACCATTATTGTCCGACTGATGGATTGACGCCAACAAACAAAAGGCAGGATACAGCACCTGACGATACGTACTCAAAAGTTATACACTTGAGAGTTATTCAACTCTGCTCCTTTGCATAAAATTACTATTGTACTTGTTAACGCGTGAAAATTCGTTCACGAAGAGCGGCACACGAAAAACCCCAAACGCGAATTTCTGGATATTTTTCTTTCTTCCTTTTTTCTTTTTTACTCAAGCATAAATCATGGGTATTCACGGCCTCACCAAACTCATTTCAGAACATGCACCTAGCGCGATTAAGAGTAATGAAATCGCAAGCTATTTTGGTCGTAAAGTTGCCATTGACGCGTCCATGAGCATTTACCAGTTTATGATTGCTGTACGACAACAAGACGGACAAATGCTTACCAACGACGCGGGCGAAACAACAAGGTAAAACAATGTATAGATCAATTATGGATCTGATCAAACGCTCGATTGAAAAAAAAGCAAACTTTTAGAATATAATACAACTTCTCTTATAGTCATCTCATGGGCATGTTCTATCGAACAGTTCGAATGGTAGAAAACGGTATCAAGCCTGTATATGTGTTTGATGGTCGACCGCCAACCTTGAAGTCAGGCGAGGTAAGTAAGAAGACATGATCTACTACCCAACAACTGGTCACCAGCATCAATATAATTTTCAGCAATGCTATATATACATATATAAGCTAATAACATGGTCTATACATGTGTTTATAGCTTGCAAAACGTAAAGCGCGTAAAGAAGAAGCTCAGGCTAACTTGGAAGAAGCCAATGAAGTCGGTATGTTAATTAAATTGACTAACCCGCTCCTTTGAGACATGCTCGACGAGAATTCTCAAACAACATTTTTTTTTCCAAAATCTATCCAGGTACTAGTGAAGAAGTAGCTCGATACACCAAGCGTACTGTCCGAGTTACACAAGAGCACAACGACGAATGCAAACGGTTATTGAAATTGATGGGTATTCCATACGTCGAAGCTCCTTGCGAAGCCGAAGCACAATGCGCCGAACTGGCCAAGGAAGGACTTGTCTATGCTGCAGCATCTGAAGATATGGATACATTGACGTTTGGCGCACCTACTCTACTTCGTCATTTGACCTTTTCTGAACAACGCAAAATGCCCATTGATGAGATCCACTTGGACAAAACGTTAGAAGGATTGGATATGGATACAAAGCAATTCACCGACCTGTGTATCCTGCTTGGCTGTGATTATGTCGATAGTATCAAAGGTGTAGGCCCTTCGCGCGCCTTTTCGTTGATCAAGGAGCACAAGGCGATCGAGGAAGCCTTAGAGCATCTACCCGAAAAATTGCGCGAAAATGTGCCTGATGATTGGAAGTTTGGGGATGCTCGTGAATTGTTCTTGAAACCAGACGTACGACCGGCAAAGACAATTGAGCTCAAGTGGGAAGCGCCTGATGTGGAGAGCGTAGTTGATTTTATGGTTAAAGAGAAGGGATTCAGGTAACAAAGGGCAGCTGCAAGAAAGTTGATTTCACCTTCAAGTGAAGTGGAATGATGATAGCTGACATATCTCCCCCCTTTCTCCATGTTTTTAGTGAGGACAGAATCCGTAAATCCTGCGAAAAGTTAACCAAGAATGTAAAATCAGCAACTCAGAGCCGAATGAGCGACTTTTTCAAATCTAAGCCAACATCAGCACCAGCAAAGCCCAAAGCCGGCAAGCGAGAAACAGAGGTAAGGATTCTTTATATAATGAAAGCAGTCATCTATGTATGTATTACGGTTGCTAATCTCATTTTTTGCAAATAGAGCAAAGCTAAAGGAAACGATAATAAGAAGAGAAAAACCCGCAAGTAAATAACTATCAAAAGCCTGTCGCTGTAACAGCAACAAAATGATAACATAATACATCTTCTGTGCATAACTTGTTATTTTCACACTACCTTTCAATAAATGTTTTCGCATGCATATCATTAAACTTAAGCTCCTGCGTTTCACTGATGTAGTAACATTGGGAGCAATTGTTTCTTACTTATACTAAAGCGTATCTCACTAAAAGTTTTTCCAAATTACGGGGCAGCTAAAATGGTTTGTTAATAGTGGCAGTTGAAAACTTATTTGCTGGATAAGAAACTCGTGCGGGGCAATCAACGACACGAACCAACAACGACAACGCTTTTGAAGCAACCAATCCAATCTTTTACTATTCTCTCATCTAATGCAGAACCACCAGCTCTTGACTCCAAAAGAGAAACAAGTTCTCGATTCTCAACGTGAAATCGACTGGCTTAAGCGACAAATTCAACAATATGAACAAAAGTTGGATTCGTCGCCAGACCTTGAATCCATGTTATCGTTAAAGCCCAGCGAAGAAGACAACACGATTGAATCGCACAAGGAGACCATTGATGAATTACGCGAAAAGCTCGACGTCATGACACAGTTTAATTTGAGCAAAGACAGTCTTACGAATGCCGTTGACGCTTCCCATAATGTGCTGAGATCACTGTACCGCGGCTTGGTCGATCACGATTCATTTGAACGCAGGTACGAGATTTAGTTTAGGATCACAAGTTGCGCGCTAAATAGGAGCAAGACGCGACATATTCAGTCACTCGCTCGCTTTTCTGATATCTTTTAATCTTTGAAATCTGGTTTATGTATTGATAGCCGAGCTGTTAAGGTCAAGATTGATGAACGCGACGAACTCACAAGTTTGTTCCTGACTGGGTACGAACAGCTGCGCAAAGCAAAGAATGAACTAGCGCTAACGCAAGCGAAAATCATCGGTAATATAAATGTGTAGTTCCTCAATGGTAAAAGGATCAATATGAAACGCTAAACACACATTTATAGATTGTCACCAAGAAAACCGAGAGTTAATGCAAACTCTTCGCGATTTAAAAGAACAAGCTATGCAGGAAATGGAACAACTGGAACAATCAGAAGAAGGTGCTATCCTTGCCTCACAAGTGACTGATCATACAGAACGGTAAAATCTATTCACGTAATTGAGCGAGATAATGTTTGGCTTTATATTTTTATACTTAAGTAAAACATGATGTGTATTTAGGCTTAGCGATTACCGCCATCGATTAGAGATTGCACGAAATGTACTCATGGTATGGAGGAGAATTAGTTATTGTACATTTCAACTCGATTGAAAACTCACATTAATTATAATATATAGGGCATAATTCTGGAAAGTGGAATTGATTGGGTGAACAACGATTATTATCTGCAAGTCATGCAAGATATTGGCGATGAAGCTGACGACTAATTACTCCCTATTCCTATATCACATCCATCTTTGTACATACTACATTCACTTCATATTCGTTGCATTTCTCTGCCTCTGATTTCTCTTGTTTATTTGTCATATTGGCCCACTATAGTTCATATTACAGAATATGATATAAACGTCACTGCAGTTAGATAATCATATTTCGTCATATAGAAGAACAACCACAATTCATTTGTTATGCTGGCGGTAAGAATGCAGCAAACAATATGATACCAACGAGACCGTAAAGCACATAATAAGAAAGCACGGCATTAGCGATCCTCCGTTGCATTAATTTGCTCGATTTTGCAAACCCGTCCATCCATAATTGTGCTGTGAACCAATAAAGCGGAGGTAATGACGTAAAGAACCGGATAATGACTTGAACATGCATACAAGTGGTGGCATAAAGAAGCAAGAAGCCCCACAAATACACAAAGGGTGCCGCACGACGACTTGTATATCCCATCGTAGGTTCTTTTGCCGTATCTGCAATACAGCTTTAGTTGTTAAAGACCCCCTCTTTGATCATATTTTGACATAATCCAAACAAAAGAACAAAAGTATCCAAACCTTTTGATGAACGGAAGCCCAATGACCTGAACCATAGCCAATCGTACTGAGCATACCTCCACATACCAGCAACTGTCAATGAAATTATTGGAAGCGCAAGGAAAAAGTTTGGAATTTGCTTCACTTCATAGTATGCAAGAAAGCCGTTGTTCCTATAGATCAAATCAAGAATTTAATAAGATAGGTACATTGTACCAATTCAAACAAGGCATGTCCTTCTTCAGCAATTTTTACCAGTATTCTTTTTGAACGAAGCTGTAGAGCATAGGGATGGTTTGATCACACCATGGTCTTCCAGGACAAAATTGCTGATAACCATTGTACTGGACTGCAATATATCCAGTCAATGTTATCATTGTGTATAAAGCAGCACGAATCAGACCTGTAACCATGGAACACTAAATTTCTCGAAGGTCATTAGTACTAAACTTCTCGCAAAAGAGAGCAAGAATTAAAGAATAACCTTTCCGAGTCGACGAACGACTAAGTCATAGATGAAAAAACCCGAATAGATCATTGCGTTGGATCGGATCGAGGATGCCAAACCCCAAACGATGCAAGCAGCCAGATATCGACCTTGTGAGTACCACAGCATTCCGGTAAAACTGAGCAAGGCAAATGGCGACTCTGTATATACGGAAGACATGAACATGGCTGGTGGCGAGAGGCAAAAGGCGATTGCCGATACAGTGGCCAGAACTGGATGTCCAGGAAACACCGAGCGTGTCAATCTTGATTAATTCATGCAACTTTTTTTAGCATTTTTTGTTTATATGATGATTTAATTGTGATCCTTCCCCCTCCCCTCTTTTTGTGCATTACTTGAAGAGCGATCCTGCTGCCAGAACAAACGATACGTTGGCAATCAGTGCGCCTGCCAATACTATCGTATGCTGTTCACCAAGGGAGGTCTGAATAGGTGATAACACTAATTTATATATTGTTAACATCTCTATATGCGCAAAAGAAGAAACGAGTTGATACAATAACCAATTGAGGCGTACCTGTCTGTGATAGGAACCGTGCTGCCAAAGGTAAGCCTGGAAAAAACGCGTGTTCTTGCTCAAACACATAGCCATGGCGCGCAATATGCACAAAGTAAAGAGCATCCCATCGCAAGAAGACATTGATGCAACGTTGGATCAAGGATGAAGACCCGAGTTGAATGTCGGCAGAAGAATCATAGGTTCCCGTCACCAAATAAGACAGAATGGCAATGCCGATCGTTGTTAAACGTGTTGCGATGGCGAATGCATAAACATGCTTCAGCGTTTTCATAACCCAAAAAATGTAGTGAACAACGAACAACCTTGAATTTGTGCTAGCAGGGAGGAACACGAAAAAGGTATATATCACCAGCCAATAAAACACGAGCCACTTGTCTCTCTATGTGAACTATATTGCCCCCATTTAACTGTTCATAGTCATACCATACATGCCACCAAGGTGAGACAGTTTCTTGTTTTAAGAGACAATTAAAAGGTCTCAGCTTCCAAGAAAAGGAGTAATACTATCAATAAAGCAGGAACGATACATATTAGATAGTGAGCAAAACGCTATTTACAGTGGCATTTTATTCCCTTGAGAATTTATGTGTATAAAAAAATTCGTTGTAGGTGGTGAAAAAGTAACAATAATTAGGATTACGTACACAGGTATAATATGTATAGGAAATTGAGTAGATAAGTATATAACGTATATGAAAAAGAGTGGAAAAAGAGGAAATGTACACAAAATAAGAATTGAAAAAAACAGATCATTTAGAGATAGGGTGGCTGCTAATGATTTCTCCGTTGCTGTTGCTGTTGCTGCTGTTGTTGAATATTATTGATCTGTTGCATATCCATTGCTATATCAAACGATAATCGAGAGCTGGGTGATAAGGGGAAATACTGACTGGATGGTGTCCACATATCTCCTAAATCGCCTTGGTGATGGTCGCGGAGTAACATGTCACTGCTGTCATTAACAATGTCATCTTGTACAGAAGGTCCGTTGTGATAGTACATTGCTGATAAGTTATCGTCTTCAGGATAGTAATGATGAGACGATCGACGTCTGGGAGAAATCGCGCTTGACGTATTATCCGTGTGAGTAGTGGCTCTAGGTGTTGCTGAACATGCACTGGTGATGCTAGATGCATTCATGGAAATAGTGGCCCGTACTGCGCCGAACGTTGCAAGTGGATCAACCACCTGATTATGTGTGGGGAGTTCAGAGTTTTGTAATGGTTCCTGTTGGTAGTACGTGCTTGGTGATCGTGTCGTCTCGTATGTCGTTGTATTTATGGGTGCTTGGGATTCCGTTCCATTGTTGTTTTCATTCTTATTGGTAGCGCTATTACCACTATCTACAGGGCCGGCGAACCAACTAATCCACCGATCAAGTGCTACTTGGTCGTAGACCTGGAACATGAAGATGACATTATCTTCGGTCAAAACTCGAAACAGATACCGATCAACAGCTGTTGAGAGAGCTTCGCAGGCCAAATAATGATGCACTTCAGCTTTTGTACTCGTTTTCTATATGCAACAATAAAAAAGTTAGGACAATCAAATGTTCTACCATTACAAGCAGGAAGATGTATACTCACGTTCATAAGGACGAAAAACCGTTTCAATGGTACAACAACTACGCGTTTGAGTTCCCAGATCGTCATGTAATTGAACCGGCCGACTTTTTTCACAGGCAAAACACCTTCATGTGCTTGCACACTAAAGTCAAGCAGATTCCTGGCTGCCAAATTGTCGCTTCCGCCATGACTAGAATCTGACGTGTCTTCAAAATGTGCAGGTGCTGACAAGGACTCCTCTCCGCTGCCATTGCCGTTTTTTCGATAGCGTCGACTAAAGAATCGAAATTTGTCGCGGTATTTGGCGACCAAGAACTGGATAATAATCACGAGTTTGGGAGTGAATATAACAACGAGTGTAAACGTCGCACCAAGCAAAAGCGCCGATAATTTGAGATAGATTGCTGTCAAAAAGTTTTCGTCGGGCATGAAAAAACTGGGTGTTGCAAGACATGCTGCAAGGATAGTGTTGCTGTTGTTGTTACATGAGTTAAAGCGAGTAATTAGGGAAAAAACTTGATTAGTATAAATGTCATTTTTACTATACTTGTATCAGATCTATACTCCATTTGCTGAATCTATTATTCTTTTTTCTCCTAACTTACTAGCTGACATAGGCGATTTGATTTGCTTCGGCCCATTTACCGCGAACATTGCGCGTCTTCCAAGCGAGCAGCGCAGCACACAATATGAGGATGGCACACCAAATAAGAGCAACAAGTTCGGCAGCGTTTAAATGGATCCAATCACCTTTCGCACCCGGGTATACACATAACCAGCAGTAACTCATACTGGTACCAATCGTCAAATCCACAACTTGCACGGGGTACACTGCGTGCCATACAATAAATGGAATAAATGCAATTGCCCCAAAAATAGCCACAATCCGCATTAAATAGAACGATTTGAGTCGGGAGGTTCGTACTGTAAACACGTTCTGAAATCTGTTGACAGTGTAGATGTCATTAGAGGATCATGGTTTGAAAGCGTAATAAAAGTGCTATTTGATGCAAAATTCTTTTGTTTTTGTACTTACATGCGATAGATTCTGTATATTTCATGGCCAAACACATACAGTTATATCGTCGATTTTCGAATTCAGCAGTTATAATGAGCATAATGCATACCTTGAAAGAGCAAGTGGAAAAGGGAAATAGTATCCTTACCTGTAATTTTTCGCAATAATACTACCGATAACAAGCACAAATGCACCTGTAATAAGGAATTTACGGGATATACATGTTGCTGCGTTGGGCTTGTCAATATACAGTGTGGCACCAATGTATCCCATCATAAGTCCGATGAGTTGAAGGCAGCAGAATGTAGGGCTGGATACGGTAATGGATTTAAGGTCCCGGAACAAGATGATCAATATCATCATGACGATACAACATAAAAGACCAAGGGCACTGATGGCCATGATGATAATACCGCCTGCATTGTCACTCGTGGGATTGAGAGCTTAATTTTATCAAATAGATGAGTAATCTTCTTCTAGTTGGCTTTAAAAAAAGCTTATCTTCGAAATGAAGCTGTTGCTGTTTTCATTTTCTTACCATATTTCGCTACTATGTCCACTGGATGTGTAGTAGTATGTCCAAGATAGATGATTGTGGTGTTGTCCATAAACTCAAAATAACCATCTTTTAGCGTTGCATAGGTGACAACTTGACCGTCGACCATGTATTGTAGACCAAAGTATCTGTGTTAATATAAAAGGGGTCGGTGAGAAAATTTTGATCGGCTGTGTGTCGTGTATTGTGTACATAGAACAACGCAGCACTTCGTGCGACATGCAATAAGGCTAGAACAGGGAAGAACAAGAGGATGATGTGGCACGTGGTGCATGTTCATTTTAGATCGGGAAATGCAACCTACCCAGTGGCAAGATCACCTTTAAAACATTGGATCCAATTTTTACATGTTACGACATAAAATTATAGATGAGAATGCAAGAGAAAAGTATACGTTAAGAAGCACTTTTTTGTCACATATTACATACCAGTATCTGTGAAATCCATATGGCCTACAAAAGGAACAAAAGAAAAAAGTTTGGAGTTATTTCAAAAACCTGTGTAACTATGCCACCGCTCGTGTGTATATGGTATACCCTCTATCCGCTGATGCTCCTGTTACTTTATGTGTTTGTATCCTTACCCGCAGGGCCTGTGTAATCCAGGTTATAGAATGTAGGTGTCATAATGGACGAATTAAAAGTGCCAGCACTTAAATCCGATAATCCCTTTTGACGACCTCCTGTATAAGTATCGAGAGCCTAAAAATGGTCATAAGAATTAGTTAAATCAACTTGTAGAGAAAAAAGTGCTAGTGAGCATAAATTCATAAAACGTAGTTAGTGTTGAAGTATAGTTACCTTGTTTAAACCTAATGCTAAAAGCTCCGCACAAGCATAAGCGTTAGGTGCATTATACGCTAACCCCGCAGTTTTCCATGAATCAGGAGTGGTGCTACAACATGATTTATTTTCGTCTCCTGTCAGTGAAAGCAAGTATACGTGAAGCATTGGACTTCAAAAAACAAAGAATTAACATACAAATTGTCCGGAATAGGTAGTTCTTGCCAAGCTTGTTGCATTGCGTCGTATGCAGGGATTCCCGTTACTGTTTTTGGTTGTGTATTATATGTTTGTAAGTACAGTGTAGCTAACCCTGCGTTATTACTACTTACAGTTCCATAAACCGCTAATAAACATGAGGCCATCGTATGTAGCTAGTTCTTCAGGGGACGATACCATATCGCGTATAGCAGGTGACATGTCGTTTGTTAGCATCCACACCCATCCTTCGGATAAAAGCCCCATTGATCTATGAGAAAGTAATGCATGGTCAATGATGAGTATCCAAAGACCCTTTTCCACTCTCTTTCTGCACAACATTTATTTTTTTTGAAAATGAAAATGCAAAGCATACTGTGCTGTTCGAAGCACTGTTAGCTGATCTGTAGTTGTTGAATCTGCGAAAATAACAATACGGGCACCCGACGTAGCGAGCTTTTCAAGAGATTCTATGTACAACAAAGCAGCGCAATATAGATGTTAGTATCGAAAATGGTAAGATTTACCGCTGACAAGGTTACATTTTACCTCCAACGCGTGTCATGTCATACAAAGGAACTTGTGTCATAGCCTCGATGCCATGAGTTTCAGCTTTTTGTACCATGGCTTTTAATACTAACGAAGATTACACAAATCATTTCAGATTTTGGCAATCCTAGTAACTTTTTTTTCATTTTCTTGGATGATATAAAGTCGTTGTGTGTATGTGATGAGAGAAACGTGTCTGTTTACCTTGCTGACCCACATTGTCGTTTGTGTATATTAATGCAAATGTTTTCCACCCCATATGCTGTACCCAGTCTACTAGCGAGCTTCCAAAGAGTACTACGTTGCCGACTGTCCGAAAAAAGTATGGGTACGCTTCTTTGTCGGAGAGCGCGAGCGATGCTGATGCACAAGAGCATTGTGGGATTCTTTGGACGCCTGTAATACCAGCTTCTGTTTCGGTCATGGTCGATATCATATCACCAATGACAGCACTGCAAGTGTTTCGTAAAAATAATTCATCTTTGTAATTTAATGACTCCAAAGCATAAAATTCGCGGCTGCAATTATTCGGTTTGTTAATCTTTTACAACGTACTTGACGCCTGCATTTACCGTATCAACCGTCGTCCAAGCTGTTTGTCCGACATTGTCAGCATCCGAAATATAGCGTACAAATTCAACGTTCACGTCTTTCAGATGAATATCGAAGGCAGAGACGAAAAAGGATGGTAAGTGTTGGTGACTTGTAATGTTTTGTTTTTTTCTAGGTTCGTCTATGCTGTGTACGTAGTAGTTGCGGCATCTATAGTGTACCTGACAACATATCACTCCGCACAATATTCGTAGCAACCATATCGATTGCTGCATTGCTCGCAACAATCATATCGTTTAGTGTTGGGTCATCTTGGCGTACTTGAGATGGATCTGGAAATATTACGCCTATAGTATATGTGGGTATTGAAGAGTTTGATGTCTGTGCGTAGGCAAGGTGGTCGTCATGGTCGCCAACAAATAAAAGAGCGCCAACTAGGAAGATAAACAGAAACTGTTGTAATGAAATAAACAGTTCCTTTGGACGTCGGCCCCATTCCATTATGTGTCGTTTGAGGGAAGAGGATCCAAGAAAGAGCGTAAAACCACAAATAGAGATGTGATGGTGATGTTGATCGGTATATGGGTGTGTGAAGGTAAGGAAAGAATGGGTTAAAACAGCAGAAGAAGGGAGAAATTCTAAAGCACTGGAATAGGTAGACAAGGGAAGGGAAGAAGGAGAAGAAAGATCAAGTTTTGTCTGACGCTATACTCGAAACGGGTTCAACAGACGCTTACATGAACGGAGTTGCCACGCTATAAATTTTGTCACATCCCGGAGTTTTTCTTTGGGGGTTACGCGATGCACAGGGTCCGCGACGTGGGCGGGTTGCTGCATTGAGATATCTTTCTATGTAACGCCCAAAGGGTGGAAAATGAATGTGCTTCTTTGGTTGGGCTACTGTCCCTTTGGTTTGCTACATGGTCTAGCTCCAAACTCTTTGGATGCCATGTTGCTTTTACTCTTTCAGGTGAGAGGAAATCCTTTCCTTCTGCTATCTGTTCATGCATGAGCTTTTATTACATGTTCAAAAAGACCTTTCGACACCTTCATTATCTACTTTTTGCCTCGCGATTGGAAAAAAGAGACCACTAAGTACCCATTTTACAAACTTTTTAAAGATAACTAACCACGCCCCTCTTTCTTTGAGAGGTCTTTTTTTACTTTCATCGTTGCACGACCTAGTGAAAGGTTCAGCGTAGTACAACGATAACCACAAACGCAGAACTAAAGCTGAGTGGCAATTATCAAACGCAATAGGCAGATCGCTGCTGAAAACGTGGAATATTTTCTTTTTTTCTTATTTGGGCTCATCCCCTGAGACACATTTGTCCGCGCATTATACTTTACTATCAGCATGCATGCAATGGTTGTTTCTTTCGTTTCTTCGTCATGTCCTCTGCTGTAGAACTTCGGCCACTGCTGTTGTCCTCCGCTCTTGCTTTTATTCCTGGTGTCAGAAAAACACACAGCAGAGGGCAAATCATCAGACAGAATGTAATAACTCTACACAATCACTGAACCTTTTTTTAGCAGCTCGTTCTTTGTTTTTTGTCACCTGAGACACGTCAAGAATCATTCTTTTATATGTGGCATGTTGTTCAAAGTGGTAATTGACATGGAGCGAGAAATATAGTACCTGCTGTATAAAGACACCTTTATGTAGCGCATTCTTCTTTTCTTTTTTTGTTCGGCAGTTTAAGTTCGTTGGTGATGATCGACATACTGTCCGAGCTTTCGGAGAAGTTGTTTATAACAAACTTCAACATGCATTATCAGTTTTACAAAAAAATTAGACTGCTACTCAAATAATCTAATGAGCAATCGCGGATGTATATATTTTTACCACAGTTGCAGTTATTTTAGTATTCTGCTTCTTAATGTAAAGATTACTGCCAAATTCTCTTTTAATGTTTGGATCCAAAAATAGCACAGCATTGATATTGCCATGTATGAGCCCTTTGTGTATCATGTTAATATGGGGCCGCGGCACTTAACATTCGTGGAGTCTATCATATCATCGTCACTCACAATACTAGTTCTTTGCAGAAAGATCCCCAATTTACAAACTAGCAAACTTAGCTATTGTCAGTACTATCACTTATTATGACTCGTTAACGAAGAGAATAACTCATCAACAATATACTGAAAGGCGTACGAAAGTCACTTCTATTACACATAAAGTTACCAATGATACAATGATGACTTGCTGCAACTATGTTTATGGACAGCAGTTGGCGCATAGTGAGTGAAGAGCTTAAAGCAATCAATGAAAAGAAAATGTATGAGGACAAGTATATTTTTTGAGCTAATTATCCGTATATTAATGCGTCTGATGTGATACGAAACTTTACTTTCGAATCTATAATGGCTCTATCATTGGGGTGCACTCTACCATAATATTAGTGACCTCGTCTAAATACCAAACTCATCTCCATTACCGATGTTTTTTTCCGTCGACTTTTCATTCCATATTTTTCTGTCATACAATAGCGATCTCATAGATCCCATTCCTCCCGATGCAATAATTACATATTGTATCAACAAATTCTAGTCTGTGTCAATCCGCGAACGTCACTTAAGCATGTCTAATATTAGTACCGCTTCACAATGTAAGTCACATCTACGGTTAAAAGGTAAGCCACGATTTGCAGCTTTGCACGAAAAGCACATCAACAACGCGCAGTACTTTCTTATAACTGAGGGGAAGAAGTATACTAATGGTGGTCTTTCATCGCTATTACTGTTAAACCGTTATGAGTAAAAAAAGCATCGTCTTAGCTACAACATATGATTGTCCGAATGATGTGGCTGTCGTTCTTTCTCATACAACGTCTGTGTACGTTTTTTTGAGTCTGGATAGTGCCAAAATCTGATGCACTTGGATGTGATACGTCTTATTGAAAGTGAACATCCTACATTGATATTTCAGCTTCTTCACAATACTTGGCATATCTAGTTCATGAATACCTTCACATATTCTAAGTCATACCGCTATGATATTATGTACATGATATATATCAGGAGCATAGAGTTCCCAAGATTAAGGATTAGATGTTATTGCAACCAAAATGGCCTTGCCTCGCTTGGTAACTTTTGTGAGCAAACTTTTGGTATAACTAGCCACCAAAAAAAAATAGTTAAGTACGCTGCTGCCTTTGATCGTTCAATGTTGCATGATATACAGTCAATCACTAAAAGAAAGGTCACACAATAGTAGCTACAAAAACGGATGTTGCAGTTAATGGATACGAATTAATCTTCCAAAAAATAATTCAAATTTCGCGCAGCTGTGGTAACGAGCACGCGTACTTTATTCGATGTATGACTTCGACGAGGCGACGTAGATTGATGATCGTGCCTCAAAAATCAGACAAACAGGTATGTATTTGCTACTTGAACAACTTAACCAAAGCTATTCATTGCTGATATTCAGCACATCATCAGATGCTCCATCGGGCGAACTGTTTCTATGCTCGTTCGTTTCATGATCTTCTAGGCGTGAAACTACGATCCAGTGGAATTCTGGGTACGAGAGACACATATTGCTCATCGACTCATTAGATAATGGAAAAAGCTTATGTAATACAGTAGTATGCTTGTGTCTGATCCATGTCTCTCTCTACGAATGCTCTGACGAATGAAGAAACTCCGCAACACATGCCAACGAGGAATTAAATACATTGACCACGAAGCGATAACTTGCTAGTTGTATCCTTCTCATGGGTCGATAAGTGATTAGTTTATTCAATCCAGTATAAAGGCTTAGCAAAATGCTAGTTACTATAATAGCTTCACAAATCAGAAAGCTGATCAAATTATCAATTATCAAAGTATCAAGTTAGCGCGTACATTATCGAGCCCGTCTGTGCATCATCAAGTGGCTTATCATACCTGTCTGCGTATCACGTGCTTAGCGCCTACCCCTTCAATGCCTAATATACAAAACGTTTTAGCTAATAATCGGTGCGAGTGATGACTGAAATTGGCGGTTAAGTCCTGTAAATTGCTCTAGAAACGACACCAGTTTGTAAATAACATCATGTAGCAGTTGCAGCGATGGTAATCTTATTGCCAGCTCATATCGATGAGATGATGGTTGTTTAATACTACACTGACGTGGGATGCAGCTGTTTTTTGCTTTTACAGAAAGGATCTCAAAAACACGTGCATAATCTTGTCCATTTTCATACGGACCAGTAAGAAGTATATTAGGTCGAGAACAAATGCCACACCGTACCTCATGTAGTGAAACTTTTTGTGTAAAGTAAAGCTGTGGTTTTAAGCTGCAAGCTGTCCTCTGCTGGCGCTGCTGTTGCTTCTGCCTGCAGCAACACTTATACAAGTAACATGGCTTAATAAACAAAACACCTACTCGACATTTCGATCCTTTAACCTTCCTAGTCATATTTGGATTCTTGGATATGCAAATTTGAAAACCATCATCATGCGACCGTGGATAAAATTGAAGATCCAATGAAAATGACACCACCTGTTGATTAAATTCTGTAAGAATTCGTGTGAAAGCTGAATTTTATTTTGTGTGACATAATGATCACCACTAAGAGATACGTTGTCGTTGTTTGTTGTTGTACTGTAAACCCCACCTCCACGTTTTGTTTTCGCATCGCACAGCGACATGCACGAACCTGTATTATTAATTGCGCTCCGGTAATAAAAGTAATAGATAACAGCTCGCTGCATGTGTGCTGAAATCAGGTGGACCGACTCTACTACGAATTCAAGGGTCAGCCCGCCCGCTATATCTCCTGTTCTGCACTCCCCCTTTCCGTCAACTGCGTCCGGAAGACAATGCACCAATCATAGACTAGCTGATAACGGATTACTCTTCCGGATGACGAAGATTCAAGCAACTATTTGCTGAAAACATATTTTCTACCTACAAAGTATTTAATTCATATCGCTCCCATTCTTGTCTGCACCTTTCTTCCCCCAATCTATCTCTTTTTCTTTCTCTCTCTCTCTCTCTTATTGCACCTTATTGTCCTTATCTAAGAAATTGAAGAAAGACTAGTAACTTTAGAGTAATAAAAAAGAATGGGGACCAAATACGTCGATCTTGATACACCTGCTTCGTCCGTCATATCCTCCTTTGGTCCTAGCTTAGATGAAAACCGACCACTGCTTTCGCGATCTACCGTCACCTCATACACAACCACCGATGAACAACCCTCAAGCGCCATTACGGATGAGCAAATTGCAAAGGCTTCGCCATTTAGCGGAATCTTTAATCTTCTAAACACCATTCTGGGCACTGGCATGCTGGCAATGGTAAGCTAAGCAAGTGCTACATGCTGGCGTTTTGCTACGAGTAGTGTGGATACATGCTAACCTCATACTTATCAATTGGTACATCATTGTACGCACATAAAAAAGCCTGCTGCGGTGGCCACGGTAGGACTATTGCCAGGAATGGTCTTAACATTAATATCCGGCATTGCATCGGGTGCAGGTCTCTACTTCCTATCCGAAAGCGCAAGCAGTGTTGAAGGACGACGTGCTTCTTTCTTTGCAGTCTCGCAGCTGACCTACCCGGGTGCAGCTGTATGGTTTGATACCGCTATCGCAATCAAGTGTTTTGGTGTTGCAGTGAGCTATCTCATCATTATTGGGGATGTCATGCCACAGGTGAGAATCTTTGCCTTTTTTGAAAGTCATATGTGGGGGGTGTGGATGTTTTTGTGGTATTAATAGCCGAGCCAAGCCAAAGAACGGACGAATGAATGAAAGAATGAATGCGGGGGAGGTTGGGTGGGGGACCTTGAATGTGCAACGTGGCAAAAAGAGCAGGGGAACCGAACACTGCCTTTTTCCCAGGCCTATTGACAGCCCAGCTAAATATTTACAAATGTTTGTTTTTATTTCCAATTGGTCCTAGGTGGTGATATCATTTGACAGTTCCGTTGCCAAAGATTCTATCTTGCTGGATCGCAAGCTGTGGATCACAGCCGTCATGTTTGGTCTATTGGTTCCTTTGTCATTCAAGCGTACGTTGGATTCGTTTCGTCACATTAGTGCATTGGCCATTTTGGCAGTTGTCTATCTGTGTGCCATCGTAATCTACTATTACTTTCTCTCCCCTGATTTCCCAAAACCACCGCCCGAGGATATTGAGCTGATCCATCTGACAAGCAGTATCTTTGGCAAACTGCCGGTCTTTATCTTTGGCTTTACATGCCATCAGAACGTAAGTGCTGGTAGGCCTATCTGAAGCGTGTACCTACATACTATTAGGCAGTATGCATCAATGGCTGGATTGTGTATGATGTGCATTTTGGCACGGGAAAGGATCAGGGAAAGAAAGAGCAATATGCGCGTATTGGCCTTAATGGAATGACTTCTATTCAGCTATTTAGTGTACATAATGAGCTCAAGAACAACAGCCGACGGTCGATGGTCAAAGTAATCTTATCTTCGATTATTACTGCCGGTGTATTTTATGAACTGATTGCTATCCTCGGTTATCTCAGCTTCGGCAGGCACTCTAGAGGAAACATCATTTTAGAATGTAAGGTTCATTATCTGCAGACTGATGTACATGGTAGCATAATGTTGATGATACATGCATATTATATCCTTGCTCCTCCGTCTTCTCTTCTTCTCCTTTATTGCACTTTGGTACTATGCTTAATTTGCTCATTTCTTTCTTTCCTTCTCGTGTGTTCTCTCTACATTAATCATGTAGACCCTGCTACCTGGTTCGTTGCAGGAGGCCGTCTAGCCATCGTTATTTGCGTCTTGTTTGGCTACCCACTCCAGATTCATCCATGTCGTGGGTCGGTGGACAAGATCTTGATGCTGTTTGATCCCAGTAAAGACAAGTCGCCGTTCCCAGATCCACCATCAACAATCAAGCATTTTGCCATGACCACAGCCTTATTAATTGGTACCTACATTCTAGCCATCACTGTATCCGAGCTTGACCTGGTACGTGTATACATCATCATCATCATCAGCACCAACAACAACGACGACAAAAGGAAAAAAAGAATGTTCCATTATTATCGATGTACAAATGATCGCTCTTTTTAACATGCTTGGTCGTCCTTGTTGTTCTTGCTATTATAACTCGCGTGGTCCCTCTAAAAGAACAGGGAACCGACAAAAAACTTGGTTCTTTTTATTCATTGCATCTTGGGCATGTTATATTTATAGGTTCTGGCATTCGTGGGCTCCACGGGTTCTACGGCGGTATCTTTTATTCTTCCCGGCTTGTTTTACTTCAAGCTACATGAACATGAGCGCTGGACTTTTGCAAAGATCTCCTCGCTCGTATTGGCAACCTTTGGATTCACGGTCATGACTGTCTGTTTATCGTACAATATCTTTAAGTTACTTTGAGTCACATTTGATGATCACTCTACGTAGTATATACAGCATAATGTTATACTACTAGTACATAGAGAAACCTTTTCATTGTTTTTTTTTTATATTTTGTTCTTGGAACTATCCTGCCAGCCCCTTTTCCCTATCCCTCTCATCTTATTTTACTCCATCACACAAGTCGCATCCAACCCCCACCCCCAACTAATTTTATACCAAAATTGTTGATTTGTTGTTCCTGTGACAATCTGACAATGAAGATGTGAACTACTATATAAAGACTTGATTCGAAACGAAGCGTCTTTACCCTTAACACACTTGGCTCGCTTATATTTCCTTTCTTCCTACCTGTTTCATTCCGACAAAGCTAAGAAAAATGAACTGCAACGACCATCAAGAGCAGCAGCAGTATCATTCGTACCCGTACCTCCTTCAACAAGCCTGCGATTCAACTATCAGCCTCCAATCCACCTTTGATAGTTATTATCACTCAGCTTCGTTAAGCGAGCCACACTGTCGATCTCTAAATCAATACCAACGAGCTCTGGATCCAATTCCAGAAGACGAAGCAGATGCCGTCGAGGCTCTACTCCAGCTTAGCTCGTCTTCTACTCCCTCAACAGATTCTGGGGTTTCCGCATTTTCTTCTTATTTGCCGCTCTCTTGTTCCTCTGTGACTCTCAATACTGCCACCACGGCTGGCTCGAGCACAACCAGTCTCAGCACAACCATTAGTGCAACTACCGCTGAATCGTCCAACAAGTGTCCAGTAGACCCTGCGCAAAACAGCACCAGCAACAGTGGCAGCAGCAGCAACAACAACAACAGCCGCCGTCGTCAAGTTAAATCCTGGCAAAAGAAGAAGCCACGATGGCAGGATCCCGAGCGGTTGACATTGTTCCGGGCCATTGTTCGAGAGAAACAGTTGGATGACATGACCACTTTCCATTGGGACAAAATCGCCAAGGCTGTAGGGCGTGCTGGAAAAGCGTGTAAAGATCAATGGCGTCGAGAAATCCTTCCCACCTTGACGAAAAATATCAAATCATGATACAATACCGAAAAGAGAGAATGCGTACTTCTTTTTTTTTTGTTCGTTGTTGGTTCAATATGTAGAGAGATGATAAACTTTTGCTTAGATGTATGTAAATAAAGAATAAAGAAAAAAATTACATGAATTGTCGACGATTCAAAAAGCTAATTAAATCATACTTGGTGGCTACACCAAGACACCATTTTCGATTGATATCCGTTACAACTGCGAATGAATTCTTATCAAAGAATTTGGCTAAGGAAGAGAAGAAAATTGGGAGAGAAGGACGGGATGGATATGAGTGAAAGCTGATTAATACAGGAAGATTAACTGCGGAAAAAAAGAACAATGACTTACCGAGATCAGCCAAGCTGGTATCGGGTGTAATAATTTGGTACTTGCTAGTACTACTACCCTTCTTTTTAAATGAAAACATGCACAGTTCCACAGCAGTGTTTGGCTGGATCGTCCCGTGCTCGAAACATTCCTGAAGCGATGCTAATGATACGTAACCAACCAGTTTTTTGTTATCTGTTCGAATAACAGGAAGCTGTGAGAATTCGCGTTCGAGCATCACGTCAAGCGCATAAGAGGCGGTTGCAGTAGGAGGGATAGTGACCGCAGCAGGTAGCTGCAAATCTTCCACACTGGCCTAAGTAAAGAATAAAACCATCGCATTGTGATTAATCTTTCAGATATGGAACATACACATATTTGAACTTACTGCGCGGTACCGATCCGTAGACAAGAACTCTAGTTCTTGAGCAATGATATCGTCGGCCAAGTTGTTTTCCAACAACCACTCGTCATTGAGCAATGTTGAGGTGTAGTTCTTTGCACTGTCGTTCAAGATGACTACGCTTCTGTACTCGTGCGTGGTTGGGTTTTGCTCCATTGTGTTGGCATGTTGTATTGCTGCAGCAACTACTGCGCCAGATGAAGGACCACACATGATGCCTTCGTTACGGATCAATCGACGTGCAGCAGAAAATGCGTCCCGGTCAGATACCTTGAACCATGTATCGACAGCACCTCTATCTAGTGATTGTGGGACAAAGTTGTTGCCTATATCTTCGATTCTCCAGTCCTATATGTTTTCTCTTTAGAGCCCCGGTATAACAGCTTCCTCTCTCCTGCTGTTTGGTGTATGTATAAAATATATGCTTGCTCACATACCAAGAAATGATGCTGATGCTTATTATCCGTGCTAGCAAGCACCGAATTAGCTGGTTCAACGCCCATGATCTAGTAAAAATTATTACTTAGAAAGCCAAGAGTACAACTTGTAGTAAAGTAGACCTTCCTCTTCCATACCTTGATATTTGGCATCTTGGCCTTCAACACTTTAGCGAGACCTGAGACAGTAGCACCCGATTCCGCACCGACAAACAAAAAGTCAAACTCCAACTTGGTTTGCTGCAGGATTTCTTCTGCCAAATCCTCATAGCAGTTTTTGGTCACCTTGGTTTCGTCCAAGACAATCGCGTTAGGCAACTGTTCTGCCAATTTGGCTGCCAGAGCATATGGACTTTCGGGAGCATCGGGACGCGCTTCATTGGGTGATCGGATGATTTCTGCGCCTAGCGCTTTAAGCATCTGAATACGATCGTTGGAAGTACGTTCTGGCACAATCGTCAATACACGTTTATGTTGTTGCTTTCGTTTTTTCGCGGCAAGACTAGCAATAGCCAAGCCCAGGTTACCCGAAGTGGGAATAATCAATGTTTGCTTGTCACCGTACGCTGTGTTATACGTATGTGGGTGTTAGTGTAGATAATAATCGTACAACAAAAAAAAGCGCAGAAAAATATATGTGTCGTCTATACCTTCGAGTAAATGCTTGGCGATGCGATCCTTAACGCTGCCGGTGGGATTCGCCAACTCCAGTTTTCCAAGCAATTGAACTATACGGTGGTATCGAGTAATGAAAACGCGTTATCATAAGTATAGAGCCACAAGAGTGCAAAGTTTTTCCTGTGAGCATGGGGAGCAAAAGACATAACTTCACCTTTGTTTGGATGAGCGAGTCTGACCATTGGAGTCAAACCAATGCCATCAGCAATTTCATTGGCAATAGGTGGAGGTTGACGTTCAAGTGGCATTTTACGTGCTGCTCTGTTTCAAGGCTTGGAATAGGTAGCTGGTGATTTTTTCTCTTTCGTCATTTCAATGCAGTAAACCAGACTCCGGTCCAACTGATACTTACTGCAGTCAACAATGTGGATCAATCAAGGCAGGACAGTTTACTTTAACGAGTCCATCACGCTGCTGCACTTTTAAGACTCAATGCAAGAGAGGTGCAATGCTATTTCTATAGCTTGCAGCAGAGAAAAGCGATTATTCAACTGAATCATGCAGCCAGTCTCGAGCACCCAACCAAGCTCCTGTTAACCATTACAGTACTGTCTTGGTTGATGCTGCCACAATTGATAGTAGGGCCATGTTGTTTATTTTGCACTATCTTATATATAGAAAGTAACTCTTGTAAATATGGGCTAGAAATAGATAAACAAGTTTGCTACATGTTGTATTTCTGTCAGAAATTTCTCCATTGCCATTCATTCGGTTCTTTAACAACATATCATACAGCACAATGTAGTTGCTCGAGCATTATGTCACATATCAGCTCAATCAAGCGACGATAATTGACGAAGCAATGGCAATTAAATCGTGGATGGAAGTTTTTTTTCCCACAGTTATTGTTACTGCTTGACTGACTGCGCAACGACGGCCGCAACACACAACATAGCGTATGAGAGAACCCCACATTACTGCTGTCATCCTATTAATGAGTTACGTTGCTACAGCAGCGATCTTTTTTGTGTGATGCATCAGTACTATGTTTCTAATTATTTCGAGCCATTGTTCTTTGCTGCGGTTATGCAAAAAGGAAAATAAGCCAGAGAAATGAAAAATATATCCGCATGGTGCCTCACATGCTACGCAAAAGGGGCGATGGATGGTCACGGGCGCAGCATCTCATCCCACCCAACCACCCACGTACTCACTGGCTTACGCCAGTCAGGTGCAACAGAAATAGCGATCATGCTCCTATGCTGCATGATACTCTCTTTCTTTTCTTCACCAACTTTCTTTCCTTCCCTGTTTTTTTCTTCTTAACAGCCCAACCTTTAAAACTACTGCCACAGTAACAAGCTAAACATTACACATGCGTTCCAAATTCCAAGACGAGCATCCTTTCGGTACATTTACTCATTTTGTCTTCTTTCTTGTCTTCCTTTCTCTCGTCTTCCGTTATACTCTGTCATTTTAACACCTTTTTCACAATTAGACAAACGCAAGGCAGAAGCAGTAAGAATATAAACAAGCTCCTTTACTTGGCTTATTCAGGCCAACCTAAAGAAGGAAAAAGGACTCAGACTTTATGCTATCTGTATAATGATAGGAGCGTATTCGTGAAAAGTATCCAGACCGGATTCCCGTCATATGCGAAAAGGTCGAAAAGAGCGATATTCCTACGATTGACAAGAAAAAGTACCTTGTACCAGCCGACTTGACCGTGGGTCAGTTCGTATATGTCATCCGAAAGCGTATCAAGCTAAGTCCTGAGAAGGCCATTTTCATTTTTGTCAACGAGATATTGCCTCCCACTGCAGGTAAAAGAAGAAGCTCTTGGCTTCCAACATTATCGTCATCGTTATAATCCTTTCGGAGCATTATTATTAATCGGATCTCTTTCAAACAGCACTGATGAGCGCAATTTATGACGAACACAAAGACGACGATGGTTTTCTGTATATTACGTATGTATATCTTCTCTTGGTGATCCCCAGATCCCGGGGTTGTTGTGTTGCTGTTGAAAGTTTGGGAAGGAAGGATGTACGGATGGGAGAGGATTAGTAATAAAAGAACTCACACATTTGACAACAACGTATATCAATAGATACTCTGGCGAGAACACCTTCGGTTAAGCGAGAAACGCAACTCTTTTTTTTCTTTTCTTAAATATCCCATCTTTCTCATATACAAACACCTAAGCACGATTTGATTGACGCACGCACCGAGAAGGGCCAACTATTCCACGTTGTCAGTAGCAAGAAGATGATGCAATAGATTGTTGATGTTAATGCTTCAGGAACGTAGGATTATTTGGTCATTGTATAAAGTGAAACTTACTATATCTTACCAATGATGCATATTTTTACTCTCGTTATGAATGATGGTGAAGTGATGGTGCGAGTGTTGTAGTACGTTGGCTTGGCCGTATAAAGAATCCAGTATATGGGATAACGGCTTATCTACTTGCGGTGATAGTAATATGGATGCGCAAGTGGTGGGGTATCGTCTTTTTGTTCTGTCTAACCGCAAGCTGTCAATGATGTTCAATTGAGCGCAACCAAGGGTGTTGAGTGCTTGCGTGAGAGGTCAATGACGTAGTTGTTCTGCCGACAAATCTTCAATCTGAAATTAGAAACTTCTTAATGGGTACTGATATTATATCAATGGCGTATGATGCAGTTATTGCGGATGACTTTTGCAAGATGATATAATGTTTGCTTGCCTGACAAATACATTAAATAGGTTTTCTGGATCTTTATATGATCTCTTGATTTTATTTCAGGGCATAACGTGGTGGTTTAGTATATCCAGCTGTCGTGTTCGAACACTTTTGCTCACAAAGTACGCCCAAGCCGGCTTTTAACAGACCACTCTATCTAAATAATAGCCGTGCCTTGATCCTGTTACAGCTGGTAATACAGTAGGTAAAACTTAAGGCTCAATGATACGCTGAAACGCATTGACTTTCAGCAAGGATTGGGAGATAAAACAATGCATCGTTTTTATTCACATCATCTAACGTGAACATTAACAAGAATACAATCAGTGGTATATGGAGCCAACTTCATACATTAGGTAACTTAATAAAAAGTCATCATTTTAGGAAGTCATAGACCTTCAATTAACCTAACACCTATAACCACCCACTTGGCACTCATTAAATACGCATATAAACTTTCCATCTAAACAAGACGACTATCCTGTTCTCCATAAGCCCCCTTGCCCTCTCATGTATACTTATCCAATTAGCCTCAATCCTTCGTTCACCAATAGCAACCCCACAGAGCTTTCTACCCATACAGCCATTTCTTATGGTATGCCTGATCCTTAAATGCTGTTCCCATTTGTTCCAATCCAGAAAGTATGCGTGCATAAACGTAAATGATAAAATTGAGTACATCGGTGTTGTGTGCGAGAGACTAGAGAAACCGTGTATATATTTCCAGTGTAGCTTTCAAACATGGTAATAAGCAGCACATTTTGTTCTAAATACAGGTTCTGAACTATATCGGTCGCCGCCAAATTGCCATCGAACAGAGTAAGAGTAAACCTCTTAGATGTTGAGCTTGGTGTGGCGCCAGTTGCGTCTCTTGGCGTTCCAGCTAAACGAAAACAAAACAAATGGTTTTTTTTTTCAGAGAAAAGTTAACAATTGAACTCTTTTAAAAACGACGCATCGCGTCTTTATAACAAAAATTAATTATTTACCGGATCTTGGTGTCAGTCTTCATGCGGAACCAGTGGGGAAGGGGGCGGTTCTGCTTTTGCTTCTTGCCGAGCTTGACCTTAGTTCTGAACGACTTGTTGGAAGGCTAATGGGGTTCGAGCAGAATTGAAAAAAAGAGAAAAAATGCTGAATTAGCCGATTGTCGCTTTGTATCGCATATCGATTTTTGTCGTGGTCGTCATCTTTTCTTTTGTTCGTATCGATCCATCCTTTTGTTGTTGCGTACAGCTCATCCCCCGAATCCATCCATCTGATGATCTATCCATCCATTCTCTCTACCATGTCCATCTCATATATAGCATACCATTTCGATTCTTATACCAACGAAAGAGGAAGTTTCAATCTTTCCGCTCTTCGCTCCCTAGTACAGTGCCGCCGTCCCTGGTGGACTAGCGGTGCTGGATCCGAAATTTCCGTTCTTTGGATTCGATGTGTCCCTTTTACAGTTGCGCACAGTTCAACCGGAACCAATTCCTCGCAACTGACATGACCACTAGATAGTGTTTCGATACACTATTACAGGCAGCACAAAACTGATTAAACCGTCAGATTAAGTGCTAATAAAGATCACCTTTTTTATTACACAATTTTAGTATTGCGCTACAAGCTTTTATTTGATTTGACAGCAGGCCTATCAAAGGACAATGGAGCCTAATTGCTTCTAGAATGCACCGTATGTCAATCTTGTCTGTTGAAGCATAGTATAAAACAGAAGAATGTCTAAAGTAATCCTACCATTTCGAAGATCCTCCCGCTACCAACTCTCCGCACGCTTTCTTCGTATGTTGCATAATTTTTTGCTCTACCTTCCTCGCCTCTCTTCATTGATAATGAGCTAAATGGATGGAAAGATAATAACATATCTGAAGCTGCTGGCCCATTTCTTGCATTGCACGAAAATAAATTCTCACATCTTCTATATTGATCTTACCCTGCGGTTTCATAGTTTCCAATTCTGAATCTTGGCGGATTAAGGTGTTACAAATATTTGGCTAAAATAATCAAGTTAGTGAGGTGTTACAAGTTTTTGGCTAACATAATGAAGTTAGTGAAGCTCCCAAATCCTTAATTTACATTCTCCTTGCTTCCGCATTCTCAGGCATCCCAAACCAACTAACAAATCTTGAATTTGGCTCCACCATTATCATATAGTATAGCAATAATTACCTGGGATTCTTCTCTGGACTACAGCTCTTCTCTTGCCAGACGATAACCCGTTATTTCAGCGTTTAAAAGTGCCCCTGCAGCTCGGTCCACTGTCTCTCCAAAGGGTAATAATTATCAATTATGTTCTTGATTTCATAGAATGCAGCGTTGATAGTATTCACGTTGGGGATAGTTTGTTCGACCTATTGTTCGTTTGTTCCCAGATAACGTAATATATATTAAAAGTACAATGGATACTGGAGTTTCACCACTTCTCTTGTTTCTCTCACATTCACTCGCGCTATACCATGCCTCCTGATATTTTCGAATAGACCAGTTATATATATGGATTGTTGCGTCATTTTGAGGAGGAAAAACTTACGCATTATTTCAATGCTTCAAATTTTGCACTACTGACGCTACGTGCGCCTGGTACTAATGCTGATGTTGATGCTGATGGTGATGTTGGCGGTTGTATTATCGGTTTGCTTAATTTAAGGCGCGCATAGATTTTAACCAGGGGCTGTTATACCACATGTTCTGCAGTGTTCATGGAACGGCCGAACTACCACCGGGGAAGAAGGGGGTAAGGAGAGAGAAGAGCAGCTTTAGCTGTTACATGAGTTGTTTTTGAAAAGCTTATGCTATTTGACGCCGATTCGATTCGGTACCAACTAGTAAGACTATTCAACTGTGTCATAGTATGCTACAGTATACAGTGTCGATGACACAATAGATAAATGAACTGGTCAGGTTATTGGATCCCAAGATAGCAGAAGCAATTTCCTCCTTGTCGGCAGAGCGAAAATAAGAGGCTCAAAAGACATATCATTTGTACGCTTTTACTATTATGTGGTTTAATACAAGTGTAAAACAGCAGAAACTAACCGATGATTCACAGAGAGGATATGTAAAACCCTTTAAAGTAACAAAAGGAATATGTGATGTACAGTATGAGACGCATTGTAAACATTGATGCCACACGCAGAATCGCAGAATGAATTAGTAGCAGTAGTACAAAAACTCATGCGTAAAAGTTGTGATGAATAGGATGGTAAGATTGCGTCCTTCTTGTGTTTTTTACATTTTCATTTCTTACCATTCAGGCATCCATATCAAAAGCCCTTGACATGACCAAGAAACATATCTATACCATCCTATTTACGTACAAGATTTTTTTTGCCACACAAAGCATTCATATGTACAACGAAAAAGCAAAAGTAACAGAAGATGACTGCATCACGACTATTGTAAAATGTCGGTCAAATGCTTTGACGAGTACATAGTGCGGGTATCTTATAACTCAAAGCGAGCTTGTTCCTTTCCTTCGCTGCTGCATCCACCTCAAATGTTTAACCAGAGTTTTGATGGTTTTGATAAAAGTTTCAGCTCCGTTATGGTCTTGCTTCTTTGGTGAACGACAGTTTAACAATGTCTCTGGTCATAGTTGTTCACTGATGCAAAAAGCTTATAATATCCCATCTGATTCAGCGAAGCGCACTCGTATAATGTGAATACTTTCTACCCGAGACCAATGAAATCCGGCAAACAGTTACGCTTGTACCCTGCATAACAAACACACGTTTCAATCACGTATCCATCCTCATCACTGATAACCATGTGTCACCTTCCCTAAATAGGGCGTAGTATTAACCTTCTCATAAAAGCTGACACATACGTGGAATCTCTATGCTTCTGAGGCCTTAATTATCATTTCAACAATGTCAGTAAACTGTAACGTCGACGTACACAAGAACTAACAATATTGTAGCATTATCTAGAGCACGCAGTTATTGAATGCGCGTTCTTTTTTAACTGAATAGATGCTTCGCTAGTTACAGCTTACTTCGATAAAAAAGTTCTCCAGTCGCTAATGAGCGATTCTCAGTATCTACCATTGCTTAAAGAACTCTTTGATATACTTTTCTCGTAAATAATCTTGAGCCACCTTTATTTGAGTTTCTGCGTTGTGCACGGAGCCCATATATAAAAGGTTGGACTACCATTAAGTTAACTACGTTAAAGTTACTATGTGTATGTACTGAAAGCATGAACGATTTTTTAGTAAGACGCAGTGCGGACCGCGAGAACAGGTGAGAAGTAAAATGTGGTACGTTTTCGTTGACATCAAAGGAAGGCGCGTTCATAATCTTTTCTTCGCGGAGTTGTGAATATCGTACATACCTAATTCGCACTATGTACACGAGCCACCGGGCTTCATTCATCATACTATGCGTAGGGAAATAAATTATACAATCTTGGACCGAATATGCTGCATGATAGAAAAGTAGGTTTTTGAAATCTAGTGTAGCCTGTGAACATAATCGGAAAGAAATCTGGTATCATCGAAAACTTCCGAACAGCATGGAGAAGCTTACTATAGCAGGTGACTGCTATTATATATGGGTTCGCTCCAGTCTCTCTTCTTTAATCATATGTAATGATCGATGGACAGCTGGCTTGGGAGATCAATCTCGTGCTCATTGTCAATAGTAGACTATAGTTTACATAACATGATTACGTATGTTATTCCTTCTTTTTTAACCAATTGAATCGAAAAGAAAATTCATCTATTTGTTTATCCTTAGGAACAAGAGAAAGTTCTTTGATATGCTACATTGTTGTATAGAGCGCGCCAAGAGTTACGAATAATGTGCCCAAAATTAACTGCATTCTTGTCACACCATATAAGTACGCGCGAATGAGATAAGAGCAAAAAGAAGGTATTTGAAGAGAAGTGGCGTCAGACATCTCAAATTAGCGCGATTTCACACTTATAGGTAAAGAATATAAGGATTGTTGGTGTATGTAGGATGACCGTACAATACTCATTGTCTATTAGGCAATAAGCCAATGATGACAGAGCAGGAAGCGAAGAACAGTAGGATATGACAACAATGTTATACAACAGCTCTGCTCTCTAAATACATTTTTGAGTAACATTCTTGATAGAGACACTACTCCGAGGAACCAACGACGTCTCTTGTTTGCTTATGATGCTAGATTAAACCCTCTGTTTTTTCTTCCTGCACATAGCATCCGACATCATTGTAATATATATGCAGAGACGACGCACGAACGACGAGAAAAGGGATCGTGAGGTCACATGAGAGCATCAAATCTTCCGTAAGAGGTAATGTCAATTTCTCTTATGAGATGAATGTTGTACATGCAGATGATTATCATACAGCCAAGTACAAAGGGATAGAAAAACATACAAAATAAGCGAGCAATAGATATGGGGAATGAAGGGTAATAGATTATACAAAAGAATTAATGGATATAGTACATCAAAAAGAAAAAGGAGGTATCAAACTGTGAAAGCAAAGAAGAGAAAAAGCCCTGCTTTTTTCCTCCTGTCCATCCTGAATAGAACATGTACAGGCAGACGTGAAAATAAACGTGGCTTGCAGGCAGTCTATATAACTAATTTTTACTGATACCACCAGTAAGCAACATCCGCTCCTTGCATTCCTGTTCATGTGCAATCTTGTGAGCAACAAGGCATCGGGCACTACAGTACGACTTGGCTCTACACCGAGCGCAAACGGGCATTGTACGCTTCTCGACACCGCAGTTACCACAGGAGGAAGAGCTAGACGAGGAGGATCCGCCGCTACTGCAAGAAAGCGAGCTGCTTATTGACTTTGCTGTAAAGTATTCCTGAGTCAACCGATCGAGTGCTGCTACTGCCGATTGTCGAAGCAGCTTCTGCTGCTCCAGCGCAGGCGGGCGTACGGCGACACATTTGCGAAAATAAACAGTTGCCTTATCAATGTCATCCCCATGCTGATACATTAGAGCACGGCAGTTGTAGATTGTGATACGGATTGCGCGACGGTACATTTCCTGTTCGTCACATTGTGTTTCTTCTCCCTCACCCTCAAAAACCACGGGCGACTGAGGCGGAGACGTGGGTGTTATTGCTCCTGATGGTCGATGATGGCTGAAATAGTGATGATGGTGAATACTCGTTGGTGAGTTTGCCACGTAGCAATCGGATCCACTTGCTTCTTCCTTGAGCTGTTTTGCCAATGTCCACAGTTGCTTTGTCATAGGCTTAAACCAGTCGACAGCCTGATAGGAAGAGCCCAAGTGTGCAATAACCATCTGGCACATTTGCCACACCAACTCAAGCAGATCCGCCGTACACGGTATCAGATCGTCTCGCTTCAGTGTTGTTGTCGCGTCTCCTTTGAGGACCCATTCAATTCCGAGAAGATAATACATGGCTACGGTATCACAGTTGTAGCATTGGCCTGTGGTCGCGTCATGACACGTATGCTCTCTAGAAGCCAGCTTCACTACATCAGCTAGGGATCCTTGATGCCGAGGAACATCTTGGAGATTCACGTAGCCTAGCGTTGTACGTGAGGATGTGATGTCTGATGCATCCCATACTTTATTCCCTTGAGGTTGATTTCTGGCGATACGGGTTCTGGGCGAAATCAGTGGATGACTTGAGAGAAGCATTATGGAAAAATACAGAACAACACGAAGGGTTTTCGGATTTGGCGCGTGAAAAGAAGGAAAGAGGAGGCTTTCTTTTCGTGCTCTTTTATATCCTCCCTCTTCGAATTAAGCGCTTTATTAGATAGGCTGTCGGATCTAAATCCCCCAAATCTGAGGGAAAAGGATCCCCACCGCACGTGACGGCGCCTTTTAACCAACCGAACCAAAGAACTGGCAGCGAAAATAAGCATTGGCCAAGCAAAAGCTAGCGGAGACGTCCAGTGATATCGTGTGTATCCTCGCCTCTCTTTCTCTCGCTCTCTTTTTTTTTGGATTGTTGTTATAGCTCCGCTTAAGCTCCAATCCATCTCTTATACCGTATAACCCAAGAATGAGGATTAAAAAACACCATACATTGTTGCAAACAGGAAAAAGAATATATCGTTTAGCCGAGCAAAGGGAGGCCTAGATTCTTCCTTAGACGACAGTTGGAATAACAAGGGAACCCGCGTGCTGTTTGTGTATTTGTGCTTCTCCCTCGTCCAAGAACGATCGCTTGCTTCCGTGTTTTCCTTGCTGTCTACGCCCCCAACAGAATAACGCGCCAAAAAGTGTGGCTAGCGCTAACTCTCAAAGTACTGTTGTCAATTGAGGATAAAGCGGAACTTTTACTGTCATCGTAAATAATAATCACCTGGGACATACGTTTTGAGTTTCTCACATTGCCCGGCAAAGTGTAACATGGAAAGGTTTTTCAAAAACACTTTTGTGCACTGTGAGATCGTCGCAGATTGACCACTCACAATGCGTCATTTGTCCGCGTGGATAGCCCTTTCCCTGCGTGTGGTTTGTTTATCCAATCAATAAAACGTTTCTTCCGAGGTTCCTGTCTGGTCCAATTCATCAGTCAATAAGGTAGAGCCTTGTTTGGCTTACGGTCTCTCCCATCCCCTTTCTATCTCTTTTTTGTCACTTCATTCGAATGCTGGTCCGTGGTTTGTCAGAAAGTGGGGAAGGATCTATGCCGCAGATGTATAATATATTTCCTATACAGGAAAAAATAGAGTATTTTAAGCAATAATGCAGAGAGGCAGAGATTCCTTCCGTTACACAACAAAGTCCCTGTAAATAGGCTTTCCTTCCTCCCTCAACCTCCCCGACGAACTAGCCACCTTAAAGCATTTTAAGGTGTTACCAAACGATAATATAGTGGCGGAAATAATGTCGTGGCCGGCCAGCCAGCAGATTAAAATTAGCATCTTTTTGATCTCAGTAATATTTTGCACGGCGTGCCGATTGCTTAATGTATCCATATCTAAACAACATACACACTACACAACAATGATTATGAAGCAACGAATCATCCATGGTAGGAAATTCGACGAATGCCTGTACGGGTATACTCCTCGTTTTTCTCCGACCTCTCTTGATCTCCAGTAGACGATATAGGAGCAACATTGATCGACTGTGTTGACGGCTTCGGATCCGGACTCGAATGTCGGTGCATTGATAACGCAGAGACAAGCGGCTCCGCCGTGGGCAATAATGTCAGTCAGGGTATTGGTAACGTTTGAAATATTAGTCATACAACATTCTACCCGTCGTTTTTCTGCTTCGAAAGTGCAGGGGAACTGTCCCTGATATATTTACGGCCGCGTTAGAGGATCGCATTTGCATGGCACTGTACAGACGAGGCAAAGCTTTGCGTCGCTCACGATCTTGTTTAATGTTTGCAGGGATTGGACGACTTCCTCAGTGCTATTAGCTTTGTTCGAGTCCTTTTTCTACTGCGTCGTAGTTGAACTTGCCCTCCTTCGTTTCGTACCAGGTGATGTTCGTTTCGCGTGTAATTACTGTTCGAGTCAGACTAGTTTTGGTTTGTTCATCCTGTTGTTTAATCGTCGCTAAAGTAGTTGGCAGCGGTGGTAATGCCGATCTCTGCCGATTTCAATAGTAGGCTGCAAAAAAAACGGAGTACCTACATCCATTCAAACAGAGCATCATACTCGCTTGATAACCCTCACGTTTTCCTCTTGTTCCACCCATTTTGGCGTAGTTTCTAGACAAAAGTGTATTTGATGAAGGATCGCTTAGTGGTACCGCCACTTGTATTTATATTTTGGGTTTGGGTTCTTTTACTGGTAGAAAACAAAGACACGTGTAAGTCATATCTACGTGCAAGTACAATGATTAGAAGCAGGTTAGGAAAACTTGACTTTGCTGTTGCTTGAGGTGACAAGGAAGATACCGTGTTCTTTTTTTTTTTGTATTGTTTGAGCACGTCCGTTAATGGTTGCTTTTAGATTAAATAATCAAGATTAGTTTGCGAATACCTAGGCACAGTAAGAGGAGAACAATAACCGAGCCTTCGAGTGGTTGTTATTGTACAATTCCAACTTTTATTTCGATTACAGTATATAGCACATGATCGCTGTATCAAAGTAACTTTCTCTACACTGGTGATATGTCTAGGTGAAGTGTGGAAAGAGAACATATCTATAAAATAAATGTATGTGGTAGTCCAGACGCGATAAGTTCTGCTTTTATCATAGTAAATTTAAATGCTGTATATGAATACTCGCCGTGCGCTCCTATTCAAATTAGCGTGGGTTTGTACGATTACTCTATGCATAAGGGTTAGATTTTGTGTGATTCAAGCCAAGTTCTAGGCAATGATTCTATAGCTTGTAACATATATACAGAAATCCAAACGGGCTACTTAGACCTGTGCAAAGAAGGACACATTTGTGAAATACATACTTGTAATCCAGTTTGTTAGACAATTATGATCAATCATTGTATATATGAATGTAATATTTGCGGCGGCAAGTGACCCGGCAAGTTCGCCTGTATTCAAAATCATGAGATGATAACCAAATGTATAATTATATGCTATATGCTTGGACAACGTGTATTATGATGGCTGGGACGATGAAAGTGAGGTTTGATTCATTCATTATTGAAAGCCTCACCGTTAAAAATGAAAGAACCATACCGTGTTCTTAACTTATCGCGGATATTCTGATAACTATTGATATAGTGGTGAACTGGCATGCAATGCATCCAAAATCGACTGGTAAGCCAGCGAGTATCAGTATGGCCCACGAGAAAGCATGTATTCGGTCTAAAGGTGAATCTGGTTCTCTATATTACGGGGGATGGCGTGAAATACAAGCTGTTCCATGCTGTATCCAAAACGAAAAATGTCTTCAGTGATACAATTGCCATTCAAGAAAACAGAAACTTTACGGCTGTACAGAATTATCATGAGTCAGCTCGTCCGAGTAAGTGATGACAACGATTTGATGGTCGTTGGATTCAAGGCAATACGTATTCAGCTCAAGATAGCGACGATTTTGAACAATTAAATGATGGCTTATTGTCCCTCACTCTTATTCAATTTAAAGGTAGATTGGGGCACACAAAAAAACTGACGATAACAAATGCAACATGTACACCTACACCGCTGCCGAAATTCAACCGATGTGCAGACATCTCTAATATGCATAGATAGAGGTATTCTTTTTTCTAATTACGTGTGTGTGCATCCCATAATCATACAAGTTTAATTGATGTCATCCTCTTTCACAGGACTGAATTCACTTTATTGCCTGTGCGACCAAAGAAGGAAAAGCATATGCGTGTCCATGTAACTCCCTGCATCAATATCAGTATATACTGTACATTATTGCAAACATAGCAAAATGCCCAGTGAAGGATGGTGTGTCTTCTCCTCCCCTTTTCTCTACTCGTGAAGAAAACTCTATATAATAATCGTACAATTCGTATATGCCTATGTCCTAAGTTAGATCTGTGAAAGTATCAAGCTTTATATCATATCAAGTTAACATATGCCGTAAATATGTCTCGTCGCTTCCTAGTCGCATTCCTATCTTTAAACTGTGAGCAATGTGATACCTTTATGAAGATGAATAAAAGCATAGCGTAGAGTAAAGAAAATTAACAACAATTTCGATAGATGAGCTTATTATTAACAATATTTTATCTCCTTCCATTTCCCTCGTTTTTGTTTTTTCTAACTTCAAGGGGTTGTAAGAAGCCGGGAAAAAAAGCCCTCGCACTGTCGCATATAGTTAAAGATTCTGAGCCTCTTCTCCTTGTGCTCCTCATCTGTGTCCTCTTTAGAGAAGGACGTGTTTAACCTTAACAAAGGAAGCGAACAAGCTGAATGTGTCCCTGCTTATAAAGGGGTACATACTAAGATGATTATGATATGGACTATGATGGATCCTGGAAATGAATTAAGGTAGATAACGTAGTATAGAGATTATCACTTATCCCCCTTCTTTGTTGCAATCCTAAAAAAGAAAAAGGCAATAGTGTCTGTTCCATTCTTATCTTCGTTATCATTATTGTTACAATCAGATATTGTTGCCCTTTACAACAACGTTTAATGGCTTCTTCAACGTGACAAAGTAGCGATAATTCTTTCCGTGTACATATTACCACCTGAGAACAGGTATCGAATTGTACATGCAAGTAATTGAAGAGGCGTATGTAGTATTATATGCAGCCAATCGATGCCTCGAAACAGTTTCTCCTAAGTATCACTATTACTACTACTATCCTCGAGCTTGTCTCCTATCTATGAAAAAAGGGTGGCGGCAGCCGTACATGCATGATCAGTACTACAAAATATGCTCGTGGTCAGACCTTTATCGTAGGACTCTTTTCCTATGGGTCACTGCATGCAGCGCAGATCATCTAAGTATCATCTCGGCAAACAGATACTTCTCGCGTAATCGGCAGTAGGGAAAGAACGGAGAGAGGCAAGAGGGAGCTGCTTGGACTATTTGATACTGTCGTGATCCCTCGTCTCCTCCGAACTTTGACGCATGTTTACAATTCATAGGGTTGTTTAAATCATTTTAATATCGAGACAAAAGAAGAAGCGTAATTGAGCCTGTGTTAGCTATTACTGTTAGCTTAATATGTAAAGAAAGACCTTGCGATCTTTTTTTATTGTTGTGTGGATTGGTCGCGACAGTAACACGAACCTATTCTATTGTGGAACCATTCTCGCCACAGAGCAAACACGCTTTCTCTCTCATACACACACCAACCAATCCACTGGATTTCGAGACGTTGTTCTTGCAGCAGGGCTATTAACCTCCTTGTTCCTCCTCCTCTACCTGTTCGTTTTCTCTACCTTCTTAATCCACACGCACTTGCTCCATTTTGCATACTCTACAAGTACCCATCACTGTAAAGAAAAACAAGTTTTGAACTTTCCACTCCTTTAAAAACACAGCAATACAATGCGTCATGCCCCATCCGATCACTGAACCCATGAGACAACAACACCAACAGCAACAAAAGATTGCGACGCGGTTACCGGCCCCACCTTCATTACTCGCACTCGGCTCTGACGACCTTGACTGGGACGACCAGTACACGGTCGTAACAAACTCACCCAGTCTCGCTGCCATCAATAGTCGAGGAACTGAAAGTCGCATATCTTCTCCAACAGGAACGACAAAAATCCACTCTGGTGGTGGTCTTCATAATATTAGCAGTAACGTGGGAGGATACAGTAACAGCGCCATGATTTTCAGCGAGGACGAGGATGAGCCATCACCGCTCGGCTCCTCTTTATCGCACGGCAATAATGGCAACAATATGCTATCTTCGTTATTCCCCAACATACGAGGATCATCCCACAGCTCAGCGGCCGGTGGCGGTGGTGGTGGCTTCACCGATCCAATGTTAACGTCCCCTGCCTATCATTGTTTCCAGGCCGAAAATGCGCTCATCACACTAAAGCAAGTCGTTCGTGATGATGGATGGAAAAAGGCATTGAAGCATAAAAGTGGTGTGGTAGTCCATATGAAAAATGGGGTGAATAAGGCAGACAAGACTCCATTGTTCAAGGGCCAGGCCATCATCCAAGGATTTTCACCCCAGTCAATTTTTTACGTGATTGGAATGCGCAGATTGTGGGACGAAAAGTAAGTCATCTTTTCTGGGTCGTTCCATACATAATGGGAGATCATTATACCTCGATGACGGTCGTCTACAATGTAGAAATCATTTCTCATTCTCTAGCTATGAAGATGGAAACCTCATCGAGAACCTAAATGAGACAACGTCTTTGACATACGAAGTCAGTAAGGCAACAGCAACTTCCAAGTACGTTTTTTGTTTGTGTCGCCACGATGAATTACTTAGATTCTGTACTACCATGTCATTTCTGCTCTTATTTCTCTTCAATCCTGACCCACACAAACTATTCATTATTGTTGTTAGGCCACGAGATTTATCACTTATTGAGAAAATCGAATGCACTCATGATGGAGCCATTATCTTTGCATGCACAAGCGTCGAATCGCCACGTATCCCTAAAATCCCTGGAAGAGTCCGTGCACAAATCAAAGTAAGCGTGCAACCTTATTCCTTCTGAGATTCGTCGTACAAAAGCATTGACACGCGAAAAACTTTTGTGTGAAATAGCTTCAAGGTTGGATACTTGAACCAATTCGTGGAAGCATAACACCAGCAACCCGAGTGACCTTTGTCACTCAAGAGAATATGAAGGGATGGATCCCTGGTTTCACCAAAAAGTCACTAGCACGTCGGCCGTTGGTGATTGCTGCAATCAATGATTACTTGCAGCGAAAGGCAGATCGAATGCGAGCTCAGAAAAAGTCTTCACAGCATGCACCGCGACCTTCCCTTTTCGGCACAAGTAACAATAGCAATACTCTGGAACCGCCTCCACCAACGAAACGTAAACCACATCGGTAAATCAATGACTTCTCTCTCAGGAGATGGGGTTCTCAAGAAGATGTTTATATCATCACTAGTATACTGACTCGCTGTTGTAGAATCCTCACACAGCAACATGCGTTATCTAGCCAACAAAGTTTCGAATCGGCTATGTTTGATCCATCGCCCACATCTTCACAGCGCTCCTCGCAGCGTTCTATCCTCGTCGACCAAAGTTCAACATATCCAGCAACCAAAAATCAGCATAGCAGCACTCAGCGGAAACATATTACGTTTGCGGAAAGCGATGTTTCTGACCGAGAACCGGATGATGTCCCAACCCTTTCACCTACAACTCTGAAACAAATTCCATCGCAGCAACAGCAACAGCAACAGCAACAGCAACCCCAGCACCGACAACAACAAAGACAGACAATTCCGTCTCGACATTTATACCCATCTCATCGTCATCCAACGAAAAAGGTAGAAAGCTTAGAATTGCTGAAACGACTCTCTTCATCTCTCGATGACTGGATGACCAAAGGCGAAATTGACGGTGTTAAGCTTTATACAAAAGCTCAACCTGACCGTCCCTCCTTCCTTCGTGGCGATGGCGTGATTGAAGGTGAATGGACAGCTGAACAATTATGCTCTTTGATCCACTGCTATGGCGCCCGAAAGATATGTAAGCATCTTACTCTTTAAACCTACTGTGCTACTATTGCTGGAAACATATACAAGATGTGCGCAAAAAAGATGTAAACTCACAATAACACATCTTATGATATCAGGGGATGAGCGATTCGAAGGAGGTCAAGTGGTCGAACGGTTTAGTCAAAAAGAATATCTCGTTCATTGGTCATTACGCAACATGTATCCCGTAACAAACTGTGATATTTCAGCAATCACGACCATTGAGACGAATTCTTCAACTGGAACCATATATACAGCGAGCACCAGCGTCAACGATCCATTGATTCCAGCTTCGACAAAAGAGGCAAATGGCAGCAACAGTGGCCATATCCGTGGTCACACCGACTTATACGGCTGGATGTTTACGTCTAATCTGGGCGAGGGAGGACGCACGAAATCTGTCAATGTAACCATGGTGTGTAACCTTGTCTACAAGTGTCATGTACCAGCAAATGTAGCCAAGGTGATGGAGAATGAAATGCTGGCGTCAGTGGCCAATGTACGCAACTATATCCAAAAGTATGGTTGTCCACCGTATATTCGAAGAGTAGCTGGCAAAGTAGTAGAAGAGGATTTCGAGGCGAAGACAGGAACGTACCAAGTAACTTTTATCGCCAAGCACGAGCCATCCCAGGCGTACCGGCAACGCAAGTCCGGCTGGTGCACAGATATTCGGGTGCACAAATCAGTATACTCCGGGGGACTGGACGTTAAGGTGTCGCCTACAGAAGGAACGCGCGTGGAAATGACGTCGGACCACAAAAGCGTGCGGATCTTCACCACTAGCTCGGAAATGGAGGGAAAGCGAGTTGTTGTGTTATTAACCACAGAGAACCGATCGACTGGTGCGGAAAAAGATGTGGCTTTTGGAAGCTCGAGTAAGCAGCAGCAGCGGCAGCCCGGGATGGAAGAAGAGAAGAATATTAATGTTGAAAATGAAGAAGGTAGGGGTCGCCCTTGTAAATTTGGTAGTAGCGAGAAGATAATCTTAAGCCTAAATAATGGATTTTTTCTAGTATCTTTGAAAGAACCAGCTCAACTACCATCCCTACAGCACCAACAGCAGCAATCAGTGCTGTCTGCGACTGAAAAGGTCTCAACAGGACAAGCTGAACCAGCGCCTGTAACACCAACGTCCTCCACCCACTCGATTTTAAACCATCCATTACATCCATTACAAGCAGCTTCAATAGCACAGACACCGCCTAATGATCAGCAGGCACCTTTATCTCCAACAGCATTCTCTCACATATCTACAGCATCGGGTAATCTACAAGTTCCAAAAGGCTATATGCTGGTGCCACAAAGCCATCAGGTATCTACTACTGTAAAACAAATAATTCTGTTGATTTACAAGAATGAAAAGAATGATGTTCTGAGATCTTCACTTGTTTAAATTATTAGAGCAATAATATCATTATTATATCGGACGATCTCACGTTTAATGGACAGCAACTGGCCGTTGTGTTTCTTGCAATGGTTCTTTGTTACTACATGGGCAAATTTGCTTGCTCATGCTCATAAAAGCCATTCTTCATATCTAGCGAGCTCCTATTTACAGCGCCTGCGACCATTAGAAATTGCCACTACCACATGATTTTGACGTACTATTATTCTTACTACTATATAACTACCTTTTTATAATAACTACAACGCACAGGCATGCTACATACACACATTGGATACTACTGCAGCATTTACCTATACTGTCTTTTTTATTGTCAAATTTTACTACAGCGATTGATCATGATTAAAGAAGAGGAGCCTGGCGTATCCATTTCTTCATAATGGCTTCAACATAATGATCGACTTCCAAGCGTATTTCAACAATCAAAATATCCGACTTGTGCACCTCGATGAGCGCTGCGCGTTCTGCCTGACGGATCGCAGTGAGTTCAGTTTCATCATCGATAGCCTTTCGAGCAGTCTTGGCTTGTTCAATGACTTGACTCTCTGCATTTTTCCGTAGAATATCCATATCGCTCTTGACCTCTTCGGCAATACTGCGAATGGCTTCTCGTTGTTTTTTCGTTACTGGCTGTTGTTGTTGTTGGGTGTGCTGCTTATCTTCAAATCGTTTTGGTAAATAATGCTGTACTGTACGCAACTGCTCATCCAGCTTTGTCCGTGCCTGCGTAGCCACTGTCAAAATAGCTTGAATTTCTTTGTCAGGTAGCTGTGTTTCGTAAGGTGTCATGGTAGCCGAGTAGTAGTCATCGAATGCGTCATTTTCGTGGTCGTCACCGTCGTCATGTGTAGATGCAGTAGGGTGTTGTTTGCTCAAATATGCATGTAATTGATCGGTGATTACAGTTTGTAACCCCTTGGCATGATCGATTGTTTGTGCACGGATAGTCTTGGCCCGATCCAGTACTTCTAAGGCCCGATCCAAGGCAGCGCTCTGTAACAGCTTCGCTTGGTCCGATACGTCCGGACTCCACTCGTCATACCATGCTCGCATTGTGTCGGTATAAGGTTCCACGTGTACTTTGTATAATTCATTTTTAAGTAATTGGGCAAAGTTTTGTTTAATAGGTTCGCTCGCTGTGCATTGGCGGTTGTTGATTTTTGTTGCATCGTGGCCTCGTAAAACGTAGTAGGTAGCAGCTACTACAATAGAAACTGTCAAAAGCCGGTTGATCAACGTCGCGATGGTTCGCTACGTAGGATTAGGATTTTTCATATTGGTTTCGATTATTAGCTAACGCGTATAATATCCAGCTTTAACAGCTCTTTCGACACTTTTCCCCGTGCAGACAGACAAAGACAAGCTCCTCTTTTCTCGCTTCCTGTATAAAGGGAGAGAGAGAAAGCGAGGTATAGCCTGTCTATGATTATTGCGCGTAGTCTTTCTTTCCTTCTCCCTTTCTTACCATGAAGCCCTATATACAGAACGAGTGTCGTTAGGTTAATTATTCATACAATCACGATTCCTAAACTGGCATACACGTTCACCTTGAGGGGTTCTTGATTGACATGCGATGCAGGAAATGCAGTGGTTGTTTGCACAGTTGCATAAGGTACATCGTGGGCCGGTAATGCTTTAGGTAACTTTGTAGATGGCACACTTGATGTCTTTACTACTGTGTTTATTAGCAGCCGCAGAGAACGAGAAAGAAGGAAATGTAAGTCAATACATATTTGTTATGTCGTTTGTTATGCATTAGAGACGCCAACAACAATGTCCGATTGTTTGGGTTTCCGCGCGGAAGAGAAAAAGGAGGAAACAAAAAGTAGTAATGGCAGGAGAAAAAAAAAACAAGGCAGAAAAGCTTTCTCTTCTTCACGCGTGCCCGGGCCCAGTTTTTCGAAGTTACTGTACCGGAATAAAACTCGTTATTGTCTTTACTACTGCCGTTGTTGCCGTTGTTGCCGTTGTTACTGTTGTTACTGTTATTTGCACCTCTTTTCGTTTTCTTGGTTTTGCCATTGCGTTGATTTCCGTTTTTTTTGGCAGGCATGTTTAAGAAGTTGCAAAAAGATAATTAAAGCAAAAAGAAGGAATGAACTAGAGCGAGAGAGAAAGAGCAAGGAGTGAAAGAGGAAAAGAAAAACAAAACTGGTCCCTCACACGTAGCGAGTTTTTTTAAGGAGCCATACGAGTTGCAGAGTAACCCGAACCAGTCTTGTCAGTTATATAAGTTATTTGGTCGGACGTACGTTGTTTCGCCACTTGCACAAGTTACCGAGACGAGGACTAATTCTTCTGGGTTTTTAAGTGTAACTTCCCAGGAGCCATTTTGCATAATTTTATAAATGGCCAGACATCAAATGTTTTTAGTTAGAGAGTCATGGCCTCCTCCCTATGTTGTTAAACATATCTGCTGAAGTGCTGAAAGTGCTTTTAAAATAGCGAATCCAGTTCAAGTATGGCCACTTTGGCAGTAACTTCTTGGAAATGGAATAGGCCTAATGGCCAGAACAAATATTTTGTTTCGCGAACTCTGCACGATTTATGTCACATGAAAAAGCTCTCACACTCGTCAATTTTGTAATATTAGTGAGCTTCAGTACCTGATGTTGGCCTTTTCTTCTCTTGCATTATGGAAGCTTTCTATTTAATGGTTCCAACGCACCAACAGTCTGTAACGACGATCATCAAAATTAATAGCGTAAAACGAACAATAGAAAAACTTAAAATAATACGCGGGCCTGATCAACGGCAAAACAATCTACTCCAATCTAATTTAAGGTTTAAATCCTGGCAACGGTAGACCGGCCGACAGTTGCTATGACAACATTTGCAGGTAACTGCTGCTATTATGCGAGCATCGCTTTAAAGTAATACGTATCGTAGAAGCTTATTCGAAATGAGTTAATATGTATTCGAGCTATTATTCTTTCTTTTCTTGCAACAGCAAGACGCAAAGAAAAGAAGACCAACAATTGAGAATTGGTATAATGTGTAATGTATAGTATATGAAAGCTAAAGTTTTAAAGTTTTTCTATTTTACAGCAGTCTCCTCTAATCCCAGGCTGCGTACTTTCTCCATCAGCATATTCACAGCATCCTGAATCAATGGATCACTATCCCGATTGTCCTGCATGCAGATACCGGATAGCTGGTCGGTGATGCTAACAATTGCTTGATTCAACTGCTGATCGGAATCCTTCCTCTCTCTTGCAAATAGACGATCGGATATCCCGTGATAGTGTGGATTGGGATCTTGCGAGGGTAGACCATATGTCGTGATGTGCTTATTTGCTAGATGCGTGACTAAGACTTTAGTTATCTAACAAATCAAGTGTGTTTGACGTGTAAATATTAGCTTTTTTTTCCATTCAAGTGAATACCAAAGTTCCGACACAAAACAGGGAGAGGGAAAAATGAGGGGTTGGAGGAACAAGATGTATACATACTGATTGTAAATCCTGGTACTCTTGCTGCGCGTTACTGCTCATCGTTGTGTTCTTTATCCGGCTGTTGTTGTCACCTTCAGTATAATCATCGTCGTCATCTTCTTCGTCGCTGTTCTTGCTATCGTTGTAAAGAGCCAGTTGTGTCTGCCGCAAGTTGTCCATTTTGAGCTTTGCGAGTAGTAAAGGTGTTAATCGGAAAGGGTCGGATGCTGGTACACTGGCGCCTAGAAAAAACCGTAAGATGATATAATATGGCGTGTCCGTGAATCAGAAAATACAATTAACCGTTCAGATGGCTAAAATATATGTGCATGAATACAATCGAAAAGATGACATACCTTCTTCCAGAAGCATTAGCACGCAGCTAATGTTGCCAGCAAGAACCGCTGTTGTAACAAGAATACCTTGAGCTTTGGGACACGTTCATCATGACCATCATCTATCGCTTTTACCACGTAACATTCCCCCTCTTCTTCCTCCAATTTCTATCCTGTTTCACATTCCAAAGATACAAAAGGCTTCTTCCCCTTTCCGGTCCCAAATCCTTACCCATATGCATTGGTTGTAATCCGTCGACGTCGCCCACTCCATTATTCACATCCGATCCAGCCCGAATGAGCACCCGAGCTATCGCAGTTGCTTCTTGCAGATCATCTCTTCGTCCGCAAGCAATATGTAATGGTGTGCGAAGGTGATTATCACGTACATTATCTGGGTTGATACAGGAGAATGCCGATAACAATGCTTCCACTGATTTTATGAAAAAATACCGGAAGTTTTTATGTGTGTGTTAATTCTATGTTCTTTTCTTTCTGGCTGTTTCAAAATTCTTCTGCAATTCGAGAAAAGGGAGAGTATGAAGAGTTAGAATACCATCCACAGCTTTCTTTCGTTTACAAGCATCCAGTAACACGGAATCGGCCTGTGTAAGTTGAAGTAATTCACGTAATCGATCGGCACGGCGATTGCGTCGGGCTTGACATGATTTCGTTATACGGTTTTGCATAATCCGAGTACGAGCGAGAGCGAAAAAGGGGGTATAGACGAAAAGCCCGTTCCTCTTTCCCGATCCTTCCTTTAATGAATCTGGGGGGGGACTAAATTGGGGTGTCGTCATCAAATCTATGCAATGTGAAATATCACTAGAATTGAATAGTCGCTATCATTTCTTTGTCGTATAGAGTACGTCATAGATCCTTTGCCACAGCTTTGCCGTTGTCACAGTGGCAGAATTTTGAATAGTAATGGCCAGTAAGTGTGTACAACACTATTGTTGTTCAAGGAACTACTTTCTTCAGAACATCCTTGCCATTCATCCCACCCCAAAAGATCTTACACATACTGCAGTAGCGATTGATCATCATCATCGAATGTTTGTGATCGAAAGGAATAGAGTCGGTATATTGGAATTTAATCTTGATTTAGAAGCGGATACTCTTCGACAACCATCGCGGATGATGATTGTATAACCCCGCATGTGAGAGAGAAGAGATACTTCGTCTCTGTGTATGAGAGTGAAAGAATTTGGTGCGCTGTACGCTTGGCTAGTCAGGGATAAGCTATAGAAGATACTGAAGCTCCTAATGATAAAGGGGGAGGGAACAACCAGTATTAGCACTACACACAGGATTACATGTGGCAATTTTGTCCAACATGCCTATTCAGCACTCCGTTAATCAGGGAGCTCGCCATCTCTCTTTATTTGATCACGCGAACAGCTATGTCATATAGTGGGGAATTTCTAAGCTGCATACATACAAGCACCTTGTTGCTGTTTGCTCGTCGTCGAGTAAGAGAGAAGAATCTATAACTGCATGCATGATATTTAGGCAGGTCTTCTGACCCTCAATGAAATCTTAGAAGAAATGCGAAATTGATGTTCTGGACACTCCTTCTGCATGCACAATTGTTTGAGTCTATTTTGATCTCATGTATCTAACCTCTTCAAGGCAGACCATTCTTTAGGTCTTGAAATGACATTTAGGAGGAGCTCCACTACCTCACAAATACGGCGACATCCTTTCCATGGAGCAGTGCAAGTAATCCTCAAGACATACTTTCTCGTTTGCTCCTAATCTTGGCTTTTGTTGCATACGATAAAAAGTGACAAATTTGTTAGATTGGCGTTCATTTATGGCTCATATCAGTACAGTAGCTACTATCACTACTACCATTGCAGTTTGCACAGTTTATATATAATACAAATCAGTGGTAATTAGTCTCGATAACGACTGAGTACGCTACTCCTTCGTCCATCTCCTCACAAATCCCCTCTCCACGGGTAGGTTCATCCAAAATGCTTATTTTGTAATATACAAGTAAATCATATGTCTCAATTACTTATTAGGCTCCTATTACTATGTAATATATATCATAGACAGCATGTCAATATAACAAGAAATTGTCAAAGTACGATATAAAGCTGCACACATCTGTTGAGCAGCACCATGATAATCGGCTCGTTGAGTATTCAATATTATGAGACTATATATCACAATGTTTTGAGTGCATTGTTCCACGATGTACAGGCGCATTCATTTTTGCATAATTCCATGTATTTCATACTAGTTACAGTACTGTACTCATTATGTATTTATTACTATTACTCGGAACATTATTACTCTTTCTCTACCCGTTCCGCTCAAAATAATCAAGCACCCACTCTTGTCTATAAAGTCATAACACAGAATATTATTAAAGTGAAATAGTGTATGATTTGAGGGTCCTCTTTTCTAAATGCATGAAATGTAATGTTCTTTTTTTGATCACAACATTTGGAAATACTAGATGAGCTCAACATTCAACAGTGTCTTCCTATAAAGTATCATTGTTTTGTTGCTGCATTGATCGATGTATTACAGGATATGACACCGCTGGCTGATGATAAGCACCAGATTATTAGATCGTTTGCAAAAGTATAACTAGTCAGCTGTTAATATCGATTTGCTGAAAAGGAGTTATCATATATGATAAATGTGTAATAACGATACAGCAGACAGAAACATGTTTTATGTCCTAGTGTACTGCAGAAGTGATTCAAGATTATACAATGAGCATCAATATATATTTAGAGTTACTGTAGCATGAACCTCCTTTGGATTTAGCATTGGATATGTACAAGCATTGAAAGAGATATCTACAAAAGTGGATTTTCGCAGCACATCGTGGCATTTTCTCTTGGATCGGCTCGTGCGCTTTGTAGGTGATGTTTATGTCTGTAAAACAAGATCCGAGAAGTGAACCTATACCGTAGCTTTGACTCGACATGTGATCATGTACAGTATTGTAAAGAGAAGATGACTATGATTGTCGTCGCCTCTTTTTCGTAATCAATAGAAGTATCGATGGAAGAACGAAATGTCGAAGGAATTGCCACTTTAGGTTTTTTTATTGTACCACGAACCACCAATAATATGTCCTAGAACAATTGGCTGTTCAACCTTCTTATCAAGGAAAGTAGCCAATATGTATCACCACACGATGCTGATGCTGTTGGGCGTAATACTGGATCGGCACCCAACACTAGAGTGGATCCTGTAAAGCATACTGTTGCTGATTTGTTTATTTTTTCTTGTCCCATTGCCCCAAATGCACATTTTTAATCGTAGATGTTGTCTTTAAAAAGTTCTTGCTTACCATTTTTTTGTAAAAATCAGTATAGACGGTTCCTACTTGTTTTCTGAAATCTCAAAGATATTCCTGTTTATGACACTTCTACTCAGTGAGGCGTGTGGGCAATAAGTTAAATTTCGAGCCACGCAAAAAGGGTTCAACTCATTGCTGTAAGGGCACTTTAAAATGATTATTTATATATCCTGCGACTTCCCCTCTCCCTCCAACACCCCCCTTTCCCCACCCCGATATCTGCATATTTATTTGCGTCCCTACTTATTCTCAATCTTTCCATCTCTCCTCTCTGTCTTCCTCCCTCCTCTCTTTCACTCTTTACTCTTCTCCTCTTACTTTCTTTTTTCTATCTATCTGTCTATCTATCTAGCTCGCAAACAATTACCATCTCGCACACCTATGGTTCCATCGCTCGGTCTTCCTGTACTATCGCTTGCTGTCACAAATATCCATAAACTCGACGAAATAACCGATGAAAACATATCTTCCATGTGGAGTGGTATGCATAATTCCAACCAGCATTAAGCTGATACATAGCCATTGATCATCATAATGTAGTAATAACATCGACGCTATCTGTATTTCTCTTTAGTGTTTTCTAAGTGTAAAGACAATCTAGAGAATGGCCGACGTTTAGAAAATCTTAGCTGGCGATTATGGTTTCGTGAATCAGTGATGGCAGATGGAAAAGGAGCAAGAGAAAAAACAGACACAGCCACTACTTTGACACTGTCAATGACAACAGCCGAACATGTACGCACACCCATCCCAATTTGTCCTACCAGTGCCACCATCACTACCACCAGCAGCTCCCTTCAGCAAGACGAGAAAACCCAGCACTATTTCGAGCCAACATCCTCTGCAGGATCTTCCATGAAAGACTCGGCCATCAGCGGCTGTGGCAGGTCCGCCAAACGATTGTCGGTCTCATCGTTTAAGCGTATGGTCTCATCTCTGGAGTACGACCATCCTGTCGAAGAAGCTAGACGAGCATACGAAGAGCAGTCGTCGGCAAGTAAGCCGACAGCGGAAGCAGCTCGGTTGTCGAAAGCAGCAGCAGCAGCAGCGGACCATGCAGAACCAACCAAAATTCGTGAGCAAGACAAGGCAGTAGCACCAGTAGCAGTGGCACATGACTTAGCATCACAACCACGGAGTAAAAATAGTAGCAAATTTTATGTCAAGGAGAAGAATGTAGTATCACAAATGATTGGCAATCATGACGAAAACTTATTGGACGACGACGGAGACGAAGACGATACATGCAGCGAATGGTCTGCTCAGGATGATGAGACGGTGTTTGCAGACGACGACGACGAAAATGGGGACCGTAGCATTGCTCCTACAAATAGCACCAATTGGGAATTTCAAAAACAGGTGCCGAAAAACGACGATCTTCCGAAAACGTCACTGTTATCTGTCATGCTGAAAAAATACGACCAAGGATCTTCATCAAAACAGAAACTCAACGAAAGTAAAAACCATCACCATTACTTCCAGCAACAGCTTGCACAAGGTTCACAGCGAGCTATCGCGCGGTCATCCCATACAAGACCAATACATCAACATAACCATTACAATCATAGAAAACCAGCTGTACCAGTAGGCATCAGTCGCGCAGGACGCATACATAATGCCAAAACTGGTAACGAATGCAGCGATTTATCGGAAAGTCTACAATTTTGCGTCGACTGGGAACGCCGTCAAAATGTGTCACCACCGATTGCAATACTGCAACAGCAACATCAACGCCGGCTGTCGGCATGCGTTTCAACTAGCCGAGCAACAGCAATTTGTACTACTACTACTACTATTAATACGACAACGACAGCAACGGCCTTAACTTCTTGTTTCGACTCCTTTCGAGGATGGTAGTAGATAAGAGCTATCATCGATGTCAGATGCAAAGCAAACTGCAATCTTGTATTTTATTTCACAAGTATGAACTGTGCCCCAAAAGAAGGAACACGTACACATCCTCCTTTCGCTTTTTATATCCCACTCATATCAGTCACACATAGCATACACACCACGTTACCACTAGCCAGTTTACTATCACTACATGCATACATTTGTAGCACACATATATACATACATTTTTCTCCATCTTTCGATTTTCATAAAAGAAAAGATGCAGTACACGAAAATATATACATACATTTTACATAAATACAAAGAGTATGTTTATGGTGAATGTAATAGCACATAGAAAAATGAAGATATATGTGCTAAAACATTCGCACTAACACGCACTTCAGAAACATGCTAAAGGTTACATTATTTATTTTTGCACAATGTCGATCATCATCGTTCTTTAGCATTCTTAACTGTTCCTGCGATCGACGCTTGGTTTTCTACTCCTTTTAATTCTTCAACGGGGTTTCGGTCAAAATGCGAATCCAATCATTACTAATGAAAGAAACAGGCCACCATAATAGCAGCAGACACTCATAAACACATAAACATACACATAATGCTATGCCCAATAGCAGTGATCAATCGGTTGTGTAGCCAATGACACTGATACTTAGGCTTCACATCATCACGTCGCTGCGTTTTGGGTGTTACTATTCTAATGTACAAAAAGGTTTATTGACATCCTCACACGCACCCAAAACCACCATGGTACTTTCGCATAAGAAACGTGTTGATGTGTGTAGACATCAAAAAAATAGTCGAAATGCTGTTGAATTGAAGGTCTCTATATATTTTAAACCATTTGATTACAGGATGGCTAAAAAATGGTAAAGTTTAGAGTTGTGGCGAAGATACAATGTGTCATTGATGCGTGAAAGTGGTCAGTGGGTTATATATGTTATCATGATTTGTAATACGTGTGTTTCAATTGTTATACGTGCTGCTGTTAATTTAAAGTTACTAGTATAAACAAAGCGGCTATCATATAACTGGTGGTGGATTACAATGTATGATAAAAGCATCGCATAAAAACGATGTTGCAGACAATAGTTGTTGCAGAATAAATGAAAATATTCGATCGTAAACTCTACAGAAGAAGCTGCGTCCATAGCTGCTACTTTAAGTATAGAGGGCGAATATAGTTACAGAAATGCTCATCTATAAAATATAGGAAATGTTGTGCAATGAAAGAAACATATTAGGCTTCATCATCATCATTTAAAGAGCTACTTTTACTAGCTTAAACGTGAAATTCGTCATTTTTTCCGTCATTGCTGCTTCTCTTTAGAAGTGCTTTATCTCCTTTGAATGTACGAGGACTCCTTCTCTTTGCTTGTATTTAAACAATATGAACATCGTTTTTGCCAGATATAAGTCTTACTGCATTCATATTACGTGTAATCATGAGAGATTCGCGTGTTAGTGATAACGGTAGATGCTGGGTAGCCAAGTGCGTGACGGTCTTCGTTTACGCATCTATTACTTTCGTTTTATTAGTATAATGGAGGCTCACATTTTATGAGGAGCTATAACTGGGTGATACAACTAAGTTTACAACATATGCTTGAAGCTAAGCATAAAAGCCACAATAATGATCATCATGTTCTTAAGGATCAAATAGATTGAAAGAAGATGAGGAGGAGGAGAACGAAGATCAACTAACTGGTATCTTTTGCTTCTTATTGTCAAGGCAATATCTCGTCGTTATTGAAGATCTAAGTAAGGTGCAGGATACTCCCGTTTAAAACGTACTGATGCTCCTCCTCCTTAGTTTTCGCTCCTCCAGTCTAACAATGGTGAAAATTACGCAATATATAATTTTATACCTTATAAAAAAAATTTCGTGTATGTAGTAAAAGACTCAAGCAATAGCAAACTGCAATGATGATCTGAAAGAAGATTGCAGATATATAGGTATGTTCATCTTCTTCGTGGTCTTGCTTAGGTTGCCACAAAACATTTGCTGTCCCTGCCCCATGTGCATTGAAAGTCTCCCAACGATTTAGCTCGCTTTGTCCTAAACCGATTAGCATCAGAATTAGTGCTGCACATACAGAATTATGGTAAATGTCAAGCAGCAGTAGTACCTGTAGCTACTGGAATCTATTGTGACGCGCATGAAAAGTCGCTATCGCTGGAAAATGAGTATATCGGCAATTCAGGAAGGGGTTTTTGCTTGACATTGTCAGTTACTTTTGGAATGTTACATGTTTCTTACAAGCCAAGACATTCAACTGTTGTTAGCGCAGTGCAATCAAGCAGCGAGCAATCTATTTAAATCACACGTGATTTATAACGTGAAACTGTGATGTAGTAAGAGAAAGAGAACGTAGGTTACTTCTCTTTAAATGTAGTAGTAAATGTACCAATCACTGTGATATCATTCTTTGCTGCGCAAATTAGAGAAGTAATATATGTTGTCTATACTTGTGAAACATGATCTTGGCCTAGATCAATTCAATTTATCTCGAGTAAATGTTATTACCTGTTTCTCTGAGCCCAAAGGAATAGCTGGGGGAACGGTAGTGTATTTCGACTCTATTGTGCCTTCCATACATCTTATCGTACACTACTCTTTCCAAGCAATCTACATATAAAGCCTTTTTCTAATGCTTCGATATACTAACTTTTCCCGTAATCAGCTGTTCCTGAAGCGATAAGTTGACGAAACAAACTTGCCATTGTACATATGTACTTAGTCGTTGTCTCTTCCTACCGACATTCTCATTCTGCCATATTACAATTTCTGGTCGTTGAAGGCACAAGCGTGGTCTGGTTTTGTTCCGCATATGAATGTATGAGCAGCGCCTGTTATCCATACAGTACCGTGTAAGTCAATGACGGCTTCAAACTGTCGCGGTATACAGTACTTTTTAAAATTGTAGTCTCTCCCGAGAAACTTTTATACATCTTCAACTGCGGATAAAAAGCATACGCTGCTTAGCTCAACAGTAGTCTCGTTCAAAAGCTTTAGGCGCCAAGATGTGACACTCAAGGAAGAAAGTATGGGGTAAAGCTATAAATGCTTCTCCCTCGCTCCTTGGTTCTGTTATGTATGAGTATGAAGCAGTAATGATGACATATGTAGAAACGGGCATGGGGTGTGTTATTAGATATTAGCTAGGGAGAGGCGGGAGGGGCCCGTGTTTTTCTTTTGTTATTCGAATTACGTTGATCCCAGGGTTGTTCTTACATTGAGATGATGATAGCAACAAACCTGCTTTTTTATTTGTCTCTTTTAGCAAATAAAAGTATTGAGTTTGGGTCAATAACAAAGGAGAGAGAGAGAGAGAGAGAGAGAGAGAGAGAGTATGTGTGTATGTGTGTGTGTGTGTGTGTGTGTGAGCACACTAATCCTGTCTGTGCCCATCGTTTCAACTTAACACTTTGTCGCTCCGCAATTCGTGATCCTCGTGGAACCTGCAAACAAAAGGAACATGAGAGCATTTTTTTGGGCCTTCTTTCTTTCCTCTTTACCTCTCTTCCTGCTCCTCCTCTTCCTCTTCCTCCAAAAAGGCTTCTTCTTGGCCTGATAGCCACTCTCCTTTCTTTCCATTTATCATACCCTTCGCTCCTTTGCTCAAAAATAACCATCGTTTTCCATCATTTATCTTTTATGCCCTCTTGCCTATCGTAAGGCACCTTCCCTGTCCTTTCTCTTTTGCTTTTCCTATATCCTCGTACTCTTCCTTGATCATTTTCCCCTCTTTAGACAACCTTAAAAGTCTGTGTATTATATATACCCTCATCCTTCTGTCAATTCCAACATGGCAAGAGGTGAAACATACGCGATGGTGGCAACAAAAGGGGATAGGAAGAAACAAACTCAGTGTGTGCGTGTGTGCTGACTTTTTGTTTTTTCTTTTTAAATGTCAATGTTAAATAAGTAACCGACGCACGATACATTTGTCAAAGCGCTGCCAATGCCATCATTTCAGAGATTGGTCCATACCGAGTGTCAAACGATGCATTGCAAGCAATCAACCAGTTTCTCGACGAATTCCTCGTGTATTTACTCTCGTCCTCTTTATCACTCGACCTGTCTCGCATAAAAGCCGTTGTTTTCACGCTCTTGCCATCGACCTTGGGCAAAAACGCTATTGTCGAAGCCGAACTCGAAGTCAAAACGTTTACGGAGACCGAAGCCATCGACTATGAATCATATGAACGTATGCGGATGCTTGGTGGTACCAACGGCACCTTCCCGCTCAACGATGCACTCCCGCTCTTGCGAGAAAAGTGTCTAGAGTTCTGTACTTTGGCGGATAGGGAGGAACCAAGCAACTCTGCGTTTATGAACAACACTTCAGCAATCGAAATTTCAATTGCACCTATTGTTGCTATTTATGTAACGACCGTTCTAGAACACATTGCCGAGTATGTTCTCACGGCGATCGCCATGACGGCAGAAAACGAGGATATCGAGTATATCCGTGTCAAAGAAGTGTTTCTGGCTTTGATCGATGACGTTCAGGTTGGTGGTGTGTTTTATCGCATGGAGCTGCGAGAGAAACTTGAGGTAAGGTCATTTTGCTGTTGAGTCAGAGAGAGAGAGAGAGAGACAAAAACTATTCCGGATATGGGGTAAAACAAGATGTACCTAAATTAAATTTTCTTGTATTACACTGGTTTGAATAGAAACGAGCGTTTGCATATGGCTATAGACCCCGGACTTCGACGTATGCCCCATCCATCCAGCAGCAAAAGCATGTACGCAGCTCAAGTATGTGTTGGATACATCTCAATTCTCTTTATCACCAAAGCATCGGCGTGTGCTGTACTGACTGAGAAACTCCGGGTTATATAGCTGCAGGAAGTGCCCATAATGGGGCAGGTGATAATGGTGCAGGATTCCTCGACATAACATTCGATGATTTGGATCTCGGTTACGATGACGACGAAGGTGATCGACCCAACAATAACAACGGCGGACTGAGTCGCAACGAGCACCTCTCTATGTCTGCTTATTCCATGAAATCCAATTTCAGCCAGCAGCGCCCGACCTCCATGATGAGCAGTAGCACCAGTAACGGAACCATCAGCACGTTCGACAGTGCTCATAACAACAACAACAACAACAACAACAAAAAGGCCTTCAAAGTATTCAATAAGGACGGGCCACCAGAGAGACCTGTTTCTGTCTCTGTTTACGATCCAGATGCGCCTACCATGAATTTTGAAGATCTCATTCGGTCTGGCAACACAATGCGAGTATCGCTAACACCAAACCGGCTACGATCTATTGAGGTAAAGGATCAGACAGTCGATGAACCTCCAGCTGCGGTTTCTTGGGAGAGGCGATCCACTACCAGCATGTCACGCACTCGCGGTTCAGCACCCCCTTCTCGCTCTGCATCACCTGCACCACGTGGCGACACCAGGACGTATTCAAATGTGCCTCTCCCTCGTCCTCCTGTTACTTCTACCAGCAGTCGAGCCTCATCCCCATCGCCATCAGTGAAAAAGAAGGATTCTTTCTTGGATGACGCGCTGCAGGAGTACGAAAGCCTACAAAAGTCAAATCTGGGCCCAAGAGCGACCACCCCTGCAGCAACACCAACTGCACCGATCGAGCAACATCCTACCAAAGCACGTTCTTCTCAGGTATCAGCACCTGCATCAGTTTCACCGCCTACTAGAAAGCAACCTGCTATTTCTTCTATCATCACTACCACTACTGCTACTACTACTTCACAGGCTGGTCATTCACGCTTTGAAAATCCTCGAGAAGCGCCTGAACCACCCAAGCCGAAGGAATCACCTATGCCTGCTGTTGCACCTTCCCCACCGACCCCTTCACAGCAGCATGCCCCAGCCGTGCCCCCGGAGCTGCAACAACAGCACAAACCAGCGACGACATCTTCTCCAATCGAGAAAGTTGAAAAATCTGTACCAACTACTCCACAAAAGAAGGAGGAACAGCAGCAGCAGCCGCAGCCGCCTAGAATTATGCGACGCAGTAGCATGAGCAGCAGAAAGAGTCGCGAAAATCTCCGTCGTCAACGCGAGAAGGAGGAGCAAGCACTTGCTGCTGCTGCATCTACGGAGCTTCCAAAGCAACAGAAGCAGCAACAACCATCTACATCGTCACCTTCTTCTTCACCTGTCATCTCCGCCAAGAGCAGCCAAGAAAGCGTCCGCGATGACTCCATTTTGCCTTCGCCCCCAGCAAGTGGAAACGCATCAGCCACTAGCAAAGATTCAATCAAGGAACGAGATGAACAACAAAAGGTTATGGACAGTGAAGAAGAGGAAAAGAAGGCGGTGCATTTTGACAACAGTGATGATGATGATGATGATGCCGTCGCTGATTCGCCTGTTGAGATGACCAAGGAAGAGCAGCAAAAGCTCAAACAAGACGTACCTGAACGTCCTTCGACCATCGTGGCCAAGCGTGCATCCATGGCAGGCTCCTCTCGACGACAGTCGCTTCATGAAAGCTATGCAGTTGGTGAAAAGCTGGACACTGTTCGCCAGCGCTTGTCGACAGCTGGATCTGTTGAAATGTCTGTCAAGGGATGGGAAACTATCATGAAACACGGTGACGATGCCATTACGCCTGCTGCTCAAAGACGTCGTCGATCCACGATGAAGCGTCCCGAGGAGGACGAAGAAAAAGAAAATTCCTCTACGACTACTACTACTACTACTACTGTTGTTGCTGCTGCTGCTGCTGCTACGGCCACGACGACGACTACTATTACTGGCAGCAGCCCACAGCCAAGAGATCCACCATTAGCTAGTCGACAACCCCGCCCTGTCAGCAGTGTACTTGACAAGGTGATGCAGTTTGAGCAGGCCAACTCGCTGGACGATTTCGCACAACAACATCACCGACAACACCGAGCATCTGCCTATATCCCGCGTCGTGAACGATTTTTGTATTTGCAACGAGAGCCTGGTGTTCTCGAACGACGCACGAACACATTCGCTAATAAGCCACGTCCGATTGCTGTTGATGCTGAAGTCCAGACAGAACCAATAGCATTGCCTACTGCTAGCACCAGCACCAGCACCACCGAAGATGATAACGCGCCGCCAGCACTTGTCATCACTACGGAGGACGATATGGGTGTAACCACCCGCAAGGAGCTCGACATGGAAAGCGGCAGTGAGCACGGTATGGTGGATGGTGACGAGGAATGGTTCCTGCAGGACGATGAATGGGAAGATACGCAAGAACAAGAGACTGCCGTTGTTGAATGGCTTCTTGGTGAAGCGTAAGAGATCCTCCTATAGCATGTAGAAAGAAAAAAGACCACGCCATCACACACAAACCACCTGTTTCCCTCTTCCTCTATATTTCTCCTTGTCTTGCCACTTTTTAGTAGTTTTAATAATAACTTGATGCAGTAATAAGATTGCTCTTTCTCGCCTTCTCGGCACCTTAGTCCTTCGTGTAGCACAGCCGTGCAACCGGAATTCCAGATTGCAATATGTCCTCTCTTTCTTGTATTTAATCTGAACTCGAAAAAAACAAGTGAGAGGTCAGCGAAATCAAATGCAGAGTGCAGATCTTTTCGTATATGGAAATGACACGAAATGGGTCAGCTCTGTACCAGCAACTGGGGGCAATAGCGTCTTCGTGTGTAATATAAACAATTTGCCTGTCCGTTGCTCGCGTGAAAGAGAGAGAAAGTGACACCTGTCGAGACGTTTTACAACTGTGAAGATGAAAATAAGGAGGAGGAAAAGGCATGGTGCGTTCGGTCTTCGTGTCACCGCTCGTTATGCTGATCTTTTCTATAAGCTTTGTTTTTTTTTGTTATTCAGATATAAAGCGTCGTATCCCCGCGAAAATCATGGACCGTTTTCCACCACATCACACACCCACCGACCGATTCATATATCTTCTCTTTCTTTCCTTTCTCTCTCTCTCGCTCTCTTCCTCCTCTTTCATTCTTTATTCCCTTCTCACTACTACTACTACTTCTTACTTCTTCTTCACGACAAACACTGCATAACGACCGATTAACATACGCTTCGTCCATTTGCCCAGTTTTTTTTTCACCGGCGCGCCTCTCACTTAACCACCACAAACAAGCCAAACAAACGATAATTCGAGTATTACGGGTTTAAATGGATAACGGAGCCAGTTCCCCGGAACTTCCACAGCAGGCTACGGGCCCTGACTCCTTGGAAATCATGTCCGAGCTGGTTTCATTGGCGTGCTTGACAATCATGGCATCGGCATTAGGTGCAAAAACAAAACGTGAACGTCTCGTCAACTTGACGTACGGTCGAACATTAGTTTTTCTTGTGTACATACTATCTTGGGCATTCTCTGTAACGTCAATGGTGTCTGTATCCACGAATAATTGTAAGCTACAGAACTTTATACTTTTTACTGCTCGGCGAGGAAAAACAATACATTCGCTAAACAAAACCATTTGGACTCAACAAATCCGCTCACGATTCAAAATCCTTCTTTTACTTTTACGTCAGTCAATTACACTTCGTGTACTCTCGCAATGATGTCTTGCGATGTGTTTTACGCGGGTAGTAAAATTGTCATGTATGCATGGTAAAGTTAAAAAGCAGAACTTTATTGCCCGGTGTCTGAGATCACAATTCGCCCCACCCCCCTTCTTCTTCTTAAACTCACATACTTCCTTCTTTGATAGGCTAATCGAACGTGTACATCTCGTCACTGCCGTCAGAACAACTCGATTAAAATCATGGCAGTACCGGTTTCATATTGTCCTTCTCCTGCCTTATGTTGCCATTTTTGTGCTCATGGTAAAGCATAGAACCCTTTCTCTACTCACTGCCAGATATAATTTCTAATACTGAGCTTTTGCTAACTCTTGTTTCTTAGCTGACTTTCCGTAACATTTACCTGCTTGACACCGGCGAGTGCATCATTGGTTTGCAATGGGTTGCCAGTATCCCTCTCATGGTAAGGTTTTCTTACTTACTGCTATTACCACTGATCCAGAACCGATTGCTTATGAGGTTAGAATGCCGACTAATCAATTCATTTTACTTTCCGTTTTCTTCGATACAAATAGTGTTACGACTTTGTATGTATTTTTGTCCCTCGCTTGCCTCGGACACAACAATTCAGAAAGCATCAATATATCACCAACGTTACTAACTACCCAACCGCTATGTCTAGGTTCTTAATTTGTATCTTACGTATCTCTTCGTCATACCACTTATCAACGTCAGTCGTAGTACTACCTGCCGTTCTACTTGGAAAGAAACGCGCCTATACAAATTGACCAAGCGAACACTGATCGCATCTCTTGTGTGTCTCTTGGTGTCACTGGCTAACGTTCTAAGTGTTGTCATTACTCGAGGACATATGCGCGGCTTGGTCTGTTTGACATGTTGTACACTCGATGTCACTATCAACGTCGTAACCATTCATTGGGTAAGATACTATCTTTCATGTACTATCAGCAAATCCAATCCCCTCCTTCGCTCTTATCTCATAACAACACCTATTTTTTGTTTAACCGCCGGCACCAACTACCTATAAGACACATACAATTGATGATTAAGATAATATATTACATGCATTGTTAGGTCACTTCCACAAGCGCAAAAATGTCTGCTCGTCATACCGGAACACTCAACAGCGATGAAGCCAATCAAAATACTGGTTCTGGAACCCCGGCGCATGTCACTGAAGATATGACCGTCGAATCTACCACGATGGATTATTTCTCTCATCATGAAAAGTTCAATTATTCCCAACATCTTCATCATAACCATGTATCTCCTATTCATGAGGAGATGGACCATCATCCTCATCACCGGCGACGACACGACGACGAACGAGATGACGACGACGATAGCGTCAGTATCCGATCGATTCAAGTATCACAAAGCAGTGTCAAACCTCTGCATGAACCTTCCTTGTAAAAATTGTATATCATTGTCCTTCACTTCTTCCGCTGGACGTTTACATACTCGAACGTTGGCTGTGTATTATGATGGTATGATTACTATTAGCTTTATCACGGTCCTATTTGAACCTTTCACCTTTTATACTACGCAAACGTATACTGTCTTTTTCTTTCTACTCCACCTCGCGCCTTCTTGATCACACACCCATCCTTTTCTCCTTCGTCCAGCCTAGTGGTGTAGCAGACCGACGAAGCTCCAATCCTCTACTGCGCCGGTATATATATATATATATATATATATTGCTCACCACTCCCATCATTTCTCTTTGCTATCATGGCTGGTCTATGCAAGTAAAGTAACTGGTAATTTTTCTCTTCTTCTAGTATAAACCCCTCATCTTCCTCTTCTCCTCGGTCGACCCATAAATCCACCATCTTTACATCTCGTATTTGGAGAAAACCTATGTACTCTTTTTTCATATCATCATGTGCACATGCTTTTATTATTACTTCATGTTTTTCCTTAGTACTTTATGTTCATTAACTTCATTAAAACTCCCTGATGACGCTGCTGGTGCTATAGCAACAGCAGAAAACATTGAAACCATTTAGTTGTACATCTCGTACATACCCAGTAGCACACACACACATGATACATGCACAAAAATAATCGTTTCTAGAACTATTACGGGACAATAACAACAGTAATGACGCATCATTTCACCATTACAAAGCTGCGCCACTTTATATTTCTTATATCATATGAATTTTACGTTGTGCGCTTTGTGTGTGATGTACTCAACTGATTACATACTTTTGGTAACCGCGATGGCAACAACCCGGCCTTGTCCTATCTTACTACTATTACTAAACGTGTTTGGCTATATATTAGAAGAATAAGAAAAGAACTTGTGTAAGTAATTTACGGAAAAAAGAGCTTTGCACATTCAACCATGGTCTCCTCATCAGCTTATCCCATAAAGGTGCGATCTGCAATCAAAGCTTTGGCTCTCTCCTATACTGTACATAGAGACTGTGTTACACACATATGTATGAAAGAACGTGGAACTGGCTGCCGTGATCAATTAGAAATCTATAATTTTGACATGGGCATCATCCCAACAGCCGGTTTTAAATATAAAGTCTAGTACATTCTGTCTTCTTTTCTTTCGCATCGCCCAAAAATGCGGATACTGTGTTCGTGCGTGAGTTTAATTTTGTAGCACTTTTTGTTGATTGTAGTACATTCACAGACGCATGAATTGTGTTGCCCAAAGGAGCCAAAGGAGGGAGAAACTTGAAAAACGTCGGTAGCACCAACTTTTGATGCTGATCATCGAATCGTATCAAGCTGTTTGAATATAAATGTGGCCTAACCTGTAATACATATGCCAACAAATTCATTAAGCTGTTTGGAAAAAACAAGCGAACCAAGATGTGGATCGCTCCTTGACAGTTTTATTGAGTTATAGCAAAGGTGAAGTACATTATCGTACACCAAAAATATGTTCATTTTTAAACAAGTGGCTCTTGCGTTGTTTGTGTGATGATGGCATCATACTAAAAACAACTCTGACAACTTTCTTGTAACTGTTTGTTTGTACGCTAATCTTTTTTAAGCAATTGGATATGGCTTTGATCTTTTCAAATCACACAGAATAGCACTAAAATGGTACAGATTCTTCCTTCCTTGTATCATCTTTGGCGTTTCAGCCAATTACGTACTACTCGAAACACATCCTGGCGATAAACGTATTTTCATTAATGTTTCTCGGTTTTTTCTTCTGTACAACACAGTAGAACAAAACGCTTATTGTTGGGTCCTCTTTAATCAAGGAGAGAGACGCAACTTGGTGAGCATGTCAAAGATCAGCATATAATTTCAACATTCTCCACAATATGATATCGATATATATGTTATGCTTCATCAAAGAAACACAAGAAGCGAGGCTGCCAAGAACTGTTATGATCATCATCGTCATATGGCTCACACAGTGTTGCTGTTTATTACTTTACTGGCAAAACTTGTATTTAATATATTATATTGAAAACGCCCCTACAGAGTGGCGCATCGTCGTACTACCAAACTTCGTAGTGACTGTTCCGGTTCCTTTCCTGGGCATGTGTATGTTCGCGTGAAAAGAAATCTACTACCTCATTACTTGTAACTGAGTATGGCGCGGTAACATATTAAGACTGTCATCTACCACTACACATCATGTTTCCAATATCCGTCGGTGCTATGCTCACTGAGTGATAATATTTTACATTACCTTATATTACAGTAGCAAAGGAAGCTCAATGAAGTAATACTCTCTCGTAATGTGGCAAAATGCATAGGTTCAGATTGCATATGTACCGCAAAAGAAAAAAAGGATGCGCCTACTGTACTTGGCCTATTTTACATAAGCTACTAGCCATACTGTATTTCATAAACGCCATTTAGTGTTTGATGATGATGATCTCTGTACATGCATATTGCCTTTCTTTAGCATTGCCTAAATTGGGTGAAGTTTAGTTCTCTCCTGTGAGGTGAGAGTTCAATATACGATGATACATCCTGCATGCATGCCATACACGTACACATATACAATGCATATTAGCTATGCATATACAGCGCAGAACAAAATAATTTCAAACTAAGAAAAGCACTTCTTACCCACTTGGCTGATTCTGCAGGATGTGAGCCTGTTCGTTCTTCTTCTGCAGTATGTACTTCTGAGCTTACCCGCATGCATACGTGTCATATCAAGCTGATAATACTACACGCCCTAAAAGATTATATGCACGTTTTGGCTTATCTTTACATTTCACTCAGACTACCGCTGTAATCTTACCACAACATCATCGGCATGTATTTGGATACGCCCTATAATCGTCTTATCGCTGTTATTAACCCGTGCATCAGCTTTCGGAGCGGCACCGTCGTCATGATCTCCCAAATTTCGACGTTCAAAAAAGTTCAGGTACTGAGACTGGATAGAAAGGTCGAAGCTATGCATGCACACTTGCTTCTTAAATGATATTGGTCATGTATATATACTGTACAAAAGAAAAATCCTTGTATTGCTTGTTTGTAAAATTGAAAATCAGAGAAGCGAGAAGATCACTGCTATTTTACTACGCGACCCATACAGTAGTATGACTATAATACGAAGCTTCTACTTATTCATCTTAGAAAAACATTATTGACAATGATTGAGTGTCGTGAAAAATATGACATAATGGCGAAATATAGTGACTAGAAGGCAGGAAGTATTGAATGAGATAATGGTTATGGTTATCATACTGAGACAAGTTACGCAACAGCAATGCGAGCTGCCTCCTTGCAGTACAGTCAACCCCGTATTTACAGTAATTTCAAATCCGTTAACTTTCAACCTTCAATAACTTCACCAAATTTTGAGAATAGAAAAAATAACATAGTAGCAGTTCACATCTTCGTATATACTTACTTTCAAAGGATCATTCAGGGTTAAAGCCTTATCGGGTTATACTAAAAAGTGCTCCCCCATATATACTTTTCAGAAAATAAGCAGTGCACATTATTTATTTCAGCTGAATTGAACAAGATTGAATGTTATACAAAGAAATCACCTTAAAACTATCTAAAGAGCTTTATCTGGCGAACAGTTTTGCTTGAAGCTTGTCACGTAATTCTCGTCGTTTGGTAGGGAGACTAATTATAGTTTCTTCACCATCAGAGGCCAAGAGATCCAAAACAGTATTACTTTGATAATTTTTTTTCTCGTCTTCAATGGTACATACTGCTGGGCGGCATGCAGTCTCTGTTTCACTGGGTGTTTCTTGGTGGTTCAATCGCCTCTACATTTGGTGTATCTTTATCTATTATGTATGTCGGGAAAAGGTCAATTCGGCCAGGTAAATGTACTGCATAACAGGCTGTGAATTACGTGTCCATTATGGTGTCGACTTCATGAGCGTTAATAATCCATGTAACATCAAGATGTCTCTGGATACAGAATCTATGTGCATATGATAGCAGTCTGTTTTAGTATCGTTAAATTTTACAATCCCTTATTTTTACGAAAAATTTAAAAGGGGATCACTGAACTTTATACAAGATGAAACATACTTACTACTCACTATCTCAGGAGCAGTGGTAGCGTTGTTATATCGTAATAATTAGCGAGGGTGGTCATGTAATTGTTTTGGCTTGTTATTAATTTAGGAATCTGTGAGTTAGTCCTGAATTGCTGACCTGCTGCTGTAGGGAGTTGGCAACCGAATGTATATGTACTCTATTGAACTCACTACTAGAGCAAAAGCAATGTGGTCTCAATAATGAGAATATAAACAAAGAAAGGTATGAGTTTGTTAAATCTTGACGAAGAGCAAAGTGGATTGGAACACTAGGGAAGAGCTCCTACGAAATCTTTTGGAGTATCTGATGTTGTTGTAAGGATAGAGGACAGAAAGGATGTGTAGGTGTTTGAATCCAGAGCAAAGAAAAATAGGTTTAGGTATTCAAGATCCTTAATTTCTGCATATGAGAAGGTGGGCGAGTCAAGCAAGTGAAAATTTATGAAGAAGGCTATGTAGAAAGTGGATAAGCAAGCATCGTCTCTTTCTATCCTTGTAGTTCTGCGAGTGATTGTAATTGCTATTTTGGCATTTCTAGTATCTTCTTAACTACCTGCCACTATCAGTTAGCTCACAAAGAAATTTCGAGCACTTTAAAGTACCTTACGCAGATGGCATACGATTTCACTATCATACAACAAGCGATGCCTTGTCAACTCTCCAACAAACATGTTCTTTCTAAATACGATTAGTCACGGCTGCAATCGAGTTGTTGGCGAAAGTAAAAAAAAAGGTACTCAGCGATTGAATATAGTATGTCGAGAAATAATGAAAAAGGAAAGCATACATGGCCTTTCAATGATCTAGTCCGTGCGTTGAAAGTGATAATGCATCAGGTTTTATTAAAGCCTCGTACAAAAATATTTTGAACAGACCATCCTCCCGTCAGTAAGAGAAGAGTAATACTGTACCTTGCTAAATCTGAATGTAAGTGGACTGCTGCCAAAGGAGGAGGGTTAGATTAGATCGACAATCACTTTCAACGGTTTCCACAATTGACGTTATGTGCGCTGTTGGATATAACGAGTTTTCCATAAACGAGCAAGTTTTGATGTTGCAGATCATAAGATTGCTGAATGGTGCATATAAGCATATGTACTGCTCGCGTGTGGTGAGCTCGGATTTATACACGTTTTTATTACTTTTGCCAATTCTACAACTATAGAGCGTACGTACATGCATGCCAAGTCCCCAACTCGCACTCAGACTCCCCGCCTTATTTCGGTCACTTTTTCACAGCAATTCCTGTCAAGTAAAAAGACTCACGTAAAAATCTTAACAACGCTGTGTTGCTATGATCTTATCTCTCTGTTTATATTGTGGCCGTTATTGGTAAAGAGAAAGTGGCCATCGAAATTTCTGTTGATCTTAGACCCCCTAGCTCTAAATGGGTCTAGCGATATTAGATTACAGCAGCATAAAACAGAAAGGAGGAGCAATGTACGAATCTGCGAGAGAAAAGAAAGGGAGAAGACAACAACCTCGGATGTCATAGTAATAACATGGTTAGAAGAGGAGCTCATTGGCAACATAATACTGATCCAGAGCGGGATTAATTTGTTGATCGGTGAATCGCGGAGAGGAGTAACGACACGCGCATCTAGAAATTACGCGTTTCGTTGATACCAAGAGGGAAAAAAAAGTAAAACAACAATGCCGTTAAATCCAGAAGACTTATTCGCAGATCCCTTTGCTGCTGATCCCAAGGATCCCAAGGGCTCGCTGAACGAACAAGATTTTAAAAACAGTCTTCCACATCCCCAACCGCTTTATCGAGAGCCATCAACGACAACAACGATAAGAGCAACGGGGCAAGCTGGTCAAAGCAAACAACCACAAGAACAGCAGCTGCAGCAGCAACGACGACAATCACAGTTAACTCAAGATCAGCAACAGACATTGCAGCAGCCACGGCAATTGCAATTGACTCAAGAGCAAAAGCGGTTATTGCAGCAGCAACGACGACAATCGCAACTGACTCAAGAGCAACAGCAAATCTTACTTCAGCAGAAACAGCTGCGACGACAACAGCAAGCGCAATTAACACAAGAACAACAACAACAATTAATACAACAGCGTAAGCAACGAAAGCAGCAGCAACTACTATTACAGCAACAGCAACAGCAACAACAGTTGGAGGCGGGAGAGGAACCGCGAGAAAAGACACAAGAAGAGCTGGAACTGGAAGCACGTCAACGTGCCAAAGATATTGCTACGTACAAAGAGGATATTTACTATTCAAGCTACTATTATGGTACCGTGTGTACTAAAAGGAGGGAGAGCTGGTGTGCATAAGAGGGAGAGGACCATGTTGGGATAAAATTTGGTTTGTTTCCACTGATATTGACGCATGTACAATTTAGATGACAAGTATGCATACAGGTAATTGTATACTACCGCAATTTTAGGGGACGAGTAGCTGGGGAGTGGAAACCTATTGACTCAATGACTATACCTGGACTCCTATGCATTAAAAACAGACACGTCAAGTTACCCAAGAGCATCTCGCGATATTTGCCGCACTATGGACTCCTGAAGCAAGAAGAATGGGAAGAACTTGGCGTCCAGCAGCAAGCCGAATGGGAGCATTACATGGTGCATGGTAAGAATCAGCGTCATAAAGAAACGAGCGAGGGAAACGATGATCTAGAGAGCATAGCGCGAACATGGAGGGAAGAAAAAAAAGTACAAACTTAAAGAAAGTGATAAGGCTAGTGCAGGCACACACACGGGGCTGGTGCGATGGCTGAACTTTTTGTTGTTGATTTTAGCGCCAGAACCCCACATTCTGCTGTTTCGACGGGAGTTTAACGGGTTAGAAGAAGAGCTCGACAAGGAAGAGAAACAAGTAAGGGTCAGAAAAGGCTTCTAGCATCATTTCTGGGGTTGCATGATTGTTTACAATATTGGGATTGACTTAGGAGCATTTGAGGCGGCGAAAGCGCGATCAAGGGGGCGGCAAGGACAATTATCGAGCAGCCAAAGCGGCTAATGCCTCTCGAGCTGCCAAGAGACAGAAACAACCACAATGAAGACTTTCCACGGACTCCATGGCTATTGCAACCATCACTTAGTACCATGTCACCTCCTCAAATTCAACCCACCCACAAAAACAAAACCTTTTCGATTGCACATATCACCGGTAAACAAGTGCAGCCTAGTAGCTCTTAAAAAATGTAGATCTCTAAGGCAATAACCTAAAAAAACGGACGATCCATATCACACCTATGTGCACACACGCGCGTGTGTGCAACATACACAAACACTCTCACGAACCTCTTTTAATCGTCATCATTATCATCATCATTTAACATAATGTCATCATCGCCAAGCCTCTTCACTATTAAACTATACTCATCATTCCCCCAAGCGACAATAAACAGTGTCTCTTTTCCGTTTTTATTCACGTGACAAAAAGGTTGTGTTTCTTCTGTTCATGGGGGTTATTGTAAACTGGACCGCATCTTGCTGATATCACGAACAAATCTGCAGCTTGTGGCTGATGGGTGCATGTAAAAGATAACAAGCGGGCCGTATAATCCATTAAAAATATGTAATGTAATATGTACGGCCGTACATATGCTGTGTCTGAAGAGGTTGAACATTATCCCATCATTCGGATCTTCTCGGCAGTTCCGACCATAATACTTTGTTCCTTGCTGTGTACAAGCCCACTAGGTGCATGTGCTACCCAACTAGCCAACCATACATTACATATGCTGGCACTATGCCTCTAAAACAAAATAGATCGTTGCCACACATCCACACTTAGCGCGATAAGCTGTGGCAACTCTACCCAAACCAACCACATCAGCCAGAACCAAATTCATATTACGGCGCTTATGTAACGCCAGCCCAAACCTAACCTTCTTCTTCTCTCACGTATACACGGACATGCACACTCTTTCTCACCTGCCTACTCTCCTGGAGCATCCTCCCCCTCCACGCACATCCCCACACCTGCTCGTACATGAGGCTAGAACGCCTCAGTATACGTCCTTTATTACATTCCCTTTGACGCTGATGCGGTAAACTTTTTAAGCTGCTGTGGCGGGCATTTACCCCCTATTCTCCTTCTTTGGATCTCCCGCCCCCCAAACCACTCTTCCCACCACCTATCCCTTACCATTCTACATAAGGTAATCCGATGCAAAGAAATACATAGTCCGCACCCACTGTGGCTCTCGCTTTCTGAGAGTGTGTGGGGAGAGAGAGAGGGGGAGAGAGATTCTTGGCTGTCCTCCCTCCCCCCACCAATCCCAAACACAGCAAATCTGCACGAAAGATCTTTAATGCTTGGCTTAAATTATTCTGCTTCCTATGACTTTATCATGTAGATCAGCCGTGATGCATGAAGACTGCCCAAGAAGAAAAGGGCAAAGGTCCATAAATGGCACGGATGGACAATCTTACATGGATTACAGTTGACTCGAGAGTCTGGAAGTCAATTAGTAGAAAACCTTCGGCATTCAACGACTTTGTGCATATGCACAACTTCCTCGTTAATTCGAGACCGGATTTAAGTTTTCTTCTAAATGCTGAGATACAATCACATCATTTGCAGACGCAGGTGCTATTGCTGGGAAGCAAACGTGTATCCTTTGTACGAGCATTAGATGTCTTGCAGGTAGTAAGGCACGAAAGCGACAAGCATATATTTATCATTTCTTATTAAGAGACTGAATTTGACGATCACTGCTAATATCAACCACTCAACGGCCAGGAAAGCATACACAAAAGACAGGTAATAAAGGGGCCATCTCGTGTGTCGTCTTGGAAACATGGTATCCTGGTACCAGTATTCATAATGCGATGGTATTATACAGTAAGCAAAGTAGTAGTAGTAGTAGTAAGTAAAAGGTAGCGACAGAGAACGTGGTTGGTCTAGGAGGTGTGAGTCGACTCACCACGAGTAAGTGGGACGGACAAGCAACCGTTTATGTAAAAGGTATTGCATGAGAAAGGAGAAGGGTGGGTATGGATATGTGGTGTGCAAGAGAAAAAGACCTTACATGAAGCAAGTGTGATAGAACGAGCTAGCGGAATCGGCGGGAGGAGGACAAGAAGGAGGGGAGGATACCTTTTTAGGGGGGGGAAGCACCTCAGGGTCCAAAAGTGCGGCGTTTGCAGCAGCAACGCGCCACGATCTGGCTTGGCAAGTCGGTTTGATATGAATGTGGTGTGCATACAGGACAACCCCACCCCCAAGTGATCAGGAGGTTAGAGTGCATTGTGTATGTTTCCAGGATAAACATTGTGTGTATCAGTACAATGTATTAAAGCCGTCTTTTTTGTGTGTGGCTGGAAATTGTGGACGGCGTACATGCTATATGCACAGTTAGACTGAAAGAGTGATCTGGGTTGACAGCTCGAGTAGTGGGTTACTACTTCCCGATATATAGCCTCGTCAGGGAAATCGACACATCTTCTTTCCCTTCCTTTTTCTCTCTCTTCTTCTATTCCTTCCTCGTCTCTCTGTCTCTCTCTTTAACGATCTGACCAGACTCTCTCCTCATTTTTATATACATATTCTTTTTTATTTAATTATTGATTTTGTCCATATTCTACTCATTCATCCGCACCTTATCCTGGCTAGCTCTATCATATCTCAATAACCCTCCGCACTCTCCACATTAAACCCAACCACCCCCTTCCTTTTTCCAACGCGTATTTTCTCTTCTCTGCTAGTTCACGTATGGATATCGCTTGCTTTATTCCTTTGCACTTTTACCAGCACCAGCACCACCATCATCAAGACTCGGGACCCCTCGCGTTATCACGTACAGATTGGCATAGTAACAAAACCGATACATGCTTGCTTGTCAGCAGCCCTGCGCCGGCTTATTCTTGCAAATCAGAAACTAAAAAACGAAGTCTTTATCAGCAGCAAACGCCATCGTCTTTCGAATTGTCGCGCACGAAGCGTCAGTGTCAACAACAACAACAACAAGATATGCAGCCTCGTCACCGCTCGTCTACCACATCTAGGCCAACAAGTACCAATAGAAGAAGATCGTCTCGGCAAAATCAACAGCAACGACAGCAAGATGAGCAGCAACAACAATATCCGTCAAATCAACAGCAGCAGACATCGTCGTCGTCATCGACATTGTCAGTTATTGCGTCGCCAGACGTTGCGACTGTCAACAGCATTGAGGATGATTTGCATCACTTGCGAGACGAATGGGCGACGATCGATATTGTTTTACATTCACTCCGCAATGTATTCACAATCCAGCCTCTCGAGACCGCCACGGAGGAGCATTTGGACGATGTGGATCGCGAATTAAGTATTGCGTACGATGATCTCAAGGCTCAGGTTCGTCATCTTGAACGTAGCCTTCATCGTTTGGATGCAGAAATTAGTTCTTTTCGTGAACCTCGAACGCCAATGACAACGACATCCTCATCGTCCGCTACTACTACTATTACTGCTGCTGCTGCTCCTACTACCGGTGGTCTGGCGACAGCAGCAACTAGTCGGTCCACATCACCAAAGAAAAAACGTTCAGCATCGCCGTCATCTACACACAATGAATCTCGAAGGCCTGTTTAGTAATCTCTTCTTCTGCTCCTCATTTGATCATATTCTGACACTCTTTCTCTTTTTTACTTTCCTCGGAGTTATTTCCGGCTATATGGTCCCTCCCCACACACACACCACACTTCTCTATCCTCTCTCCCTCCCCTTGATTTCCCCTCCCTTTTTTCATCTATCACGTCTGCCTTATTATTGTTTCTATATCCTTTAAAGTTCACCCTTTTAAAGAAACCTTCCCTCTGTTATTACGCTTCCTTATATTCATATGCTTTTTCTATTCCTCTTTTATCTTATTTCCTATTACTACACCAAATTCGACCATTTGCTCCCTTGGTCTTATAGAAATACTACTAGAACTTAGTAGGTCCTCCGCTCCTTACTTTTCATTACCCTATATGCAGGGCCTGATATGGCAGACAAAACCATATACACACTGTACCGAATCTCTCTTTTAACTATAAACATTTCGTTCTCTCTCTCATATTCTATTTGCTTGTACTTTATTTACCACAACCTTTATTTATCATGCGCACATGCTATACACTTAGCCACTATATAGCCTATACTCTTTCATTGCTACTACTGTGAATGCAACTATCGTCATGTCTTATTTGTTCTTGATGCTTACTTTTACGTCCAAAGAGCCTATATTCCCCTTTCTTCATTTCATCCTTTTTTCTCTCTCTCTTTCAAACACCTGCGCCCTTCCCTTCCGCACATATCTTCACCTCTTGTTTCTCTTTATTCCCCAAACCCTTTGTGCTATAGATTACGTTTACCAGATGTGGCATCATATCCATGCTCAATGTTTATTCTTTCTTATGTACGTGCGCATATGCATTTTTTTTATAAAGTAAAAAAAAAGAAACAAACGGTTGTCCGTTCACAAAACCATCATCTACGATCATCTTGTTGTCTTCTCAGCATCTTTCAAAGATTGCTAACTATGCCATGCCTTGCTCGAGCATCATATGTATCATGCGTGATGGTGCGTACATACATATATTTACGAACTCATGGTTATACAACTGTCGTATTGTTCAGGGGAAGAAGAGGGAGAACAGAGGGAGAACAGCCGAAAAAAGAAAATTATATTATGTATATTTCACTCCTCCATTCATTGATACTACTATGATCGCGTATAATACGTACCCATGGCACTTTTCATTTATGTATAGTGGCTTAACAGATTTTAATTTGCGTTGTGTCTGTACCTGACATTGGAATAACTTGAGAGTTTGTTTTCATTTTTCATTTCAGAAGAAAAGAAGTAATAGTGGAAGGAAGAAAATGAGTGTGCTTTTTTCTTGGGGAAGCCTTAAAACCTAGGGACATCTGTCATTTTCACTTTTGTTTATCCGCAATGGATTCATAACACCTTTACTTAGTAATCTGCTACACATACTACTTAATACACATAATAAGCCTTTTTCCTTTTACATAATATTCCACTGCTGGTGACTTCAGTGTCCTATATAGCTATATAAGAGTAATCATCATGTATGCAAGATATACGATGAGAACTGACCTTTTCCCCCTGTACCTTGTTGATCAATGTAATATACAACAATAGCTTGTTGATCGGGTATCGAATGTATAGTTTACGTCTGTTTCGCTTTACGTTTTCGCTCGCTGTATATGCTGTATAGTATGTCATTTAAAATCATCATACGTAATATGTTTTCTCTTCTGTCCGTATTCTGAAGTGTCCACGTCGAGTCTTTCGCTTTCTTATGTGTGCATACAGTAGTAATCACGTATGCTTACCAACAGATGTTGTCTTTTTGATCGCGCTCTTTCTCTCCTCTCTCCTCTCATTGCGTCATTACGATAATACTTTGATCGAGTGCATGTGTGTACAACACGCGCATATCACGAAGACAAAGTATATTCTGGGGAACGAGAAAAAAACAAACATGCACTGTAGTACGCAATATATGGAACCAATGTCCTCAGCACATTTTTGATCGGCAACAACAGCTCTTAGTGAAGGGAAGCTACTATTGTTATTCTAAAGTACAACAGCAATCCATCAGGTGTATGGGTTCAGGGAGAGCAGATCAAAAGGAGGGAGGGGGAAAGAGAGATAGAGGAGGAGGAGGAGGGTGAACATTTGACTTTGAATTATCTACTACTTATAACACCTGTCATACTGTACTATTCGTATATGTTGTAGAGCGACCGAGAAAGAAAGAACGAGATGGCGGAAGAAGGGAAGGGGGCAGTGTGGTGTGTGTATATCTAGCGGGAGTTAGTAGGCTTAAACTCAAAAGAAAATGATCAACCCTTCGATCACTTGCATATTATAGTAACGACTCTGTTCCTTTTCCCCTCTTTCTTTTCATTCGAGTGCCTCTTCATATGTCGATCCTTTCATTCTTATGATACTTAACAACTGCCAAGCGCATTCATACACATCCAAACATACACACACACATTTTGTTGAGAAACGGTCCAATATTGACTTATAACTTAAAAGGGACATACACCCACCAAAGACAGGTTTCCAATTTCGGTGATCCGGCCGCCCTCGTTCGTTTTGCTACCCCAATTCTTCGGTCCCCTTCTCGGCTTTAACGAGCCATCTGCTTGCCTCTGGCCTCGCTTTTGATTTTACACGTTATCGTTTCAACTGGGGATTTTGAAAGGACCACAGATAGAAAAGGGGCCTTTGCTTTGCTTTGCCGACGACTACCTAGTTTTTTTTCTCGTATTGGTGCGCGGTCAGTGTAGTTGTTTGTATGTGTATTTGCTTGTCTCTTTTGCAATACCATGTAGACTTTTTTGTCTGTTTTTCTCTCTTTCTTGACACTTTTATTCTTCTTCATATCAGCTAAATACACATTGCACATATACATACTCTTACATACACATAATCACCCATCAATCCCTCTCTCCCTCCCTCCTTGACGCTCCCTCGAGAAACAGATAAAAGGTGTCACTGCTGAAACCAAACACATACTCACATTTATCATACTACTTCCATTAAACCAAAGACTATCAATAGTTGTTTTTGTATATTTCGAATTACTTGTATTCAAATCTCCCTGAAATCGTTCTCGCTTTCCTTTCTGCATGCATACAGAGACCGGGTCATTCACGATCCAGTATAAGCGGCAGCCGTCTGTGGGCCACGATGCCAGTGCCCCTTCTTCGTCTTCTAAAGGTGCTGATACTGCTGCAGCAATTGCTACTGCATCTCTACCTAGTGGCACGATTGACATGCCCCTTTCGTCCACTTGTCCGGACAAACAAGAAGAAGAAACATCCTCCTCCAGCTCCGCACTTACCCGCGTATTTGGTCGGCTTTCCAATGCAGTGCATGGTAACACAGTAAACACGACGACAACAACGACGACTACTTCACCAACGTCATCAGCACAGACATTTGTTGCGCAGGAACAGCAACAACAGCCATGTTCAGACAGTGCTGAAAAGCGAGAGCCTCCAGCATCCCCTGTTTCAACTGCTGTGGGAGAGGAGGACGAGGTACCCAATGGTTTTTATCTGAACGAATATGATCCATTGAATCAAGAACAACGTAGACGGTCTGCGAAGAATTGTCTAGTTGCCATGTTCATGATAACTATAGGCACTTTGCTCGCGCTAGCATTCATCTTGATTGGTCTTGGAAAAGCCTTGACAAGTGCCAAGCCAGACAACAGAAAGAGTGCTAGTATCACTGCGACGGCGACGACAACACCCGCAACGACAACGACGAATAGTCAGAGTGTATTGACGAGCGCTTCCACTACAATTTTCAATATTGGACCAACTAACAATGATGCTTATATACCATCGTCATTTATCCTACCGACTTACACGTCAGAAATGACAGCCAGCTAATGAAAGATGAAAGCCGAAGATTTCTCTTTCGCCACAACCCATCTTATGTATATTTTTTCCCTACTGCTGACACTAAGTGTGATTTAAAGACATATACAATTTTTTGGTTCAATATCATATATGTACATTAAAAGCTTTGTAAAAAAAGAACAGGCAGCGGTTATATACATGTCAAGTATGTAACAGAGGAAGAAGGCGGTGGAGGAGCTGTTGTCCCACAATATTGAAACGTCCGTCATTATTGCGTTTCCACAACTACTTGCTCGTTTTCTTCGTTACGATTATTGGAATCCGTCCGTTGATAATATGCAGAGCATGCAGCTATAAAACTGATTGAACCGATAACACCACAGACATGGAATGTCATGGATGGCATATACATTACTGTAGCACTGTAAATGGCATTCAGGCCAAATTGAGCGAGCACCCCTAATGTCATATCATATCACAAGTTAATACCGTATATCGAATCGAATATGAAAAAGATTCCATTCGACCAGTTTAACTATGAAATGGTAAGACCTACAGCCAAGTGCATCCAATACGGCCATGGCGCTCAGCACCTGACCCACATTTTCTGGAGCCACCGAAGTCGTAAGGAGAGATCGTATAGCAGGTTGTGTCAAAATTGAAAAAGAACCAACAATGAGCGCACCCAAAAACTGCTTGGCATCGGTTGCAAAACCCATAGCGAACATTTCCGACATGGTAAAGGCGCAACCAATGCGAACGATCCATACGTTAAACTTCCATTGAGCAACCTCACCCGATTTCATGAACAACTTGACCAGCAGTGGGAATACAACCATCAATTGGATCATGCGCAAGAAGGACATGAGACTGATAAGGTAGCCGCCTTCATACGCCGTCCATCCAAACTCAAGCATGGTGTAAAGTAAGACGGGTGGCAGCGCTATGACAGCCAGAAGAAATTGGGCGAGTGCAATCAGTGGTAAAGCATAACGCGATCCATGGATTGTTGGAATCGAAACGAGCTGTTTGATCGATTTGTAAACGTTGATTTGCTCTAGGAACGTCTTTTCTTTGTGTTTTTGGGCAGTGTCATGTTCGGATTCGGGAATAAACGCAAAGTATATCAGAACCAGCGTGAGAACGCCCAAAGCCAAGTAGAATGAGTTCATAAGGTCACCGGTTTGCTGCATGAAACGAGCCACATTAGTTTGCACAGAAAACACAAGCAAGCTTGGTCATTGCACCTTGAGATGCACAAGTAAGAAGACTATCAAGTTGGAATAGTGTTAGGTCTTTGTCACATACCTTAATAAGTACACTAGACACATTGGCACCTATAATATTTTCAAGGTAACATGAATTACAGTACAGGGTACATATGATGAGAAAAAAGTTGATGAAAATGTTCACGAAAGGGAGAGAAAAAAACATCAGTGTGATACGAACCAACCATGACGCCACACAGCATGGCAGCCAACATGTGTCCGAATGCAACAGTTCTTTACAAATTGACAATTATCGGTTAGTTCACATTAACTTGTTTAAACGACAGTAAGCAATCAACAATGTTTATTACCTTCTCGTTACATCGGTGCAGTCGGAGATATATGCTTGTACAGCCGCCATAAAGCCACTATCACCACCAAGAGCACCACGCAAAAATGGACCGACAAAAATAAGCGAGATGCCAATAGAGTCATAAGCAAAGGCAGTAACAACATTGCTTGCTATCAAGAACCACATGCCCAAGGTGGTTAGCCACATTACAAGCTTCCGGCTCTTGGAATCGGACAAATGACCATAGTAGCTGACGGTGAACAGTGCTGTCAAAAAAAAACATGCGAAATGAATAGAAAAAAGGAAGTCAGACTACGTGTTACTACTAGGGTGAACCCTGGTAACTAACAATACGGAAAGATAGTCGATGGTTCCCCTTTTCTGGGAAAGAAAAGACAGGCGACTTACTTGTGCCATAATTCAAAAGTTGCATTACTGCATTAGCAGAAGCAACACTTTCTTGAATTTCGGGTATGGTACAATCTTGTATGGGTATTTCACCTTGATCTAATAAATCTTGGCCTTCATGTTGCGCAGCTTCGTAGTATCTGGTATTTTCAAAGGCAGAAGTTGGTTCTTGTGTAACTAATCATAACTTACGCCCCGACGGCGATTTTGTACGATCTTCTTTATGTAAATAGTACCTGTGGCAAAAGATTTCGGTATACAGCTGAAGTTGTGGAGGGAAAATCGCTCTAACGGTGATGAATCGTTTGCGTGGAACACGGGTAAAGACATATCCAACCAGGCGAGAGAACGTCAAGATTAGATCAAGTATAATTTTCTCTCCTCCAAAGCGATTATAAATAAAGATAATGGTATAACTTACGCAACGCAGAACGAGATAAAGAATAATGGTACAATGACATACCATTCTGATGCTTGGCGTCCTCTCTTGGTCTTCTTGGTATGATCATCATTATCACCAGTAATACTACTGCTACTACTACTACTGCTGCTGCTGCTGCTCCTGCTACTGCCCGCTAAAAGCGGGGTTTGCTCATTGACATTTTTGCCATATGTCGTCGATGCGGTCGTGTTCTTATCATTATCAGTTTCTGCGACCAGAGTCGCCAGATCTGCACTGGTGGATGCTTGCATGAAAATATAGGATTAAGGTTATAGTACCAATGCAAGAAGAAGAGAGAAGCTTTGTTGCCTTTAAAGTCAAGAAAGGAGAGAGGAAACCAGAGAAAAGGAACTTTTTCTTTAATGTTTTATACAGAGAGTAAAAAGAGAAGAATTTTTGTTCGCCACTTCCTGTGTTTCTTACCACACTTTCCACACGCCCACACACCCACCCCATTTAAATAGCCGCCAAACTGGTCACCGGGCGGGCAGTTTTCCCGAGTCCGCACACACAATCGTAGCACTATGGGGAGTTCTTGTAGACCGCTCAACCCCCGGTTGCTCGGGCGCTTTGAGCAACGATGGCCGTTGTTGCCGTTGAAATGGACACCAGAGCAGTGGGTCGGAAGGGTCGCATACTGTTCGTTGTTGTTGTTGTTGTTGTGGATCGGTTTATTTACATTGCACACAGATTCGGCGACGACTCCGCATCTGTTTCGAAAATCATGGGCGATCATGACAACGAAAAGGGCCGTGCAAACAGGCAGCTTTTAGCTCCCAGGGGGAGATTCTCTTTTCTTAAAGACCAGAAGAAAACACGACGCGCAGTTATAGCATATACTACACTCCAGCTATAATGCCTTTATTGTTGCGCATAATTTATCAAGCGAATCATCTTGGAAAACCATGGCCTTTGATTATTAATTGTGTTGATAAGCTTCCGCTTATTACCGCTTGTTGTAGAAATGCTTCGCAATTTTACCCGTTTTAGATGAATCTCTTTATTTGAAATGCCGCAGGAATTGAACAGGTTGATTCATGCGCGTCTTTATACCATTGCCTGCGCTATTTGTATATACAGCCCTGTCTTCCTATAATTCACAATGGTCTTATATCGGGAAAAAGTTTCCTAAGGAGAGGGTGAACAAGTATCTAGGAAATACCACCATCATCATTACTACCACAACAGCATACTGTTTTCTTTGTTTTATTGCATTCATTTTGTAGAGCTTCAACGCTGACATAACTACACAGTCAATCAAGGTAGTTTATAGTTTGTCAAGCTAGTGAGGGAAGATTGTTACACAATGAATGTTTCTTCTTCGAGCTAAGTGTCGTTTTTGCATTAGCTTGGCGTATAAACAAACCTTGAGGACCCGGAAGTTTCTTTCGGCAAGTGGATCGTGAGTTTTTAAACGCGTCTACCCTCCGATAGTGGTGATGACGAAGCACTCCTTTGAACTTACATAGAAAACTTTGTCGTCATTAATATCGACAAGTACTTCGTCCTTGGCTCTGTATGGCCTGTTTCTGTTAATCTAAGAAAATAGGTCGGTCTGATAGGTAAATTATTTTTGCACCATATCACAGGGAAAATACAGCATATTGTGTGTCACGAAATCATTTGTGTCTGCCAATTTCAGATCATTTTGTTTGATTATAATGGTCAATATACGCCTATATATCATCACAGTGCTACTGATATATTATGAGTTCCATAGATTGATGAGTTGTAGTAATATTTCAATGTGAGTAGAAACGTATAATAAGGATTTATCCGCTATCATCAAACTTACTTTTTCACTGGGTACATAAATCACAGTATGGGAGTTTGTTAAAATTTGGTGATCAAACAAGCACGCACCGCTGACCAGTTGATTCAATGGCATGTACATTCGGCTCTATGAGATACTGTCATTATCTATAGCCGGTTGAGATTCCCAGTAGAAAATTAACTTTCGCCTGCTTGGATTGATACAATAAAACGAAAAGTTGTTTTATCTGGCATTCAAACCAGCACAGCTGCTATCTATGCAAATAATTTTGAATGTGTGCCATCATGATTGATCATATGAGCGTACTAGCAGATAACCCATGGTAGCACTTTCCAAACCTTGATTCAGTCAACAACACGGCTGTTAATAGAAAATTGTCGCCTCACTCATCTTTGCTTCATTTATACTATCTTCGGATTTATTTTTCCTTCAACTTATACAAAATTGGTTTAACTCTTTTGTATTTGGGAAATCAAGAACGCAACTTGCTCGGCTGCTTCACCTAGCCGAACTTCTTGCTCCGTACCACCACCGAAGTGACCGCGATCCAAATCAATTTTGACTAACGTTTTACTGCTATCGGCGTTGCTTGAAGATGATGATGACTCTTGCTCCTTTTGCTGCTGCTGTTGCTGCTGCCTTAGGCTAGCAATCAATTTTAAAGGTTGCCAGTAGGCGACTCGTTGATCCTTCATGCCAGCTGTGACATACAGCGAAGGTCGCTGTTGCTGGCTACTGGGATTGTCCGATCGCATGACATTCTCATAGGGTGAATAGCTTTCAATGAGATCGTACATCCTGGGGTCTTTAGATGGATTACCCCATTCGGGATATTCCACTTGAGTCAACGGGAGCTCCGGGTTCAACATGGCCGATAATGGATCGACAAAAGGGACTCGTAAAACAAGTGCCTTGAAAAGATCTAATCACACTGTATTATTAGGACATCTTACGAAATTATAGTATTATCACATTCGTGTATCTTTTACCTGGTCTCATATGCAGCATGGCACCTTGTACGACAATGACGTTCCGTTGTTAATCAACTATTTTTTTACATAATAGCTGCCATAGCATAAACTTACCAACAAGGAGGCCGCCAGCACTGGTTCCTATCGCAGATAGGTACTCAGGACTGGTTACTTTGCTTTTGACCAGATAATCTGCGACGGAAATGAAATCTTTGAAACTGTTCATTTTGTTTCCTAGTTTGCCTCCTTCATACCATTCACGGCCTAATTCGCTTCCGCCACTATATGGATAAGCGAAAAGAAAGAATATTGAGTTATTATCGGAAACATTTGTATTTAACGCTGGCTATTATCTTACCGCACGTGGGCTAGAGCAATTACCCATCCTCTCTCTAATAACGGGAAATGTTCGATACGAAAATCAGGGTCAGTCGACACACCATAGGCACCGTAAGATCGCATCAATACCGGATTTCTAAGAGATTAAAAGGAATTCGTTTAATAGGCGTAGCATGACGAGTCTTTTTTCATGCTAATTATATCAGAACATGTAGTAACAATCCTGGTACCTTCCATGTAGCTGCATATCTTTTCGATGGATCAAGGTGATAGGTATGTGCTTATCATCATGTGATGTGGCATGGACTCGTGTACAAGTATATTTGGATCGATCAAATCCTGTAATCATGCATATATACATGCGTCACTCGCGATGGGTTGTATTTACCGTGTTTAAATATAACTTGAAATCAAGAGTATATCACTTACGATGAACGGGTTGTACTCGAACGGGCTTTAGTTTTCGGGACTGCATGTCATAATCATAGGTTGATTCATGGGCAAAAGGCGACAAGGTTGAGAATCGGAAAGTGTCCGTGTTAAAATCCTGAATGTATCATATTTATGCATAATAAAATTAGACACCAGTATTGTTCAAACTTTTCGAGACATATAGTAGGGGCTATGTAGGAGATGTTGTTTTTAGTTGGTTATTCTACTATAATAATACCAGATTTGTTCCCGGTTGTAGCACACAGAATCGTTCTGGTAAATCAACATCGTGAGTTTCTAAGGTTTCTAAATTGTGGCAAAGAATCATGGGTAGACCTTCACGCCGACCGTAGACGACAATGTGGTTCTTTAAGATCAATACCGAATGATTAAAACTCTCTTTCTTCTTTTTTGATGGAGCATTATGTAAATCAAGTTTGTACTAGGATGATACGTACCTGAAACACATCTACATCTTCGATTTTTTCCGTAGAACCCATAGTGATGACATCTTTCCAATTTTCTCTTTCTACTTGTCCATCAGGGGCTCTTGTCAGTTTGAAATTGGTGGCGCCATCAGCATTTGTTAAGATATAGAAGGTGTCCTAGTAAACCAGTGCAGATTAATACCAGAGGTGTGTAATGTAGAGATTGAATACAAAACCTGCAAAAAAGAGAATACTCACATCATGATGGTCCACATAATACTCTATTCCCTCCTTGCGAGGTTCAATGAGTTGCAGTTTTGGTATGCTGCCAGTGGAGAAATCAAACATAGCATCGACAACTCGGATTTCAGAAGATGCGAGTGAATTAGAATTGATTGTTACATATTTCTATGGTTTATAATAGTAAGAAGACATGACGCTGATAAGTCAAACGACTTTTGCCTATAAACTCGCCTACTATTTAGAACATAGAACACTCACTGAATCTTTTGTGCTAGTAACATCTACAAAAACTGTTTCGTCCGGCTCTTCGTATACGAGTACATCATCATCTTGATCTGTACCCAAACGGTGCGCATATACCTGGAAAGTTCGTTGATCTGATGTTTAATTTTTCTTTTATTGCAAGCTTATCACAAAATGGTATATGGGACACAGGATGGCGATGACAAGCAAAGAAAAGGGTGCAGAGGAATGAGCAGGGAGAGGCAGAATCAACAGGGCATAGAATACAGTGACTTACCTTGTGAGGGCGCAATTGTTCGTTTGGTACAGTGTAATACACAGTTTCATCGTTAGCCCATACAAAATTAAAGACGTCATGTAGGACTTCTGTCTGTTTAAACGATTAGACAAAGACACGTATTTATGTAGATCTCTGGTAATAATACTTGCCTCGGCATGTTTGTTTTCGTTCAAGTATTTGAAATGGAGGTTGCCATATTCCATGCCTTCGGTTTCGGTATTGTAGGCAAAGATCATGTGATTGGGCGAAAGCAGCACCTTACGAATGCTCATATTCAACGATCTTAGAAAACCGGCATTCAACAGTACTTGCTATTATTATTTCATTTGCAAAAGAGTAAACTTTAGACTTTGTTTATAGAGTGGAAAAAGCCAGAAATAGTTTTTCTTACTTCTCTGGCATCTTTTTCCCCTAATTTCTTGCGAAGATAGACCATGCCATAAGCCGACGTTCTATGATAATACTCGTAGCCATGGGCGACTGTTGTGATCGGGGGCAGGCTCTGTGGTACGTGCAAACGCCGTTTCATCTCCTGAAGCAAGTCTCTGGATGTCACTAAAATTTATGCTCTCCCGCGGATCAAAACCTCCCCCCCCCTCTGCAGATCAAAAAAGAAATTACGTTGAGTACGGTTCGTCGTAAGAACTTTGTCTTGCGCATCACTCGTTCCGAAAACCTGTTTGGGTAAAAGTTAGATTAAGCAAAAGTATGCATAAATGTGCATATATCCTTTTTGACATTACGCATTCTCAGCTTGGATGTAGTTGACCAATTCCTTTAAGTTCATATATCACAACTTGGCATGTTAGTTACAAGGTAGTCAAGTAGATTTATCACATCACGCATACACACGCGAACAAAGGAGAAGGGCGTTTACCGGATGATCGAGATTTTCCATCCAAGAAAAATTATCGATACGCTTCTTTCCATGGTGGCGTTGAGTATCGGCAATTGCTTTTGGTAAAGGAGCTTCTGGCGCTTTCCTATATCGTGTATATCATACATCGTCGTGGTCGTTGTATTTTGCCCTAAATTAACGACTCAAATATATCGCACGCCAACTGAATTTTTTTGCTTACCTGGAAACAAGCCGTTTCAACGAAGACATGAGTGAAGGAGCTGTATAATGTCGAGTAACAACAAGATGGGTTTGCACGCCAACATGGCGAACAATCGATGATTTTTGTACTCGAGTCAAGATCATGATCGCGATCGATCACGCGGATGTCGTTATATTTTTTGTTGAGGACTGAGTTTCACCAACCCAGGGGAAGGTGAGGGGGTTGAGACAGCAAAGGGAGCCGGAGTATATATCATGGCTGAATTGATCTACACAGAAAAGGGTGTAGGGTACATTCAGGTCACATGTTATGTTAAGATGATGGCTTAATATTAATCCATCCTTCTAATTTTATAACCATTCGCTTTTTTTCTTCCATTCCCTTCCTTTCTTTTTCCTTTTTGCCTACCTCTTCAAAATTCACTATTACGAAACGAAGAGGTCATGCATCCTGCACTAATTGTACTTATTATTGTCGGTGTACCATTAGGTGCTTGGGCAGCTTACGAAGGTGCCGAATACGTCAGGGAATGGTGGTCTGAGCGTCAAGACCGTAAAGAATATGAAGAGTTTGTTCGACACTACAATGAAAAGCACACGGTCTTCCGTGACGAATCCTTCGATAGTGTTGATAATGACGATGACGACGAACCGCTTGCAAAAAGTGTACTGGGACGCCGTGGTTATGGTGATGGTTATCTGCGACACCGTCGCCAACACTCGAGCCGCAATGCTAACAAGCACCAGGTAAGTCACAAACGTCAAACAATAGCAACTATAGCATCATAGTTCTCATACGATTGTGGGTACGCATTCTCTTTGCGGCGATAGTTTATGCATAACGACTATGAACTCTCCGAAATGGAAAAGACCATCATTGCACGACGTGAGCGATTGGCAAAGGAACAGGCACTGTTGGAACAAGAGGAGATGGATCTGCACAGACGCCGGCAGTCGCTGCAGAGCAGGGGAAACAGCTTGATGGGCATGCCTTCACCACCATCACTACAGTCATCGCAACAACAACGTCAACAGCCCCTCGAAAGTAGCACCCCTAGTCTGGGATCTAGTCACACAGCTCGAAATAATAATTGGGTCTTTGCTCGTCCACCACTGCCTATGGATGCACCAACATCGACAGCAGCAACACCGGCAGATCTGGGACCGAAGCTTGGAGCTTTTGAGGCAGCCGAATGGGATGCTATCCGTTATCAGCATAGCAATAGCAGCGATGATGGTGATGATGAAAATGGCGACAGTAAGCGGGGCAATATGATGCGAATGCCGGAACCACAGCAAGAACGCTCACGCAATGTATCGGAATCGGAAGACAGTTGGGCGGATGTGCATGAACAACGGCGCCAGCGGATGCAAAGCGGCACTTTGGAAGACGTGATGAGCTACAGCTCGAGTCGTACACCATCCAGCCCTCGTCATTCGTATGGAGTGCGCAGCATTTCATCCTTCGACGATAGTGATGGTTAATGTGTTGTATTGCAAGTTGTAGCTATTTTTAAATTCCTGTCTTACAAATAGTACAATATTCCCTTCTATTGCTGCTACCAACTACTACTGCGGATCCTTCTTATACTTCTTCAAAAACTCATCCTTGAAGGGCGACTTTTTGGGCAAAATAATAAAGCTGGGCACACCGTTCGTAACCACATACTGATCCAACGATAATATCTTGCCCAACGGAAGCTTTTTACCAATTTTGATGATGCTTGGCCGCAGCTTTTGGTTGTTTTCGAAATAGACCTCGACATTGTTGGGTGTGTATTCGCCGCGTTCATCCCATGGCGCACGTTGTTCAAACATGATTTCCAGATGGTCCAAAAACGTGTTGGTTTCGTTGAATGATTGGATATAATCGCTTTCCTTGTACTCCGGATACAGGAAAAACACAGGCCATGATAATGTGTTGCTTTCTGGGTCGAGTTGGATGTTGGCCTTTTCTCGTACTTCGGCTTCCGTCACTTCAAATTTGATGTTTCGCTCCTGTAATTTTCCGTTCATCAGATGGGGTTCTTCCCAGGGTTACATTAATAAAAATCGAGAGTCATGACCCCTTTACCTTGAAAGCCTGTTCCAACTTCTCTTTTTCTTCCTTCTCCTTGCGCTCCTTTTCTTCCTTTGCCCGTTGCTTGGCCTCCACTTGTTCCTTTCGTTTCAAGATCGTTTGCTTCAAATCTGCGACGACCTTGTTGTCTGCATCCACAAGAAGAGCATGTTCACAGCAGTCATGTGCTTCGTCAAACCGTTCCAAGACAAACAAGGCACGCGCAGATCGATAAAGTGCCTTTACGTGTTTTGGGTTGTATTCTAAACATTTGGCGCAATCGCGTAGCACACGGCCATAGTTACCTAAAACAATCTGGGGTGAGCTTCAATCCATCATGTATTCCTCAAATGCATGCACTCTGGCCGCATATCGTGCTTACCAAGTTCAATGTTCACTGCTGCACGATTTGCATAACATGCCTCCAGAATTTTTGCGTCCGAGCAGTCTGTGTCGATAGCTCGTGTATAATAATCAATGGCGTCCTTGTATTTAGCCTTGCCCTCCTTGAAACAGTCGTTGCCTTGATTTTTAAAGTTTTCTGCAATTTCTGTGTACCAGTTCATTCTTGCTTTAATAGCTTGTTCCCTCCTTTTCTTCATTTCTTTTGCTTTCGCTGAATTGCGTCAAGAATAGGTCATTGTGTTACTAAGCGAACCTTCAGGTGTGCCGTCGTATACCAGCGATTGTAAAGCCTCGAGCGTGTCATTATTTTCTTCAGGAAGCTTGTTCATAAATAATGGCACCTTGGCCAATTCTTCGTCCAGATTATCTGGATCCATATAAAATTGGGATCGATGAGGCGTTGGTCCTGCTTCCATTTTCGTTTTTAAGGTGGAAATGTGGTCAGCTTTCGAGTGCAAAAACGAAAAGGGTAAAAAAAAACGACGACCCTTTTAAGCGGAATACGAAAAAGCCACGCCAGCCTTGATGCATGCATAACGTATTTTTTTTTCGAGCACTTTCTAATCGTTTTTAATTCGAAATAATTCAAACAATGTTGGCGAATCGTCTAGCAACTGCAGCCGGGCGATCGGCTGCAATTCGCGTGCGGCCGACTCTGTTACGGACTCAAACGGTTCCTTCACAGCTTTATTACTCCTCACTACGAAGACCGCCGCGCCAAGGTAAATCGCTATTACAGTTGCTTTTTTAATGGTGTTTATGCGAATGAATCGAAATCAGAAATAACTTACCATCCATTTTAAAAGGGCCTCGAGGACGTATCTTGAATCACGTTGACAACTTGCGACCAACGATAGTAGCTCAGCAACAACAGCAACAGCCACAGTATCAAGCTCCACCAACAGAACAGGTGGTGGTACAAAACGACAAACATTTTTCATCAGATCCTGCGCACACTCCAGTAGACGTACCTCAACAGCCCGGTGCTGTCATTACGCCAGACTATCATGGTGCACCTATGCTGACGCAGTCTGCATTGGTGGTTGGCAGAGAATTCGAGATGATGAACATTTTTTTGGTAAAAAAAAAGAAATGGTCAAAGAATAATGATAATGATGATATTATGCGGTTTACAAATACGTACTTTTTTAACAGGGTTATGAACAAGCGAATCGATATAAGATCATGGATCCTCAAGGGAATTATGTCGGTTACATTGCTGAAGAGGAAGGATTTATGAAGTCTGTTAGCCGACAGCTTTTGCGCACCCATCGCCCTATGAACGCAACCATTCTAGACGTGAACGGTCAGGTCGTTTATAAGGTATTACCAAAGCCGGATAAGCAACTGCGTTTCAGTTAAGCGATTAATACACGTCAACAATGTAAGCTATAAACTGTATCTTAACAAAGTACAAACAATGTTATATAGATTATTCGCCCTTTCGCGTTCATCAATAGCCGAATTTTCATTTACACTTCGGATGATCGATTAGTGGGTGAAGTACAGCAACGATGGCACTTGCTGCGGCGCAAATACGATCTCTTTGTTGGGTTAGCTGATAGAAATTCTTTCGTTTTATTTATCGCGATTATGGTTTTGGCTCCTCTGACATATCGTTGGGTTACTAGGAAAAAGCAGTTTGCGAATATCGATACGCCATTCTTGGGTTGGGACTTTGATTTACAAGATGAGCAGGGAGGACCCCTAGCAAACATCAATAGAAACTTTGCAGGATTTGCAAGAGAGGTAGAGAGATTATCCATTTTTTTTGAAACGTGCTCATATTTGGAATAGTCGATATAGATTTTGATATTAGATACAGAGATTTCATTAACATCGTAAAATAATAACTTTAGCTCTTCACTGATACTGGCCAATATGTGGTTCGAATGGATGCCGTTGAAGGAACTCCACGAGGATTGACGCTTGACGAACGTGCAGTTACTTTGGCCTGTGCTATATCAGTCGATTTCGATTTCTTTTCTCGGCATTCACAACATGGGTAAATGAAGTTAACCACTATTCCATTGTTTCTTTTTTTTTCTGTTAAAAATACTCATTAATATTATCGTTCTGTTTATTATAGCGGTGGAGGATTTATGCCAATGCCATTCTTTGGTTTCGGTGGTGGAAGCGGTGAAGGTGGACATCATGAGGATCAAGGTGTTGCTGGAGGTAATCCTTCTGATCCAGCCGCACCACCCTCGCCTGGTGCACCTGGTTTTGGAGGACCAGATACGAACCAGCAGCCTTCCAACACGGGTGGCTGGTCTGATGATGGATTTCTGAGCGATGATGAGGCTGGTGTGAGTCATAATGAGGATTTAGGTAGCAAGCTCTGGGATTTTTTTAATGACGACGATTAAGATGGATGATAAAAACAACACATAAAACTGTAGCCATTCCCTGTCATCATTGACCCTCGTTCCTTGTAATATTATCACCAACCTTTCTCTTATAAAGTGAAGTTATATTTCGAAATAATCTTGTATGTAGTTAAAGTACACACCACTCATACAGTTAAATCATGTCAAATATATTCAGCTTTGTGACATCCATGACAGCGCGCCTATCAATCTTAATGACCTTATATGAAAAAACGATCGCGCTATTGGAAGCTCGTTCAGCACATGGGAAGTCTGGTAATATTGTGCAAGCCCTTGACGATGCCGAGGGGATTATCCGGTGCGCTCCAACCGCTGTCACTGGATTCTTGCGCACAGGCTATCAACATGTGCAATATGGACAGCAACTGGCAGCTACCGAAACTTACGATCATGGTCTCCACGTGTACTGCTAAATGTTGACCAAGAAATATTTGAGAACGAAAAGTATAGGCACAAATACAACAGGTACGGCATTCCGTTTGAACGACTGTAGTCTCGAAAATGACGTAAACGTCTAAACTGGCTGCCAAGGATTTTGGCTACATAGTTTAAACTTCATGTTTATTATTATTATTTAGAACATTAGTTCACCTGCGCCATGAGCATGCGGTCCCTTCCTTTCGGTACTAATTGTTTAAGGGTACAAAAAGCTGGATATGGTGCCATCACTGAATAAAACCATCAGAGGGGAAAAAATGTGGGCAGAGAAGAGAAGGGACGGTGTATAAATGACAGAAAAAAGGAAGTATACAGAGGGAGAGGAAGTAATAATATGATGGAATAATGGATACGAACACGACGCATCGAGAATTCTCAATGGTTGTTTTGCGAAGAAGCTGGTGGTGACAACTCGCTTGAGAGTCAGGGTCCTGGATCGCCCTCTAAGGTGTAGTCAGCGGCCGGATGACTTAGGCAGTCAATTTCACGAAGCACTCGTATTAGTACTGGCCAACAAGTTTGCCGTCTGCCTTTGATAAGTGCTGCATCCGATTGCGGCAATTGATTCGATACTTAGTCAAGAACGTTTATGTCGGGTCTGACTTCTGGGATGGTGCCAAACGCGTCGAGAAGCTCTGTTATTAATAATTAACAGTGGGTTAGAAAGCTGCCAATTGCTGAGTGCCAGACACCTCTTGGTGTCAAACGGATCAACTAAGCTCAGGAAGAAGTTGTCATTATATGGATCACGTAAATCACATCATAGCTACTATACGAGGCTGTTCAGTGTACACGCTGCGGTAGTTGCCAAAAATAAGCAATTTCCTGTGTTATAATAGTGAGAACTTATGTTATCACATTTAGCCAGTTTTAACTATTTTTGGGTCTCGTTAACTTATTCTGTCTCTTGTGATTTATTTGATATTACACCATCAATCACCCTTAAACTTCCCTAGCTAGCTACCCTTTTCTTATACCCAGCCCAGATGTACAGGCTAATCAAACAAATGGTTTAGGGGCCCCGAGCCGAGTCCTATAAATTTATATAAACCATATATTATAACAAAAAAACTGCTACATATATGACATAGCAACAGGCAGATAACAGAATCAGATTTGATAGTGTAGTTGTACTTTGTACTTTATTGTTGACTCTTAACATTCAAAACTTGAAACAAATTATCTATTCTCGCACTTTCTTATTATACGCACCATTTGCCTCAGCAACACATCCGTTGTAAATTCTTGTTAGTAAGTTAATGTCTTTTGAAATCTTCAAATGCTTTCACAAGGTTTTCCAAGGCTTCAAAAAGCATCAGATTACGATCTCATATGTCCGACGTCTACGCAAGGCTATTTATATTACTGCATACTGGTTAAGCAAAAACTTATTCAGAAAGTTAATTATAGCGGTGGTTGAAGAAGCTGCTGCCTACAGCACTTTTCCTGGAGTAAGCTTCAGTGTAAAGCAGTATATACACATCCACTCTGCTCTCAAAGGAAGCAAGCATCTGAACTTGCTTTACTACGTACTACTTGTCGGACTATATTTATACCGCGATTAGTACTAATCGACTCCATTACCGCCTTATTTTCTAGTGCTTAGCATTAGGAAGTTCACACTGGTACAGCGCTGTCTTCCATTAAGTAGCTCACTTATTCTGGCTATTGAAAGTTTAGAACGTACTTTAAATTGCGAAGACAATTCAACTCCCTTGATGGTAAAATTACACTGCTGCCTATATTATGGAAGTCAGTGTCGCGAGAGCATTTATAGAGCTCTACAGAAAAGTGTTCCCGTCAATGCATGTGCATTGTTCGTATCCACGTGGTATCAGATAAGTATGTATCCAATTCTTCACAATGTGCTAACATATGTGAGCATAATTTGCTTTTTTAGCTGAACTTCGAATACTGATACGATGGCAAATCCATGATTTTCCTTGAACGAGATTTCAAAAAGCTTACAGTACCTTCATGTAAAATAATTATTACAGCATTACGATCTTTGTTTACCTTTCATTAACTTTGTGGATTTGTGCGCATGTAGCTCTTAAGCACCAATATGGCTTTGTATATGTTCGCGAAATTAAAATGAAGTTTTTTTAGCTTTAGATTACTCTTCTTAATGCCTACATATCTTTATGTAGTAATAATACTACGAAAACTTGAAAGTAGGTTTACTAAGTATCAGAAAACGAGAGCATTCGTTCCTGATCAAGCAGCGGGCCAAGAAAGGAATGCGTGTAACCTGTGCGAACTAAAAAGGAAACCAGATTTATGTAGCAGCTGACGCATGTTTAATTAGTTCCTGTGGAACCATCACAACTTTGCGCACGGAGCACAGGGTCGCAATTTCTGCAAGCCACAATACTTCTTGGCTTATAGTGTACTTTACCGGCTACTACCTCGTCAAGGGTGAATACATTTAGCCCCCTTTCCCTCTTCAGAAGTGGTAATTTGAAGTCAATAGCAAGGCACTTATTGCTCTCACTGTAGACTGCTTGCTGTACCATCGTTTGCCAGTCCTTTAGCTGACCTGGCTTTCAAATACCTGCGCCAAAGCTACCAAAGATCTATTGATCTTAACTAGCATATCGTTGATGTTCATTTCGATGATCTGTAAAGCAAGGGCAAAGAGCTAAAGTATGACCATGGATGACGTACATGGTCTCTGCTTCCGCAAGTTCTCCATGTATCGATTTTACATATACCATGGAGATACAGCATTTGATCCACACCACGATTCGTTGTCATTTATACAGTAGATGGTTTTTTGGGCTACGATAACGCTATCATACTAACATCGTAAAAGTCTCTGGATGGTACCTATAATATTTCGGTCATCATAGTACCAATTGCACCTCTGAGGCTTCGGTTTGATTTTAACTTTTTTTACATGTAGCAAGAATAATGATATGTTTATTGCAAAATCTTTATTTATCGGCTCTCATCGTTCGCTACGCCAAGTTTATCTTCCTTTGGAAAATTTTCTGTGTGTCACTCAGTTTACTTCTGCTTACATGTGCACTGACCTTCCGTATTTATCATTGCTGGTCCACTGCTTAAAGGTAGTCAGCCTCGCGCGTAAAATTATTTCAATCATACTATAAGAAGGCATTATAGGCTGTATTGTAGCATCGTAAAGTATAGCGCTGTATGGTAATAATCAACAATGTGTAAAAAAGCTTGACTTGATGAACAACTTTAGCTGCTTAATGAGGGTGAATACTGAAGTAGTAAACTTCGATAATAATAAAATGACTCCACCAAAGTACTTTGGTACTCAACTTTTGTATGACCTTTGTCAAGCGCAAATAGTCGTATCTATGCTTACTATAGTAACTGGAGGGAGACATTTGAACTATTCGTCTCCCACTGACTAATACCCACTTCAATTCTAGCAGTTTCAGTATGTTAATTAAAAAATGCTATATATCATTTCCTTATTGAATAACGAGCACTTTGCAGCCAGAATGAGGAACAGTTAACTCGAACACGCCAACTCAACGAAATAAAAACGCTCACTAAAAATCTGGACAGCAGAAACGGCAGCTTAATTGGCTTCCCGGAATAGAAAATGAAGCATCTATGTAGTACATTGAAGTATCAGTTGTAACATGTTTGCTTCGTAAAATCCGGGAATAGAAACTTCTCTTCTCGTGTACCGGAGTGTAACTGGCTTTTCGCGAAGCCTGTCAAGAACCGTGCTTATATGGGATTTATTGGTTCCGCTCAGATAATTTACCTTAGGACTTGTGAACCAGCAGTTTGCTACGGTACATCATATCTTTTGATTTCGCATGACATATCCTTTTATCATTACTTGCACCTGTGCGTTTTGCAGAAATGAACCCAATGTGCTCGACTTTTCGAGATGATACATATTTAACGTTTTCGTTTGCAATCGTAATGCAATAGCAATTTTTTTACCCCCAGCAATTCAACTTGGTTAAAGAAAAAAGGTATCACATGGTCGGGTAAGAGTTTCTGTAGTTGCGATGTTTACGTTCTGCGCTGTAAATTCATAGATACTTGTAACACTGTACTACGGCACTCCGACCGCCTGCTGAGCTGTTTAAATCGCATTTCGTACTTCTTAAGCATAGTTCTACGCCTTCATCGGAAACAAGCAATTCTACCAGTGAGTCACCTAACAATTGATTTATGTCATTTCTGATAATTGCATGTAATGAGTAGATATTTCCCAATAATAGTTAGCGCAACAAGCATAACTTAAGCACTAAACTGTTTTGTGCTTGTGCGACACTTTTAAGCTGCCACGCACTGAGCTTAGCATCAACAATGTCCGCGGTCAGACATATTACTTCTTTTAGTTAGAGAGAAGGAGTGCTCTCTTTTTTTGTGTAATGAGCTTATTTCCACAGGTGCTTAGCATTGAGTTATATTATATCTAACTACAAACTTTTGAATCACTGCTCTTTCGCAAATGAAATACCTCTTAGGGCAGAAAAGTTTGCGATCAAAACTATCCCCAAAAGCAATTATTTTTCTCTCCTTTATTTGCCTTATATTAATTCTGGTACCCATTTTAATTCCAATTCTTATACTACGTTCTGCAATGGCATCGCAACACGTCTACTCTCAAGTCAGTAGCTTTCAAGTACTACAGCGAGATTTTACTACGAACACGGCGTTGGTCAAGCAATCTGATGGTCAAACTCTCTCACTCGAAATTGGGGGGCCTTATACCATTGACAATGCAACCAATGTTCTTGTTGGTGACGTTTGGGTTATGAGTGGCCAAAGCAACATGCGTGGGAGTGCCTTTTACACCAATCCTTGGACTGACCCCCCGTCAACATACCCAGAATATGTTGATGAAATGGTACACCTGTTTCAATCCAATGAGGATTGGAGCTTATGTCGTGAGCCAACTCATCGACTCGATCAGTCAGCTCGCCAGGTCAGCTACAGTATTCCGGATCCCTCCGTTTATCTCAAGGACTATCATCTATACAGAGGCGTTTCCTTGGGAACGGCGTTTTCCAAGGCCTATCGGGAGCAGTACAATGTTCCAGTAGGTCTAGTGGCATCGAGTCACGGAGGTACAACCATGGAGCAATGGAGTCCAGAGCTACTCGAAACGACCGAAAACCCGTTCAATAATACGCTTTACGGAGCTATGTTGGGACGTATTGAAAAGATCGAGAATCAAGTGGCAGGTATCCTATGGTACCAAGGAGAATCGGACGCCGAGAACGCTACTCTTGCAAATGAATACGGAACTCGGCTCAAGTCCTTTATTCAAACGACCCGCAGCAAACTCAACAACGAACGACTTCCATTCGTATACGTTCAGATTGCACGTTCATCGAATCTGGTGAACAATAACAACAATTGGAATACTGTTCGAGAAGGACAACGCTCGCTGATCAACGATGACTGGAACACCGATCAAATTGGAGTCGTTTCCAGTATCGATTGTGAATTAGACGATCCTGTTCATTTATCAGCTAATGGTCAAGCAGCAGTCGGACGGCGGCTAGCAGTTGCAGCGGCAAGAACGCTAAGGAACGTAGGCGGTTCCAGCAGTCCTGATATTGACACCATCACTTTCGAGAAACATAGGTTCTCCAATAGCACATCTGTTGCTGCACTACAAGCTACTTTGCTTCTGCAATTCAATAATGTCGACGAATGGAGAGAACCTGAGGGCGGTATTTTCGGCTTCAGCCTGCACGATGAGAACGGTGCGATTTTGCCTGTAATATACAAGACAGCGATTCAAGAAGACAAGAAGAGTATACGGCTCTTCCTGAGCGATAGTGCTATGCAATTTAACACAAACAACGTGTTCCTTTACTATGGTTATGGCATGAATCCCAGATGTAATATGGAAACCTCGAATGGAATGGGCTTACTTGCCTTTGGACCGGTTCCTGTAACGTTAGATTTTTAAAACATTCATACCTTTACAATTGTATTAGTTTTTTCAAACAATGTAATTAATAATATCCGATACATACTGTATGTTTCTTGAAAATTTACTGGATAATTCACTATTATATATGTACGTATTGTTCTGGTGGACGGACGCAGTACTGTATGGTGCTACAAATTTACTCTGCTGATGATGGCACTACTACTCCTTTGCCTACTACACATTGTATCACCAACATTCCGTTTTTGCATGTAAACATCGTGGATGTATGTATTCCCGTCGTTTTCTATTACTCTGTGCATCACACACAACTCTTACTGCTTCCGTTTACAGAGTATTTCCGCATCATCAGCATATTGAACATCATTGCCTTTTTTTGTTATAATCCAATAATTCAATATCAACTAGAGGAGACCAGTGACATCACTCATTAATCTAAATCCTATGTTTTCAGGTTTCTAAAACCGACGATTATCAGTCAATTAGATTATAGAGTCAGTTCTTCCACAATTGATTACCATATGCTCCACTCTGATTGTGTACCTCGCTTGACTCGAGTAAAACATACAATATCAATTCCCTTATTTAAAAACTGTCTAAGATGAAGTCAGTGAAATGTGTTATCCCTTAGCTTAAACTTTAACAGTAGCAAGTATTTCTTGAAAAAAAAACACATGAAATCGTTCGTTTAACGTCATATTTGATATATACAATAGTATGTCATAATTTCTATAATACCGGCTTTATGGACACCAATATGCACATTTTGATTGCGTCTACATCGTAATTGAAGCGATACAACGTACAAGTAAAAACTCTGTTGATATGAAGAGCATCACGCGTCAACCAGTCGCAGGAATGCAATACTGTTCTCTGTACTACTTTTAAGGGATACTGCGATGCTGCGTATATTGAAATTGTGTCAATTGATTTAGACACGTGGTTACCACTTACGCAACACATGATGAAGCAGCAATACGAACTACTGATATTTTACGCAAGCTTTGACCTACACAAGGTACGACCGTCTTTATTTTGCGTGTGCTCAAAGTATACAGGTACTGTAGACTATTGGCACTTGTATACCACTCTCCTTTCTTTCACATGAGTACGCTCAATGATGAATTAAAATTAACTCTCAAGGTATTTCTTTTAGAAACTATGTTCAAAATATCAGTAATATACGCAATACTTCTCTAGTAGTACTGTACAATCATCTTAAAGTAAAAAGTACCTTTAAGTTAAAATGGACGCCTTTGGATGCATTTGCGACACCTTAACGCATCTTAAAATGCATTTACATGCATTCAAAGGCATGTCAATAAGGCGCTTTAAGGCTTTTTATATATCCGGACAATAGACTTGAACACTTGATGTGTGAATGCTTCTTAGAGTTCAGCATCCTAGTCCTGAATAGAATAGTCAACTCTTGAAATGAGCCCTTTTTTTATATATGGGAAAATCTCTTTTTTTTTGTTTCTACGGTACCACACTCAAGCGTGCAACTGCATTTTAAGTTTCATACACAAACTGTCTTAACGGCTTTGAAGGCAAGAACACGCAGACCAGTAATTATAAAGCGTAAAGTAGCAATCTACCTTGTACTTGCTTTGAACGTTCGACATTTTATCTCGGGTCAGGTTCTAAATCAGTGGCAACTATCTCTAAAGCTGATGCAGATGCTATATATTACTGGCTCCTTTAGTTCTCATATATTCAATTTGACAGTGATGAAAACTGGCATTCTCAATTACACTCTATATGTTATTTTTGAAACGACTCACTCGGTTAATTCGTTGCCATGGTAGCCGTTGCTATGTTACCATAAGCATATCATCCGAGAATAGATGATTTTTGCTATCACCCTTTCAGTATTACTTCAATGGATTCGTTCATAACTAGTAAATATGAACAGCCAACATCAATGGCTATGGATACAAGATATTGGTCTTGACAAGGGCACAAATGAACAATTATAGATGAAATTTTGGTTTCTATTCTTTAAGAAAGACTGTGGACCTGCGCCAATAGACATTGCGGTCGCTTCCTTCCGGTGCGTGTGGATTCGTTTTATATAGAATAGATGCAAGAACTTAAAACCCCGTGGACAGGAGGAAAAAGTTAAGCCAGTATGGTAGTGCATGTGTGATAAGCTCTGTGCAAGGTTGTTACAAATATAATAGAACAATGACTAGGGAAAGGAGGATAGTCGGAGCACTTTAACCGTGCTCCGATGACACTGGTGAAGAAATGTCTTCCCCTAGGAACTAAATGCTCTTCGGGATGACAGAGCCGATCGATTTCCCTTAGGACGCGTAGTATCGCTGACCATACTGTTTGCCGTTTGCCGTTGGATAAGCCGACGTAGGCACATGGTAGCTTGTTAAGGATGACATCAATGGTATGCATCTCTGGCGGTACGATAAAATATGTGCCATAGGCGTCAGTAAGCTCTTGCCACATTGTACGGAGTAGCGGACAAACGAGACTGTAGTGATCGCGGGTGACAGCTCATGCACCACAACGATAGTCCTTGTGTGGGTAATAGCCGGGTAGCCAGTACACGCGCCAGTTAAGCAAGCGGTGGCGGTCATTCGGAGATACTGGCAGGCATAGGACGGGTTCGATCGTGCGTGTGGGCCGAAGACACTGCACCGACATGAACAATTATGAAGTTATCGCTTTTGAGCTTGATTGTCAATGAGGAAATTAAATATCTTATGCACCTGCCAAGGTGCTGTCAACGCAAAATAATGTTAAGTTACCACGACATAATTTCGACCTGTTTCTGCACTACAGTTCTTCTTCAATGCATCACTATCATCTTTTATGTTTTTCTCCTTGTATATATATATTCTAGAAACGTTAGTATAACATGCTACATATGATACTCCTTTAGATCAATGAATTCAGACTATATTAGATGTACTGTAAATATACGCAGTTGAGACTTAAACTCATTTTACAGTATTGGTTACATAGATGGCTACTGCAACTTAAGATTATATAGTAGTACGTCGATTACTCGTTCTCTTATTTAGTCGTTTAAAGTATAAATAATTGTGTCAGTAGCAAAGAATTCATGGATTGTGAACATCCTGCGTATTATATACAGTATCATGTAACGATTTTACAACTTGAGTGATCATATACGCTATCACCCACAAGTCTTGATGCTGAAGGTGCTGTCCATCTATTGAATAGCTATATACTTTCAACCGGCAGCTCTCTCTCTCTCTCTCTCTCTCTGTGCAAACTAGATACACAGCAGTCTATACATCCAGCGTCAAGTACAACCAGAACTTACGGTATGATAGCAATATTTGCAACTTTTTCTGTAAAGGTCGCCATAAAATTTGTAATAAGGCAGGATCACCAATTCAATACCTTTTCATGCATAAGCGGCCTATTGATGACTCAATTTAATGTGGACATAAAGCAATTTTCCAGTACATAGTCTTTTTTAAAAATCAAGTATCTTCCAATCAGACAAAGAAATATCTTACCTACACCAATATAGTAGCATCCACTTTTATTAAGGAACACTTAATCCAACCTTAAAAAAAGTCGCTAGCCGCCGGGGGATGGGGGATTCTCTGGGTGAAGCCACCCAAACCCCGTGGTATTGACACGAAGCGAAGCGGAGGGGCTTAAAAGCAAGGGTGCATAGGCGCAGAAGGCTCGTGGACATTGATATGTACTGTGACCACAGTATCACGAGTAAGTGCAGCTGCATGCATCTTGACTGTATTTCTGAGATTCATATGCAGTCTCGCTTTACCTTCTTCCTCTTCTTAACTTTTTTTAAAAAACAAAGACGATGACTTCACGTTACAGCTCATCATCACTTTTACAGAGTATCCTTGTCCGCGGGGCTGATTTAAAAACAGCTCAGATAATAGCAACCGCTACAGTATCTGGATTGGCTGCTCTGTATTCACTTTATTATTATCATACTACATATAGCGTACAAAAAAAGAGACACAATGGGTTTAAAGAGGTGAAGATAATTCCATCTCCAAAAGGTGCTCTCCCTTTCTTCGGTAAGTTAACAATTTAGCCCTAAGAGGACGTACGCAATGATTGAAATTGACCAGTCTTTCCCTTTTTATTGCACTTGATAAATTAAGGTCACATATTTCAGATTGATAAGGATTTGCCTGCAGTCAAATTTCACGAATGGTTTTATAAATATGGTTTGTGTGGCCTTATCTTCTCATTCTCATAATGTAGTATTGTGAATGTATGAGAATGGAAAGGGGAGCTCAGCTAAGACTTTGTGTACAGGTCCTCTTGTTCGTATCAACATTGGGTCAAAGGAATGGATCCTTATCGGTGACTCTTACATTGCAAATGAGCTTCTTAAAACCAAAGGCGCATTGACCTCTGGTCGGCCATATCATCCTTTCACCACTGATTATTACGCGCTAAACCGGAGGTAAGCTATAATATTCAGTAAAAATATCAACGTTTATGTAAAATTATCCACATTTACATTTGCATATCATAATAATCATGCTTTCTACGCCAACGCTCAGAGGTATGACCTTTACAGACGCAGATAAGCGATGGAAAAGAAGCCGTGCAGCTGGTAAGTAATGAAGATGATACTAGATTGAAGTATTCAATTGAGACAACTCTTTTCGCTTCGAAAAAAATGGCGGGTTATATAGCGCAGTCGCTACTTAGTTCAAAAGCTGTCGATCGGTTGACGAAGACGCTTGAAATTGAAGCTACTCAAGCAACTCAGAGGTTACTTGAAGAGACAGCTAAAAACGGTCAAGTCAATATCGTCAAGCACATGCAACTCGCTGCCCTAAATGTGATCTTACGAATATGCTTTGGTGTTTACGGTGAATCTGTGGATGATTTCTTCATTCAATCCATCGTCGAAACCATTGATATAACAATCAAGTGGGGCGCACCATCAGAAGACCTGTTGGGCACCGTATTACCTGGTGGAATTTCAAGTGTATTCAGTTATTTTACTGGAAGGGAACAGCGGTACCGAGAATTCACATACGAGAAACGAGATCCCTTGTTCCGTCAATTGATTTCAAAGGCTCTGGAAAGTGATACGGATTGTTTTGCCAAGGACCTATACAGAATCAAGGGGGAACTTGAATTGGAAGACGATGACATACTGGTATTGTTACGTAAGTAATTACATAAGACAACTCTGGATACATAAGATATCTTCTATTTCTTCATTGGGGATGGGAATTTTTATTATTTTTATCCACTGAACGATGATGGTGATATTATGGAAATGTCTCTTAGTTGATCTGATTAATGCGGGCACCGATCCAACAGCAATAACACTTACCTGGGCATTTGTAATATTATGTCATCACAAGGATGTGCAAAAGAAAATCCAAAAAGAAATCGACATGTTCATTGCTGCACATGATGGCAGGTTACCGAATTTTGAAGAAAGAGAGTGTCTGCCGTACTTACTTTCCGTGCAGAAAGAATGCATGCGATATCGACCCAGCAACCACATTGGCTTACCCCACAAAGCCATAAAAGATTGTACGTCGATTAATAATAACTAACAAACATTGATATAACGAGTATGCTAAAAAATGTTCCTGGCACATCTGTCAGTCAAATTTAACGGGTATTCAATCAGGAAAGGAAGCGTGCTTTTAGCCTGCACTTACTCGCTAAATCTCAGCCCCGATCGTTATCAAAATCCAGAGAAGTTTCTTCCTGATCGATACGCGGGAGATCCACGGCCACTATCCGTTTCAGTTAACTCTAGTATTGATACCCGTGATCAGTTTATGTTTGGCTGGGGAAGGTATATACATATATACGAGTGCATAACACGCATCGAATTTTCAGCACAAACAACTATTTCATTCTCTTCTGATGCTTTCCTTTTCCTCAATAACTTTTATAGACGGATTTGCCCCGGTGTCAATTTGGTAAGTAATCCAAAGCACTGTTACCATACGCTTTAATGCAAATAGTAAATCGCCGGTGAGCTAAGTTCTCTACAGGCTGATGCGGAAACATTCAACTTTTGGGTTCGTATCTTCGCAACTTCAACAATCGAGCCTCCGTTGAACAAACAAGGAGTACCCATGTATCCAAATTTAGATGCTTGCTATGATGGTGGGCTTGTTGTCACACCGATCGATGCAAATCTTCGATTTGTCAAGCGTCGCGATCGTCTTGTATGATTATTTTGTGCATGTAGTGCACTCATTTATATATCTAGTATGGTTACAGAAGTCCTAAAAAGCGTGTGCAAAAAAGATTACTTACAAACAAGAATATATAAAAATTATGTCATTTGGTACGCTGTGTTAACTTTCTTATGACCCAAATGCTGCCAGGCATGAGTAGCAACGATGAGGCCTTAACAGCATTGATATTACAATTTCAAGGTGCCACATCGTATAATTCTACTTTTAAAACACATAGTAAACGCTGATCGGTATCGATGTGCTGTCCTTTTATTTCGCTTTATTGAGGCTTTCCCTTTCTAAAATCTTTCCAAGCTTTTTCAAACATGGCGGGATTCAGATACATTTCCGCCGCCGTTTTGGCAAGACATTGAGAAGCACGCAATGTCGCTTGGTGTGCTTGTTTTGTTCTAGCAGCCTTGGCGAATTCGTGTGTGTGGTTCGGACCCGATGTATCAATTTTGAAAACAGGCTGTAAGGAAGGGAGCACGTAACTCACGTTGCTGCGAGGAAAATTACAACGACAATATTTTTTCTCATTAGTTTCCTGGATCTTGCTCTGATGATATGTACTCATTGATAAACTTACCCGAAATCTGAACTAGCCATGGAAATGCTTCCTGCTTCTTCGCTAGTCGGAAACTTGACACCTTCTTCTTCCATAAAGTGCTGATACGATGCAGCAAGCGTGTCATTGGTGAACATATCTATTTGGAGTCACAAAGTAGCACTGATTTATTGGTCTCTTCGTATAGAGAAAATACAGCATAGGAAAGCAAGGAAAAGTAATCAACAAACCATCCGTTGCACCGTTAGGTAGCCATGACATCGACAATCGACATCCGGTTGCACCAGCAGCAGCTTTAAAACAGTTTTCAAACTTGGATTTGAGCTCGGCAAGCTGCGTGCGTGTCACAGAACGGATGAGGAATTTTGCTGAGGCATAGTCCGGGATCACATTGGCCTTGAAGTATCAACGACATATACAATTAGAAATATATATATATATATATATGTATCGATAAAAAACTGTTGCTTGTTACATACTGAATTTCCGCCATGCGTTATATTACCATGAATCCTGTGATGTATAATTCCAATGAAACAGCGCTAGGGTTAGCAGCGATAAATGCAGAGGCATTAACAATGCGATAATGAAATTGTGATACCTGTTCGTCGGCAAGGTTTGTTGTCGCAGCATGGAAACATTGTTATATCCTTGCATAAGGGCATCAAGAGCATTGATACCGTTCCAAGGAGCCATACCAGCATGTGAAGCTTTCCCAAAAAACTCAATCGTAACCGCGTCAATAGCGAGGGCCGGTCCGACAACAGAGTCGGCTGGTGCAGGATGACTAAATGATTATTATTATGTCAATACATTGAAGTTCCAGCTGTTCTTGGCGGTGCAAGTCAATTTTGTATTACAGCATCATTGCAAAATCGGCCCTCTTTTGAAATTCAAGTTCCTTCACAAACGTGACCTTGCCATTACCACCTTCTTCTGCCGGTGTGCCTATATACCATTATATCAATGGTTGTACATAGTGCGTATCAAGATAAGATTAACTCCCGCTTTAACTTACCAAAAAGAGTAACAGTTCCTTGCAAAAGGTTTTGTTCTAAAAGTGCTTTTACTGCCATAGCACATGCGACGCCAGCAATAGCGATAAGGTTGTGCCCGCAAGCATGTCCAACACTGTACAGGGAATGCATTAGTTCATCATAGTAAGGACATATTATATGCGGTCACTAGGCTAGAGCTGTATACCCTGGCAACGCGTCATATTCAGAGCAATATGCCACTCTTTTTCCAGGTCCATTTGTATACTCTGCCATGAATCTATAAAATATCGAGGCGCAGAGCTGTGTGAAACTTAGCTTCAATTATGAGAGAGTGTGGTAAATTCCCAAAATATTAAAATAATACTGACGCGGTTGGCATACCAGCAGCTTCACGCATGACTTTAAACCCCTTTTCTTCCAGATAATCCTCCAGTAGATGGCAAGCATTGTATTCTTGATTAGGGAGCTCTGGATTGTCGTGTATCTTTTGTTATTGTTAATAACATTAATAACAATAAGCACAGATCGTACATAGGTGTTTCAGGGTCATCATTATTGCTGCCCCTTTTTCACATTATATGAATGAACACAGGTATGTGGCTACGGGCCTTTTATCCTTTATATCATATACCTTGAGGCTTAAGGAGCGCAATTCACTATCGAGATTGGTGATTGTGTTGGTAATGACATTGACGATGTCGTCGTTCATTTTCAGATTAAAAAAAAATTGTGAGAAAAAAAGAGGAAAAAGATACATCACCAGTCTTAAACAGGAACGCGTGTAGAAATTACACTATGGTGGACTTTTCCGAGACATCGGCTAATAGTACTACTGTACTAAGGACCGATTCATCCTTATCGGTACTGGATAACAATACCACCATCATCATTAGCTTAACATTATCTTGCTCTCGAAAGATGATCACCGGTAGCTACTACTAGCATAGCAGACTATAATAATAATAAAAGGTTCTTGTGCCTTATTACGGTATTTCAAGCAGATATTGATTGTTGTTATTCATTTGCGGATTTATGTATTAAATATACTGTACACGGGGAAGGAGCTAGCTATTGCTTCTACGTTGTGATACTGCTTCTTTTCCTTGCAGACTAGAGTCATCGCAGTGACTGTATTTATCTACATACCGTGCAAATTATGAACTAAGAAGCAACGGTAGCATCCCAGTGTTGCAGAGTCATAGACCCTACTGGTAGTATTTACAAACGATCTCTGATAAGTATGCATGAATTAGAAGGAAGAAACTGCTGCAATCGGATAATATGATTAGCGTTCCGCATTACAGTATGCGCACTCGTGTATGCCTATATGATACATCGCGAATTCGGTAAGCAAAGAAGCCCAACAACGCCGCTTCTCCTCCGTAAATTAATGGAACATACAACAAGATGTTATTACAGTTACTTTTATCAACGTACCCTAATCGGGTACATATAGCGCTTGTTCATATTTTAATTATGCGTTTATGTACTGCCACAAAGTAGTCGTAGAGATTGTCAAGAGTGGAGCGATGTAACAAGGAGTACTGCTGGTGGCCACACAACAACACATCACTAGCTTTCTGCTGTTTCTGCATTAGGTAGTAGTACGTTCCACGCTCTTTCCAAGACATTACATACAGCATAAGGCTTTACAAAAGACAGTAGGCTTTGTCAGTATTTATAGGTGGTGTGTATCCTACTTGTATTATTGGAAGAAGAGCAGAGCAGAGAAGATTGCTCCTTATGCAGTTGTTACCGAGAGAAGCTTGTAATGCAGGAACGATGATGTTGTTGCTATTACTCAGGTCTCAAATAAGTTTTCCTATCGTTTCCACACCTCCAAGCTGTCACCAACATTATCGCGAGCTAAAGTTTGCTCGCTCACGGATGAGAAAGTGAGGAATATAAAAACATAAAATAAGGTGCAGTGCGTACTCGGGAAACAGAAAGCAGGTGCAAGACTAACACGAATTCCCACGGGATTGCCAGTCTACATAATAATGCTTGACACTCTATTTATGTCAATGCCTAACACTTTTCCCCCCTGATTATCCTCTTTTTTCTCTCTTTCACTCACAACAGACACAAGCGAGTATGGACGAGATAGCCTCTTTGATCGACGTACCCTTATGGACCGCAGCCGCCAAGAACATCTCTTGGTCAGTTCCACCACGCGCTGTCATGGAAAAGAAAACCGACGGCTCTATAAATCCATATGTCTGGTTAGTAAAGCACCTCTCTTTTCCCACTCTGACCACTCTGCTGGCCCCCTTTCTATGATACTAGCAAGTATTTAATATTACGGGCGTGTGTGTCTTTATAGGTTTCCCGGCGGCAAGTTGAATACGTGCTACAACTGCGTGGATCGCAATGACCCCGATCGTGTCGGCCTGATTTACGATTCCGCTGTTACCAATACAAAGCGCAAGTACACGTATGGCGACATTCGAGATGAGGTGGTTCACTTGGCTGGCGTTTTGAGCAACTATGGAGTGGGGAAAGGAGACACAGTCGTCGTTTATATGCCGATGGTGCCTGAAGCGGCGTTTGTCCTTTTGGCATGCGCCCGACTCGGCGCCGTGCATAGCGTAGTTTTTGGTAAAGTAATTCCCGTAAAACGCCTTTCTTCTTTTAACAATTATGCTTACATGAAAGCACCTCTGTGTATAACATATAATAGGCGGATTTGCTCCCAAGGAGCTTGCAAAGAGAATCGACGATGCAAAGCCAAAGGTCTTGGTCACAGCAAGTTGCGGCATCGAGCCCAAACGGACCATCCCTTATAAACGTAGGTTTACATATACAATACCAAAGCTAGAGAGAGAGACAGAGAGAGAAAAAAGACGGGGATAAGGGTAAAAACAAAAGGGCTCATGCGAAAATCTGTATTAACAGCACTTGTGGATGCGGCGTGCGACATTGCCACGCACAAGGTACCAATCAAACTGGTTCTTCAACGCACGGGCCAGGTTCAAGCACAGTTAAATTCTGCGCTAGGTGACCGTGATTATTACCAAGAGATGGCACGCGTTAAACGCGATGGATTGGCTTTTGAGCAATGTGTGGATGTTGACAGCGAGGATCCGTTGTATAGGTAAGCTCAGAGAAAAGAATGGGGTAGTACGGAATGGAAAGGGATACTTTTGTGCACATGCTGACAATACACATGATGACGATGTATGATGATGGTGATCATCGCCACTAGCTTGTACACAAGTGGAACGACAGGTGTTCCAAAGGGTGTCGTACGATCCAACGGTGGTCATGCTGTGGTGCTTCGATGGTCGATGGATCATATCTACAACGTAAAGAAGGGCGAAACCATCTTTACTGCAAGCGATATTGGATGGGCTGTTAGTCACAGGTAAGAAAGGAAATTTAGATATGGACCGGTGCAAGAGAAGAGTAAAAGTGTTGACATCGCTTGTTTGCATATAAACACAGTTACACTATCTATGGTCCCATGTTGGCTGGTGTGACGACAGTCATGTACGAAGGCAAACCAGTGGGCACACCCGATGCCGGAGCTTTTTGGCGCATCATTTCAGAATACAATGTCAAAACAATGTTCACTGCACCAACAGCCATCCGCGCTATCCGACGCGAAGATCCTGATGCCAAAGAGGCAAAGAAATACGATTTGAGCGGCTTGAACGTCTTATTCGTTGCTGGAGAGCGCAGTGACCCAGAAACGCTTCGATGGTGTCAACAAGTTTTGAACAAGTCCCTCATCATTGACCATTACTGGACCACCGAACTCGGATCGCCCGTGACAGCTACGTGTGCTGGCAGTTCAGATCTTTCTATCAAATGGGGCTCGGCCGGCAAACAAGTGCCTGGTTCGATCATCCGTGTGCTGAACGAAGAAACTCATAAAGAAGTAACGGAACCTAATACCTTTGGCAATATCGTGCTCAAGCTGCCGCTGCCACCTGCCGCTTTTCCATCTCTGTGGAAAAACGACGAAGGATACAAGAAGAGCTATTTCACCAAGTTTGAAGGATATTATGATGCAGGAGACGCAGGTTTCATCGATGAGAACGGGTAAATTTACCAACATGATATTATTGAAAGGAGAAGATGAAGTTTTGGTAAAACTTACAAAAATCAAAACTATATAGCTTTGTTCATATCATGGCAAGAACGGATGACATCATTAATGTCGCTGGTGGGTTCACTATGGCTACATATCGTAAACAGTGTTGAAATAGCAGTCAAGTCTAACGATGGATTTTGTGTTGGTTTAACAGGCCATCGTCTATCAACGGGTTCGATCGAACAAATTTTGAATGCTAATTCCAAAGTGGCTGAATGCTGTGTAGTTCCACTTCCAGATAATTTAAAGGGCCATGTCCCTCTTGGTATTGTCGTGCTAAGGAACGGCGATGGAGTCGACTTGACCAAACTATTGCAAGAATTGGTTGCTGCTACGAGACGAGATCTAGGTGCCATTGCCTGTTTTGACAAGGCCGTATTCGTCTCGCGTCTTCCCAAGACGCGAAGCGGTAAAGTGTTGAGACGCTGTATCCGTGATATGGTCGATGGCAAACCCATAAAAGTACCAGCTACTATTGAGGATGAATCAGTTCTTCCAGAAATTGAACACGTCTTGCGCATTGAAGGACTACTACCGGATACTCGTCTATCCAAGATGTAAAAAAAAATCCAGAGAATAGAGAGAAAGGATTAGTTTTGTAGTAGACAGCTGGCTTATATATACCACCGCCACTAGAAATGGATCATCCACAACATCTTAATAAACTGTTGATTGGTTGGCGATGTACGTACAGTTGCATAGCCCAGATACTGTACACGACAAAGTGTATTTTAATCACCGGATCTGGCATCCAACTTGCCTACTTTATTATCGTCAATGAACGATGAAAGAGCTGATTTATACAAAGCTGGCTCGACCTGATACATGTCCATGTGTGTCGATTTTCGAAACTTGGCAATTGTAGTACTACTGTTGCTTTTACTTGCAGCATCATACAATTGATGCATATGATCAGGCGGGACGATCTCGTCCTTTTCCGAACTAAGGAGCAAAATGGGCGTTTTTATCTTGCTGATGTGCTCCAGACTGGGCCAATGGTTCCATAGAAAATATTTTGCAATAAAAGGATACGGTGTGTAGCGTGGGTACAATGCTTGAACCATGGCTTGGATGCTGGTGTACGTGTTTTCGATAATCAATCCATGTATCCTATGCTGCTTTTCTGGATTGCTTGCTGCCAGCAGCCCAATCGCTACGGCACCCCCCAAACTGTGTCCATACAAGTAAATTGGCCTTTTCCTTTTGCTGCTGTTGTTATCGGCGCTGTCATACGTTGAGCATACATGATTCAAAATCGTTTGTGCATCAATCCTCAATCCACGTTCAGACGCGCGCCCTGAGCTACTTCCGAAACCACGGTAGCATATGCCCACAATAGTGGCATTAGGTACTGCTTTCAGCATGGTGTTGAACAAGTCGAGTCGATGAATCATGTTGCCTGCATTACCCTGAAAATAGATAATGATGGGTTGTTGTTGCTCTTCTTTTTGTTTCACGTCGCTTCGTTCAACTGCAAATCCTCTAAGTTGCTTTTTGTCGGGCGTCCATACTGTCTGTTCCGTTATACTCAAACCGCCTATAGCCTTATCCGACGTGAAACGTTCATGACGCGACCCAGGGGGAATGTAGCCCATGTAAATGAGTTTGCTCTGAAAGAGAACAAGCATGACGCACTATACTATGCGATCAATGAACAAGAATTGTAAGTTTTCTTCCTCCACTTTGCTAGTCAGTACCTTATACAGGTAGAGTCCGGTTGGTACGCCAGCTACAATAATGAGAGGTGTGACCCAAGATGATATTGATCGCGTTTTGTTGCTGCGTGAACATTGTTGTAATTGGATGCGTTTATGCAAGATGCTGAAAGCTTTTCTTGCTGGTGCACGTGAGGTAAACATCTTGCGAGTTAAGAAAAAAGTCTTTAGACTGCGGGATTAAATTCTCTTTGTATGCTTGGTTTGTGTAATGAAAAACCCAATATTGCTGCAATGTGTTTATTATTATTTTTAGTTAGACGATATTCGACATCTTCAAGGCACCTCGGCATAGCATCCGCACGTTGTTGATGAACGATTCTACGAGTTCTGTATATTGCGACGCTTCCCGTCTGTCTGCTTTACTCTTTTCTCTAGCAAGCACTAGCGGGTCCATGATCTCCAACTCCAGCTCATGACGCACTTCATCGTTATACTACATAACACACACAGAGAGCCTTACATTAAAACCATTGATTTTTTACTTTATGATTTTCTAAATATGACTTGAAGGGGAGAGATAACTCACATCACCACCTTTGACTTGGGTCAAATCAAATTGGATACCACCATGCTTGTATGATACGCGATCTTTATGGCGCTGAAAGCTTGGTCTTCCCTGGGGTCGAGGTCCTAATAATCAGTTGCTTGACGTTAGTATCTATCAAGGTTGCTGCTTTCTTCGTATAGACACATGAAAAGGAAGAAACGTACGAGGCATTTCAATGTTGATGGATATTCTGTAGTCGAGTGGTTGCTTGGGTACGTGGATGTTGATGTTCATGACCCGTTGTTTTTCAATGATACCGTTCGGTACAATCTATAGTATTGAGAATCACACTCCCCTATCTAATTAGTGCACACTGACCACTGAGCCAAACAACCCTATTATCGATGAGGTCTGTCTTTACCTGACCCGTTTGTTGATCCGTTGTTACTCGCCATTTGTCACGTCCTACAGGATAAAAGCTGTCCGTTTCTTTTGTATGCAAATATCGAATCCGCTCTCGCTGTTTTTTTAATAGTAATAAATGCATGTCAGAACATTAGAGAGAATATTATAACAATCATCATTTAGATATAGAAACGTTACTCTATAATCGCGTGCTTGAGACTTTGTGACTAGCGCGTTGAGCATTTTGTTGAAATGATGGTGCTGCTTCTGGGGCATGTTGGCCTCGAATCGTACTCGGTGCTCCAACCCGTTGAGAACTGCATAGATTGTTATTTTCGAGAATCCCCTGCGCGTGTGTAACGAAAACTCATACTAATGATGTACATTTATTCAAACATTCCTGTCTCCGTTACGGCTCCCATATTAATCCGTTGGCCCGTGTGCTTGTCGACAAATGTGCCCAGCTTGGCTTCGATCTATATATTTTGTTGATATCAAGTTATGAGATTATGATGGGTACAAAAGAGGTTAAAGAAAATAAAACAGACCTCTACATGCTGCCTCTTACAATGCTCGCCAACGATATCGGCAATATAAAGCGCGACATCATCAACAGGTCTTATGTTGAAGATAGTGGGTTCTCTTGCTGGAACCACTTGATAGTCTCTGTGTGTGGATGTAGTTGGTGCTGACTCGGGCTGTCTTGTTGGGACGGGTGGTACATGTCTTTGTTGCTCCTCATTTTCTGTTGCTAATGCTGTTGACACAGATACCTGTTCATTTAATGAAACTGCCTCAACAGTACGATTTTCTTTCGTTGTTGGTGTCGCTGATGCCGAATTGTGATCTACTGATTCTGTATTATTATTGTCTTGATCGTCTGGAACTGCTGCTGACTGCTGTTCCTCTTTGTTTACACTTGGCACTTGTTCGTCTTTTGCTGAAATTGGCGCGTAATTTTCTGAAGCAGGTTCACGATCGGTAGTTGTTGGATCTTCAGCTGCTGCTGTTGCTGATTCGTGATCATTTGCTGAAAGAGGTTGGCGCCGCTTTGTTGAGCCTGCTCCAACGATCAACTCATCGTTGTTATCAGGGACTTGCTGGGCGTCTCGCTCATCGCTGTTGGTGCGATCGATTTCGTCGGCGCCTCTTTTTCTAGCGGATGCCATAAGGAAAAGAAAGAAAAAGGAAGCAAAGAAGAAAGTGAAACCTCGGGAAAAAGCAAAATCGAACACATTTGTGACTTTTGGCGCTAAATCAGGCACCATCCTCGCAGCAAATTGATCATTTCTTTATACATGGACAAACGACACTGTGTCTGCCAGCCAAACTATGGATGGTTGATAGCGGTGCGACAACAACGATGTTTTGTCAACATTCTTGAGCTATTTTATACTACAGCTACCCGATGTAGTCGAGTACATAATCATGGCTCAAGGGGAAAGCTGCTTACTGTTGATTAAGAATATGCGTGTCGTCTTTGCAATTGACAATATGCTTTAGCCTTGTGAACTGTTCATTTATGCTGCTTCTGTATATCATACATAACTTATTCACAGTGAACGTTTATTACAATTTTTTTTATCAAAAAATTCATGTCCTTCTTATTAGTTTTGCAGCAAGTTTAGTGCGATACAACTATCCTTACATACGCGAGCATGACTACTACTAATATTCAGTGTCTTTGCTATAATTCATCTCTAACTCATCTGGCCACGTAGGTATATACTGAAGCCGGCCGTTGAGCTGAAACTGGAGGCACAGGAGTGCGAGTTGTGGAGATGGCTAGTGCTGTTGCAACAGCGCACGCTCAAACAGACAAGCGCGCTTCTCCATCAGCATCGAAACTAGCTGTTAGCTGACAACGATGTAGTAGTGAATCCAATCGGTATGCTAAAAAAGCATATATCGAACCCCACAATATTACTTTTGTTGCTAGTCTATTGCTGTTTCTCGACGTGCATTTTGTGTCGGAAAAAAACATCCAATCAGCACCATCGTTACCGAGTCGAAATAATGAACGATTCACAATTTCGTTTTCAAGGGATCTTGTTAAAGAAAAGCCCATATACTCTTTCTATAGGTCAGTCCTTTCTTTTTCTTCTTTATAAATTGGAGGTCTATCGGCTCGATGGCACAGGATGATGAGGGATGTCGCCTTGGTAAAGCTGGTGCCAGCCAAGGGCGGCAGTAGATCAGTTCCAAAGTAGCGGTTGCGGGGAAAAATGCAGCGTCTTGCACCGAGTATCTTGCAATCCTTCTTCTTCACTATAATAGAAGCAGAATGCATCTATCATATCGAGATGTATAAACTGTTTATTTACTTACTAGAGGGCTATAGCTTTCTTTTAAGTATATAACAACATTGATATCAATAAGATTATCTCAAGAAGGATTCAAGCTCTCTTACCTTTAGCAGTGCATTTTGCTCAAGTTTTTACCTGACATGCTTGGCTTCCCTAAACCACGCCTGCAGTAAAGAAATGTCAAATTTAAAGATTTGCGGTCAAATCCATTATAAGAGCTACTAGAGCCTCTAAAGGCTTGTAAACTTCTCGTCGGTTGGAACCATAAGTTATCTTTTATTTACATATGAAATGCTGTTAAGCAGAAGGCTCGCTGTAAATTTCCTTCATACACATGGCGCATAGATATTTGGCAGTATTCTCTGCTAGCTCAATTGAACAGAAGAGCTGATAATTTCAAAGGCATGGATTGCAAAGGAAACATTTGAGATTGCTGCAAAAAAACATGTTTAAGCGCAAACCAGTTACGTCGCTGGTGGGTTTCAAAAAATGACATGTACCGCTCCAAATAGTGTTATACTGCAGAGTTTTTTTACGATGCTCTCTGGTGATGTAATAAATTCTGTAGAAAATACAATCATTGAGAACATCTCGCACAATACATAGATATTTGCTGTATTTAATCACTAGTGTATAAAGCGAGGGCAGCAGTTGGTAGGTGGCACTACAGAGAACGTTTATAGAGAAATGATCTACAGCAAGCCTTTTCTTTCATAGGCTTTTTCAATGTTAAAGAAGGCAGTAAGGTAAGCTATATAACTTTTGATAACGTTAATTTTCGGCGCGCACCCGGTTCCATGGCATTTACTTGCGGTTTCGTACCATATCAGTGAATTGTATGCATGTGAATACTTCAGAGAAGAGAGTATCAAACTAGCGGCAACAGAGTGTCATGGGCACCGGTGATGGGCATGGCTGAAGTGGCTACGTCGATCCTCATTACTGTTGGATGCCTTATCATAGTGATGGCTATTTCAAAGGCGATCCGCATATCTTCAGGTCCGGCCAATATTGACATCCCATCCTCTACCTAATTTGCTTGTATCGCATCAGGATATATTAGTAATCTGTTTCATTATCAATGAGATGAAGGGAGGTATGTACAAATTGAGAAGAAAATATTATTTACAGGATAACAATTTTGAGCTCTGAAGTATTTTATCCCCCATGGATCTAGTAGAATATAGAACAAGCATCCCGTATCGGTCTCAACGGAATTTAGAGAGACCGAGTGTTCTTCATCGTGTGCGAACGTACTGTATCAGGTTTGTATTGACCCGACGTAAAAACAGTTCCCGATAAATATTGCAGCAAAAATCCGTGGCAAAACGGGACGACGTGTATGCTCTTGAGTCTTGGCAAAAGGGTAGCCCGATGATACCATGTATGTATGTACTCATTTTCAAGTGGCGAAAAATCAAAGAGAGATTAAAGAGAGGTGGTTCTAAGTCGTGTCTTCTGTCAAACGAGAGAAAAAGACACCCAGAGCATATATAATAAGCTGTGCTACAATAGCAATGCGCTCTATACTAGTTATCACAGCAACAGCATCCACCTAGCCACTTGTGATTAGATGGATTGATAGAGAATGCATATGCAAAGACGTAACAGTGCTGAGTAACAAGCTTTCTGCTAGTTTTTCCAAATGAGTTTGCGGTAGAGACATCCTTATTGGGAATAAGGCTTACAGGTTGTAAGCAGCATGAACCTTTTGACACTGCAATACTGCATAACGCATCAAAAAAGGGATCCTCTTTGCGAGGGGCTGATGGCACCCGGTCGTCGACTTTCCTCATTTGGGCGGTCTGTGCTCAAATGGCACAGCGAACTCAGCTTCCTTCTGTTGGACAAAGGGGTGTTTTGTGTAGAGATACTTGGAATATTTTTTATCGATCCACGCAAAGCTTTCAATAAAGAAGAAGAAAAGAGGTAACGAAAACGAAAAAGGGGAAGCACAAACCGTCTCGGGGATGTGAGTGTGGAGTGAGAGTGAGAGTGAGAGTGAGAGTAGTTGCCGTTTGTAGTAAGTGTGTGTGTGTGTGTGTATGAGTTTCATGTCCAGAGCCTTCCTTCTTGCAGGAATTGGAGAAAAAAAAAGGAAAAAGAAGAGTGGAACAATAAGTGGCACAGAGAAGAGACAATAAAGGGAGCGTGTGTTTAGAGAAAGAGACTATGTGAGTGAGTGAGTGTGTGTCTGTGTGTGTCTGTGTGTTGCGAGAGATACGAAAGAGAGAGAGAGAGAGAGAGAGAGAGAGAGAGTTGATACAGCGCATATAAACTGTCTACAAAACAGTGCAGATCTTGCCCTTCTTCTTTTTGTTGACCATCAAAGCAGCCCGCGTGGCATGCTCAAAGACCTCACGAACACCGTCGCCTGTCTTGGCCGAGCACTCGAGGTACTTGTAGGCATTGATTCGCTGCGCAACCCCAGCGCCCTACGTATCCAATTTTTTATAATAGAAAAAAGTTAAGCTGAGCCCCAAAAAATATTATAATCACGCTTGATGCCGCTGCCGCTGCTGCTACTGCCGCTGATGATGATGATGATGATGATAAACGTTGAGCCATGACTCCCCCTATCGTCGTGATAAGTAGCATACCTCTTCGAATGAAACGGGTCTCTGCGAGTTCTTTCTGAGCTCGTCGATCGTTGTTGGGTCGTTTCGCAGATCCTTCTTACAGCCGACAAGCAGGATAGGCAAGCCTTGGCAGAAATGAAGCACCTCAGAGATCCACTATTAACAATCATATTAGCGTCACTTTTCTCCTTTGTTGCGTCCGATTACATCAACATCACCATCACCACAGCACATCTTCCATTTGTGCACATTGAAGACGCGTCTCTCCTTTCTCTCGCCCTTCGCTTTCTTCTTACCTTTTCCTGAACGTTCTCCAACGAGTCGGGAGAGTCGACAGCAAAGCAAATCAAAATGACATGCGAGTCAGGATATGACAAGGGTCGAAGACGATCATAATCCTCCTGGCCTAGATTAGGTAGAAAATATCATGTGGTTCAGGTGAATGTGTTTGCTTTTTGGGTTTGGAAGAGGGAAAGAGGGGGGGGAAGAAGGAAGAGAAGACGACGAGGAGGAGAGGAGAGAACTATTCAAATCCTTACCAGCAGTATCCCACAAGGCCAGCTCTACATGTTTGCCATCCACTTCGACGTCGGCGACATAGTTTTCAAAGACGGTGGGAACGTAGAACTGTTCAAGGTGAGCAAGGCAAAGGTGTTAGTGTTCAGTACCTATACCCTTTTTTGTTCCTTTGTTTTTCCCCAATTCCTTCCTTTCAAATTGCAGAAAAGAGAGAAAGCTCCTTACTTCAGGGAAAGTGCCCTTGGAAAAGACAATCAAAAGACAGGTCTACATTGCGTATTTAAAAAAGAAAGACAAGCCAAGATGAGTAAGCATTATTTCCTTCTTTCTTTTCTCTTCATTGGCCCATGTAGAAATGCAACACCATTAGCAATCCAAGTAGAAAGGTGACTGAAATTAACCTTGCCGCAAGCACCATCACCGACGATGACAAGTTTCCTTCTGATTTCGGACATTCTGAGAAAGAGAAAAAAAGAGGAGGGAAAGAGGGAATGAGTCGTTGTTCATTTCGGGAGTTCCAGCAAAGTATTTTACCTGATCGGTTAGCAAACAAACTTGGCTGCGCAAAAATGTATAAAAAGAACAAGAAAAGGCGATAGTCAGACAAGAGACAATAACGGGTTGGTTATAAGTAAAAAAGTGGTAAGGAAAAAAAAAAAAAGAGAGAGAGAGAGAGAGAGAGGGAGAGGGAAGGAAGAGGAAGCAGCCAAGCAGCCAAGCAAGCAAGCAACGGAGCACAAGTAAGCACACTCAACACCACCGAACGCAAACCCACGCTCCATCTCCTGTCCCCATTCCTTTTCTTCTTCTCTCTCATTCTCTCTCATTCTCTTCTCTCTCCCAACTTCCATCTCCTCCCCTTCCATAATTCAAGTTTTCCTTTACCCTCGGATTGACGGCGGAGAAAAAGCCCAGCCAGTAATGGTAAAAGTACCTCTTATTGAGCGAAATACTTCTCTGTGCCTCACCTTGGCATTCCCACACTCTCACAATGTCACCAGCTTGCTCGCCTGTTTCCACTCTCTCTATCGCTCTTTTGCGCCTACTCCTTCACCGACCGAACTTGCCCCTCCCTCTCCTCCCTTCCCTGCCTCCTTCGCAAAACACCAACTTCAGCCCATCTCTAAAACCACCAACAATCTTCTCTCTCTTTTCTTTTAAAGGTGCTTCACTGCGCAAACTTGAAAGCAACTCTCTCTTTTCTCTCTTTTCATCCATTTTCGTTTCAGTCGACTGCAACGAAAGGAAATGATGGCTTGAATGGGAGGGAATGTATAAACGGTACCTTTTGCAATGTATCGAGTAAAAGGGAGACCTTTCGCACCTGTTGAAAGCGCGCCTGTGGGCGACTTTTTTTTTTTGTGTGTTGGGTCGGTGTTTTCCAAAAGCAGCCAAGGCAAGGGGCAACCGGAGGGCGGGTTATCTTGAAATCTACCATCATGGCTTCTCCGCTGAAAAAACATTCTTGATGAAAAATACCGTGTTAGCCCGTTCATACAATTGCCAAAGAAAAGGTTCCATGGTAATCCTACAGATCAAAACTGTTGTCAGGAGAATGAATCCACCACATGTAGTGTAGACGGGAAACAAAGGATATATTGACATCCGACTACCACGCACTAGGCACACTCATCCCTCACTGTTGTTGATAGGCACTTTTCCAAAGTTTCAAAACGCTAAAGGAAAGCCCAAGTATGGGCGCACCACCGTCTATTCTTCTTGTGGAAACTTTAATTGTTGTATGATATCAGAGCAAAAAGGTTGTCAAGTGCGCCCATTCTTCCCTCTCATACAGTACTACAGTAGGCACATTCACCTACACCTACTACTATATGCTGTCAATATCTGGGCCTGAAGGTCCACTATAAGAAGAGGGCGTATACATACGATTAGGGGTACAAAGCTTCTTTTGTTTGAGAATGTAATCCATTTTTAGATACCATCTAGACTATTACGTATGCAAGTGTGTATTTCAACATGGATATTGAGTAGTATACGCTATACAGTGGTCATCTCTCACGGGACGATCAAAAACTCTATCGGTCCTCTGTAGACAATTCAACGTTTGCCCCGATCACTTATGATGCATATTGTCATATTTGTACCCCCCTTACTGCAGTAAACCTGACTATACATGGAACTATGCATATCAGAGTGAGAGAATTCTCAAACCTGGTTTCTTCTAAGAATTATTGTTTAATAAAATGATATATGGCTTTAAAAGAAAGGGAAGGAAGGGCATGTAAGTGATTGTTATTAGTTTTGAGTGATCTCTTCACCATACTGAGTATAGATCATGGCAGAATAAGCTTGGAGTTCCTTGATGTATGCAAAAGCCTAAATTGAACAAATGTGTATTGTGTAAGCTCACGCATGATCTGACCCGAATGTGTTACCGCTCTCTCTCTCTCTCTCTCTCTCTCTCTCGCTCTCTTTATTGATAGCTTACATTCAAGTATTCGTTGCCAGCGATCACCAAATGTGCTTGCCGACTGATAGCTGGAAGCAAGTTTGCCAAAGTCACCTTCTTAACCTTATCGATTGGTTCATCGTCATTGATTTCTTGGATCTTTTGCTCGTTAAAGTCCATTGTTGCACCAGCAGGTAACAAGGCCTTGGCAAATGCTTGATGATCAAAGATTGCAAATACTTCATCCAAACATGATCCAAGTACGGCTGAGAAATCTGGGCTGTAATCCATGCACATATTCCATACATATTAGTAAACCTATCAGGATTTTTTATACTCAAAGGTTTAAAAGAAGGGATGATGTATTACCTGTCAATGTAATCTTTAGTTTCATCCAGTAATCGCTTGAGACTTACGGTGGTACCATCATTGTTTTGAGGATACTCTTCAGCAAATCCTGCTTGAAGCAAGAATTCTTGGGTCTCAGCTTCGGTATCAGGAAGCATCCATGTGCGGTAACTTACAGCAATGATCAGTTAGCAACTGACCTTTGTTTTAAAAAATCTTACAATAAAGAAAACTTACCTAATTGGCGTAGTTCCATCCTTTTCGTATTCAATTGCTCTGCGCAATTTGTCTACTATCTCCTCGGCATCCTCATACTTGAAGATTCGCTTCAACGAGACGCTAGAGAAACCAATTTGTCACAAAACATCCAATTAACCCACCTCATCTTTTTTCTATCAAAAAAGTCGAAAAACGTTACCCGCCAACCACTTCATTCACAGCTTCCTCGACACGTTCGGCGCACTTTCTCCATCCACGGTGAAGCAACCACCAAGTTGCGCTAAGGAACATTCGCTCGATTTGTGGGTCCAAAAATCCTCCTTCAGGTTCTTCGTCAGCATGTTGCAAACGAATCGTAGGCTCGCTGCGGTTCAAGACAGAGACCGACCAAACATATGTAAATCGACCCAACATGTTCAATTGAATATGTGTCAGCAATGTCAACAGTGTGACAGAGTAAATGGATGTGAAAGTTCTAGTGAAACCTAGTGTGTTGAGAAAAGATATGCCCAATTAGCCAGACCCGTCGTTTTGGAACGAATGATTGATATCCCTAACCCATTAAACTTACTGGAAGTCTTGATTTCTTCCCAAAGTAAATATTTGGCCTTCTTGTCCAAAATGCCTTCCAATATCTTTGATTGGGTATCCTCAGTCAAGGTCGTTGTGGATGCGCCAAGACTGCCGACGCTATTTTCCAATTCGGGTTTGTCCTCGGTCGTTGTGCCATTTGTCTGTGCTGCGGCTGTAGTAGTAGCAGTAGTTGTAGCGGCGGTGGCGTCAGCAGCAGCAGGTGATTCTTCAGAAGGTTTATCACCCTCAACGTCTCCGTTTGGTTGTTGCGATTGCTCGTCCTCCCTTCGCTGTGCTTGCGCGCTCTCCTCCTGCTCCTCCTCCTCCTTTTGTTGTTCAGCTTTAGGTTCTGCTCGCTCCTTCCTTAACCGTTCTTCTTTCTTTTCGAGTTTGCGTGATTCCTGCAGTTTCGCCCAGGCTGCTTCAATGTTCATCTCGTACAAGATTTGGTCACCAAGCGTGGGCAGAAGCGACAGGACAGTGAACACGCAATCGTTCTGATTTTGTTGAAAACGACGCTTGAGGCTAGTAAATTACCTAGTGGTTTTAGCGATCTTCTAATTGCCTCAACAAGCACATTTAATCTTACTTTTCTTTGGCCACTCGTTCCGTCATGGCCTTTTCTTGGAGATCGCGAAGCTTGCCGGTTGCATAACGTCCAAGCAAATAGCTACCACCGCCAATGGCCGCTGTAATAAAGAGGCCTTTGCGATGTCGTTTTGTATAATCTTTAACTGACTGGAACAACGGCATATTTGCTGTTTGTGTGTGTATAATAGATATAGTCGCACACAAAAACCAGCAAGTGTAATTTCCCCACACCCTCGAGTGACATGGCCGTCACTTGCTTATTTTTCACATGACAAATGCGAATTAGACATCAAATTGGCAAGTGGGAGGGTCTTACTTTCTATTTCGTTTATTTTCCATCTAACCCACTATCCTTTGTCAGGTTGCCATTCTAGACTTAATAGTTGCCACTAATACTCCTTTTCTTTTACAAACACACACACCGTCTCTCTCGCTCTCTGCCCCTCAATCGATGGGTAAATGACTAAACACTTTGCAATGCTGCAGCTGTTCTATGCATAAGTGTTTCTTGAATTTGTGGCGAATCAAAATTGCACACCCTTCTTTTTCTGTCAAACGTATATTATACAGTATCGCATACTCGGATCTATATGTGTGTATACACATTACGGATTTGCTATAGAGTACCAAAGGCATGTCTGTATTAACAAACTCCTTAAGGCTGCCCATATGATATGGATAGAAATTATTAGGACGAACAACGTAGATCATACAACTCTTCTTTCCTGCTATCATCTGTTAACAGTCAGTCATGACAACATCCGCTTATTTGGTTTCACCGTCGCTTTGTCAGGAGAGGTCCAGCAATAGTTGATTACATGTTTGTTTCTAAAGGAGAGTTGTCTGTACATAACTGACAGAAAAGGTCTGCCACGGGATAATTGTTTCTGTGCTATCGATTGCATTCAAGTTTGAGACATCATGCGTATAACAGAAGAAGCAGCAGCAGCATATATCATCAGTGAAACATTCGGATGTAATGAAGGGGCTCTATATCGATACACATCGGTTAAAAATGCTTTGGTACTACAATACTACGGGAGACGTTATTTGCATTCTTAATGATGGATTTGGTGTTGTCAAAAATCCCTCCTTCTGCTGCCACTACTGCTTACTAGTATCTCAGTTAGAAAATTGCGAATGACGTATAACATGCGTGTAAATGCCCTTCCTTGTAGGGGGACAAAAATGCTAGTCAATTATAGAACCTGCATGGAATATGCATAGATCGAAGTCAGTGTCAACATGTAAGCATTATGCATGTATTAGCATGATCATCGACTAAATCAAATTGCAATGGAAGCGAAATATCAACCGTTGAGGACGAACAAGCATCAGAAATATTCAAATTAAATCATGTAGTAGTTATTTTATCAATACTTACCTACTCAAATTAAATTATGTAGTGGTCATTTGATTTAGACTTACTTGGAACCTTTTGCATAGCCTTTGTTCCGCGACTCTTGGTCCAGCACGATTTCTGTGTGCTAGAGATTTCATTAGTACATACACTCCTTGATGATATGGGGGAGATGGACCGTGCATAAAACTCTCCTGATATTCCTTCTCTTCTGATCCCTAATTCACAATAGGAGGAGGGGTTAGCAAAGACCGGCCGTTTGCTGCTGCAACATAAATACATAACTGAAATGTTAAAGTTCTTTCATTACATTTTTGCATGAAAATTGCTCACACCAACAAAGCACGACCAAGACAGTACAAGCAACAACGACAAAAGAAACAAGCAAATCGTATTTATTTGAGCAACGTCCACGATGTTCTTACTTATTGTAGACTCTGATAGACTGTTTACTGATATTCACAACAGTGACGCCATTTCAGCAGCTCTTCTCGACTGCTACGTGATATACTCATAGTGCTTTTATTTGCTATGAGCATCAACCCTGAAACTCATTGCTGGTGGAAAAGTTCTTTTTTGGTTTTGCTTTCCAATAAACCCTAACCGGTTGATCTGTATCGAACCTTTTTTGAGCAGAGTGTTACCCCCTCGTAAATTGCCATCCATGGTGGGCACAAAATCGACTCATGAAGAGAATTTGTCTAAATATGTTTCTAAATGCAGCTTCGAGGTTATATGCAAGATCTATTTAAATGAATGGACATTTATTTTGAATTTTCTTTAATTTCCTTTCAAGCCACTACCCAATATTACTTGGTTTCGCAAGCGGAATGTGGCCTTACTACCTTCTTCTACTGTGTATAATAAGCACATCATCAGTGGTTGTAGCCACAGTCCGCGAGATCGAAATCGATCTTTCCGTTGGCGTCGTAAATCCTGACTGCTATACCGAAGGCTACGAAGTACTCCTGGTGAACGGACAACATCCTGCACCACCCATCCGGGTCACCAAGGGCGATGAAGTCCGCATCACTGTCAGAAACGCTGAAGACTCAAACCGTGAGACGACAATCCACTACCACGGAATTTTCCAAATTGGTACCGTTGAGGCCGATGGCCTGCCCTACGTGACACAGGCTCCAATCCCACCTGGTGGCACCTTTCAGCAGAACTTTCGCGTCATTGATCAGACTGGTACCTATTTCTATCACGCCCACAGCAGTTTACAAGATGATGCTATTCATGGGCCGTTTATTGTGTACGAAACCGATGAGGATTGGCCAAGCAGCGACGACGACGACAACGACGACGTGTACTTCAGTTACAAAAAGCTTCGTGAAGGACCGTACGAATATGACGATGAGCGCGTGCTGTTCTTTTCTGAATGGTGGCATCAAGATCAAAGCGATCGGTTGGACTATCTCTTGGGAACAAACTACAAAGGTTTGACACAATCGCATAGTAAACTAATCAACGGCCGCACGGTGTACGATCCAACCATTCTTCAAGACGACGTTGACGATTGTGACGGTTACTCGGTGATTAACGTGGAGCCAGGCAAGGAGTATCGCTTACGTATCATTGGCTCAACAACATTTAGCACCTTGGGATTCTCTATCGCTCACCATATGCTGACAATCATTGAAGTGGATGGAGAATTGATTGAACCGTACGATACAGACTTTGTGCAAGTGGCGCCTGGTCAACGATTTTCCGCTCTCCTCAGGGCCGACCAGCCCCCTGAAAGCTACTACATCGCGACAAAATCCTACTTTACTGGGGACCCGAACAGCAATGCACTTGCGATTCTCCGATACAATAATGACCGTTATGAAAAGCGCGGCTACACCGGCGACAGTGGAAAGCAACAAGCAAACAAACCAACGATTTTTGAACCTTGCTCAACCAGCCAGGCTTTAGTTCGTGACATGCCATACCTTCCAGATGAAGAAGACGCGCATCCTCGAGGATGGTTATTCCCGGACTTCCGCCCTGTTTCTCCTGTTGACCATGACTTTTACTCCCCACCTGACCGAACGATTGTCCTCACACCTGTCGAGCAAGAAATGCCCGATGGCACTACTCGATGGATTATAAACAACCACATGCCACCACACTGGAGGCCATCATTGTTGGAGAACCTTCAGCACATGAACCACCGGACAGTGAACAGGACTGCAGTTGATATGAACTGGCATGGATACAGCGACGGATATGACGAAGGCCATCAAACCTATCCTTTAGAGGTCGGCGAGGTAGTCGACTTTGTTATCCAGTCAACTATACTCTCGGGTAATAATAAAGCTTGTGCTGCACATCCTTGGCATACCCACGGCATGGTGCATTATGCTCTTGCAAACGGCATTGGTGAATACATTCATGAGCTTGATTGCGATATTCGGACGTATTCTACACCCATTGCCCAGGACACTACTTTGGTCTACCCGGCTCCACGTATTGGGCTTCCTTCCGGATCTCCTTGCAGTTGGGTGAAAATTCGACTACTTGTGGTGAGCAGTCTATTAATTTTTTTATCGTTCGTTGCTGCTTATGCTACTTATATATTGTTTCTAATGTGTACTTATAATTTGAATTTGTGTTCCAGACTAATCCAGGGCTGTGGGGTTTCCATTGTCATATAACCAGCCACATGTTGCAGGGCATGATGACCGTTCTGGAAGTCAGTCCAGAGCGAATACCTATCCTTCAATAACTAAGTCAAAACTAGAGATAATACCCTTTGATTTCATTATTTTCTGACTTTTATTGTAATACTCATCCATACTTATTACATGCATCATTTTCCTTATAGGAACAAGGTTACAAAAAGTTTTTAATTAATAATTTGCATTTTACTGTAATAATATTTACTTGCTTTATCCTTCTATTGTATACGTTAAGAGCCCACTATACTTTAACCTGTGATGCTCTCACTGTTTGGGATATTAAAGAATAATATGTTGCAATGCAAACATGACAGGCTATCATACGAGTAATTACGATATATCGCGCTTGCCTAAGCACCTATTGTTCAAGTTGTACTGTAGTTTGTTGTCTGGAATACAGTAGGCGTTGCAAAATAGTGCCAAAGTAAAAGATCATACTATATAGCTTAAATGATTATAGGACATTCGTGTCAACATACGTATCTACTTACATTTACTGTAGATCCGAACACTTCGTTTAGCATATCATAGTTAAAGTAACCAATGTAACTTGGATAAAGCAGTTTGTTTAATTCGGAGCGGGTTCTTTCTTCATCAAGAGGTGTCTCTTAGCGAAGGACTCCTTTTCAAGTCATATCGTATCAAGTACATTACTTCGATGAGTTTAGTCTGACTGCAATGCTACGTCAACAACATATTAATAATAGCAACGTAGACTTTTATATTCGTCTGTTAATTTTTGGTAAAGTCATCATACAGCATAGAGTTTATAGCGGGTTATACAGTGAGTACGTTACAATGCATGGTATGAACCAAGTTCATCTCAAGTGATAAATGTATAATTTTTTCCAGAGTATCATATTGAATAGAAATGGCCCGATGGTTAGCATTATTAGTAAGTATAAAATAACACCAAACCATTAGATTACGGTACGCTAGGGCTGTTGCCGTTAAGGTATATTATCATAATTATAACGTAGGTATAAAAGTTAATGTACAAACAAACGAAACTACACGCCAAAAAGAGATATGTTTTCTTATAAGCTGTTTACAGTGGGTCCCCGTTAAATTCATAGTGACATTTTTCGATTTCTTTTTGTTAAAATTACTGTAAAGGGGTGTGAAAGTTAGCGGCACTAGTTAAAACCCTCCATACGACTGCTATAGTATGTGTTCATTGAAGGAGCTAATTGATTGTCTCATATATGCATATATCAACATCTCCTGCATGTCTCACTATTCATTTTGCTCCAAGACGAACGACTCTTCAGAGATTTATAAAAAGTATGGCAATTCCCCAATACTGAAAGTAGTCGCCAATATGTTGCTATCAAATTACTGTAGCGCGAAGTCATAATATCACGTGCACCGTGATTTGCAAGATGATGCGATCCATATATAATCCATTTATGATGTACGAATCTGACAACGATTGACTAAGCAACGCTAATAATGACGAGAATACTGGTAAAAAGAAGCTTTGTGAAGGACCGTACGAATACGACGATGGGCGAGTGATGCTTTTTTCCGAGTGGTGGCACTAGGATAAAGGAGACTGCTCGGAGTAACTTTCAGGAGCAAACTTCAACGACGTATAAATCAGCGGCCGTACGGTATATAATTCATCCATTTTCCAAGACGACCGCAGTGACAGTTGTGAAGGCTTTTGAGCATTTGTGTGGAGTCAGACAGGGTGTGTCGCTTATAAATTGTTGGCGCAACAACATTATTTAGGGGCACAGGAATCTCTATCGATCGACACAAACTCAGTATCAACGAAACGGATGGCAGTCTTATTGAACCGTACGAGACAGACTTTGACAAGTATCCCCGACCAACGATTCTCAGTTCTCCTTAATATTGGCCAGTCCCCTAAAAGCTATTACATTACCACGATACCCTGCTTTAACCATTTCAGTGATAGTACCGAAGTAATATTTTTGAGAGGCATCGAGAATTATTACCATGACAGCAACAGAAAACCTGATTACCATGACGATGTCAATGACAAACAACAGCAAGTAGCCAAAGCGGATATCGTGAGTTCCATGCGCGCTAAATTACCGTGGCTGACATGGCACAGCCTCTACCCGCCGGTAATGCGTGAGCAGCCACAAGAATGGTTACCTTCATGTTTTCGTCCTGTTTTTCCTGCTGATCACAATCTGGCTCGCCACCAGATCGCACAGTTGTCCTGGTGCCGGTCGGAAAGACTTGTCGGAAGGCAGACGATGGATTATTAAGGGCCGCACGATGCCAGACTGGAGTCCATCGTTATCGGTAAACCTCAAGGGAATGGATCACATGACGATCAACGAAACCGCAATCCGAATGAACATGGATGGGTGTGGAGGTGACATCATGAAGTGTACCAATATCCATTGAGAGGTGACGAGGTACATAGTCGACTTTGTTATCTAGGCAACTGTACTCTTGGGTGATATAGAGTTTGTGCTGGTCATCCTTGGCACACACATGGTATGATGCATTATGCACTTGCAAGCGGCGCTGGTGAACAAGTATATGAACGTGCTATAGTATTAGCATTTGCGCTACTCCCGCCCCTGAAGATATTTCTATGGTCTATTTTGTCCCCTCGAGAGGCGTTGAATCAGCTACTCCTTGCAGTTGGGTAAAGCTTCTATTCGCTAAATTGTAACAAGTAGCTTATTTAAGTATGATATTAACAGCCTTATCCGTTTCAACTTCGTAAATGGAATGAATTTTGGTATCCAGGCTTGTTCGGATTCCACTCCCATATTACGAGTCTTCCAGCAGCAAGGGCGATGGTGGTTTTGAAACTTAGTCCTGGTCAGATACTACCCATCTTCAACGATATTCATAGCAGGAATATCTCTTTTTTCTAATAGAATACATCGTTCAGGGTTTTATCAAGAAAATATGTTTTTCATGCGGTTATCGTCGTCATCCTCTAACATTTCCACCGAGACAACGGTGAAAAACAAGCGAGAATCTTTGCCGAGTAAATGAAAGCTGGCGGCAAATGAGTCGAGACTTGGAAAGACAAAATTCGACTTGTTTATCAGTGGGGAAAAATGCGGTTTATTATCATGATCACCATCACAAAGAATATTTTTAAATGTACACCTTACCCTTTCCTCTTTATCTCATAATTTTTCTTCTTAATCGCATAGCAAAGGAGGATCTTAGGAGCTTCTATATATTCATCATTATAATTATGCACATTTATATTCACTACATATCGCAATATTGTAAAGAGAATTATCATACAAAAAGTTCTCTACACTTTCTGTGTATACAGTAAAGGGGTTAACAATATCAAACATTTATGCTTTCGACGAGGACACTCAGGCAGCAAATACAGTATGTCTTGTTGCCATAAGGCAAAATGCTGATCTTTGTAAAATATAAACAAACTCTTATGATATTGATCTATTTTAAAAGCAATAATTTTAGAGATGATCCTGCAACCCTAAATCCAGGCCATATATGTCGCGAGAACAAAAAGAAGATGCAATAAGTGCGTATGCACAAACATGTTGCACATGCATAGAATAGGGATAACAGGAAAAGGTGCAAATTTTGAATGATAACTGTCATCAGGGTAACTGCGTCGATGCATGTTATGGTATTACAAATTGTTAGCGTCAATGTTTTCAATAAAAGCTATGTTCATGTGAGCTAAACCTTTTCAGTAAACCATAAACGATAGTACTTGACAACATGCTGCGATGATTACTACCATAGTATACGAAAGAAATGTCCCATCGGATTTATTTGTATAATCATACACGGCTCAGAACCTGCTGATGAGCAAAAACCTGTAATTTATAGTGTAGTGCACAACACCCTTCAAAACTTATACTCAAATAATCCCGAGAAAATTTGTGAACCGACAACTTTATTATAGAGTTTGACATTACTACTTTTGCTTACGTTCTCCCAAATCTCACATGTCTGTACATGCACACATATAAGAGTATGCATAGAATTAGAAAAAACCTTTTGTTGCTTAGCAGAAAGGGATATTACAATACTACAAAAGCAAGAATATGGTTTTTTATAAGGTACTACGTAGTATTAGGCGTTTGGATGATGCAAATAATAAACCAGGAGAAGAACATGTTTGACACTGGGGTCAAAAAAGGTGGAAAAAGGAAAAAAAGAAGGGAGGTAGAGCGTGACGATCCTTAACATGCTAGTTATTGTACTCCCTTATAAAAGAAGGGCAGTAATGGATTGTTGGAGAAAATTGATATAACAATCTTCGCTATCCTATCATTGCTACTACCCATACTTTCTGCTACCATACAAATGTACGGCGTAGTTATTCCATTACTACTACTTGTGCTTATAAACACGACGGCTCTGGCGAGAGTCCGTGAAATCGAGCTCAATCTTTCTGTCAAGGTTGTAAACCCTGATTGCCATACCGAAGGCTATGAGGTAATGTTGGTGAACGGACAACACCCTGCTCCACCGATCCAAGTCACCAAAGGCGACGAAGTCCGTATCACTATCAACAATGACCCGGACTCAGACCGTGAAACGTCCATTCACTACCATGGAATCCTCCAGATCGGTACCACCGAGGCCGATGGCATGCCCTTGGTGACACAGGCTCCGATCCCACCTGGTGGCACTTTCCATGCAAACTTCAAAGTCATTGACCAAACTGGCACTTATTACTACCACGCCCACAGTGGTACGCAAGACAGTTCTGCTCATGGACCTTTTATTGTGTACGAAACCGACGAGGACTGGCCATGTGCGACTGGTAATGATAACATCCTGAGTACCCTCTTGCTCGGTAAGAAGAAGCTCCATGAAGGACCCTACGCATACGACGATGAACGAGTTTTGTTCTTCTCCGACTGGTTACATCAAGACCAGCAGAAAAGACTCGAATATTTAATGGGACCAAACTTCGCCGACATTGGGGTTACGGATAGCTTTTTGATCAATGGTCGAACAGTATATGATCCTTCCACGCTCCAGAACGACGACAGCTGCGAGGGTTATTCAGCGATCGATGTAGAGCCAGGCAAGCTCTATCGTTTACGGGTCATTGGTGCTACGACATTTAGTGCCATGAACTTTACTATCGCCCAGCATAGAATGACAATCATAGAAGTGGACGGTGTATTGATTCAGCCGTACGAAACAGATTCGCTATTAGTGGTCCCTGGCCAGCGATTTTCTGTTCTCCTGAGGGCGGATCAACCTCCTGAAGACAGCTACTACATTTCGACAGAAAGCGTTTTTACCCCAGATGCGACTAGCAACGGGGTTGCTATCCTACGTTACATCAAGAACAACAAGACGCCTAGTCATGATGATGCCGCTGACACAGAAGAGTCAATTGTACCCAAAATGTTCGAGCCTCATGCGCGCAAGGCCACGGTTCCAGCCCAAATACCAGCTCCACCACCCAATACTAGCAGACAGCCTGAGAATTATTTGTTTCCAGAGTTCCGCCCTGTATATCCCGAAAGACACAACTTTAACTCGCCTCCCGACCGTACAATTGAACTGGTACCGGTAGATACAAGAATGCCCGACGGTACAGTGCGATGGCTTGTCAACGGTCGCTTAGCGCCAGAGTGGAGTCCCTCGTTGATACAACTGCTCCAAGAAATGCACCAAGTCCGGATTAATAATACTGCCATCGAAATGAACGCGGAAGGTCGAGGCGATGGCTTTGACGACGGGCATCAAACGTATCCTTTAATGGTCGACGAGGTTGTCGACTTTGTGATCCAAGGAACTGTGATTTTAGATGATGGATTATGTCCTGCACACCCTTGGCATACACACGGTATGGTGCACTACACTATCGCGCACGGTGTTGGTGCTTACGTTCATGCGCGCGACAAGGATATTCGAACTTACCCTACGCCAACCGCCAAAGACATATCTCTGATCTACCCTGCTCCCCCGTCGACTGCAGCTCCTGGAACTCCTTGCAGTTGGACAAAGTTTCGAGTACTCGTGGTAAGTAACTTAAACAATATTTCTGTTGCGTATAATGTTTATACTCAGTAACTGGGATAACTGATGGCTTTGTCCTTGCTTTCCAGAAAAATCCAGGCTTGTGGGCAACTCATTGTCATATTACCGCCCACATGTTGCAAGGCATGAGGGCCGTCATGGAAGTCAGCCCTGAACAAATACCGGTTCTACAAAACAACGACCACTTCTAGAACCATTTATCATACTTGCATTTTCCTTAAGCATCTTTAATATTGGCGTGTGACGATATACTCTCTTGCATGTCACCGCTCTGTGAATTGTTAATGACAAAAGAAAACATAGTAAATTATAATATCATCAATAAATTACATCAACCGCTTATTATTTCACATAAAGCAGTGTAGTTACACGTTAAGAGTTGCTGGAACAAGCTGACACACAAGGCAGCCGGCCTAAGGCAGGTGCTGATTTGTGAAACCAAATTTGGGCTTGGGTAACATGAATGAGGTTGGTCAAAATAATTTTTTTACAAATGTATACAGTATATTAGTGATGATTTCAAATGTTTCAAAACAGTCATAGAAAATAAATTTAATACTTACTCCAGAGTCCGTGGCTTCCGCGCTGAGTAAAAGCACTGTGCTCTTGGCCTCAAGATACAATCGTAGTGAAATTTTCGACTAATTCCTATCATTTTCTAATGCTAAAATATTGTTTTCCGGTTCCTCCTGTTCTTCTTGATCTTCTTGAAGTTGCGCTTGTTGAGGGAGCTGTCCACCTGGTGGTAGGAATGCCTCTGGTCGAAAGTTTGGATGTCCATCATTATTCATATAGGCTATGCCTATGCTTCTTATGTTCAATGCCGCATTTTTATCCCGGTCTACAATCTAGATGAGATAACAAAACTCTTTTAGCATATGATTAGGCAGAATCCTTCGTGAGTTTAAAGGGTGAAAACATACCACAGCCTCTGGATAAAGCTCTGGATGGTTATTACAAGCTTTAATCTTCCACATCACCCAATCTATTATGGTATTCCATGCCAATTTAGTACCGCAGAACACAACTACTGATTATATACCTTATTAGTAGAAATTTGCCTTTACCTGGCCGTGGCGGGCGTGCCTGTATACAGTCACTTGCCGGATTCAGCAAATTGCCAATCTGGTCTCGACAGTACTTTATTTTCCTTCCCCTCTTTGGAATGAAGCCGCCTTGAGGTCCTTCAACCCAGTACGTTGCACGTTCTCTTGTTTTTCTGCATGGATACATAGGTAAAAATGATCCCGTCAGTCGTTGTAAGTGGGCTTCTTAAAGCGGGAATTATGTATAGCAATCAGATATTATATTATTACGTACCTGTGTCCGCAAACCTCCCCGTCATATGGAATACTTGTTAGCCGTTGCTGACACTTTGCGTGAACTTGAGAAGTGTTGTACTCGTCCGTCAGTATCAGCAGCATGTATGAAGCCAATTTTTTAATTAGTCCCTAAAATATACGTTACTCATAAGTGTATGGCAACCTCTTTGCGCATTCTCTCTTGTAAATATACTAACCAAATGGGGGATCGGGGCCCATCCCGGGAAATCCGGCATTCTGCTGGAGCCATAGAACACAATCGTTGGTTGTTGATTTGGGTGCCAACGCTCGCGTTCTCGCCTCAGGCGGGCAGCTCTTTGGCGAGATCGGTGCGACGATTTGTGTATTTATTTGTTAGGCTCTCCCTATGTTTCAGTTTTTCAAAAATGATCATCAGCGTATTATCAGATATCACGCGAGAAAAATGGAAAAAGGGAATCGCTTACAGCTGGGTGAGGAGGAGTGACACCTAGCAGCTCATCTTTGACAAGATCTTGTTTTCTCTGCCGGCTTGAGAATAACAAGCTCCTGATTTCTCTGTGTTTGAACCCAGACGAGAAACGACGCATTCTATATTCTTGCCGTTATTATATGCCCTTGTCACCAACTCGCCTAGCATTGATTAGCCCTTCTTCTCCTTCCTTTTCCTTCCTGCTACTTACCGAAGTCGAATTCGATTCAGATTAGCGATATAGAAAAGAAAATCTTCTGAACGTGAGACATAGGGCGAGTTCTCTGCGATGGAGTCATAATCCTCTTGGATTTCGGCTTTCTGCCGATTTTTGTTTTCTAATTTATATTCCCAAAAGACACCCGTCTCCGCACTTTGCATTGAAATAAGCTAAAGCCGCTTCTCTTGTTTTTGAAACAGCTACCAACAAAAAGAGGAACACCCAACAAGCAAGACCAACAAGTGAAAAGAGTTAGATTAGTCCTGTCACAAAAATCTATGAATTTGGATGAATAAAAAGTCTTCTGTTATTATAGTACTGGGAGTGGAATAAAGACAAATAAGCACTTTTCAAACTTAATGCCTGTCTGTGCTTCATTGTCATTCATTTACTGAACGAGTATCTTCGATATGTCAATGTCTGCACTCAAAAAGTATATGACATATTTGTCAAAGCTCAGCTTTATTGGATATTAAGGTCTAATTTCATTGGCTCGCCCAGCCTCGTACGTACTATTCCTGCCCGAATTTGCCCAAACTTAATTTGCTGCCAGTCGGATGAATGAAGTCCTTTTACGCTGTCTCTCTTTTTCCATTATTATCATATTTTCAACGTCTAATGCCTCGACGAAGCTACAATGACGGAAGTGTCGTCGCCACTTTCACTGAGGACAACAGATCAACACAAAAAGCAAAATACATGTCACCACGATCGACGCGATTAGCTTCGCATGACAAAACTCGAGTAGCTTATTTTCACGATGAAGGTGTTGGCAACTATCATTATGGCGTACGTATTTTCCAATCAATGTTGCTTGCTACTGAAAAAGTCCATTTCACAATAAAAAATTTATGCGACGATCTCACTGTTTATCTGTGTGAATTTAATTAGGAACGACATCCAATGAAACCTCACCGATTAACGCTCACAAATCATCTCGTGCTCAATTACGGTTTACATAAGAAAATGGAGATTTTTCAGCCTAGACGAGCGACGGATTCAGAGATTCTAGAATTCCACGCAGAGGACTATGTTGACTTTTTAAAACGGTATTTAACGAAAAAAGAAGACAAGCAAAAAAAAAAGAGGAAGAAGACTTAAATATCTATTTGAATACACAGGGTCACACCAGACAACGCTGAAGAATTCGAACAAGTATTTTCCAGATTCAACGTAGGCGACGATTGTCCTGTGTTTCCCGGCATTTACGAATTCTGTCAACGATACGCAGGCGCAACCATTGAAGCATCGCGAAAACTGATTGCAAACGGTGCCGACATTTGTATCAATTGGTCAGGCGGTCTACATCACGCGAAAAAATGCGAAGCGAGCGGATTTTGCTACGTAAACGATATTGTGCTCGGCATCCTTGACTTATTACGCCATTTCCCTCGCGTCCTCTACATTGACATTGATATTCATCATGGTGACGGTGTGCAGGAAGCATTTTATTCGACTGATCGTGTCATGACTGTCAGTTTCCATAAATACAACGGCGACTTCTTTCCTGGAACAGGACATATTGACGAGATTGGATCGAACCTGGGAAAATATTACTCTCTCAATGTACCGTTGCGCGACGGTATTGACGATGTGGCCTATATCTGGCTATTTAAAGAAGTGATTGACTCAGTAATTGGCACATTCCAACCATCAGCGATCGTATTACAATGCGGCGCAGACTCTCTTGGATGTGATCGTCTCGGCTGTTTCAATCTAAGTATTGAAGCACATGGCAAATGCGTACAGATCGTTAAAGGATTCAAAATTCCACTACTGGTTGTCGGCGGTGGTGGGTACACGGTTCGAAACGTCGCGCGATGCTGGACATACGAGACGTCAATTCTGGTGGATACACAATTATCAAACGATTTACCACCAAATGAATACATTGATTTCTTCAAGCCGGATTATCAGCTCCACCCACATTTGTCAGGTCGTGTAGAGAATCAGAACGATCGTCAGTATTTGATGAAGGTGCGTGAACGTGTTATGGAACAATTGCGGTATTTGGACGCGGCACCAAGTATACAGATGCAAGAAGTCCCACCGGATATCCAAGGTTTCTTGGATGGTGATGCAGAGCTACGAGACGCAGAAGACGACTCTGAGATTGGCAAGGAGCAGCGTCGCCGAAGGGAAGTGATGGCAGAAGCAGAATGGTATGAAGGCGATGACGATAACGAAGGCGAGGCCGTGGATTCTGTTTGGGCTAAAGACTTGTAAATGTAACTAATTATACTATATACATATATCACCTCATAACTTATATTTTCACTTTAAAATATTGTACATGTTGCGCTTTTATTTTTATTTTTCTTCATTTCGTTGTTTAAACGACACATATACAAAAAAATAATCGGTATAATTATATCGCTTTGTTGAATTTACACAACGGTCAAAACTGGACCAAGTCGCGTTCGACGGAAAGGCTGGGGATAGGTGGAGATGGAGTGGATAGTGGCATTGCGGTGGTAGTAGGAGCAGAGGATGCTAGTGATTTGTAGTGACGATTGTCCGTGCCATGGTCAATTGTTTTTATAAATGGATGGTTATCATTGACGAGATTGCCGTATATTTCGATTAAGCAGTAAGCGTCGCTCGCTGCATACGTTGCTTGGTCGACCGTCAACGGCCGCTGTTCCCAGTTACTGAGTTGCTGTTTTTTGTTCATAGAGACGCCTAAAAATGTCGAAACCACACCTGCCAGACCGCCAGGGATTGGCTCGCCATGCTTGGTCCGCAAGGACTTGAAATCAACAAGGTTTGCAGTGTACCAATCCGATGCCGTGGGCATACACTCCTTTAAAAGCGAGAAATCGCCGTTAAAGTCATAGGCGAGCTTGATGATCTGTTTTTCTTCGAAAAGCATACGCAAAACGAGGTCCATGTCTTGCAACAAAGCAATGTTCATTGGATGTAGTGCCTTGGCGATATCCACAAGGTATACGACACCGCGATCAGACGCAATTTGCATCAGTGCAGTTTTGATAGTACCCGACCGGGCAAACTGTGGCACCCATTCTGTATCCAATCCGCATATACGCGTCTGCGCAAGCGTTGCTTTGAGTTGCATCACTTTATGATGGTTGTCTACCATCACCGGACGGACTTGATTGGGCAATTGGTAGTAAATGGGGTTTGCAACAGGCGAGCGTCGTGGTGAGCCGTGGTAGCGTGAGGACGGCACTTCGCCCTTGAGCATGCCGACAGATCGATCGCCAAGCGGCAAACCGTTATACTCTACGAGAAATTGATGTTGGCCAAAAACATGTGCAAAATGGGTCGCAGCAACAGCGTCGTTCATGTCGACAAACTCTTTAATGGCGAGCTTGACAACTGCAGGATCATCCCTAATGATCAACTCGATCAGACCGTTATAGTTTGAGCTAGCGGCAATCGACATGTCACACTCGTCATGTTGTTGGGCTGCACGTTGTTTGATGAGATAGCGCAGAGCGGCGTATTTTTGTGAGAGCCAGATGAAGTAGTGTTCGGTGTCGTCAATGTTTAATTCCTGCATTATCCTTGTTGCACAAGATGTCAAGTCTTTTTGAATGCGTCGTTCTCGAAGTCGGGGTAATGGCGGTGCTGACTTTTCATCGTCCGGAATTGATGCCAAATATTCTATAGTCATAATACCACGCTCTATGAGCAACATATGTAATTCTCCAAGGATAAAAAGAAGCCCTACTTACCTGTAGGCACAATATCCAAATTCCCAGCGAACGTGTAGCGAAGCTGGATGTTGATGTATTCCAATAAAAGTTTCTGGAGTGTTGCATTACCGCTTGTAAATACCGGCAAAATATTGCCTTGGTTAGCTGCAAACAATTTGGCAGCAAACTTGTCGATCGGGAAGGCTTCAAACAGGTTGAGTTTGCGGATGCATGATATGGCCTCGTTATAGTGACCGTCACGCATCAACAGGTTACACATCTTGACACCGTCGTCTTCAAGGTCGCAATCACGCCCAACCAGCTCTCGGAGCTTGAATACGTCCATGGCATAATAGACAAGAATGGGTGTAGGGATCCTATCCAGAAGTCTGACACAGGCTTCTTGGTGTTCGCGGGTCATTGCATATCGCGCAGCTGCTTCAGGTGGAATATCAAGTAGCTCGGCTAAACTGATCGTCGCAACACCGTCTCCGAGATCACTGTCATCACTGTCCGAATCATCGTCATCGTCATCGTCATCCTCGTCTTCTTCTTCGTCGTCGACATCACCATCTTCATCTTCGCTGTAGTCGTTTGTATTCAGCAAATTGGCTTCGTCGTCAGCATCGTCGTCGTCATCAAACAATATCAAGTTGGGCTCTTCTGCAAACGAAATGAGATCCTTCTCCTGCAGCTTTTTGGGCACCTTGTATTTCATGGGTGGTGTATGAATAAATGTGTCAAATGCACGGCATAAAGCTTGGACCAGATATCGTTGGAATTTCAATGTTCGACCTTCCCCTGGGTTCTGCTTACAGTACACAGCAAGATCATAGATCAATTGCTAAAAAAAAAGAATGTGAATAAACAATGAATTATAATGTTTCCATAGATACCCTTCCTACCCACGTCAAAATCCGAGATTTGCGCGTCCACCACTTCTACATATATGTTCTTCTCACCAAAACAAAAGCGCCAGGGTCAGGACATTCTTGTAGACATTCACTAAGGCGAACATCGATTGTCAACTTGCTCGTTTCAATTTCACGGATCCGTAAATAGGTTTCGGCACTCTTGTACGTTTCAACAAGTTTTTGAATGAAACTAGGGCTATCTGCCGTTTGACAGAATTGTTCAAGATCCTGGGGTGTAATATAAGCTGCTTGGTCTTGTGCTTTTTGAGTACTGGATTTGGGTAAATTAGCTTTTATGGTTCGAATCGTTGCATCCGAAACGGCCAGGCGTTTGGCGGTTGGTGTGGCAGTTCTGGAGATATTGATGGTTGAAGTGCTGCTACTGCTGGTTGTGGAGGTGGAAATGCTGGCGGTGCTAGTGGCAAAGATGGCAGACGACGTAGTTGTGGGTATGTGGTTGTAGTTACTATTGCTACGAAAAAAAGACGTCGTGGTCGTCTTAGTCTTTGATTTAGCTGGTTCAATTACTGTCGATGTGACCCATTCATCTTCAGATGAATCCGATCCATTTCCGCTCATCGTTGTGCGGAATCGGCGCAAGTGCACATCCGTAGTGAAATAAGGAAAAGAGGGCAAACGGTGAAGGAAAAACAAAGAATTGAAATTTTCTAGTTTTGGTGCACCCTCCCACCATGCTTCCCGCACGAGTTTCTTTCGTTACCAGCAGTAGCAGTAAGTCAGCTTATGACTCTCGGTGCCAAATGTCTGTACGTAAGATATCAATGAAGTCATATGTCACTGTCTTTTGCTGCATTAAAAGAACAAATGAAGGAAAACGAAGAGTTGTATGTAAAATACTGGTCATTATTTAAAAAGTTAAAGGGTGGGGGTGGGGAAGAAGAATGAGAGCGTGTTATGATGATGGTAGGGAGGGAGGGTATTTTTCTATCTATCGCCGATTCTCGCCTTTATACTGCTCATCAAATCGTGTTGCTAAGCGCTGGAAGAATCGCGTCGAGATACTGGGCATATCGGTCGTGCCTCTTGAGGCAGCAAACCTCGTACCACGGGTGATAAAACTAGTCGGCCCTAAACTATTGTCAGATCCGAATCCACCAAATCCAGTCAGGAAGCTCGCCGGTCGAAGCGTTGTCTGTGGTAAAGGAGCGGTCGTTGCTGTTGCTGTTGCTGTTGACGATGATGAAGATGATGAAGAAGAAGAGGTTGCTGTTGTGGAAGATTCTTGATGATGATGGGTTTGATGATGATGGGTGCTTTGATCGTCGTGCTGTATTTGATACGACGAGAATGATAATGATGGTGGCTGTAGGTGATGACTTTGCTTTGTGGTGGTGGTGGTATTAGAAGAGGAGGTAGTCGAACTACTTGTACTGACGCTCATTAAACCATCAGCTGATCGTTCGGATAACAGATATTTCAGTCCTTCCTGCGTCTTTTTCTTATCGGAGCTGATGGATTCATGGGTGATGATCCGGTGTCGAATCTCGTTGCGTAGGTTGAGGTTACGCTCAATTTCTTTCTGCATCTCCTGACGGAACTCCACCGAAAAGACAGTGCCTTTGGTGATCTCTGTCTCTTTGCCACCATCCCAGTAAGATGACACAGATCCTTCGGCTCCGCCGTTGCTGAGGGTATCATCGTCAGACAGTCGTGGCTCGCTCAAGCCATGAATGGTATCTTGCGCTTGCTCCAGTAATGCGGCGTATTTCTTGGCTTGGGCGACCATGACCGCTAACTGTTCTTCTGATTCAACTTGTTGTGTTTCGAGATCGGCTATCCTTGCACGTAACTGGTCATTTTCTTTGACAACCTAATACGTTATGCATGATGTGCATAAATCAGCCTTTAGTTTATGGCCTGTTTTTTTTTGTTATTCTGTGCCTCCGTTTCTGTTCATCTGATGAGGGGAAAAATGAAACGAACCCGTGTTAAATCCGCTTGGATATTTCGTACGAGATGGGAGGTATTTGAACTTGATTGCTTTTGTGAAGCCAAGGCCCGTTCTAGCAGTGCTTGCAAGTTGGCATTCATTTCACGAGTAGTGGCGAGTTTATGTTCAACTTCAGCTGTATGATGAAAAAGAGAATTGTCAGTTTACGTGAAAGCCTTCATGTTATTGTGCTCAAAAACGACAACAAAAGCTATTGTCTAACCTATGCGTTTGGCATACATGCTCACCCTTGCACGTGAATCAACCTATATAACCGTTCCGGATTTGTTTTGTAAATATTATATCCAATTTTTCGTATGATCCGGTATTTTTTTCCTTCTCATTTTCGTTATTAGTCAATTTAACTTGCCATTTCTGAGGCCATATCATTAAGCTGAGCCGATAGTCCATCCATTTCTCGTCGAAACTTTGTCAATTCTCGACGCGCCTGGTCTAGTTCCTGAGTTAAATATATCCGTTCGTCAGCGGCGTCCGTAAAGTCATGATGGGGCTGGTAGTGCTGGTCGTTATGATGGTCGTGATGGTGAAGGTGGTGATGGTTGTCATGGTGGTGATATGTATAGTTGTCGTCAGGGGGTGGAGAAGTCGTTGAATCGCGTGCGTGTGTTAAATCGTTATGATGGTTATGGTGGTTGGAGGAAGCGTGTGTTTTTGTGAACTCTTGCCGTAATAAATCATTTTCTTGTTCTAATTGAGCCAACTGTAAAGATGTTGTTCACGAAAGTCAGTGTGTTCCGTTTTTTGTTAGAAGGGAGGATAATTTAAAAGTAGAAAGTGTGTTACCTTTATTTTGATGGCTTCATTGGTTTCTGAAATTACAAGGCCTAATCGTGCTGCCACATCTAAATCGTTTGCTATACTCGCTCGTTCTCGTTCCTTCTCTATGAGTAAGCGCCTTAACGTTTCAATGTCGTCTACAGCGTTGACTTGTTTGACAAATGACGGCTTGTCTAAGTTTGTTATTGATAATAACAATAAAAGAGGGAGTTTTTGTTGTTGTTGTTGTTGTGTTGGCAAGTCAAGAAAACAAAAAACAGGTTGTTGCTCTCCGGTTAATAAACGATCTCTATGTCTCTATCGAGGACCAGTGGCAGCATGCGTTACCTTCTGGCATGGTCCCGAGGCGAGCAAGACACGGCTCTAACTGTTGGTGCTGTGTTGTGGAATAAGTCATACCAGGTCCTGCATTAAGACACAAGATAAAAAAATAATGGCAGGATCGATCACGTTAGAAGGTCTGATCATACAACCGAATTTTTTTTTTGCTTGTCCTACCGTGGAAAATAAAAAGAATGGAAAGGTTAATCAGTGATATGTGGCAAGCAAGCTTAATTGGATATCTGAAAAGAAAAAAAAAAAAAAGAGAGAGAGAGAGAGAGAGAGAGAGAGACAGGAAGGGGATCTCCAGTTCCCAGTAAAAATGACATACTAGCTCCCTTCTTTAACCTCTTTTTCTTTTCGTGCGTGGGTGTAACACACACCCCTTTCTTTTTACAGTTTTGCCAGCAGTATATGCATATGCTACTGTGCATTCTATATTCGGGGGGTGGGGTTGGGGACGAGAGAGAAGGGACCAAACTCACCTTTTCTTTCTTTCGTACAGTCATATCATACAAGTCTGCCGCTGCATGCAGATGAGAATCTAAGTGCAAATTCGAGCATCAAAAACACAATGAGAATGAGTATATTTTGAATGAACGAAAGAAACAAGGCCATGGTTCGTTCTGTAACCTGCAAGCTTCCAGCGCTTTTTCTTTTGCTCTCAAGAAAATACAGTAGACTGGCAAACTTGCGAACTTGACAGCCAGGTACTACACAGTAGCTGAAAATGAAGCTCAAATCATACGGACGAGAAGTTATGTATACCTGCTATTTCAGGAAATAGTACCTCCTTTAATACGTGTTGCCCTTATTCGTTTCTATACAGCCCCAAATCAAGCTCTTGCTATGGGACACATAATATTGCTATGGAACTATGTTAAAGAACACATCATATAGCTGCTTAATAGCAATAGCGCAACTCGTCACCAGAAATCATGTCCTGACTCGCCATTTAGGTATATGCAATCGACGACTTCATACCGCACATTAAAGATTATGCCTGATTCAACAATACTCTTGCACTTTGTACAGAAAACGTGGTATAGGTTGGCTCAAAATGACCCAATAGATAACGTGCTCTTTTATCTTTAAAATGATGAGGATGAGCATACAGTCTTGATGTGGAATGGGATATACTTTCTGATATGATAAATAACATGGAAGAAGAGGTAGGTACCTTGATTTAATCATAAACTCTAAGCTTTGCAATGCTTCCTCGCGTATATATCTGATGGGTGATGAGCGTGCCTCTTCACACATGGATCCCTGCCTGTGCTAGCGTACTCTGATAAAATGCATACGGTTCCATTGGATGGCGTTTCACACTAAATTGGGGAGAGCGAGTCCATTAGCGGCATTTAGCTTTAGATGTCTACCGCTGTTCGTCACTGTGCCTCCTTCCAAGATCGTACTGCCGCTTATCTTCAAACCTCTGGAAATATAGACCCATATTTTCGTTTCAATTACCTTCAAGTTCACAATCTGACTTCTTTGCTCCTCGGAAAATTGTTTGCGTTTGATCATCGATGTAGTAGTAGTAGTAGTAGTAGTAGTAGTAGTAGTAGAAATAGTTCTGGCATTGTCGTCATCAAGTGTTGTGTAAGGAAGGGGTTCCTGGCCTGTTTCCGAGCAGGCGAAAATTCGGAATAGTGGCCTATTTACGCATCATCTTGATTTAGCAAACCTTAACAAACAGCAATAGAAGAATGGTTATTACCGCTCGACATTTCCGCATCACCCAATTTGCAAGTGTTCGCTAGCTCAAGAAAGTGTCAGAGGTCTCCGCCTGCTCGGAAAATTAACACTGAAAAAAACTACTACTATGTATAAAAACGCGTAAAAAAAAACAAATGATTTTGTTACCGTTATAAATTAAAGAGGTGATAGAAGCATTTTTATGTGTGGAAGTGCTCCTTGGTAGTACGTGAAATAAGAACGTCGTCCACGAGAATGTTTAGGGTTCAGGAACGGCGAATGATTGAGTAATAGACTCGCATCATAAAGCTTTAGAAGGCATCTAATTAATCACACTAATACATGATTTGAAGCCTTTCACATCGAAACACTATCCGCAGAAGCTCAATAAGAATAATGGACAAATGTAGCGATCTTGTACCAGAATTAAGTGTATTCTGGTCTAAACGGAAACCGCAGTTATAGCAACTGCGACTCTACGAATATGACGACGGCCAGAAAGTTACCTGTAATCATTTAACTTACGAATAAGCTAAGACTGGAGTGTTAGTTTTGCTTTGAGCAACGACACGAATGACAACGAGCCTGATCTAGTAGCACGACAATAGTGCTTGTCATAATTGTGGTTGGTTATATAAGCAGCAGCAACATATACAAAAATGACTCACAGCCCACCAAACCCCCAATCTGTGGTTGTACAGTTCCAGTCTATCCACCCCACACACAATACAACAACTCCCCCAAACTTCCCTTTTATAACTCGGACATAGCCCTCTCTTCTTTCTCTCCTTTTAAACCGCAAAAGGCACCCATATACCGTGGAATATATATACATATATATAACAAAATTTAGACTTTTTACTAAAACTTTGGGAAAATGCAATGGCGCCCAATCGTCATGATGGCCGTTGGGCTGACAATGGTCTTTCTTGTCAGTCTCATTTCTGACCCGCCGTACCCACGACCTGTCCAGCTGGCATTTGACGACGATCGTTCGACAACAATACCTTTTTCCTCCATTACAGATGCGCCAGCCAATGAGGTCATTCTGACTGTGGCAGCAGCAGATGGGTTTTTATACCAAACGGCGATTTGGTTTGAGACGGCCGATACGATGAAGCATGGCATTGGTCCTTTGAAAACAGGAACCAAGGGTAAAATTTGTTGAAAAGAGTAAAGTGGGAGGGGGAAAAACATAAATTGATCTGCTAAGCTATGGGAAACTGATGCTGTGTTATGGGGTGGTTATCTATGTTAGGTGTCATTGAACAACGAAGAAAACCGATAGATACATTATACAGTAACCAGACGGCGCCTTTAGATGATGACAACGGTAATATCTACATCATGGAGAGCGATAAAGATGTACTTAATGAGTTTAGTTTGTATTCTAGAATGGGCAATACTGTTTCAACACGAGCTTCAGGGTCCAATTTCCAAGATCTCGCGCGCGCCGCCACCACAGCGAGAATTACAATTCGCTGTTATGTACCATAAACTTAATAATGAAGATCCACAACATATAATTCGTGTATATTACTTGCCGTCATCGTCATCATCGTCGTCGCCAGGAGCGAATGATATGATGCGCTATAAAGATCTGGTCATGCCAGGAACCACGTGGATCAAGACGTTTACGTTGGAACACGACTCGATACTCTATTCGAGGTTAATTTCTGCTTTCTTTCTCTCGACTCTTCATTTGTATGGAAAAAAGAATTAGTTGACCTGATACTTTCCTGCTTGTTACAGAGATCCAGATTGGTATACGTTCCGTATTGCACATTTACCCTCAGATTTGACATCCTCACCACACCCCGTATCAATATCGATGAACAACATACAAACCGGCCCACCTATACATAGTAAGAAGAAAGAGACACACGCTCTTGAGTTGGGAATATAGAGTGTTTAATCTAACTGTATTAGAGTACTACCAACCCAGGAACACCGAACTGCACGATGTGATGCTAGCAAGATTGTACTCTCCAGAGTAAGTTAAAAAGAAAACTAGCTTTTTTTTCCAAATGTCACTAATCAATGATGACCCACTGATAACCCAGACAAGATACCTATCGCGTGCTTTCGTTGGATGTACACAAGACCCGCCTACGATACTGGATCAACGTTACGATCGCAGACAGTCTGAGCGACGATTCATGGGTACGGCGTGATCACGACGGCTTTCCACAACCCGTGTATAGCGGCGAGTCACTGCAATATATGGCTTTTGTCGACGGCACGTCGCATTTGCACCAAGATCGAGTAGAAGTGAAAATGCCGTCGTTACCATTTACGCGTTCATCCAACGGCCAAACACTGACAGCGAGCTATATAGGCCACAAGTTTTTGACGCTCGATTTCACGAATCGAACGCATCTGCTGCAGTACAACGAAGAAGAATCACAATTTCTGTATCGCGATCTAAAGGATCCAACGTTGTTTCTTCCAGAATACTTTTTCTGGACTGACTACGAACTGGAGTTATTGTCGGACTATGATGATATTGCGGGTATGCACGTCAATGAAGCAAGCACGATACTGGCTATTTGGACGGATTCGAATACGGTTTATATATATCGACGGAACGCGTCGCCTCACAATCGCGTGGTGCCACTGGGCTGGTCACTGCGTATGGTGATCAAAGATTTGAAGGCAGCAGTAAGGATCTACTATCTGTGAACGGGTTTTTCGAAAAGATTTTAACTGTTTTTGCGAACAACAGCGCGTGGGAACGATTGCATTTTGGGAAAGGCAGGAAAAGAACTATATGGGTATGTGTGTCTGTTATTATGCAATGGCGTGTTTTGTATGTGGTAGTTTAACTCTCTAGACATGGTATGTTCTTTAAGTGATAGGGCTCAAGAACCAAAAAGTGCGGTCCTATTTGATTGACGAATCTGAACAAGCTGAAAAGCCGGGCTTTTGGCACTTTTTAATAGAGCGGTGGAACATGTTGACTGCCATGTCGGTAGTAATAGCAGTGTTTGTATTTAATGAATCACACAGACCTTCGGTTTGAAAGATAGGGGGTAACAATAAATACTAATGATAATACCGATGTTTTTATACATTATATTATTTCGGGACGCAAAAGAAGAGAAGAAATGATATAAATAGATGCATTGTGTGTGTAAAAGAGGAGATTGGTTGGTACGTTGTTTGAAGAGGGAATATTATGAACAGGAATAACACTAGTTATGGGTAAGCTATGATGATATGTAATATATATATAAGAGTGCGCGTGTGTTTGTGTGTATATATAAGAGTATAAGTAAACGAGGGGAGGAGAGAGAAAGAGGCAGGGGATAGATAGATAGTATAGTATATGTTATGTATACACGACGGCCTTACTTTTTATGTTTTGATCAAGTAGTACGTATAGAGGTATTCAACAATGGGGTGGTTTCTTCGCGGTTGTACTGCATCTCTTCGGCGGAAGAGGAGGGTGTGCTGGACCGCGCATGGTGATGATGATACTGACGGCTGCTGCTCGTCGTGCTGGTGGTAGTGCTGCTGCTGCTGCTGCTGCCGCTTCGTCGTGCGCCGAGAATGATGAAAAATGAGGCGCAAAGTAAAATAAAGGAGAAGATGGTGATGATAAGGTAGTTCAGCCACAGGATTCCAACGGAAATCATGGCGGATCGATGGATTGTCTCTGGCAACTCGTCCTTGTAAAAGAACAGCAAGTGCGTACCTGTAAAATTTCCCTCCAAAATGATCAATGATCTCACTCACACACAGACTCTCTCTTTTCTTCTTCCAATCCGTCAGCTTACCAAACAAAGCCCAACCAATCTGTCCTACAAAGATGAGACAGCCAATACGACTTAACCAAACACTGGACCTCCGCTGCTGTTGCCGCCGCTGCCACCGCTTCGTGTTGCTGCTGCTGCTGCCGCTGTTGTTGTGTGCCTCAATATCCTCCTCCTCGTCTTCTTCTACGTTTGTTGTCACCATCACCATCTGTGCATTGTCGTCCGTTTGTTGTTGACGGAGACATGTGGCAATCACCATGACAATCGTGATCAGGGACGACATGACTGAGCCCGTCAAGAAGACAGAGTACACGGTGCCGTCCGGCGAGAGCGACCACCAATCCGTGCTGTCTTGTAGCTCGTACCTTAGCAGCTCTGTCAGTGCGTTCACGCCGATAAACATGTTGTACACGTTCACGGGCACCAGCGATATGAGCGACACGACGAGACCTACGATGCCCAGGAACCCAAGCGATAGACCCATCGTTTTTGAAATAAAACCATGTTGTTTGCTATTGGCCATAATGTTCAGACTATACACACACAGCGCACACACTTGCTCTTGCTCTTGTTTGTCGTTGGAAAGATATGAGAGAAAGTGAAATAAAAAGAGGAAGAGGAAGAGAAGAGAAGAAAGAGAAGCGCTTGGTTTTATAAGAAAACAAGAAAAAAATGAACAAGAGAAAAGAAGGAGGAAAAAGGAAAAAGCTGTTCTTTTTTTTTTTTTTTGCTTCTTTCTGTGCATATCACACACACACAAACACACACACCACACAGAGAATTATTGCTTGCTGTTAGGTGCTGCTGCTGCTGCTGCTTGTATTCAAAGCCCGAGTAGCTTCTGCTTGTACTTTTCGCGCACGCCGTGCACGGTTTGGAGTAATGCTTCATCGTCTTGCTCTGCCGCAGCCGCTGCTTTGAGCTCTTGCACGATTTGGCTCAGCAGTTGCGAAGTCTCCTGGATGGGCAACAAACTCGTCAGTCTCTATGACTCTACAAGTGCGCACACACACACGCACACCCTCTATCTTTTGTCATACCTCGCTTTCGGCCGTAGCCTGTTTCTTTGTATGCTGGCTATCCACTGCAATAACAATAAATACGCTGTTATTACAACCACTCTTTCTCTCCGTCATCGATTGATAGCTACTACAACAGCAGTAAGCAAGCCATACCTGGATCAACATCCTCCAGTTCTGCAGCTTTCCGTTTGGCCAGACGCACCACACTGCTAGGAAACTGTGCAAGCTCCGCGACATGGATTCCGAAACTTTGGTCGCAGATACCTGCCCACATACGCTTGTGAGCTCTCTCTCTCTCTTTCTTGCCCCGCCCATTCTTTTGTTACCTTCCATAACTTTATACAGCAGTGTCAGACCTCCGCCAGTTTCTCCCATGTGCACTGCAACATTGAGATTCTTCACGTGTGGTATTGTCTCTGCAAGCGCCGTTAGCTCGTGAAAGTGCGTTGCGAATAAACAGAACGCGCGAATCTCGGTTGCAATGTGCCTGAGATTTGAAGAAATATAACGTCAGCTTATGTCCTGGCTCGCTTTCTGTAAAAAGCGGGAGCCCCTTCTCTCTTTCCCCGCTCTCCGCTCGTTCACCCGTCCATCGTCCGTCCGTCCGGTGTATTGTAGCACACTTACTCCGAAATAGCCCAAGCCAAACCAAACCCGTCATATGTGCTTGTACCACGTCCGAGCTCATCAATGATGATCAACGAATTTGCTGTCGCTGTCTATCAACGTTTTTGTGTTGTTGGTGTGTGCAATCAATAACAACAACCTTGTTCATGGGACTCCCGCTTCTTTACCTTCAAGATGGTTGCCGTTTCAAGCATTTCGGCCATAAACGTCGAAACGCCTTTCAGCTGGCTGTCACCTGCCCCCACACGCGCCAGAATGCAGTCGAATATCCCAATGCTGGCTTCGGCACAAGGAACAAAGCATCCGATCTGTGCTAATAATGCAATGACGCCCGTCTTTGATTTTGATGGTTCTGTATGAGTTTCATTCTGCTCGACCCTTAAAGATAGAAGCTTGTACACACAATCTGTTACCTGGCGGATATAAGTTGACTTGCCGCCCATGTTGGGGCCAGTGATGATCTGGAACTCGGATTTGTCTTTTGAGGAATTTAGGCGTAATCAGCTGACAAAAACAATAACAACACACACACACACACACACACACACCAAACCGATTGTTGCTTAGCTCACCTTTCACCATTTCAATATCGTTCGGAATAAACACCACGTCATCCTGCACTTCCAAGCACGGGTGGCGCGAGTCGCGAAGCACAATGTTGCCTTTACACAGATAACAGCACATGTTAGCTGTGTTTTCTGTTTCATCATCCATTACTATTGTTGCTGCTGCTGCTGCTGCTGCTGATACAAACCAAATTCTTGCACTAGTGGCCGAATATACGGGGTGGGTGCCATGATAGACACATGGGCAAAGCTTAGAATCACATCCAGTTTTGCCAGAACGCCACTTAGCAGCTCCAGTACGGGAGAATAGGTTGCTAAGGGTAGTAGTGTCATTATTAGCAACAACCAAACAAACCTTCCTTAAAACAAACTCTCTCTTTCTATGCACTTACCGACAATGCCAATGACCTCTTTGACCAAATCACTTTGTCGTCGTTGGTATTGCTTAGACAGTTCGCTCCACGTATCGTTAAGTTCTTTAAGTCGACTGGTTGCAAAGTATGTTCCAATCTTCTGTGTAGCATATTCAATGTATTCGGGCTTGTTGCGGATAGCTGAAGCATCGGTGCGAGTCACCCGGAAGCACTGGCCATATACATTATGATTTTCGAGCTTGAGTTTCTTTTCAGTGTCAAAACCTAGTTTGTTACCGACGCGTGCGTGTTCAGAGTCTATCTGTTTGCGAGCGGCATTGATTTCTTTACGAATTTCTGATTTTAAGAAAAGTTTGTTGGTGAGGTTAGAAAGAAAGAAAGAGGGGTGAGTACACAACAGGTGCACAAGGCACACACACAACAATAATGCATGTATACCTTGTAAATCAGGGTCAAAGTCTGGTTTGATAATAAATTCATGATTCGCCACCGCATCCAAGTCGATTGTCGTTTCTACCATTTCTTGGAGCTTGTCTAGTTTTGCCGAGTAATCCTACATGTGAAGCAGTGCATCGGTTATAAACAGCGTGTCGTCTACCCATCTTAGTATGAAGGAGAAAAGAGTACCTTGATTTTAGAAGTGTAGGTATCGTCCATAAGTTTTGCCTTCACTTCATCTTCTGGAGCTTGTGCTTCCAGACAAGTGATAAGAGCAGGTAGTCGGATTACGACTTGGTATATCCTGACGACATCCTGAAATAAATACAAATTAATTATCCACTACCTCCGACCGAGAAGATCCCATCCAATGCCTATCCTGCTATTTCTGCGTTTACCTGTAATGATGCAATGCCTTTCTGAAAACGCTTTGCCAAGCGATGTAAATCCGGTACATTCTTCAAATGATCTTCTTGAATAGATTGTCGTAGCTCTGTGCCTTCGTAAAAGATTTCCACTAGATCCTGACGTCGCTGGATTTCTTGGACGTTCAATAAGGGTTGTTTTAACCATTGGACCAATAGACGCGACCCTTGGGCAGTTTTACATTTGTTTAATAAGCCATAAAGACTCATTGACTTGTTGGATCCTTCCTGTGGACTTGGCATCAGGTTAAGTGCGCCCAACGCTGAAGCATCAAGTCGCATATATTGGGAGAGATCATGGTCCTTGAGTTTGTAGTGCTTGAAATTGCTTTCATCCTCGACTAGCTATACATGCCATTATCAGTTCTCTCTTGTCTCATACATTTTCGATGCTTCCTCCCCACTTTTAGTATCCTTAGCTTACTGAAAGGTACTTTATCAAGCATGCACAGGATCCCATTGCATTCTTCATTTCATATTCGGCTGATTCAAAGGAGGTATGTTGTCAGTATATGGATTTCTAGTGACGTAACAATAACTATCGCCACTTACGTAGTGCAGTAATAGATATTTCTCCTTCCAGTAATCGATTTAGATCTTGTTCAATATTCTTGGTGTTGTAATCCACTGTATGATTCAAATATTGATAGAAAATAGTCAGCTTTTTACAGTGAATAAAAGCAAGTAAAAAAAGAATAGAAAAGTCACCCTTTTTAATTTCTGTCACGACAATCCTGCAGCGCTCCAAAACACTTTTTAATTTCGTCAATTCATAATCTCTGGTAGCATCGTTCGAAGGTACAATACATTCTTTCACGCCAAGTTGGATCACAAGCGACTACACATGTATTCAGACAAAACGGTCCAAGTTGGTACATATCACAGTACAATTAGTAATGTACAATCCTCCCCAATCCTCATCTTTTCAATATACCTCAAAGTTTGAATAAAGCTCGTTATCAATGAATTCAGACACGCCGATTTCCTTGACGTTTGTATCCGTAAATGATACGCCAACAGTCTATACACATTCACATACGTTAAAAAAATCCCACTTCCTCAAGCACAGTAAAGTACATAATCCTTTCTAACCTTTGTGTCCGTTGTAGCGCTTAATTTGACAGCCATCACTACCGGTGATGTTGTCATGCTCGAGTTCAAAAACAACAAATCCTCAACATCCTGAAGGTTGCCCGGAGAAGCTTTTTTTGATATCTTCCACTGGCCTTTGCTCGATGTCCATATTTCAACCTTGATTTGCTTATTGAGCAACGCATCGCGTAAAAATGTTTCTGCCACGGTGCTGCCTATTGCCGTTGTTGCTAGTTGCCCTTGGCTGTCTATGATTTATTTAATATGTCATGAGTATTCTTTTTCCATCGTTCAGCAATACCAGCGTCTTAACAGGTATCTACAATAGCAAAAAGGTTTATTACTACCTCCCCAGAACTTGATTACTGAAGTGGTTTTATATACATGGTGTGCCATGTACTGCGCGTCTTCTGCATGGACTGTGTAGTATGGTTTTTGGTTGGCGTCGCGTTCGAAAAACCGAATGGTTCCTTCTTCAACCTAAAAAAAAGTACCAATGTGTGTGAGAGCCTGTACATGTTTTTTGAGGAGCGTTAGCTGAATGGCCCAATTGTATATTTACGTCCGGCAATGATCGGTAAAACTTGACAAAGCTGCGTTGTTCTCCAGTTTCTAGAATTGCAAGAGAGATTCCGTAATACATTGAGTATTTCTTGCACTCGTAACGTTTATTTTGCAAGAAAAAACGGATAGCTATTATTAACGTATATACCGCGTACCAATATCAGGAATATCTTCTTTTGTAGCAGGTGAGCTCATGTTCGTTATAGTCTCTTAGCGTTTGAGGCTAAAAAAATAAAAGTGTCAAAGCAGGTGTGGTCGACGACGTGTCGGGATTAAATCAGGAACGCGTTTATTTTGGTTCCGACAACGCGGGAAACGCGGTGACACGTCAAGTTTCTGACGCGTTTGCACCAAACATTTTCGCATTCGATAGTATCAAGCTTTAATGGACGTTGTATACAGTACCGTAATAGTATGCTGCACATACAGGTCGATACATTCACGCACCGGGGTTTTTTTTCGTGATCTTACTGCTCGTATGTCAGTATCAAAAAGCTCTGCAGTTCAAACAAGTGCTTTAGTTCATAACCAGGTCCCACCGACAAATAGAAAAGGAGACAGTTCATATAAGGCGAAGAGAATGGCTCGACTGGAAGTTAAAAAAAAGAAAAAGAGATTGACGGCGGCAATAAACAATGACAACAGTGGACCATAAAGCGAGCAGATAACAGCTTGGTGTGGTGCTCTTAGCCGGCATGGCACTTTGAAGAAATATAGCATCCGTTTCCAAGGATGAGCCAACGAGGAGGCGACACACATTAGCATCCCACCGGTGCCTTTGTTTTATAGTGCTCCGCAAAAATAAACAGAATCTTTAACTCGTAATGTGAGCTGTCTCACTCTTGATCCTGCAAAGTTCGATCCCTTAAAATATAGTGCCTCAATCAAGTGCCCAAGCAAGCATTGGAGGTTGAAGCAATTACAAGTGAGAGACAGACAGACGCCTTTGGCAAGATGACGGATCTTGTCAGCATTGATGCTTTTTAAGCAGGAATACATGCCCTTTTATCAAGAATTTGGCATCATACTTCTTTGGTTCTTCGTCTTCTTCGTAGCCACCGACCTGTATGTATCTTGAAAATGGTGGGCACTTGACAGAAACCATTGATCATGTATTGAAGCCCACTAATAAAAGCGAATGATGCACTGTATATAAGCAACAGCCTTAGAGCACAGCAGCAAATGCTGTGTATATGATATTGTTACCAAAGGAGGAAGATGGAGGCAGGAAGATTCCAGGATGTGTGGCAAAGGAACTCAGCTCGAATGAGGGCTGTATCATTTTCACATGGTAATAAATAACAACAGACGATTTCAAATAATCCAAATTTGTGCCAACGATTATTTCGTAAGAGCCTCGAGTGTGATCCTTGTTCACGGCCTTTCGCTTTTTTTCTTTTCTTGCTTTTTTGTAGCATGCCACAAATAAGTAAGTCGCCTAGAAGTGAGTATTGCGTGAACAAGTGGGTAATGATACACACACGGGTGAGAGATAAAAAAGGGGGGGTGGTAGAACAGAAATAACATTGCAAATTCAATGACAGTTTCAACTAATCCATTGTTATATATTTGCGACGCTTTTTTGCTTCAGATACGACATTGACTCGAATTCATTGGGCAGCATGGGCTGTCTTTCCCGTGGCATTGTCTGCAATGTTACGAAAACACGGCGGATTCTACTACTATCGAACCACGACACAAATATTCGCTTTAGCATTCTGTGCACTTTACGGTGTCTTTGCATCATTGTCATTGCCTCTCGTTGGCAAGCGACATCTCATCAACTGGTCGGTGGCTCGGTTGTACTATCATATGGCAGGCTATTTAACGGGAATTTCGGTATCCATTGAGGGCAAGGAACACTTGGACTCGAAGCGTAGTGCCGTCTATGTCGCAAATCATCAAACCAGTATGGATATCTTGTTCATGGCAAGTGTGTTTCCCAAAGCAACCTCTGTTGTTGCCAAGAAGGCACTCAAGTATTATCCATTCTTGGGCTGGTTCAGTAAGTGGTCCTTATATGTGTTTCATAGTTTCTTTTGCTGATATGTCAATCCGCTACTTTTTATATCACTAGTGACCTTGAGCAAGGCTATTTTCTTGGATCGTAAGAACCGTGACAGCGCCATCAAGGAAGCAAAGCAGGCTGCATTGGATATTCATAAAAAACAGGCAAGGAAGGGATTATCAAACGTGTGAAAAATAAGTGTGCGGGGAGAAGAAATACATCTATAAAGGGCAATCAACTCATTTAGCATAATGCATGTGATTAAATAGACTAGCGTATGGCTTTTCCCTGAAGGTATCAACTTTAGAAGAAGACTTGATTTCTTTGATGGGTGGATTAGTGACCAACTGACGTGATTGCTTTGTTGATTTATTAGGCACTCGGGGTTACGCTTCGAAATTGGATCTGTTGCCGTTCAAGAAGGGCGCCTTTTACATGGCTGTGCAGGCGCGTGTTCCTGTGGTACCTATTGTAATTGCTAACTATAACCATTTGTACGACTTCACAGTCAAACGCTTCGACCCCGGCACCGTCAAGATCAAAGGTAAGGCGAAGGATGTTTTGATTTTCTTTTGAAGGATTGTTTTGCTCTGGTGCCTCGTTTATACACTTATACAAGAACCGCTTTTGTAATTTCTTTTCTCGTTCCAGTATTACCGCCAGTAGATACCTCCGAGATCGACGAATCTTCTGAATCAGTGGATAAACTTGCCTCCAATGTTCGAGAGATGATGTTGGCTACTCTCAAAGAAATCTCTATTCCTCCACCTGGCTCTATTAATCCTCCAGCATCACCACCTTCTACTGCGTCAGATAAAAAGTCGCATTAAGCATTCCTATATTTTCCTCCATTGTCATTCTCTTTATTCGATATTATTGTTATATTAATTCTTGATTCAATATTTTATCCTACTGCATAGACATTATCATGAAACATATTGATGACTACACACGTGTTGCTTATTTTTTTCATGTTGCTAAACAGGCGAAGCTTGAAATCACAGTAATCCAGCTTGTTGTTGAACACAGGAGCCACAATGTGTGCAAACGTTGCTCATTTCGTTTGAATAATAGCCTCATTGCTTTGGACCAGATACTAGTCGATCGTATAAACACTCAGGTTTATTCTTTTTTCCATCACCTTCTATTGCTATATTGTTAGCAACATTTCCTGCTATCATCAACAAACAGCGCGTTTCTGTGGAAAATGTAAACCCATTACTAGGTGAAATACCCGGTAATCGAGGCATATTTCCATTCAGATAACATAAAAAGCGACTTTGCTTTTAGTTTAGAGATACACGATCAACTGAATATGCTAAAGGTGAAAGAAAAAGTCCAGGATCTCGCAATGGCGATCGCTGTTGAAGCAGGGAGAGCGCGATTTTTAGTCACCGCTCTTGCAGCTTTCTCTCGATCTGTATATCAACATTATAATTCAAAAGCAGCGTTAGTAGAATGATCCCGTCTATTAATTTCCAGCGACAGACAGACGCATTATCGTGTGTCACATGGAGATCTAATAGCAGTAATATTTAGCTTGCTTCTTCTTCTGCAGGTACAATTGGAATCAGGAACGGATTTTTGCTTATCCTTGGGAATGCACTGTGGTAGCTAGACAGCCCCATTGCCCACCCACCCACCCACCCCCCCCCCCGCGCGCACATACCCCGATCACACAACAACACACACGAACTTGTTCTCAGAGCATCCTGTATGTAGCCACACATAACACAAAATGCAACCCACACTAACTGCAAGCAAGAACGTTACACTAAATCAGCTTCAAGTGATGCTGAAAGTTATGTTATTTTTTTCCTTGTCCCACCCAAGATGGAAGAAACTTTTACTTTCCCACTCGGCTTCTTAATAGTATATACATCACAGTAGACACGACGTGAAAACGAACTGTTTCAACCTCTCCATACCTCTTTTCCCCTTTCCGTTTCTCTTTTCTCTTTTTTTTTTACCCGCATACCCTCTCCCTATTTCGTTCACTCACTCTTTTTATAAACAAAAGAAGTGGAACCAACATACCACGTTCTACACACTTGTTTAGCGATCGGCAATGGGTGCCGTCTGCTGTTCTTCGAGCATCGATTTCGCTAATGAAGGTGCGTCCAGTATCCCGATCTCTTGTATCTTTGTGTTTTCGCTAACTAACTATTTGAAAAAAAATGTAAATAATAGAGGTCCAACTCAATCACTTTTACCTCATGCGCGCCATTGGCAAGGGCGCGTTCGGCAAAGTCAGAATCGTGCGACACAAAGAGTCAGGCAAAGAATTTGCACTCAAATACATTAGCAAAGAAAGGTGCATTCAACGCAAATCGATCGGCAACATAATCAGTGAGCGACGATTACTCGAACGGATCGATTACCCGCTCATTGTAAACTTGCGGTATGCATTCCAAGATGACGAAACGCTGTTTATGGCTCTCGATTTGAAGCTCGGTGGTGACCTGCGGTTCTTATTAGAACGAATGCGGACACTAAGTGAGCTTCAAGTGCGCCACTACGTCGCCCAAATCGCGCTTTCTTTGAATTATCTCCACAAACGACGGATTGCTCATCGAGATATCAAGCCCGACAATGTCTTGCTCGACGAACGCGGCCACGCGCATTTATCCGATTTCAACGTGGCTGTGTCATTCTCGGATAAGAAGCCTCTCAGATGGTCGACGGCAGGTACCTTAGCTTATATGGCACCCGAGCTTGTGGGCAAGCAAGGGTACTCGACTTCAATCGATTGGTGGAGTCTCGGCGTCCTTGCGTATGAATTATTGTTTGGTAAGCGGCCATTCAAGGGCAAGTCAAATGATCAAACGATGGATTCCATACTGCACGATCCGTTACAGTTCCCTGAAAACGTGTATCAGATCGTATCAGAAGACTGTGTGAATGTACTTTCAGGGGTAAGTAATAAGAGTATCAAGAAGAGTGCAGTGACAATCGTCAAAACCAAACTTCCCCTCTCTGCCCATCGACGCATCTTATTCGCAAGAGAGAACAGGTTTTGTCCAAGATTGTTAATCAAAAGGCATGCTATGCTACACACAAAATTATAGTTACTCGAGAAATCGCCCATTCGTAGGCTTGGTGCCGAAAGCTTCCGAAACTTTAAAAGCCATCGTTGGTTTGCTGGCTTGGACTGGGACGCATTGGAAATGAAAACCGCTGTGCCGCCCTTTATCCCCGATGTAAGTAGTATAGCAATCGAATCCAGAAACTGTTCTTGAAAAGAAGGGTCGTCTCGTGCGTGTATTATGTATGTGTTTCAAACAACATCCTAATCTTCTTTCTTGACACCTTACCACAGTCCAAAAGTTTGAACTTTGATGCAGTCCATGAAATCGAGGAAATCTTACTGGAAGAACCACCTTTGCGTACGGTTCGACGTGGAAGAAGCACTCAATCAGAGCATCATCCTGTCACCGAGGAAGCTCAATGGCGCCAGATGTTAGAGGATCGCTTCCTGTCTTTCGATTATCGAAAACGTCGTATGGCTGAGGAACGTATCAATCATCCATATAATCGAGGCTACATGGTGGTATCATCTACATCAACCACAATGGAAGACGATGAAGATGAGGATACGACACTACGCAAAACATAAAACGAAAGAATACCCCCACCTCCTTGTACGGTTAATGCAGCCCAACTGTTGCTATATCATCCTCATACACACACTCACATATTACATTTTTCCACATTTATCAATTCATACCAAAGATCAACATCAGCTCTGTTTACACTCATTTTCTGAGAAAAAAACACGTATAATATAAAAATATATATAAAATATTGCAGAAAGAAAAACTATTTAAAAACATTACATTCAAGCAATACGTTGACAACGCAACAAGTGGAATAAACTATAATCATCCACCACCCAAGCTCCTTGTTGATGCAGTAATCGTTCAAGTTGACTACAATAAGCGTACTCAGCAGCACAGTGATTAATCCGCTGCATGACACCAAGATGGAAGGTGCCACATCTAATTCGTATGGATGTCCCGTTTTGAGTGCCTGATAAGCCGATGAGATTCCGATACCGAGCACCATATCTGTTCATGTTTTCATCGAGAACATGAATAAGTTATTGCATAAGCCTATCATCATTTTCTACGCCAGCAAAAGCAATATCCAGATAGTAACTTACTGAGTAAAGGTCCAGCATAGCATGCCGAAATGGCCATCGTCGGAAATCCCATCTTTATAACATATTATTGAATGTCTAAGCTTATGTCCCCTTACTGTGATATGGGCAAATAGCAATATCTTCCTGTCCTCTTACCTTAGCAATTGCTGTGTTTGATACCAGATCGCCCACGCTGTTACCCTAAAGATAGCGAGTCAGTAAAATCATTGTTGTCGGAACCCCTCGACGTTCTCTTGATTTTCCCTTGATTTAATTACCAGTGCAAAGATCGTCAATCCCATAATAGCATCACTGATACTCAAAATAGCACCAATAGCTTGCAACAAACCCACCATCGAATTGGCCAGCAAGAAAATCCAGTTCAACGCAATAACAAAGCCTCCGAACGATACCATCCAATGCCATTTGGGTGGCTGGTCTGCTGTGGTCTTGACAAGTATAATCGATGCCATCACACAGCCGATGCCGAAACCGATTAGAATGTAAACTCCAGGGATGAAGTCATTCACTACATGTCTCGGCTTTGTTAGCAAGATGTGATATTTCATCATTCATGATCATTGAGTTGAAACAGTGCATTACTTACGCCACATGACACCAAAGACAAATGTCGTGGCCATCACTGCTTGAGTAGCTAGTAGCCATCTGCACCATGGCATCATTGGGCCTTCCTCTTCTTCCAATATTATTCCATCTTCCTCCGGTAAAGACAGGTGATCATCCTCTGGACCGCCGCCACTCAAGGGTGGCGGGGGCACGGGCAAGTAACCCTTGTCGGTAGAGACTCCATCAAGCAAGGCGTCCTCGGCAACCTCAATATCATACACTTGGACATCTTCAGCAACAGGCAGTGTCAATGTGAAAATCAACACAAGAGGTAAGGCTACCAATGAGCTGAACTTTGAAAATCTGGTCTTGGTTTGCCAGCCTTGTAACGTTGGAAACATGGTTTGAATAAAGTCCTCCCATGCAATACCAAAGGACCAATAGAGCGAAGCAATTTGCTTTTGGAAGCGGCTAGTGGATTTTTGGTGCTGGCGGTGGCGACCGTGCTGGTCATCGTCGTCATCGTCTTCGTCGTCCTCGTCACCGTCGTCATGATCGTCAGCAGTGATATTCGGGACGGCGATGGATAATGGTTGATCTTCTGTTGGTTGTCGACCACCGCCCAATCGAATTTCAGGCACGACAGCAGGCTGCTTTTGCTGTTGATTGGCTGAGATATACGTAAAATAGTCTTCGGCCATACCTGTGCTGCTGTGTGTGCTGTCCGGAGTTGTTGCTGTCGTGCATTGATTGCTGTTGTTTATACTCTTATTTGTATTATTGGTATGATTATTTCTTAAACCGGGAAAATTTGGAGTTAATCGGTCGCCGACGGTAGATGCTCTCGGACGGCCTCCTCCTGGTCTATATTGATGAAGAAGACCGTTGCTGTTGTTATTGTTGTTCTCCGAGTCGCTAGCGTTACTGTTACCGCCTCCTATCATCAGACCTCTCAATGAACCGTGCGACGGTGTGCCCCACATGGATTGATGCGGCACCGATGTTTCGCGATGGCGATGCAAGGTTCCGCTCGTGCTTCCAGTCCTTCGAATCGTTGAAACCTGTTCCTGGAACTCGATGGCTCTATAAATTGAGTTGCGGATACCCACACGTGGCGAGATGGCGTGGCGATAGAGCCGGGTGGATATCGATCCATTTGTGCTTGTCGTACGTGGTACACACAAGCCATCTATGTGCAAGGATGATCGAAGCGAAGAGCCGGGTGACACAGGCCGAATGACATGTCCAAGATGGGATTCGTGAGATGAGAGCGAGTTATGTGACGAAAATCCATGCGATGGGATCGCGAGTCGGGGTGGCTTTCCATGTCTTACTACAGAAGCATTTCGTTTAGATGAAGCAGAGAGATAAAAGATTAGTGCTAGATACTGCGTCTAAAAAGAACTCACAAGACAGCACGCGGGGTCGTTTCTCCATAGAAACCACTTATGCTTTTCTCACCTTCCTGTTGTAGCAAGTGTGTTGCCTCTGTCAACTGATCTTCGATGTTACTGTGAACTGAGACCGGGAACGACTTGGACTCGAGCTTGGCTGGTGTTTCGGCGCCTGGAAATCGAAACGCACCAAATACGACGACAAACACGTACGTAAGATAATAGGCAATCAGGGCGACGCCGTGGTACCAGAAAATGCGTCGGTGATAGACGATCCATGTCAGCATCATGATAGCACCCGTGAGAAAGGAGGCGTCCCGCATAAACGTGATCCGCTTCGATTTGAAAGGTCGAATAATTCCCATTGATCCTGAAACGACTGATACGATGAAGAATGCTGCACCGATCAGCTCGCCGACCGCTAACGATCCAGCTCCACTGTCCATGGCACTAGCAGCCACGAGAAGTGCATGTAAGTCACAGTACACAGATGCATGCATTGTATCAGCCCGTGCAGTAGTTTTCTTTTTTTTTTTTTTAAAACAGCATCCCTGGTATATCCTCATTTTTCTCCTTCCTTCCCTCGCCATGCCAGCCCCTTCTCCCCTTTTGTCTTTCCATATGTTACCAAAAAGACGCATTTACCTAAAAGTGCTGAACAGATCTGGACTACCGTTACCAAATGCCAAGATGGTGACACCCGCCTATAGAACATTCTTAGTTTCTGTCTTGTATAACGTTCTCACACGAACCATGCTTTCGGACAGTTGCAACTTGGAGGATATCGTCTGGAGATTCGGGCCTGGGGATGTGTGTAACTAGATACGTAAGCTTATCATCATTCAAGTGCCCACACACACCCTTGTTCGCATTTGGTGGTAGCAGTACATATCCTTGGAAACTTACAAAAGAAATCAGATGCAACAACACTGACGGCACCAAATAGCATCAGCAGACCCAGTATCTATATTTAAAAGCGCCAGTTAATGATATATGTATATTAATACACAATGATGATGATGATGATGATGATGAGTGAACGATAGTGTGTATGCGGCACAGCACAAATAGGCAACCAAGTAACTAAAGCATATGCACGCCCGTGCATAATATGCTTTTCCGGGTGCAATCACAACCAAACAAATACAAACAAGAAAGCAGCATTTCTTACCATGAGTGTCAACGAGATCGGTTTCCAAAGCTCTGAGCAATAATAGAAGGTCAAGTAAAATCGACTGAAGCCTTTACACGCCACTTGAACAAAACCACACTGGTCCTCGTGGGCTTCAAAATTAGAGCACTACATAGTAAGAACCGAAAATGGCTTTTTAGTGGGTGTGTTGTGTGTGTGTGTGTGTGTGGCGCAAAGAGCAGTAACCTTCACAAGATGTAGTACGCCGCACACCCAAGCAAACTGATACTTGCCTCCTTATGATGAGATGAGAACGGGTTGACGAGGCTTGCTGTTTCAACCTGGGTCGACGACAGCATAGCTGACAATCGTACCAAGGTCGCAAGAGTAAGCACACCAACCACGATCTTTATGACAGAGCTTCTATTCGGTTGCACACCCATTGCTGCCCATGTAAAACAAGTAGAATAGAAAGTAAAGAAGAAGGAAAGAAGAGGAAAAAAGGGATGATGCGCCTTTAATAAATTTTCAGGTCTCCCATCCTTCGCTTTGCTCTCTCTCTCTCTCTCTCTCTCTCTCTCTCTCTTCTTTCTCTTTGCACACATCATTTGTACATTTAAGAGCCCACCCCCCCTTTTTTTTTTTTACTTTTTACTTCTATGCAGCATCAAGCTGCGGTGGCGTACCTCTCGTACATGTCGGCAAATATCTGTTTGATGATACACACACACACACACTCTCTCTCTCTCTCTCAGTTGAATGTGCATATTACTTTACTTTACCCAGCCGTATCTCCTATCACTATCATCCCCAACTTTCTTTAGAATCGTTCGCCACCGCCTAGCTGTCCACTAGCTACTGCCACTGTATAGCAGCTACATGTTCAAATATGATCTCCCACCGATTTACGTTAAACGTTAATAGTTGCATGTGACATACAAAACACAGGAATTTTTAAAAGATTTAAGGATGATGTTATGTTGTGTGGTTTCTCTCTCCATCTTTTTTATTATAGCAGTAAAAAAAAAAAGAAAGAAAAAAAATTAGAACTTCATGGCGTGAGGGAACTGGCCCTTGCTGAGGCTGAAGGACGACTTCAAGTAAGCAACGAACATGGGGTCCTTGGCAGCGGCAATGATATCCTTATCAACAGCCTTCTGGTCAGCAACCTTGTTTTCGGGGAGAGCAGCCTTCTTGGCCTAGTGATGATATAGCAAATGCGACATGTCAGCTATACAGAGTAGTCTCCCCTTTTTCTCTTTCTTTCACATTAACAGCACTTGTGTCCTCCACCCCTTGTGATCCATTTCTTACCTGTTCACCCTCAAGGAATTCCTTCTTGTCAGCCTTGCCAGACTTGCCAAAGTAAGCATCGTTGAACTTGGCATCAAGCTAATCAAGAACGACGGTTTTCCAATTAGTACACATTCTCCCTTCCCTACCAATTATCCCCGTAATAAATCCCAACTTCTTTTCGACTTGATGAAGAGAGTACTTGGGTGTGAACGTGATTGAAAAAAAAAATACATACCTTCACGCTGGAGAGGTCGAGCTTGGTGGAGGTGGCAATAACGTAAGCCTGGTTGACACGACGGAGAGGGACGCCGTTGACCTTGTAAGGGCCAGTGACCAACAAAAGACCACTGTCGAGCTGCTTCAAGAAGACAACGCGCTTGCCACGGAAGCGACCGGCCAAGAGAATGAGGACGGTACCGGGCGTGATGTTCTTGCGGAGAGCAGCAGCCTTGGGCGACTTGCGCGAGACCTTGGGCTGGGGAACGTCTTCGGCGGGATAGAAGCGAGGGGCCTTATCAGCAGGAATGGTACGCTTGTTACCGTTCTTGCCACCCTTAATTTCCTTGACCTTATCAGCAGCCATTGTTGAATTAACCTGTTGGTTGGTGTTGTTGGTGTGTGTATAAAAGAAAAAAGCGTAAAAACGTAAATTCAGTTTCGATCGATTCTTTTCGTACAAGGTTGACAATTTCCGAGTTCCTTCATTCGTTTTGTAATAGACATTCTAATCCATCCCACTAATCCATCCATCCATCCGTTTCTATACACATCCATCCATATCTCGTATCCTATCCTTTCTTTTCGCTGTATCCCATACGCCTTCTATCAATCTTTTTAGCGGTAATTACCTCTCAAGGACGTTGCAAAAGAGGAAGATTATCTTCAAGCTGCTTCAAGCATATATGAAGCCGCAGTGCCTGTAATTCAAACACCGCCAAATTAATGCTTTGCTGGAAGGGCTTGTTGCGTTGCTACTGTTCCACCATATGGAACTGCAAAGCAAGTGTTGCAAGTACAAAGTAGCTCATCGTTTTATTTGGCATGTTAACCCTTTAATCTTGATGAGCTACATGAGCCAGTATCTACTGATAGCTACTGTATCTCCTCTTTTTCTCTGATAAGCTGTTGCTACTTTCCGTCAATAAATCCATTCTGCTTCCCCTTTTCTTTGGTTGTGATCGGCCCCCTTCCTCGCCTCCCCTGCTCAGTAAATGACAGCAGCACCCTCTCCGGTTAAAGTAGCACATACAGTCAGGGCGACGAAAGTATTTTTCAGCTTGTGCTGGCTCAAATAGTGATAGCAATCATTTTGGATATTACTACTAAATTGTTACAGTTGCTATGGCAACAGTACTATAACTGCTGCTGTATGCAATATGAGGAATTGCAATTGTTACAACACAACCTCTCAAATTCTGGTTCAGCATGGAATTTAATCACTGTATTATATTATGCACCGTGAAACGTATGGCTCTAAGCTTGCATTCATTCAATACCCATTTATTGTGCACGTATGATTGCTCGATAAATGGTATGCAACTTTCCAATATCATCAGTATATTTCATCCTTGGAACCGTATTTCTTTCCACCTGCTATAGAAGCTATAAGAGAAGAATCAGTGCTCATCAAGGGGACATGCGACACTGATATGATGATACATACGTAGTAGCTACTAGCAACAATTTTATATACATATACGTGGCTTTAAATACTACTTAGTAGTGAATTAAAGAAGGAGAAAACTAATTTTTTATGCTTTTATTGATGCGATAATATTATGATTGGGCGATGATAAATTGAGATTTGTGGATTAGAATGAAAAGAGCATCACAATATAAATATTAACATATCCTTCTATTGAGGTAATTGAATATAAGGGGAGGAATTGAAACAGCAAACCGCATATACACGCAAAATAAAAAGGAAAAGGTTACATTAGAGAGATTATTAAAGAGAAGAAAGAAAATAATAAGCTGTCGACTTGTATGTAGACATTGTTGTTGTTCTTTGAGTTACTTGAGTCGATGTGATATTTTTACATGATTGTACAGGAGCATACACATTGGTTTTCAACAACCATGGAACGCCGTCTACCAGTTGTTTGTTGATGATGGTGATGGTGTGAGAATCGGTGGTATTCTGCTGGCGAAAAGATGTCAAATGTAGCTGTAGAACCAACGTCGCGAAAACTTTCGTGTGTTGTGGTTGTCGTTTCTTGTGGCAGTAACAGATTATCACTGTCCATGAAAATCAAGCTGTCGATAGCCGCGCTGGAATTGTTTAAAACAAGTGATGGATGGCGATAAAGACCGTAATGGATATCACCTGCAGTCATGGTCCCCGCCACTGGATTCGCCACAGCAACGGCGCTGGGACCAAACGCATCGATATCGTAGATTTTAACCCGTATTCGACGATCAAAGGCTTGATCCAGGAGAGCCGTGTGACGGTTGGACAGCCGCTTGTGGACCATGCCGTTGGTGGAATACCAGTATGGAGCAGTATCAGAGGCATTACTATTATTGTTATTACTACTGCTATTTGACATTGTTGCTAAAGTTATGATATATACGTAAAACTAAGGAAAAAGAACGAAAAAAAGAGGGAAAAAAGATATCTAGAGGGGTCCAAGATGTGCTTTTGTGCATCCAAATTATTTGGATGCTGTTTTCTTCTTGTCTTCATGATTATAGACATAAGATCGGCAGATAGGTAGACAGGACGTCGAGCAGGAGTGGGGGGAGAGGAGAGAGTAAGTGCGAGTGTGAAAGAGGGAGAAGAAGGGACACACATATAAAAAAGGTTAATGCCTCCTTTTTCGTCATCGTCATTATCATTACCAGTGTTGTTTCTACATACAGCCGCTACCACCGCCACAGTCTAGCTTGTACAATGTGCTGTTCTTTTTCTCCTTTTGCCTATGGATAGAATATAACAGAGACCATGTACACACTTTTAAGAGAAACACCTCTACTTGTTGTCAGCACTCGTGTTAACGGCTGGAAACTGCTGCTGTTGTGGTGTGTTTGTTTTAGACCAGATTGGGGTGCTGTACTATTAGCTAGTGTGGGTTTTTGCGATTTGACATTGCTTCCTTCAACTCCTGCAAGAACTTTCGTAGCGCAGCATATTTTTCATGTACGTGATGTGTCTCGTAAACTTTATCACCTCAAGCTCTGGGATGATTATTTATACCATTTTGCATTTGCGTGCAACGGTGCATATAGGATGGCATGATCCAACCGCACAATATACAAAACCATGTCCCTTTATGATGGTACACACACACACAATGAGGAATAGATCACGCACTTTTGAAAAAAATAAGATCATGTGCGTGCATGAGCTAAGCCATAAACATACATCGTTTGCAACGGTTCTTTTCTATCAAGTGATATTGTGATTGTCCTCTATAATTGCAAATCATTTATGATGGGGATAAGGAAAAGACGACGTATGATATGCAAATTTACCAGCCAATAAACAGCAGTTATCAATACCACTGTATGTACTTACAGATGTATACTGTGCTGTCGGTTACCCTTTACTCCTGCTCCTCCCGCTCCCTTGGACTCCAGTCAAATCCTTCTCCCTTAAAAACGCTCCCCTTACTGATGTAATATCCTCCTCTCCGTAATGTTTTCCTTAAAATTGGCTGGTGGTTTACTATTACTATACTGCACATTGCTACATACCAACTGCCATGTATGGGCATTATTGTCAATTTTCTTCCATAGCACATCACAAACATGACCGTGATACCCAGCGCCCTCTCTCCGTGTATTACAGTATGCGTTACAGTACCCCTCTGTTAGCAGTGGTAGTAAACAGCAGTATTTCCTCAATAGCAGTTCACTCGGTTTCCTCATGCTTGTATCTTAAGAAGAAATTAGAAAAAAAATCTGATCTAAATTACACAGAATGTATATTACTCTAATCAGGAAGTGGTAGTAGAAGATGAAGAAGTTGACTTGACCTCTTCTACTTGCTTTTGTTCTACGAGTTCGCCCAAAGGCTGACCCATTCTAACGGTCTGACCTGCAGCAATTTTGAATTGGAACGAGGCTGGAGCCTCGAATACAAGCACAACCGTCGATCCCAAATAGAAGCCACCCATTTCTTCACCATGTCGCAACGCCTTGCCACCCAGTAACTTGCTTGCTGATTTGTACGATACTTCGGTATATGTTCCCAAAGGAAGATCCTCTTTTCGGTTGGTTTTGAGAGCCTATGTTGTATCAAATGTTGAAAATTGCACGTTAGCCACTGCCTTGTTTTACTGGTTTCATCAACTGCATCCATCATGCAAATTAATGATAAAGAACTGGTACTAGCAATTACCTCATCGAACTTGATATGTATCGACCCGACGTTCGTGGCGCCAACAGGTGTCATGGAGAAAAAGCCATGCTTCCATTTACCAAGCAAGACCACACGCTCGTTCAACACAAACAAATTCTGAAGCAACTTGACAAAGTAAGGCGATACCGAGAACAATTCACCAGCAAAGTGTCTTCGCTTTTGAACGACCCAGCTTGTGGGCGAATGGAATCGATGGTAATCGCCTGGTGCCAAATAGATAACGCAGAAGAACAAGGCATTGCCAGGCTTGACATTATGCTCGCCCACAGAAGTGCCAGGCTTGACATCAGATAAATTGAGCAAGGCGGTAGAGCTGCTGTCTGTCTTATTGTTCTCTTCATCATCGCGTGCCAAACCGTCGGGACCGACGGTACTCTCAACCTTGACGCCATGACCCTCTTGGCCACCCAGCATATCGTCCAGCGAATATTGGATACCGTTGACGTTGGCAAATGCTTCCTCGTCTACCGATTCACCTTCAGCCATTTGCGCGTCTATTGTTGGTACGGAGGACGTGTCATCTGTGCCCAACAACGCGTCTAACGAATACGTGACTCCCTTGATTTGTTCGATTTCGCGTTCGTTGACAATACCAAAGTGTAACACTTTGCCGTCAGATGGCGATACCTAATTTTGTTAACACGTGAAAAATTTAATTGAAAAAAAAAACCATCATCAGTTACTTCTCTTTTACTATATTTGGCTCTTTTGACACATTATACACAAGTTTTACCAGAGGTGTATTAGCAATAGGTCGAGCACCATCCTTCAGTTCACGATAAAAGAATTCGGCGAGGTTCTTATATGCGTACAAGTTGGGGTTCTTCATTTCTTCTAGGTTACAGCCAAAGAGCCAGCTATACAGCTTAAACCCGGCAGGTCGTAAGGGCTCAGGAATGGTCAGCGAGTTGAAAGCGCCCCAGAGTCGCGATATACTTCGTAGAGGCAAAGCTGCTGCTACGTGAACTTGCCAGGGGCCCGAGGCAACATATTTTGGTTTGGGCCGATTTTCGATTTCGCGATCCCGGACATGACGGTATTGAATGTAGCCAATTACTGCCAAACCCAAACCTACTGGCATGGGCGACCATTTGGTTTCTGTGCTATTCCATGCATGCCGTAAACGTTCTAGATTTTTCAGCATGTCATAGATATATAGATGTATACAGGTATATTAGAGTATTAATAATTTTGTATAAGTGACGGAAAGAAGGGCACAAAAAATATAGTTACGGAGTACATAACGAAACGATAATACGTTACCAAAAAGTGGCTTTTGCTTTTGCTCTTGTGAATGAGCGAGACGTTTTTGGCAATGAATAAGTGGGCTTCTTGCACGACATGTACCGTGCAACATGTACAATGCTTGCCGAGAAAGCAAAGGGTTTGGCATGATCCCGTATGCTTGGTATATAGGTTAAAGGAAAGCAAAAGAAAAGCTCAAACAACGAAAATTTCTTTTTTTACCTCTCGCGTGCTGGCTTTTCAGCTGTTATTGTTGGTCAGCATGAACCACGCACCAACCAAAGGAAAGCAATTGGTTTCAGCAACTTATGTTTCTATCAAGGGCGCGAATACTAGAAACCGTTGGGTCATGGCAGGGAGAATATGCACGTCCAGCTATTAGGTGGTCAGTGCAAGCTGAAAGCACACAAGCGATGATTGAACGAAGTACTTTCACTGTCACAAACCCTAATAGCACATCTAAATTTTAGCCGCTACACTTGCACTAGTAAGCCGTCGACACGTATTTTGAGCTATTGTAGACATATACCTAAGCATACATAGGCGGGATGGAACTTGAACAAACAAGTGAGCACATCCAGTAGATCACGCTTGCGCTGTACGTGTAACTAGGAGATCCGATAATCATGGAGTTTCTGAACGACATCAACACGAGAGATCGGGACTTTTGACATAAAATATCATGTCAAGACTTTGCACTCATGCATTCGAGAAGGAGCTTCGAATGGACAACCTCCTGTTAAGCCACGAATTACTACTGAGACCTGACAAGGAGACAGCATCTCCTAGTTGTCAACGATATGCTATTGATTACAATATGAGCATACTTTGTATTCTTTGCAGAAGTTATAAAAGAGAAGGATGCCACGTTTACGAGTGTATAATATAATGTAACAAATAGTCCTTCCAGGAACAAGGGTGAAAATCACAATTTCTTAGAGCTGGGTAGTTGGTGTAGCGGGGACTTAAAGCCTTCGCTAAGTTTGTGAAGCGCAGGCAACTTGTTCTTTTTTTTTTTGCTTTCCCGTCAAAAATAAATAATAATGACATCCCCAAGCTCGTCCGTCGACATGGACATCTCTGATGGCTCAGATCACGGATCGGTCTCTAATATGAGTGACATGGAGGTTGCCGACTACGATGACGAAATTTCTCAAAGCCCATTTAAAGTGGCGAACAGTTCAACATCTATGAAAGCTCAACAACGGCAACATCAACAACAGCAAATAGCTATGCAGCCGCATGAGCTAGCGTCAGCAGCAGCAGCAGCAGCTTACACGGCCACTGTTTCTGAAGGCTTACAGCAATCGTATGCTTATTATGTAAGATATTTTGTTTTTCTTTTATTCTATTATATGATCTCCCGTCGAATTTCATATTTATAAAAAACTTTTTGGACCATCACAACTACCATCGCCACCAACGCTGGCACAGTACCCATACCAGGATTATTTATATTTCGGTCAGCCGCAACAACCCGTCAAGATACCACCAGCACCTTCACCAAATCGACAAATCCACGTCAATCCGTCAAAACACAATACGCTCTTTGATGCGACTGTAACGACAGCGGCAACAACAGGAAATACTACTGCATCTCTAGCGGCCATTGCTACTGCTGCCGATAGCGATAAGAAGATTGATGAAGATATGGATAAATATGACGATAACGACAGTGACTCGCTATCTAGCTTTGTTACAGCCCCACTCTACACGGTGAACGAGTCGGAAGAGGAGCCAGGATTGATTAGAGACGAGGATGAAGATGACATGGAGACTTTGGCATGGTATAAGCACCAGGTATCCAAGTTCGATACCGAGATTGAAACCACAAAAAAGGAGAAGCGTGGGCTTGAACAGGAACTGTTACGTCTGCAGGTACTGCTTTCGATGGAAAAGAACAAGATGAAGTCGCGAAAGAAGGGAAAGATGAAGGCTCAGGTGAAGCAGCAGCAGCCGTCAACGGTATCTCCAGTTGCAAAAAAGGATTCGAGGATCGCTACAACAACGCCACCGTTACAATCATCATCAACCACAAGCAAGCGTGCCTTGTCGATATCTCTTCCATCGTCACCATTATCAACAACTGCCGGGAACGAAGCGACGCGAAAGAAAGGAAAGAATAACGCGCCTACTATCTCATCATCATCACCATCATCTAGGAAAGCGTTACCGCAATTAAAGGAGTCGTTTGTAATTGCGGAACCAGCGAAATCGTCACCACCAACAGTCAGTATGTCATCTTTATCGCTACAACCAGCGATTGAGAAACAAACTTCACCATCATCTAAACCAGCTACTGCAAACCTGGGATTGGTGACACCGAACACGCCGTCCATTGCATCAAAACCAATCAACACTGCAACCCAATCATCAGCAGGACCAGTGGGCGCTTCTTCCTTCATACCATCGACGGCTGGAGCTCAAGCGTCTCCGCGTCCGCCTTCAACATTTACAAGTAGTCAGCAACGGCTCCAAAAACACCAACCAGTTACTGTCTCGGCAGCCAATATCAGCAAGCAACTAAAGACTTCAGTTGATGTTGCATCACCAACAATAGCAAAGACACCCGCATTGCGATCACTACAAAACCAAAGAGCGAATGCTGTAAGGGATTTTTCAAACAAAAACGTTTTTTGCTCATTGATGATCTTCTGATCCTCACTACCTGCTCCTTTGGCGGAGACTTCGCTTTTCTTTTTCCTGTGTTTCTTTACACCTTTTTGTTTTTTTTTCTCGATATCGTTTTTTCCCTTAGATCACAGCCCATAACAGCGAGTCCAAAATCTCTATCAATCCAGCGACGAAAAGGATAGTTGAGGAACATCGGGGCAGCAAGGTTAGAAAATTTGAATTTATATGAAGTAGTAGTAGATTCCATGTGCAATCTCTAGGCAAGCGATTTCACACAGATGATGAGCTGCTAGGGTGCTTTCAAGGCATACGAGTCGCCACTCCAACGGTTCGGGTTTTCCGGCACAAGCAATATCAATCCTAGTAGTAGCAGCGGTATTAACAGCAACAACACCAACGTAAATGGCAATGGTGCTACCAGCACCAGCAACAATGATGGTAATGGGTTGAGCGTGGAGAATGTGAACCGGGAACTTTGCAGTTTCGAAACGGTGGGTGGTCAGTGTAACGATGATACCTGTCAAGCACTCCATTTTCGTGATTTCAATACATAGTGCATGAAGAAAAAAACGAATAATAAAGACCAACAGACAACAACTGTACATTTACTTGTTGTATATATAATATCTAGTACAATGCTTGTTTTTATTTTGTGTGATTTGGTAAGAAAGGATGTATTTGTTATGTGCACAGAGAGAGAAACGAATGTTTTTTGGACGGTGCATGAGTAATACAACAGATGTTTTTTTTGGTGTGCGGCTCCAACATAAGACTACCTTCGTTTTTTATATCTTTTGTCTGCTTACATACCAACTTCAGCAATCGCTACTGTATTTTCAACTCATAAGCTCGTAAAACAACAAACGTGGACTTACAGTATTGATTTTACTTCTACTATTACTATATATATGTACAAATAGGTTCAATTTTTTCTACTCTATTAATATCCGCGCATGTCATCAACGACTGCACGCTCTCTATCTTTGCTCATTTGGCCATAACCAATAACGCGCATCGAAAAACTGCCACTTCCTCCGGTCAAACTGCGTAAAGCATTAGAGTACCCAAGCATCGAGCTCAACGGTACGTGTGCCTTCACTACTTGCTTTGACTTGTATTCGCCCACCTCATTGTTGGCCAGCAACGAATCTGGAGGGGCATACACTTGAGCATCTTGTTGATAGCTCTCGTTTGCATCATCTCCCACTGACGACTCAAGTCCTATGACGTGACCACGACGAGTACCGCTCAAATCACTGACGACGCTGCCGATATCGCTTTCGTTCACCTCTGTGTGGACTTCCATCATAGGTTCTAGCATACATGGGCTTGCTTGTTTAATAGCTTCTTGGATGCCGTTGGCTACGCAAGCAGAAATGCTTCCAGTAGATGTATCCTGACCGAACATTTCCAAATCATGCACCTTGACCTTGAGTTTGGTTAACGGGAAACCAAGGATAGCACCGCGTGCAAGGCCAGAAAGTAAACCTGTGTGGATTGCTCGCCGTACATCTTCTTTGCTCAATTGTGAAGAATCGCTTGAAGTTGACGATGATGGTGCTTGCTGCTGATCCTTGCTTCCGGCCAACTGTCCAAGGTCCATTTGCAAGTAATTACCCGAGTCCACTAGGCTTGTTCCGTCATCCTGATAATCCTCATCGACTGGTACCAGCTCCACTTTACACTTGGCCTTGGATCGTTTACCCATCACTTCACGGTCATAGCTGGCAGATACTGCAGCCTCAGATTGACATGTTTCTCTGTAGCTGATACGCATCTTACCCACTTCGACCTTGCACTTGAAATCGTTGATAAGACGGTCCTTGACGATTTCTAAATGCAATTCACCCATACCACTGATCAAGGTTTGTCCGCTGTCTTCGTCAGTCCAGACTTTGAGGGAAGGGTCCTCCCGTGTCAGGTTTTTTAGCGCTTCATCAACTGCCTTTTCTTCGGATACAGATGCTGGTTCAATTGCAGAGAAAAAGGCTGGACTAGGGATATCAATGTTGCCGAGCTGCAAATTGGATTTGATCGAGCTGGTATCGTTGGATTGGACGAGGGTGTCGCCGGTGCGGGTATTCTTGAGACCAACAACAACACCAATATTTCCAGCAGTGATCGATGGAATATCTTCGGCTTCACGGGCATACATTTGCAAAAGCTTGTTGACACGTTCTTTACAATCCATAGTTGTGTTATACAGGGTCATGCGTTTGTTGAGTTTACCTATAGCGCAATGAGGGAAAAAAAACTTAGCCGAGCAAAAGGAAGAAGTTGTCACTAATAGTGAAAAAGAGAAAATAATGACTACCCGAATAGACCTTGACGTACACCAATGGACCTGCACGACTATCGTGTGTCACTTTGAATGCCAGGGCACACAACTTGCCGTTTTCTTCCAAAGGGATCAGTGCATGCTTGCTGCCATCAATGGTTGCCAAAGCGGCAGGTCGATCAGCGGGACTTGGCAAGTAATCCAAGATTGCGTCCAAAACAGGCTGTACACCGAGATTCTTAAACGCAGAGCCACATAATACAGGCACTGCTTTGTTTGCTAATGTAACACGGCGCAGGGATTCCTTGAGGGCCTCTGCCGAGACGCGCATATGGTCACCATCAGCCTCCTCAAAGAACACTTCGACGATACCGTCATCCAACTCGGCAAGTGATTCAACAAGCGCCATGCGGCCACGTGTAGCTTCTTGATATAAAGCGCTATTAGTTTCTTCCTTAAGTGGTGTACGTTCCATAGTAGCCCCATCCGCATTATCCCATTGGATCGATTCCATCGTCACCATATCCGCAACACCAACAATTCCTTTTCCACTGGGATCCATGACGGGTAGCTGAAGAGCGAGTGGGCGTGCTCGCAGTTTTTTCCAAATTTCTTGAATCGTTCGTCCATACGCTGCACCGATCCGATCCATCTTGTTAACAAATGCAATGCGCGGGATTTCGTAGTGTTCCGATTGCCGCCACACTGTCTCAGTTTGTGCTTCTACACCTGCCACACCGTCTAGGATGGTGACCGCACCATCAAGTACACGAACAGCACGTTCGACCTCCATCGTAAAATCGACGTGACCAGGTGTATCGATCAAATTGATGCGGTTGCCTTTCCATCCAAACGTGATAGCTGCGCTGTTGATTGTAATGCCTCGTTCTCGTTCAGCTTTAAGGTAGTCCATCACTGTATCACCGTCGTCGATGTCTACATATCCACAAAGAATGGTGTGATGTTATTAATATAATTCAACTTATAGTACTATATGGAAAGAAGAGTGGCCCAAACCTCCAATTCTTTTTGTAACGCCGGCATAGTACAGCATGCGTTCGGTAGTGGTTGTTTTGCCTTTTTATTAAGAAATAGATACTTCAGCAACCTTGTTTATCAATTTATACATCATATTATGTTTTTTACCTGCATCGATATGTGCAATAATACCAATGTTGCGCGTCTTTGGTATCGAGAAATCTTTGACATCTACACATAATAAGTCAGATCGCACCAATTATTACCATGAGGGGCCACATGGCGTTGGAAGAAGAAAAATTGATTTACCTGACGCAAATGATCGAGTAAGCTTGTTCTTTGACAGTAAGCAAGTTACTGGACGAGAAAGTCGTGTTCGGATCGTCTGTCGATTCAGTAACAGCAATGTCATTTTGCGTACCCAGCTTAGATAAAATCAACAGACGAACGGAACTGGTCCCGATTTTGCGTTTGTTAGTGTCGCACAAAACATTTTTGCGCCACTCGCCGCAACCCTTGTTCATGCGCGACAACACAATTAATGTAAACATAGCTGTGGTACTATATATCTTTGTAAAGTAGGTTTCTGTATTTGAGAGGCGCAGCCTGTACTGGGTGTCTTCGACAGTACTACGTACGTATTATAATTCAGTGCAAGAATTTAATTGCTCTTCTGGGGCGACGGAGCATCCGAACTAAAAAAAATGATTGAGAAACAGCCTCATGCATCAAGGACTTCTTGGTGTGTGATGGAGGACTTATTTTTTTGAAAAAACTGGTAAAGAGGATAAAGAAGAAAACTGCACATCAGCTTTGATGTAAACAGAAAAAGGTCGGAGGCTGTTACTGTAGTGCTAGAATGAGGCGAAGCAGTGAGGCTCAATCTACTCAAATTCCTGCTTCAGACGTGCTCATGATAAAGCCACTTACTTTTGTCATTGATCACAATCATCGTTGAACAAGGCTTACTACTGAAGCGGTCACAATGATATATACATGGCTGTGGTAATTTGTTACATATAATGTAATAAACTGGCGAACTGCTACTTACGCTTTCATTGTACGCTCACATACATATCTTCTTTTTTACAGATCACACTTCAGGACGATAAACACAAAAGTCAGTGTAATTTTGAAAATGAAGAGGGACGGACATACAACGATCTTAGTCCAGTAAGCAAAATATATTTTTTTGGTAATAGAGAACTACAAGGACCCTCAATCATAGACAACATGAGGTCAACATTCGGACAGATACATACCAGAGATGTTATCTATAAGAGCGGGAATATATAAAGAACTATAGGCAGCAATCACTTAAATAAACAGACAGCGCTGAAAAGCATCCGGCCAGCTAGACATTAGCTAAAATAAACAAGGTTACCCGTAGTGATGCGACGGCATTACCCTAAGAGAACAGACGGGACTAGGGCCAGAATTGTCTTGACTTTAGCAAAAGGAGCGACGGGCGATTGCTTTTTAACGGCTATGTTTCCGCGACGACAACGCTTCCATGCAACGCGATCACAATGGGTATCTATAGCATAGTAACAGTAGCCATAGACACTGATCCAGTTAGCCACACCCAGACAACAGCATTGGTTTAAATGTAGCTTCACAAGCAGGTACCTGAAAGCAATCAACACGCACAGAAGTGTTAGCACAAGTATAGCCGTAGCAGCCATGTTTGTGTAAACAGCATTAACTGTTGAAAATACACTGAAAGATACATGGTAGCTAGTCTAATGTTCGGCACTCTTCTTCAACTAACTTATGTTGTTGCAACTGGAGAAGACATTGTGCAGTATTAATGATTTAAGCTTTCACATAGTAGTGTGTGTATGATTCAGTGTTTTTTACAGGTAATATTACAACATGTCACGTATAAAGAGACGAGAAGTCAGGTTTGTCCCAGAGACACTGACGACTACTACATATACATGTATGCATGCGAGGAGTTAGTGGATACCAGTAAAGGGGTCCACACAGGAAGTGGAAAAAATGCAATACAGTATTAGTAAAGCTTCACTACCAAAGTTGATACAGTCAACATCACTATCATCCATGTTTATGATATAATTTGTCTTCTACATACGGACGCGTCACTGTGTATTTTGATCAGATGGTCAGTATGGTATGTGTACTACTACATGGTATTATATATGCATTCGGTGGAGGTCTTCTCGGACTCTTGGACGATCTCCCCCAGATGCGTATTTTCCAGTTTGTATGTATTCATGTCCATAATATGCCTGGAAAAAATGAAAGAATAATATTTTATAGCAGTAATAAATCCAATCAAAGGCTATTGTTTACCTGGTCTGGAAAAAAAGCATCGTGACCTACTGTTTTCCAATGGCGATAAAGGCTTTTGACCAACCGAAACGCTTAGTTCCCATACTGCTACTCAACAAGGTATATATGTAATATGTTGCTAACTTACACGTAACTTGTGTCCAAGCGAAATTTATTTCTGCGCCGTCATGCGCAGATTCGTCATCACCATCATTATCATCAACAACGCTATTATAGTATTTCATGTACAGCAAAGAAAACTGCATCTTTGTATAATTGTATCTCTCCTTCTCACCGGTTTACGGGTATAGCAATATGAAATAAAGAAATAAATAAATAAGGTGCCCGCCACTTAGTTGATTCGCTTGCTGCTACAATGTACGTGCCGTTATCCTTGCACGCCTCTCCCAGCTGTAATGAGGTGTGTATAGCGACGAAGCAAGGAAAAAATGAGTCCCAGTTATTCCGGTGCTCAAGATGATATAGAAGTATATGATATGCAGTGCTATATTATTGGCATGAAGCTTGTCCTTTGTTGCACATGGAATGCATACGAATAAAAGGTAATACAGAAAAAAGTTTGGCCGATATGTAATATACACCTGCAGCAGCAGAATCATCCTTTCTTGATTGTCAACTATAACAAGAGACACATCAAAAGGAACAGCTATCATCAGTACGTAACATGTCTCCGCAATATATGTAATAACGAGTGCTTTCTAGTGTGGTCACAGTCAATGTTATTTAAGGCCATCACCGGAACGAATCCAGCACCATGCGCGGCATCTATCCGCAAATGGGCAATTCGTGAAACTTTAACTTTTTGGAGGATCACTCACACAACTCCTCTTCTGCCGCATATATACGCCCACACATACACTGAACCTTCTTCTTTTAGTCTTTTGGTCCTTTTTCCTATATTCCAACATTAAGTTTATCCAACAATGACGGATGTTGAAACCAACGCGCAACTTGAAAACTCATCCAATGACCTTATTAAAAGTAAATTGAAGTCAGATCCCTCTCGACCCGGCATGAATGGCAACCCCTCCGTTGGATCGATGTCGTTGCGGCTCTTTCCCTTAACACCCACATAAAGTCTTACACTCCCCTTTCTATCTCTCTTCCTTTTTGATACTAGATATTATCGAAGACCTGTTCTCATACAGCACAGTGCGGTGGAAGCGGATACTTGAATACTACTATCATGAAGATGCCGTCTTAACGTCGCCCATTATGAGCACACAGGGAATCAACAACATTCAATAGTACGTTGAAATACGATTTTTGGGGGTGAGGCGGAAAGGGCGGGCTGAATGGATATATGGGCGCGTGTGTATTTGTACATGTGCCAGTCGTTGTTTATGTTGTTTATCGCGCTAGTTAAATAACTTTGTCTTTGCAGTGTTTATACCGTATGGCAAGCACTGAATCGGCAAGCTCCCACCATTGACAACATCGTATTTGACGGGTAAGAAGAAAAAAGAATAATCATAATATGTGTAGTCAGGGGAATGATGTAATTCACGTGTTTGACTTTTATGTTTCTTCTTCTGCCGTTCTTGTGGATGATGCTACCGTAGCCGTACAGCCGTGATCCATCTCACACAGAACCTGTCACCAAGCATGTTTCCAGCATTCGTGAAGCTCCAGGTACCAGCCATTACGACGCTTCATTTTAGTGAAACGGAACGGGACAGTGGGTTGTTGAAAATCTATCGACAAGAAGACAGTTGGACGCTTGAAGGTAAATTTTCACATGCCAAAGGAGCATTACGCACACGCAGGATGCCATATGTGTGTATAACATGCTAAATTACTTTTCAATAAAAGGCCTTATTCAATCTGTGCCACTGATCTCATTCTGGTACAACCACATCCTTCGGGTGGTCATGGGCAAACTGGTGACAGCAACAGGCGATCTTTTGGATGCAGCCCTACGTCATGCTCACAAGATGTCAGTGCGTGGTCGAGAAATCCAACACCGGAGTCGTGATCTTGCCATCGAAAACATGGAGAAGCTTGATGAATACAGAGCAAGCCTGCATGATAATTATCTGGAAGGTATCCGGGGCTGGCGAGAGAATTACATTGTCGAGGAAGACGATGAGGTAGACCAGGATATTGACTTTAATGAAGGCGATTATCACCTCCATGCACCCATCAAGGAAAGTCGCAACGGCGGTATGCTGCTCTAAAGCATACATGCCATCCTGTTTCCCTATCAAACACAAACACACGACACGACAAAAAACGCATCATACACTCATCTACCTAGTTCCTATGCATATAAATATCCTGTATCTCATAAATAACCCTCTTCATTCGTACTTCCTTCTTCCCGTCTCCACAGTTCATCACCCTTAAATCCGTATAACAGCAGCAAGCCAACCCTTCAATCGAATAAAGTGGTGTTTCCTATCTCTTGTATATTCATTATCATCATATCATATTAAAAAATTATTGTCTTTCTAAAAAAAGGGTAAAATGTGAACCTAGCCATCCAGCGTAGGTCCTACATCTTTACAAGAGCTCTGTCTATTGTTTGCATCCTTGGGAACCCACCCTTGCTCCCAACCAAGCAAATAGTCCCAGTGAGGATTGACATGCTGCTCCGTCTTGAAAGTCCAGAAGAACCAGCCGTAACTTGCCTCAAATGCATCCATTTGTCGTTCAACAAATGCAAGCAAGAACTTTTTATAGTCGTCATCCCAGTTCTGCCAGTCTTCGACACCTTTGCAACTGCAGTCGGGGCATACAGGATGGTCAATCTTGGTATCTCCGTCCACTAGGTTGCCTTCGTAACGTGTGCCAAGGCGAACACCGTTCAAATATTTGCCGCAGTCGTTCGTGGCCACAGAAAATTCGCCGACCATGGTAGGACCGTTGTCACGCATTGAATTATTGAGATCACGCTGCCAGGCAAAGCATGGGAATTCGGCTTGCTTCTCGCGTGGCATGGACACCAGATCATCATCAAAAATAAGATAGGTATGTGTTTCTATATAGCAAACGACGAGCACAGTCATAGACTTTAGTCTTACTAGCTTTTCTCTATCATCATATGAAGGGAAACTTAGACTCACCAAGAATGACGCGCTTAAAGCTAGGGTCCTTGAAGAAGCCGTTCCATGGAGGCATACCAAGGAAACCATCGTGGTAGGTAAGCAGTGGGCCCTTGTCGTCACCAGTGATTTTACGGATAGCGTCATGGCTGTCATGGTACCATTGCTGGGCACGATCCTTTTGAAGACGGAAGATAGCAGGCTCGTTTAACACTCCAAAGATAGGGACGACATGTTGATACTCGGGCTTGCTGAAGAACTCGGCCATTTTGGATACCACATTGAGCGTCAATTGGCCATTAGTTTCACCATCGGTGCCATTGAGCCAGCGCACTGGCCCCTTTCTTCCAGAGTGATTCCAACCGTTTTGCGAGCCAGGTGCGGTGTGTAGCTCGACCATGACCCGGAGACCATACTTGCGAGCCCACCGGATACCCTTCAAAAGATATTCCCATGACAGATTCGGGACGAATGGCTCACCCGGGACGGGCTCCACGGCCCAGTGGCCGGTCGGTATGCGTACGTGGTTGATGCCCATCTTTTGCATCTTTTTAAAATCCTCCTCGGTGACAAACGACTCATAATGTTTCTTGAGCTGTTCCTTGGCTTTGGTGGGTCCCAATTTTTGGCAGAGACCCCATTCATCGATGACATTGTCTTCTGCTGGAAATTGGTCAAATAGGGAGGGTGTAATAAACGGTTCAATGACAAGCCAGCCGCCCAAGTTGACGCCCCGGATGGGATCGATGCCATAGCGGAAATCCTTGTTAAGTGGTGGGACATGTGAATTGGCTTGGACGCTATCATCAATGTGTTCGTTATCATTTGTGTCTGGGAGGCCATGGCTGTTGCTGCTTCCGCCGTTCGTTGAACCCGGCTGTCCATTGAAGCCGCGACGATCTGGTCGGTTGACAGCTGAAATAGGTACTGCAATGGCAACAACAATAATCGCCAAAATACTAGCAGCCAATAACGAGCCTTTTAGCTTGTTGCGCATGAACCAATTGCGAGTTGGGGGTGCATTCTGGGTCTTTTCGGCAGTAATGTCTTCGAGCGTTTCAGGAGACCAGGAGGTATTCCGATGTGGGATCTTTGTGTGGCCAAAATCTAGCTGATGGACAGTCGCCGGCGGTGGGGGTGGTGGTTGGTCTGATGACGGCTGTTGCTGCTGTTGTTCTGGAGGTTGATCTGCGCAATGGTAAAGTGAGGAATAGGGGGTAAATGTTGTTTATGTGATCAGCATAAATTGAAATCAGGGTGCGTGGCATTATAAATATAGATTATATTATCAATATTTGACAAGCTTACTTTGCATATTGTAGAATGGTTTGTTGTTAAACCATATAAAGATTTGTAGTTAGATGAGAAAGGCAAATAGAAAAATGGTAAATCATATAACAAAGATGCGAGCTTTATAAATGATGGATGTGTGTATGTAGCAGATCCTCAATGTATTTTGCGTGGGTAATATTTGCTTATTACGTAGAAGTATTCACCTAGTGTATAGAGAATAGATGTGTAATGACAATCATCCAAATAGTATCTTTTGTTTGTTGTATGCAGTTAGTGTACACAGCACTGATCATCTTTGAAGTTTGTTGTCTGTCTCTGATGGGAATAAATAAAGACAATGACAATCCAAGTTGGAGGGACACAATCTTTGAGAAAAGCTACAAGTCAGTATTTTTAGGTAGACGTGACATGGGCATGTAGAGACGGAGTAATCCCCATTTTCTGGACGCAACGTCCCCTCCCCCTTTCTTCAAACACAGGCGATCTCCTATGACAAATAAATTGGCCCCCAAAGAAACTTAACGTGTGAAACAAGTCCGAAGCGTTACCGAGGCAAAACCGAATCGATTTGAATTTGTGATCGATATGACTTTTTTGCCATCGTAAAGACTATTATAGCGGCAAGACCAAGCAAACAAACGATGGGTATTGATGATGATGATGGATCGTCACTGTGGATTTGCTCTTTGTGTACAATGCGTGATGAACGACGAGCGCTATAACAAGGACAAACACAAGACAAATAAGCAGAGTAAGTGTATACACAAAAGACAGGTCCTGCATAATATAGGTAAATAGTCCATTTATGCACAGTGTGTGCTCCCCGTGATTGAAAAAGAAGAGCACTCTATTTTGAGGGACACATTCAGCTACATCATTACAGCCAAACTTTTTTCCTTTTAGGCGTTTGCTGCAAGTTTTACCCTCTCCTTCTCTCTTCCTCTTCTATAATTAATCTTCTGTAATTCGATATATTCCTTCTTATCATATTCTTCTTATGAGTCATTGATATATACATGAGCAGCATACCAGCCATCGCTTTACCAAACAACAACAACAATCTGCTCGTATCCACTTCGGTGGCTCTCGTCAAGACGCAATTATACGAATGCTGGCTACAAGTATACGGGCCGTTATTCTGGATTGTGTCAGCAATGCTGTGCTTGTGCTCCACTACAACTAGAACTATTACTACCGCAACCGAGGCCAACTGTAATCGTAGCAGTCGCCGTAGCAGTAATTCTAGTACATCAACAGCCCTACGCTCTTCTGAAGCACGGCGACGCAGCTCACACCAGCAGCAGCAGGATTTCGTCAAAGTAAGACGGCAGCATAATGAAGAAGAACGGTGCTACGAGACTTTTTATTATAGCACCAGCAACAGGGCCCCATCAATAAAGGTGTTACAACGCCATGACCAGGCCGTTACGCCTAAATTAAATGTGCCAGCATCAGCTCCGCAACCCAAAAAGTCCCTCAGACGATCCTTGAAGCTTCACATGCAGTCCCTCAAGCATTCGTTAAACGAAGTTGTCATGCGCACCGCACGTCTCAGGCGAAGCAACAAGAGACGCACGAGTGCTGCTTGCTCTTTTGCTACCTCCAGTACTGGTACTACTGACGAGCCATCACCTGTGCACCCGCTAGATGCGGACACACAGCAACAGCAACAGCAACAGCAACAACGGTCAACGAGAAGGAGGAGAAAGTCGTTCGCAGGCTACTATTCAAGCCATCCAATTTTCAACCCTTTTCGGCGCAAGACGGCACCTGAGCTTGTCGACTGCAGTATTGATGATAATAACAATAGTAACAGTTGTGGTATCGCAACCAAAGAACCACAACTCTAATTAACTTTCACCTCCCCCTCCCCACGTGCTGTAGATCTACATAATGTCGGTTTTTCTTTCTACCCCTTCCACACTGCTCTTCACGCTATTGGTACAATCCCCCTCCAAATCCATACCCAAACCTTCATTCTTATTAATGGCGACAACAATAATGATGTTGAACCCAAAAAAAAAGACTAGATCCATACACGTGTTTGTATTATTCTTCGTAAAGAACGATGATGGTTCTTATCTCTTTGGCGGCGATATTCATATAAATTTATATATATAGGCCCCTCTCTCGCCCGTGCTAAATGGATGACATGGTGGGCAAAAGTAGAAAGAGGAATAAAAAGAAAAGAGGAACGGCACGCTAGATCCATCAGGCAAAGTTACACTAAGTCTCGTAGGTGTTTGCCTAGAATAGAAGAAATGAAGTGACTCAGTTGCCTCCAGCCCTCTGGGTGCGAGCCTGATACATGAATTAAACGTGCGGGGCAATTCCTTGTTTTCTTTTCAGACTTCTCACACACTAAAACACTTGTTGCTGTACACACTTTCTTTCTTACTCTCTCTCAAAGCCGCCTTCTTCTTTGGTTTCATTCCTCTCCTTGTTTTTTCTCTATCTCTCTCTTCCTCCTCCTCATAATCTTTCTTGAATTGTTTCCCTACAAAACAACTGTAATAACAACAGCAACCCCTCCTCTCTCACGCTACAACATTCCTATTGTTCCCCCATGCATCTGTAAGCAACTTGAAATTATCTCACAACTACTTCAATACTGATTCGACTGAAACTTCCACTCTCTCTCTTTGCCTTTTCAACTATTTAATTTGTTCTTGTAGCTACGTTAAACACGCGACCCTCATCAACAACTGTTACCCTGAAAAAGAGGGGGAGAGTGGACCTCGATCGTCCGAACTCAGCTACCTTACCTTTTATGCCAGTTCTCGACCTGTCAAGTTGACCAAGGTCGGCATCTTTTTGGAAAACAAAGTTAAACGCGATGTATCCAAGAGCAGAAAACAGTAATGTCACCCTCTCACTACTCCATTTAGAGAGAATTTCAATTCTTCTCTAAAAGAAAAAGCAAAGGAAAAACTCATGCCTGATGTTATTTTTCCCAGGAACAATCAAGTCTCCCTTGAGGTCATCAAGGCTCTTATCCAATCCTGCCATCGCGATCTCAACCTGTTTTCGAAATACGTAGTAAAGATATTGAGCATGATCCTCAGTACACAAGACCTCGATTTGATGGATTTGTCCTGCGACACGGTAATTTTCCATTTCTCTCTTAGCGCGGCGTGGATGTTGGATGAGGGTATCACGAAAATGCTTATTTTGGTGTAAACGCAATATCTAGTTTATCGTGTTTTGCAGTTACCATGACGGCTCAACGCTCGGTGTGGATGCTGAATTCACTTCTGATTTCGAAGGCCTCGTTCAAAGGTTTGCTGATTTATGTAATAACAACAATTCAGATCCATCCATTAGCTTAAGGTAGGTTTTCCTTTCAAACAACCCCCCCAAGCATTTCGCGAACTCCCTCCGTTAGTGTATCCAAATTTTCTCATTCTATATACAAACAATCAGCATGCAACATATTGGTCACCGTGCCATTCAGGCCACCATCTCTTCTCAAGCGCTTCATGCTTCCAACTTTAAGGTTCAACTCAGCCTTATCATGCCGCCTTTGGTTATTACCTTGTCTACTACATCTACTTCCGCCAACGTCCTTGCCAAAAAGTGAGAGAAAGAATTGGGAATAACGAGAAGGGAGAGGGATGGAAACGCGCGGTACTTGATATTGGGTCGAAAAGAAGTTATTTTAATCGAAATGTTTTATTGGCGGATGTTTTTTTGTCAGAGAATCGATCGATATCCGTCAATCAAGTTTGAACAACAGCACGTTGGATAAGGGCGTGATTGACATTCTTGCAGCAAAAAGTGCCAGTATCTTATTCAGCCAATTGAACGGGGCAGCTGTTCGAACAGCACTCAATCCACTATTTGCATACATGGACAATAAGCAGAAATGGTGGCCACCCAATTTTGCCGTGTCCATAATGGAACTAATACTCGACGCGCTGCAACCCCAAAATCGGTACTTGCTTGTTTCCGAAGTGTTGCAGCAACTCGATGTTTTAGCCAAGGACAACTCCGTCTCGGAAAAAGTGGCATCGCTGGTTTCGATCCTGGACACAATCTTGAACGCCAATATACCGCTTGTGGGCATCTCAGTACTTGAAGTGCTGAACTCGCTATTTACCCATTTGATTAAGGCGCTTCAAGGTCGCTCTTTCCGCGACGAAAATCCTACAGATGCAGCAGATATCGCTGGCATGTATGAATATGCCGTTCATCAGGGTCTTGCTCACAGCATTGGTGGTCTCGCCTCCCAGACATACTATCAGAATCAATTGAACGATGTGACTGGATACATTATTGCTAAGCTGCGTGCTGGTACAGCATTGGAACAGGTGGAAGGTTTGCCTATTCATGAGTACAGACGCGTCGCATTGATTTGTTTGGATCTCATTGTTTCGACCAGCAAGGATGCTGGCGCTGACGACGAGTATGCATCGGAGAGCACCATTTCGCTGAGCAGCTGGCTACCGGCTATCAGCTTGCTGACTGATAGAATACCTGGTAAAGTCCAATCGAATGAAGATTCTGGCTTTCTTTCTTGTTATGACATGGTTAGGGGATTAGAAAACAAAAGTAGGATTAATCTGACCTCTTTGATCTTCTAATTGTATATAGAAACAAGAGTTGAGTTCGCTCAGACATTGACGCGCTATTTGGAAGTGACAACCAACGAGGCTGAATTGACACCTGAACCTTATCCCAAGCACTTGCTTAACCAGCACGGCGACGTCATGTTTGTCAACGCTGTTCATCAGACGATCATTGACTGGGTACAGATGCCGAGCTGCAACGTGGGCGATGTAGGTGCCATGTACACACTGCTTTGCGCTCTTACGCGTCGATTCGGTGCCGATGGATCGATCCGAACCGTCCCACTCGTGTTTAAGTTGCAAAGTCTCGTGAAGCAAAGCGCCATCAAGCAGACTTCGCGGCAACGTGCTGTTGCTGCTGCTACAATTGAATGGTTTGGCATGGTTGCTCATATGCATCAAATTAGCCCATTACAGGACTATCTCAAAGGTCTGAAGGATGATCGTGTCGCCCATAAGGAATACTCGCCCATCTTTCTGCCCGAAATTGCGCCCACTGTCGCTCATGTCAACAATTTCGAAGAAATTGAGCCAGAGAACACTACCGTGGTCGACAAGTTCATTGATCGTCACGCAGTTGTTGAGATACTCTCCAAGGATGGACCTTTGCGGGACGAAGATGATACCCATGGCTTGGATTTGGAAAGCAAGCTGTATGTTGAATGGGGATCTGAAGCGTTTGGTAAGTCCCGATTCCGCTTGACATGACGCTCTCACAAGTACCACATTGAAACTAACACACACATATGCTATCTTTATACGATATCCAGTAAATCAGGAACGATCGTTCCGCATCCGATCTTCGCGCGATCTGGATGATGTAAAGCCTAAACTAGTGACACCTTGGTTCGGTGCAGACTTCGATGTATGTTAGCAGCACCAACTTTTGCCTCTTACAATACTCAAGTTCTCGCGTGCCTTATTAAATATATACATTCTTTTTTTGTGATATAGTCATCTGAACGCGGTCAGAAAAACACAATCAAAGTTGAAAATCTTAAAGAAGCCCTAGGTGAGAGATATATGTACATGTATCACGGCGACATACCTCTATTCTTCGAAAAGCTGACACATTAGGGTTTGTACCTTTGTTTTAGTGTCGCAACAAAAGTCGACAGGAGCCAGTGAAAACGAGCTGGATTCGCTGCAAATGATGACAAAGCGAAGCTTAGCTAAACGTCCCACTGAAACCAAGACAGACATTGACTCCATCTTGTCATCATTGAGCCTCGGCATCAATACTACGCAACCAAGGTAAATGAGAGATTGTATACACATGAAGTGATGACTAAAGAGAATGCTGTTGTCCCTCTTGTCTTCTCTTGTTGACATGATACGCGTATGACCTTATGTAGTTCTACATCGTTGGTAAACCCGCCCTACAAAGGTTAACTTAGTCAAACCATATGTTTCTATACATCCAACTAGTTCTCTTCTGTGAGTTTTCATTATTAAAATTTATATATGTAAACGATACATACTCTCATTTCTGTATCTTCTCTTTCGCCTTGATATTTTTTCACGATACACTCTCTCCGCAACTCTGCAAATATATAAGACTTCTTTCCTTCTCTCCTCCACCCCCCAAAAAAAATCTGTCAGCCATGAACGCACCCCCAAACACCACAAACGACAAGGGAGAAGGATCCAAGCGTGAATTACAAGATCCAGCATCCGTAAACGTTCACGATCCAAAGCGTCTGAGAACGTCACACAGTGGGGTCATTGAAGGTACCAGAGCCTCTCTCTTCTCTTTTCTGCTGCTGTGCGTTCTTTTCCTGCTCTTTTTCCTTTAAAGTTGTATTTTTCTGACCTTGCCACACAATTTTCAAGACACGACCATGGTTGATTATGCAACTGTGGGTACAGCCACATTAACAAGCGCACATCGCATGTTGAGCGAAATGGAAGATGTGCAGCACGAAGAACAACCGCCGCAAGACGAAGAGCGGCAATCACCACAAGAAGAAAAGCATCCTACACAAGAACAAGAGCAACAACAACAAGAAGAAGAAGGCGTCATGATGGCACTTGATTCACCCAACGTAATCACCTGTTCGTTTTTGGATTTCTCACAGTGGCAAAGACACGTAAGCATTTGCTCACATTGAACACATTCACGCTTTTATGTTTACAGCTACAAGCAGCACTTGATGCATGCAAAATACTGGTGATTGGTGCTGGAGGCCTTGGCTGCGAGATTCTCAAAAACCTTGCACTTACCGGCCTCAAGGAGATACACGTCATTGACATGGACACGATTGACCTGAGCAATTTGAACCGGCAGTTTCTCTTCAGGTACGAACATAAATATATATATATATATATATATATATATATATACATAGAGAGAGAGAGAGAGAGCAGTAGCAGGATTATAATAGCCACGAACAACTATGGAAACAAAGACTCACATGCTCATGCCCTGATATTTTTTCGTTCTCTCTAGACGCAAGGATGTCGGTCAACCTAAAGCAACGGTCGCTGCAGACTTTGTTATGCGTCGAATTCCCGGCGTAAACATTGTCCCGTACGTTTCTTTAATTACTCTTTTTTCTTTAAGCATAACGTTGGGGTGATGACATCGAAATATTAATGATTTATGATGGCATAAATTAGATACTTTGGAAAGATTCAAGACAAGGATGACGAATATTACAGTCAATTCCAGATGGTTATTTGTGGATTGGACTCAATCGAAGCACGGCGATGGATCAATGCAAAGTTGGTGGATATGGTTGACGAAGAAGATCCACAAAGTCTCAAACCTTTGATCGATGGCGGTACTGAAGGATTCAAGGGCCAGGCACGTGTTATCTTGCCCACCATTAGCTCCTGCTACGAGTGCTCACTTGATATGTTCAACAAGCCAACTACATTTCCCATCTGCACTATTGCAAACACACCCCGACTCCCTGAGCATTGCATTGAATGGGCTTCGGTGCTTGAATGGCCTCGCGTGTTTGGCAGTAAGTTTTTTGGTCTTGTATCAAAAGATACATGTGTGTTGAAGCAGTTGCTATTCTTTTGATCTGGTACTATAGAGGAGAAGAAGTACGACACGGACAATCCAGAAGATATTAACTGGCTATATCGCACTGCTTTGGAACGTGCTGAACAGTTCAACATCTCGGGCGTTACTTACTCGCTTACACAAGGTGTTGTGAAGAATATCATCCCTGCTATTGCTTCCACTAACGCCGTTATTGCGGGTAAGAGGAAGAACCGAGATTTCCATTAGTTTTGTATTCATACCGATGAGTTGCTTTTCATTCATGTTTCCTCTTCCTTCTTAAACCAGCTGCATGCTGCAACGAAGCATACAAGATCGCCACAGGAGCACCCTTCCTCGATAACTACATGATGTATACCGGCAATGACGGTATCTATACCTATACCTTCCAGCACCAAAAGAAACCCGAGTGCCCAGTGTGTGGACGAATCGCATCTTCGGCCAAGCTGGACCGAAACATGACCTTGGAGGACTTGATTGAAGCATTGAAAGAACGTCCGGACGTGTAAGTTTTCTGGAAATAGTCGAGTTGGATCTCTTTGTAATGGAAGATGGGGTGCTCATATCTAAGAATGGCTCGTAGACAATTGAAGCAGCCTAGCTTGCGTAGCACCAGCAAATCCTTGTATATGCAAGCACCTCCTGCTCTGGAAGAAGCCACACGGCCTAATCTTCAGAAGAAGCTGGACGAATTGATTGAAGAAGGCGAACAAATCACTGTGACTGATGCGGCACTTCCAGTCAGCATCCAGCTCAAGGTTTCATGGGAATAACAAGTGTACATAGCTTGGAAACAAGAAAACAAAAACAAAAAAACAAGCAAAAAATAAATGAAAGGCACACTTGCGTTTGTGTGATTTGCCAACTCAAAAGGCACTCTGCTTTCCTGTGGCTTCATCTCTTCCCTCTCTGCTCCTTTAGTCCTACTACCAAGACAGCACATCGAGTGCGAAAAGAAGACGCGTTGCATTCACTTGCCCGGGGTGAAGGAGTACCACAGTACTTTCGCCTACATATCTTTTTGTTGTGTAACGTCGGAGGGGAACTGATCTTCAAAGAAATGACCATCCCAGGTGTAAAAGGTACCGATTCATCCGCGCAATGTGGGTTTCGCGAAATCAAAACCAAAAAGGATGTCTTCTTTTGTAACCCAAGTTCAGTTCGCTGTATTCTACCGATAGTAAAAACAAGCAAAAGCTCGCTATTTCTTTCAGATTGCCGTCCATAGATGTCCGCACGAATACAGATATACTTTCCATGTAATATCCGGAGTCTTTCTTGTTCATCATTGCGAGCAAATAGTACGGTCCTTGTTAGCGTCTTGTCAAAAAGGGCAGCAAATAATCCCATTTAGGCAAAGCTTATCTCTTGTGCACACATAAACGAGAGTATATATGGAAATCGCACAGATTTACGCGAAGCAATGAGAGTATTTACATGCGAGACGAGATTTTTCTTGCAGTCCCACAGCCACAGTGCAATGGCAATGGATGATGTTCGCTTCTCTTCATGTTGAGGGGGTGGTGCGGCTGAAGCTGGCGTAGTACATGTGCCAGAAGGTACCTAGTCCACTTCTTCTTCGTAGTTTCAAACCTCATGCTTGCTTTTTCAAACGACGGCCCCGAGCTAATGTAGCCGAGTTCAAAAACCCTTCTTATTTCGCACGGTCTACTATATAGCGTGCAACGTAGCGCTTTTGCCTGGCGTGGAAACCAGCATGGGTGGGAAAGAAGCACATCTTCTGTGTCATGCTCTTCTCAGCGGTTGAAGCAGTCCTGAGAAATTTGCAGAATGGGAGTGCGCAAAGGGTAGCTGTCAAAATTTGCCTTTTCTGCTTATCTTTTATCTACTATCTTTGACAGAATAAGTAAATACCTTTGTCTTTGGTGCTCGTCTCGACGATTAAGCGACTATTCAGGTTAAATTATCCGAAAAGGCTCATTTTAGATAGAATAATGGAAAAATGCGGGGTTGCAGAGAGAAGACAAAAAAAAGCAGGTAAGTTTGATCTTCTTCTACCAAGATCTATTGGACGTCTATTATTCATCACCGGATTTGTTAGCCTATAGAAAACGCGTTTTGAAGGGCCCATGAACTTTCAGCAGCTGGCGAGGAGAGTATTAGGTGTAACAAAGCGATAAGCTTTATGTCGTCTAATAGTAAGATCCTTTTTTTATCTTTGAATGGTGATCAAACGTCGAAACGGCGCTCTATAAAATATAGGGTAGCTGTTTAAACTCTATTTAGGTATCGGACTTCTAGCTGGCGCAACCGATCTAATACGTTATCTCGTCTTGCATAAGGTGTGCGAGAAATATATTGGTTATCTTTTCTTTTCTATGCGTTGGGAGAAAGAGAAGGCCAACGGTGCTAGTATAAAATACCCCGCCAGATTGTAATAGTCACACGTTTCTTTTCTCTACTGCATCTTTGTTCGTTCAACATGTCAACCGCCACACCACCATCACTTACTGCAGAGAAACCAAGTAGTAACAAGGAAAAACTCGATCAAGTCGTGGATTATTCCAAGAAGAACGAATGCGTCTCTGTCGAAGAGCTTTCGGAGCTGTCTCAAGAGTATCTTGAAGCTCCAGATGGTGGGCTGAAGGCCTGGCTAGTTGTGTTTGGGTGCTTTTGTGTGCGTATCATGATTCGGCCATCCTTTGTTGTCTTGTAAACATCAGAACGCTAACAAGTTTCGTTTCTCTTTGGAATCATATAGAGTTTCCTTGTCTCGTAAGAAAAGAATCATTATTTTGTCGTCGCTGTACTTAGAAACAAAATACCAACTAACACTGTACATCAACCTCTCTATATTTCGAAACTATTACCCCGGTGGGAATTAGACAGGGCTACGGTTACAGGTAACCATGCAGTTCCATCTATTTACAGTACCATTTGTGCATATGCTAAACGACATACCGTTCTTCCCTTTGCATTAAAGTTGGGGCGTCTTTTTTGATCATTACAACACTGATGTATACCCGGGTGATATGACAGCTCTTACTTGGATCGGCTCATTATGGTACTGGTTTGCCAACTGTACCGGTCCAATTTACCTTTGGATGACTAGCAAAGTCGACGACCGCTGGATGGTTGCTGCCGCATGCCTTGTCTCTACATTGGCCATGATGCTTGCTAGTATAACAAATGCTGTAAGTTGAATTTCTCTAGCTTCTTACTATTTCATCATACCCCAATCTGGAGAAAAATTTATTTGCCAGAATTACACAAACTGCAATTTTTTCAAGTACCGTAAACTGACATGAAATGACTTTTACTTTGGTTTTTAAGGTTTGGCAATTGTATCTGACCCAGGGCGTACTATCTGGTATCGGAACCTCATTATGCTGGTTCTCCTGTATGCGTGCTCCTCAGCAATGGTTCAACAAGCGGCGCGGTCTTGCTGTGGGTATCACGATGTCGGCGTCGGGCGTTGGAGGTTTGGTCTTGAACAACCTTGCCAACGGCTGCTTTAGAACTATTGGTTATCGGTGGGCATTGCGTATCTTTGGTTTCTTCGACCTCGTTTTTCTTGCTATCGCTGCCGTAACTTGTTTCCGTTTGAACCCACCCGCCAAAAATGTACCTATTGTCGACGTCCAGGATTGGAAGAACAGACGATTCATCATTCTTTTCTTGATCCACTTTGTTGGTAATTTTGCCTTTTATGTGAGTAACAAAAGTCTGCTTGAATCACTATTCTGCTCCTTCATCCGCTTAAAAATACAGAAGGCCTAACCATCGACGCATCAATGGTGTGTAGGTCCCATCTGGCTTTGTCCCAACCTATGCTGAGTATATGGACATGGACTCCTGGATCAAGACCAACTTGAGCGCTATCATGTCCGCTATGATGGTCGTTGGCAAGATCGGTCTTGGTTTTGTTAGTGACTATATCGGACGTTTCAACATGGCGGTCATATGTGGCATCATGGCCTGTATTGCCCATCTTTGCGTCTGGATGACTGCTACTTCTGAAGGCAGTATGTGGGCCTTTGCTGTGCTATATGGACTTTTTGGTGTACGTACACATTTTTTATTTATCTATCTCTCTGCTTCGTAATAATGATATCACTTACATGTGCGCTGCTCACAGGGTGGATATATTGCGATGATCACTGCCGTGATTGCAGAGGTCGTCGGTGTAGACCGTATCGATTCTGGCACTGGTTGGGCTTTCTTCGCCTGGTCTTGGGGTGGCTTTGCTGCTCAGCCTGTTGCTTCGGCTATTATCGAATCAGGCGGCGGTGACAATTTCACCGGTGCCATCATGTAAGTAAACAATAAACTAATGGATCTTACTCGTGTAGTAATAGCTGACACATTTCCACCTACAAAATACTAGTTACGGCGGCGTGCTTTTCTTTGGTGGTGCTTGTCTTTGCGCTTTGCTACGCGTTCTCCAAGGCGGCACTAAGATCTTCAAGAAGGTTTAACATATATTTTTAATCTTTTCATTTTATTCTTATTATCTACTGTATTATATATGCTGTTTAAAAGGAACCTTTTCTGTATATCCCTTTTGTCGTCGATTCTCCATCGTTAGTCTGTAATATTATCTATTCACTTTTCCCGCACGCCTATATAGCGTTATGTGGATTATCTGTCCCTGTACAAAAGAAAGCCAAGAAATGTATATTCTACCCTATTCATGTTTTATGTAAAAACAAAGCACCAAATATTAAACGTGACGCCTACATTGAAAATTTATAGTAATGCAGTAGCAATTAGACTGGAGATGATGATTAATGGTTGTCTTGACGCTTAAAACATTGGAAAAATCTGTCTATCGATACCATGTTGTTAGTTTGTGCATAGTAGAAGCAAACTCTCGAATAATACCGCTACGGTCATACGTGCTATCACAATCACATCGTTGTGCTAGAATGATCATGTTGTCTTTCACAAACCGTGAATATGACCTTAGCGATTCGTCGAACATATTCAGTAAATATCAACCCATGGCATTCCATGTCTCAGACACGAAAGCTTCTGGATTGAAGCCTTGTGGCACTTTGAGTGAATGCATTGAACGCTTCTTGGAGTATTTCGGACTCCGTGCAAATGAACTTGAACATATTGGTCTGAGTGACAAGCGTATAGCAGCAGCGCAATAGAGTGTAGTAGACACAATGAGCTTGAATTCTTTTCGGTCCAAAATCTTAGCAACTACATATTTACCGTAATGAACTAATAGTCTAATTTCATATGGTGCGTGTAAACAAAGGCATCCATGGTATATTAGCAAAAATTGTGGCGCCCTGGACAAAGAGTCCACAGAGGGGGGCGATTTCAAATAAGGAATAAGTTTTGGGTCCATCCACAACAACAGAAAACTTGGCACATTCCTTTTTAGGTTTGGCAAACGCACTAAATAAAAATAAATACACGCATTAAATCCATCACAGTGTTCTTTCTTCCTTTCTTTTCTTCTTATCGACGACCACACCCGCTTGAGGCCACCTATTCCTATTGCGACATAGCCGATCCCTATATCGTCCCTACTACATCCTCTTCAATGAAAGTAAACCTCGAATTGCCCCACGCTGTACCGGATAACATGCCGCACTTGAGTACTGTCAAAGTATGGCTGCACCTTAGCCAGATCGTGCTGACCCTGTTGACTATATGCACTGTTGCGCCTGTCATTGCAACTGAAATACGATTCTACGTAAGTGCCATACTGTGTACTATATAGAGACATCTGCACCGTTGGAGGAGTCCTGACATGTATGCATGTTTTGGATAATAGGGTGGTAGTCAAGCAGGGCCAAACTGGACGCTGGTTGTCGCTGTTTTTACAATCTGGATCCCATTACTGCTGGTGTATTTTCCTTGGGCCTATGACAGGAAAAACAAGTTCAAGCGGATCGGCAAGTTCTGCTTAAAGCCGAGAACAAACTTGATCTTTACGGGCTTTTGTTCTTTAATGTGGGCAGCAGCCGGTATTGCCATGGCAGTGCATGCCAACAACCCTGAGCACTGCAATGTTGACAGCGAACTTGCAGACAGTGACGGCGACTATGCATCGGCATGGTCAGCACAGGTAAATAAAAAGATGTATTTATAGTACTAGTGACTTATCTGATATGTACTGCTTAGCAGAAACGAAAAGCACATGAATAACCAAAAAGCATACATTCTTTTTTTAGTGCAACTGTGCCAAGGCTGCAGCCGGGTTTTCTTGGATCACTTGTTTCATATGGATAGCTACGCTGATCTGCAGCGTGATTATATTTTGGAACGAGAAGCAGCTCATCCAAAAGAATCTTCGTGATCACGAGCGGAACAAGCAGGAAGCTGCTTCGGCGCAGCAGGACGAAGAGATGGCAGAGAGCGACGTCATGATGGATCACGGAGTAGAGCACGAAGAAGAACACGCTAAATATCAAGTGGCAACAGCTGTGACAACCGATGTTCCACAACAACCGCAACAGCAACAGCAGTTTCCGTACAACACCTACTATCACCAAAGTCCAACTCCACCTCCTCATCAACCTGGCGCAGCGACAATCGCACCTGTCCAATATCCACAGTACCCGCAGTATCGTGCCGAAAGCGCCACTCCTCCGATGACCATGCCACACACTCAGTACTAAATTACCTGGCCATCACCCGTTGTTTTCTAACACACAGAGCGGCATCATCATTCATATCCTACCTCATCCCATTTACTGAGTAACACTGCCCAACTCCATATTGTAATATTGTCTCCTTTAGCTTTGGAACCATGTCCATCGAGCATCTTTGCTCCCTTTTTTTTCTGTAAATACAGCAAATATACATACACATTCTCTATTTTTATAAATGAGATACATTTAAATCAAATGTTCTTGGCATTGGCGGGCAAGGAAAAATGATTCTCGGCATATGCGCGTTCTATTTCGTCCCACATGGTATTCACTTTCGCCATTGTCCAATTGAACTGTCGACATAGCCGTATAACACTTCGCCATTGTGCTTGAGTTCCTCCGTGTGATAAATAAAAAATCCTCAGCTTGCGATAAAATGATATCCGCATTTCGTCTTCGTCATCTGTCATCGCATCTCCATCCACGTGCACCAGTGCTTCTAAATATTGCGGATGTTCTTTGCTGATCTTGCCTTTGAGATGGGTATACTCTGCCTGTGCATCATCATGCCGCTTGCATGCCGCTAAGAATTCGGCCTGGCTAGTGATCCGATCCATTGCAAACGGTTCTCCAAACTCATCATCACTTTCAGATGAAGTATCCGGTGCTGTTGTTGTAAGAGCAGGCGGTGCTGGTGCTGGTGTAGGTGTCGGTGCTGATTGCGCCACTTGTGGTACTGCTGCTGCTGCTGCTGCTGCTGATGACGATTTGTTCTTGGTCTTTTGCTTTTTCTTCTTTTTGGGGGCGGGTGTGGTGGTATCATTGGTGGTAGCGGCTGGTCGTTTACGTGGGGGCGAAGCGTCGGCAGAAGGCCGACGCTGTGCTGGTGGCGGAACAAGGTGCTGAGGCTTTTTAGGTGCAAGGTTGGATCGCTCTGGAGCATTGCGAGGTAACTTGAGCGTGTTGTATGCTTCGTGCGCGTTCTTTAACACAATATTTCGCTCTTTTTCATCGTATCGCCATTCCCAAATCCTGATCTCCGGGTAAATCTCTGGCCGTAACCGCCAGTTGCCTTTAGAAGATGATGCAACCTGATTTGTTGATTTTTTCTTTGTTACTGATTCATTGTTCTCACAATTCCCTATATTGGTATGGTTCCTCTCGCTCTTAAAAGGTTTGACCCATGAATGTCAGTTATATACCTTTTTCAATATGGGTATCAAGTCGTCATCGCGTGTTCGGAGAGGTGTCGTCAATTGGATCAGTGGGAGAGGCTGGATGGCGAGTAGATGGATCAGACGTTCGCGAAGAGATGAAGAAGTAGATGCGGGTGTAGTGGTAGTAGTGTTAGTAAGAGTTGGAGTTGATGTCGTTGCTGCTGTTGGCGTTGGTGTAGCGCCTGGTCGCGGTGATGCTCGATGCGAGGACGGCGAAACGACACGGCGAGCAGGAGTGCCACCTTTGCGAGGCGATGGCACACTGGGACCGTCGAGTAACTCTATCCTTCGTGCGTTCTTTTCGCGCTCTGCCGCTTCTGTTCTACTACGAAACCGGGATTTGTCTTCTTGCGAAAGCACTTGCTTCATCGCCGCACGATGCGTGACACTGGCCACATGTTCAATGTTGACTCCCGAAGTACCCATATATAATTCGTGGGCTACAGTTGGATCTGGTAGAATATTGACTGGAAATGATTTATTGCCAATAACCATGGCCTTTATTTTTTTGAAATTCATAATAGTTCAGCCAAAAGAGATGCCGTGTCTATGTATCCTTGAGAGATTACAAGAAACTATGGTTTGTGAACAAAAACTTACGCTATCGTTGCCATTCAGCTCGAATTGTATTTTTTCGGGAGCATGCTGTAGAATTTCAAGTGCCTCTCGATTGAGGCGGAAGCTTATTGCTTTCATTGAGAGGATACGAGGAGGTGAGGAAAATGAGAAACCTTAACAAAGAAGTGTGGAGAGCGATCAAGCAGTACGGGCAGGAGCAGAGCAAGGTGGGCCTGAACCAATAAGATTTAGTTGTCCTGCCAATTCCAGATCGGCGTTTCTGTCTTTAAGAAGCTAAACATGTATTATGCATCATCATCATCATTAAAAAAGAACTGTTCTATAACTTAACATAGTTATTACAAGCTCTTTTCTGTGATATTATGAGCACCGTCTAAGCTTTTCAAAGTGGTATTACTTGATAGCTAAATGGTGTTGAGGTAAAGAAGTTCTGCTATCGCAAATAGTATGTACAGATAAGATAGTATTGCCTCATTATTGTAAGTACTGTAGCAGGGATTTACAGCTACCATTATGAGTGATTGGTATATACGAATTACTCACAGTATATACGCTATATATGGTGCTATACAAGTAAACGTTTTCGCTAAGCTAGCTTCGATGTTCTTGCTCTTTGTCGTTTTCTTCTGTCCATGAGCTGCCTGTTGGTGTCTTCTGGGAGCACAAATTGCTTTATCTCATAATAAGAAAAAAGATAGTACATACTCCCAGTTACAACATATACCTGGAGAGAGTTAGCAGTATGTAAGCAAAGCAAACAAACTGACCTAAAGATTGTTTATTTGTTTATACCACGACGAAAAGCAGCAGTATCATTTATTTAGTGATATTGTGTAAATCAAAATTTTGATTCATCTCTAAAAACTATATGTATTATGGCTATAACTTAAAAGAATATAGCATAGAATAAGGGAACCAGAGAGAAAATTAATGGAACTATTAATATAGTATATTGTGCTCTATTGTCGACAATAACCGTAAATGCACACTCTGTGCCAATGACAATCGTTATTGCTCTGACAAGAAAGGCTGGGAGTGGCATCGCGTTCGGCTAAGGGTGCAGTATCATTGGGATCACGTGTCGCGGGTTTGGCCATAGTAGCACTAATGAAAATAGTGAGAGCCAAAAGAGCCTTGATCGAAAAAACTTGAACCATTTCTTGATGATTTGTTCTATTAGGTAGGCTATAACAATTAGTAAAGAGTAAAGTTTCATAACTATACGAAGAAACTTGTAGAATACGATGTTGTACGGGCTATGCTATATTTTGTACTTACGCCAAGGTGTATTTAATTGAAGTGTGCGTGTTATGAATTTGTCGTTGTGGATATATCTTTTCATGTTTACATCCACCGCAAGCTTTTATACTCTTCTTATATTTCTTTGTTCTTCAAATACCGAGGTTTAACAGGATTGCAAAAGAGCCATTAATACTGCTAGTTGGAGCGACGATTTATTTTGATAAATGCATACACTTTTTGTTGTATCAGTAAATATGAGAGCATTGTGCTATTTCTTTGTTGTCTTCACCATTATAAATTTTATCTAGCATATCAACCAAAAATATACTTAGTAACTATGTTGCATAACCACCTAAACATACGGAAGAAGAGAGTTTGCTACTTCTATAGCCTCTTCCATGTGATACTTCATTTACAAAGTACTGGTTTAATATAGCCTTCTGGATTTTGTTGTCTGTCTGTTGTCAGTAATGTCACTTCGGTTGTTGGCTGCCATGTAACAATTATATGTTAAAACAATGAAAGAACGGTTGTGAAAAGTCAGCTGCAGGGTACTGAGATGCGTATGTTACTATTATAAGTTGTTTCTACGTCCAATATTTTAGAGGCTTTCGACACGGACACCCCCTTCTAATTTTATTCCTCATCAGGTTACACACATCCTATTAATATATGCTTGTGGGGGTGTCCGCAAGGATGTTTTCGCTGGATGTGTTCACTTGTTATTGTTACTATATAAATCAGTCGATAAATTAACAAAAGAGAACCCTGAAAAACATTCCTTAATGCTTTTCAAACTTTTTAAGGCGTCTCTACGGATGTGTTAATGTGCAGCAGTTTAAATAAAGTATATAAATGCTCCTCAAAAAAGAATATACAGTACTTTAATATAATATATTCAACTTTCTACCTACGTTTATCACCCTACTATCTCAACACTTTGGAGCAATTGATTGACACTACTTACACCGGATCAAATAAGCAAATTGTGAAAGCAATCAACGAGCAAGCCAGAAAATACAACTTTGCAGTTTTAACTAAACGAAGTGAGAAGAACGTAAAAATCGTGATCCAGTGCGTACATGGTGGAAGCTATCGCAATACACATGGAGTAATTGAAGAAACGCGGGGACGCCAAACAGCGACGAAAACGACCGGCTGCCAATGGATCATGAACTTAAGGTGGTCCGAGAAGGATAAGCACTGGAAAGTAACGAAGGTCAGCAACGACAACGAGCACAACCACTCCCTCGACGAGCCTCCTCAGTATCACCACCAACACCGCACGCCAACTCTCCATGCCGAGCAGCAAATATTATCATTGACAGATAATTCCGTCAGGCCCCTCATGATACATCGAAAAGTTCAGAACCACGAAGAGGGCGCAATTATAACCATGAGGGATCTATACAATTTTCGTGCGCAAATATTCCGTGAGGATAATCATGGCAGCTTCAGTAGGATATTCGAGTTCCTCATTGGTAACAGCTATATCACTAGATATAAGCTAAACGGCACAGGTAAAAGTCTCGACGCTCTCTTTTTTACCCATGAAACGAGCATAGCAAAAGCACGACGATTCAACGAGATCATTGCTATCGATGCGACGTAACCAAGATGCCTCTTGTCATTGTTGTTGGTGTCAGTCATCTCGGTGCATCAAAGCTCAAGAACGTGCTCATTGCCTCTGCTTTCTTGGTAAACGAGAAAGAAGAGTCGTACACCTGGCTCCTTCGGACTATGCGACAAGTCATATGGCCAGAAGGAAACGTAAGCATCTTCATTACAGACAACGAAAGAGCTTTAATCAACGCCATCGAGTCAACTTTCAAAGATGCAGAGCATATACTTTGCGGATGGCATATGGAGCAGCATTTACGTAGCATCTTCAATACTTGCTTTCCACCGAAAAGAGAAGAGATAGGCGAAGCCAAAGCTATCATTAAGCAAATGGTTTATGTTGGTGAAAAAGACGAAGCGACTTTCCAGGCTGCCATGGACGCTTATAAGTGTCTGATTGAAAAAGGTGCGCTTGCGTATACCAACGAAAACCATAAGCGATCCAACAAAAAGCACAAGAAAACAAATTCCAAAGCGAAGCATGATGCCGACAGCAGCAATGGCGAGAACGACAGATATACTAAAGATGATGCAACGTCTGCAATACATTTGCTGGCAAACAAAAAGAAAGAGAAAATGATGGACTATCTCAACGGGTATGTTAACTAACTTTATCCAATATTTGACTGGAGCTTTTACCGAGTTGTGCTAACCAGCTGTATTATATTATATTTTATAGCTGCCTTGAAGATAAGGAGAAATGAGGTATCATACTTGTTATGCTGGAAGACTTTCATGGGAATGAGGGTATCATCGCGTGTTGGAGGGACACACTGGCGCATCAAAGATACAATGCAAACCACCGGAAGCTTGTTTAATACGGTCAAAGCAATTGATCGTGTCATGCGTAAATCGGTATGAACTACACCCTTTGTTTTCTAATTGTAAAGATAATGTGCTAACGGATATGCTATTTAAAATTTTGTACTAGTTGGCTGATGAAGAGACTCAGTTTTTGCAAGAAAGACACAATATGCCACTTTATGGAAAGCGTGAATCGGCTGCGATGCAAGAGCTCTTTGACACTATTTCGTTTTTTGCTTTGAATCGACTCCGAAGGGAGCTTAAACGAGCCTGGGTTAACTGCGATGAATACCACCTTGACTCAAGCGACTGCTGGTGTGGTACCACACTAAACTATGGACTGCCGTGTCAACATAATATCGCACTAAAGGATTCAGTATAAGCTTGTCGGATATTCTTGATTGATGGCGTTTGGAATATGACAGAGGTATAATTTTCTGCTATAGTAATACTGTAATTATACTATGTGCCTGTAACTAATATACTTTATATGTTAATATAAATTTATTACTGTACTATGCTAAAAACAGACATGCTGCTCTATAACTTCGCAATTTATTTTAAGCTGCCCACATCCAGCATTGCGGGCTTGGAGGATCGGCAATCGCTGATTGCTGTGGGCATATACTCGTATAAGAGAGCGTTCTTTATTTTCGTTACACACGCCATCACAGTTGATACAACAATGGCCGAGACTTTCATTGGATCCCATGAAGACGCTGGCTACGGCGTTCAGCACATATTTACTCCAACCCGATCCAATACACGCTCAGTTATCCTGTTGATAAGATATTAAACAACTTGCATAACACTATCCGCTATCATACCACAATCCCCTCCTTCCAGATACTTTTCCTTTTTTTCGGATTTGAATTCGCCTATAGAACTTGTGGTGACAGGACATCCATTATGAGTGCATCATCAGCCGCCCCTTTCTTGATAAGTATAAGAGATTAAGAGATCACAAATGACATACGTCTATGCATCATATCGCGTCAGTCCATATCGGGTTATAATAGCCTTACATATGCTGGATCATCCGAGTATAATATTTACGTGCTTTACACAACTCGGTTGGATTGTCTCTATGCGACAGTGCTTAGCTTATTGCCATGGTAATTGCTGTGTATGCTTTTGCTTGATTTTTAGCCGAGTACCTTATTCCGATGATGATTTAGGTAGTGTAATGATGTGTTTTACCACAGTGTATATATATATGTGTTTGCGCTCTGTATTCTCGTTTATAGTATAATAAAATCTGTGGCGAAGGTATTCTACCGAAATGCAAGCACACCATAGCCAGTGCTTATTTTTATGTACTTAATACATAGGAGTTGACGGTTTACGTAAATGCAGGATCCGTCAATTCTCACACCTCTTTGAATTTCACACAAAAATCGGGAATCTTAGCTTTGAGCTGTTGTCAGGTTACAGTGCCGCTGCGGGCTGCTCAACCCTGTTGATGATCTCTCCATTACAGCAAACAGCGCAATACTCTTACGTCGAACATAAGTTAAGACATTCAAGAAGAAAAAGAAAATCAGTTCGACGAACCGCCAAAACCGTCTGCTAATCAGCATCCACGTCGAAAGGTTCAGCACTATGTTGTGCGAGCTCTACTGTCTAAGAAGCGGGTGTTATCGGTGCTCGCTTTTTTTGATCCTGTTCTTGCTCACCAGCGTTGCTGCTGCTGCGGTTGTTGTTGTTAACAAGGCTGCTTCCATGACTGCTGTTGTTGTGATGGAGATGATGGTGGCGTCTGGTTCTCTTGAGTGTCGTAGACACTTTTGTCACACGACCGAGCGACTGGCTGTCACCTTAGTGGTGACAGAGCTAGTCAAGATTTCCAATTATCAATCAGCTTCCGGGAGAGCCATCGTTAACGATACTCAAAGATAACAGTCGCACCGTGTTAGCAGAAACCAAGGATAGACCAACTTGATCGCTTACTGCGGCCACCCACTGGAACCTGACTTCTTTTGACAACTTGAGATCCGGTAAAACAGCTGCCAAAGCTTTATACGCACGTCAAAACACTGATACGTTTCCAAGTTTTATGAGTCCGTTGAAGCATCACAAACTGCTGATGACTGCATTCGCAAAGTACTGGTGTTGTAAAACCGTGTGTAAGACAAGCACGATTCAGCCCCGAGGAAAACGTGCTTGTCAAACAGATGCTGAAATTTGTTTCCATCGCACAGTGTATGTATTCAAAGTTTTGTCTCGTGAGTTTGTGTGGTCAATCCGCGCGCTATAACGTCCATGTTTTCTATATACTCGAAATAGACATTGCGTAGGTCTAAACAATTGCTCAGCAGTTAAGAATTGTGAACGCGATATAGTGAGTGTAGTATCAAATGAACCAAAAGAGACAGAATAAGTCAACGAGACCCGATGGGATCTAAGTTCTCGCCAGCATGTGCATTAAACAGATTCATTGATATTATCAATCAACCATCTAGGATAAGTAATATAGGGTGTGTGAGTAAAGGGCTCATCCGAGTAAATGCCTCAGAAAGTAGCTAATTAGAATTACATGATCTATATAATGACAGCTTCTTCCTGAGCATAGCTAATTCGTGTAGCACCAAGATATGTCTGAATGAGGAGTTGTCCGCACATGTGAGGTTATAAGGAAAATCACAGCAATATTTAATGACGGCTCAAAGAATATGATACGTGTTATTAATTATGTTGGGTACAACACTCCGAATGCGAACTACTCTCCCATCCGTCCTACGTGAAGCCTTTCGTAGTGATCACACCATGGAAGTGGGCGTCTGTTTTATTTTCCATTGATGTACATATTTTGTTTATGGCTCATAATATGCTGCGTGATGAACTTACCTATATGTTGTATATAGTGTACGCTTCACCCAACGACATCTACTTCCTTAATCATGATCCATGCAGGAGAAGAAGACATGTCTTACTTGGCAAAGAATTCTAACGGCTCCTTCAGAGAGACGATGTCGTGTGCTGGCGGCAGGATATCGTGTTCGCGTGGCTAGTATAAGTATACACTTTCATTGAGACGATTTAGAAAATTAACTTAAAGACATCATTATGATACGAGGATGACTCTTGGTCTTTTATTTTGTATGAATATATCATCAGGTAATAGAACATCCCGTCAATATATAGTTGGTACAAGCATTATTTGCAGACAAGCGAAAGGACTATCAAAGAAAGAAGTTAGAGAAAGCCATACTTGGAGTATATAGTAAAAGCAAGCAACAATTGAAACAATCACTCACCACTTCGTATTTCCAGAACAGATCGTCGCGGCCCCTACCCTACCCTCCCATTGCTGGGAGAACCTCCACTTTTGTCTGGGCTCCAGAACGTATCATAGATGCAGATAGAAAGGAAACGAAAAACAATTATCCCCTCGCTCGCTCTTCAGACGTTTTCTTGTGTATATTTTGCCACTAACCTTTCTCTGTGACGCCTCCTCTTATCCGTGTACGTGACCTCACCATACTGCCCAATCCCGTATGGCTGCTTGCTACGGCGGCATGACCCTGACAGTCATCGCGTTTAGTTGTGGCCGCGCTCCACTGCATAGTCTCTACGTGTTGCCGACCCGTGCCCCGAACCTAACGTCTATGCGCGGCCGGTGGTCAGTTTATCGAGTCATTTCCAGGACTCAGCAAGCGGTCACAGGGAGTACAGGATCAAGAGGTGGGCGCAGGTCATGATTTACTGGAGAGGTGCATGCGCAATCGAACTTACCATGCTTTCGCTCTTCCACTCGCAAGGTGAACCAAAATTTCTTTCAGGCCTTCCGACAAAAGAGAAAAAGGTTAGGCATCGCCCAATCCGCGAACCAATCCTGATAAATCTTAACAACTACAGCAACGAAAGCACGTCGAAAATTAAGTTATTAAGACGTAAATACCAGAAGAAGGCTACCCTAGTTGAAGAAGTACAGAAAAAAAATAGTTACCCTGTAGTCGTCACGTATATCCGTCCGCCGCCGCTACTACTACTACACACGCAAAATCAACGACAATGATTAAAAGAAACGTTGGTGACGCATTGGAAAAAAAAACAAGTTGGAGATCATTGAAATTTGAAAGGTGTTATTTTTTTTGAATGGGGGGAAAGAGAAAGATTAAAGTAGGAGGAAAAACTTACACTGCAAAGGTTCCATAGTACACCGCGTGTGTCAAAAGCAAGATTCGCCGACAAGGGTTCATAAAGAAAGCGAATTGCCAATGGAGTATGTGTTAGAAAAAAGAACTCTTTTAAAAAAGCGAGTGAGGAACTGATTGAAGTAACTCGTTCGCGCATTGCTCTACTTACATGCCGAGTTTTGTTGGCCATCACGGTTCTTGTTGAAAGAGACAAGAGTGGTGATGGAAAAAACCTTTACTTGACTGTCAAATTATTGAAACAACGACACAACCATGGCGCACTGCCTAAGCCTCTCTGCTTCGCTGCTTTTTTTTTGCATGGGATATCATTAAGAGAGAAAAGAGGAGGTTCACACATACACCGAGTATCTCCATGTCTCCCGGTTCGTGCCTCGTCTGCATTACACACCCAGGTTTCACCTTGGGACTGAGCTCCGCACCTTTTGCAGGTACCGCTATACTCGCACGGATAAACTGAAGGACCGGATGTGTCATAATCACCTCCTTACAACATAGCAATCGTTGCCATCGTTACTTTACCTCACATGCTGCTGCAGAACCCCCATGCGTAGCTCATATAGCTTTCTCTATGTATTTGTTATCAAAACACACCTTCCCTGGCTATTAGCACCTCCACCTTCTTGTGCGCCCTTTGAGTGTAAACTTCAATTCACTTCTTGCACGATTAACCATCATCTCCTCGTTAGTGCATACTGATGAGTTGACAGCGAATTTGGCATTATCATAGTAGTCACTAGATCAACTTAGTACTTTGGTGCTTTTGTGTACCCATCGCTGTACCTCTATTAGGGGAATCTCCTATTCTATCTTTCTTCCCTGTGTATTTCGATTGTCTACTTTTTACACTGTAAAGCGTCAATCAGTAGCATTGGTGCATATTATATCTGTTGTTTCGGCCCCAGTTCTATTACTGACACAATAAAAAAAGCGGTTATTTTGAAGGCAACTCAAGTCTACACACATCAGTACTTTAAGCGTAAGTGAGAGGCGTACGCATAGATTCGTTTCCAAACACTCTGTTTTTCCGCCTTACAATACAAATTAAAATGTGTATTTGTTCGTTGCTTTTGTTATCACCCCTGTACAAACTGCTGCTACTCGTGTCAGTAAACTCGGTAATACATCATTGGCTTGAGACCGTGATCCGACAAACGATCAGGATCTAAGCAATTCTGCCAACCACCTTGCGTTTCTCGGGGAGCGTTCAACTTTTCTGGAGCATGCACATTTGCGCTTGTATATATTAAGTCTTCAGCCTTCAACTTTTCAGGAATTATTCAATATCAGTACATTAAAATGCGCCACGATTTGAGACGAACGAACATGTTAAAGAAAAAGGATCCGGATAGCGATTGCCATTTCTCCTTCTTCTCGACCATCATCCTTGTAGTTTCGCAGCTCTATGAATCTATGCAGTCTATTCACAAGGGTGCTCTCGTATCTGGAAGAACCACATACCTTTGTTTTACGCCGCCATTTCTGTGATTGCTTACACATGAGAATACAGTCGTAAGCGGAGGAGATGAGATGGCTCGGTTGTTGCGCGCTTAATACAATTTACTGATGAAGAATCATATATCCGTAAGTAAAATCACGCGTATAATAATATTATTGCATCGTTTACTCACACATTCTTTAACACCTCGTGCCACGCCAACTCTTACCAACAAAAGTAAGCTGACTGATGCAATTGGCAATTTGCATTGTATATGTGTATATGTGTATAGCACGATGTGCCACATAAATTATTCATGCAGGTTACGCGACAGAGATAATGCGAGGATGCTAACTAAGATGATAAAAGGGTCATTCTTCGCCTGTAAGAGCGAGGGAGAGTAACGCAAGCTCAAACGCCATTGACAAGGTGGAATCCGTTTACGAAAGACGAATGGTCAAGAGAAAAGTGGTACTTTTTGAAACCGGAGAATAGCGGGAAAAAAGGCATCCTACTTGCGTTATAAAATATCGTATAAGCCCTTTTTAAACCAAGCTTTGACAATGCGAATCCGCAGCAGTCAGTCAAGCTTGAAGTCAAGCGTGTTTCAATTGCTGCCGTTGGTGGTCATTTGTTTCAAACGGATCTTGCATCACAGAAAAGAAAAACACAGACGCAACCTCGTTTTTTACTTTTAAGAACATTAGCAGGGTCCGTGCGTAGAGAGCACGGTGTCAAAGAGTTGCCGCCGCTTTATATGCACTTGAAAAAGATCCTAAGTCTTAATCAGTACATTCACAAGGTCGATCAATACGCGAGAGATCTTTCTGTGTGAATTGGGATGGCATTACCCAACGATAGATTAAGTTTCCGTTATAATAATAGTCAAACATAGAAAGCTTCTCTTGTTGATTATTATCTTTTTGTCATTTTCTTATTGTATTTTAAAGAGAAACCCTCTTATCTAGGAAGTTCCAATAGAAAAAGAGGGGAAAAACTCCTGCTGTCTCTTTTTTCCAGGAAGACAACAAAACCTGATCGAAGACGCAGGTAGTGAATGGTCGCTACGCAATGAGAGACCTTCGCCATTCACTAGTGGCGCCCGTGCCGTGTGTGCCCACAACGTCAACTAAGCACAAAGATACTTCAAGGTTGTTGTACTACGTTGGTGCAGCCCTAGGGCATGCTTCCAACAACCTTGCTACCGTTGAAGCATCTTTCGGGTGAAAATATCCACCTCGACTCGGCGGATAGCTTTCCAAGTCAAGGATTCACACAACACTTTGCGCATCATAAAGTTTGTGTAAATGGAACTGCAGAAGAAAAAAAAATGGGAGGGGTGGGGGTTTTTTGGTATTCTTATCCAGACAATTTTTTGCCGTCACGCTCGGGTCTTCAATGAAATCCATCATGTTGATTGGCTCTCATTTGTAAGGCTCTGGTTGGCTCATTTTATGGACCGCTTATATCATATGACGCAACTTGGCCCAAAAGCAAAGGGAAGGCAAGGAGATGTGTAAGTGATAGTCGTCGTGAAGAAGTCAAATACGCTACAGCAGCAGTGATCGACATGCTATGTATGTTTCACCATGCCGATGTACCCTCCGATACTGTCGCCGCTTATTTTGGAAAGAAGTGTCAGTGCACGCACCCGGCCTCCGCGTCAAATACAGGTACGTTTCGAATGCCAACTTGTTCAATGAGTACGCAAGAAAAAAAAAGATGCGACTGAACAACTCAATTAGAAATGACAAGGAAGAAAGACAGAATGCCAACGACGATTAAGAACGACGGATGAGTGCTCGTGTGCGATCTGGGAAGCAGTAACTGCTAAATTGCCAAGGACTCGCATCATTTGCCCTGGCGGACCAGATATCTACCAGTGATAATGCGGGTTCTGTTCGACCCATGGAGTATTCTGTTGAAAGTTCGCTCGACCCAATTCCATTCCACTTTTTTATAGGTTGCTGATTTGTATCTTTGCCTATTCAAATATAAAAAAATATCTCTTGTAACACAGTCAGTATTAGCATAGCAGTGTCGTCGTCACTTTTATTTCAACAGCACAAACTCACTTCTCAACGTCTGTTAGTGAAGATACTGTTTAACGAGATTTCGAAGCAAACTTTGTTCTTGCTGCAATGGCAAATGATTGCTGGATTTTACTGAATCGTTTGGAAAGGCGGAAAGGACACTGCTTAGAAAGTTTGAGTCGCGTCTCAAGCTTTTGAATGGAATTACAGCTCAGCAAAACAAATAATAACTAGAGCAAGTACCATTATTGGCAATCACGACCTTTAGTATTATCTCTCGAATACAGGTACATACACATCAGCACCCAAGAAGTATAGAATATTCTAGAATTACTGTAAACAATCCAAAATAAGTGGTGGAGGAGAAGAAGAAGAAGATAGTCCCATATACATCCAAGCTCATCATTTGGAAACTTTAAACCCGAAACCAGACTAAACCCAGACCAGGACTTGCGCGTTCGCCTAAACCTGCTCACTCACTGGCGTTCGCTGCCAGGCCCCACAATTCGTTGCGAGCTACTCGCCCTTCTTTTCAACCTATTGAGTGACTTAATTCATCACTATGTCCTATATTTATTAGTAACGTAGCTGCTTGATATCATGACAATGCAGTAAGATATTTTGGATCGCGTGGGCAATGTATTAGGAAGAAGCCTGCATACCAGCGAAAATGCTGCTGTTTCCTTTTTTTTTCACAAACATCATCCTATCTTCAACTTGAGAATCCAGTGTCTCTTACACAGAAAGTACACAGACCGGTCTTTTTTATTCCATTGCAATCAAATAGCGTTATCCCTTCATTACTATAGCAACAGCAGAAATAGTAAAGATGACATACCGATTAATTTTGTCTAGATAGTCTGCTGGATCGAAGCCTGGATGTGTGCAAAATGTTATGAGTAGGATTGCCTGTTTCCTTTTGGTCCTGAGAAATGGGTTCGAAAGTGATTGGTGCTGTTGCTGTTCGGTGTTATGGGATGATATATACATCTTTACTTGAATGTTGATAAAATTGCACCAACGTCATAATCAAAAAATTAGCGCTGGATACCGTCTTTGTTTTTATGGTGCTGTGTAACCCTTCTTTTCTTCACGTGATGGAAGAAAATATATCGGCTGGCATAAAATATTCAACGAGTTGCTCTGTATTGCAATGGTGTTGCTAATGATCAAAAAAGCCGATTTTGACAGCAATTGAATGACCACTGACATTGTGTAAAATGTGTGTTGTATATTCGTTCGTCAAAGTTTTTATAATGTTCGAGTGCTGTGAGTACAATTGCCGCCTTAATGTGTCACTTATTGGTACTTATATATTATATCGTTACAGACGAGATGATCTGCTAATCGTCGTCCAGAGAAATCGTTGTATGCAAACGTTCGTGAGAAGCACACGGTCCAGTGACACCAGTAGAATGGTATGTTGAGTTGTCAGAGGTGCTTGTACGATCGATGGTGTGGAGCGTTCGTGATATTCATGCTTTTGTTTGGTAAAGAGGAAAAAGAGTAGAGATGTGCTGTTCTTTTTCAGCAGCACAGTCACTCAAAGACAGCACGATCATGGTTCACCGTCATATTCATATGTCGTTGTTCGACTATCCACATATACATGCTGGTAATCAAGCCAAGTTATAAAATAGAGATCCTTCTGTTTCTATTTCTTTTACCAGTGCTCTCACACAATCCGTCGTATCAGTAATCCGACAAAAGAACTGCCGTTCACAGCACATCTTCTAACCCGCTCAAAAAGTATTTTTTCTTTTTTAAATTGATCGTCTTTATTAAAGAATTCTATTCTTCTAGTCCAACACTGTTGCCTTCAGCAAACAAAGACCGGCACTCTGAAATATATATCCACATCACTCATCCACCACACCCATCCACAACCAGCATGCTCAACACAATTAAACTAAGCACAGCATACTCTGCCCAGCAATCACTCTTGACCACTTACCTGGATCCTCACACGTAGCAATGATACAAAGACGTAGTATCTACATTATAAGGACAGCCTCAAATTAGAAAATGGCTCAAGCTGATCCAGCAATACACATACATCAAAAAGTAAAGTACCTTATCACACCAACGGTCAATGGTCTTGCATCTGTTCCATAAACAAACAGAATAACCTGCCCATCCAAATTCCTCTGCCACCGTCGCCAATACCCACAATGGCCGCCGTCAACGATCGCGCGTTTACAAGCACTCGTTCATCCTATTAACCATTCTTGCTTTCTAGGAAAACAATCCTCACAAGTTCTAACTAGCTAATAAAAGGGAGACTTTACCCATGTGGATCATAATTTCGGCAAGCACAGCAGGAGCCACAACGGAATCGCATGTGACAGAAAAAACAAGTTCATCCATGGAGAGCCACAGCAACCACACAGTCTCAGCCTTGATCTTGATAAATTAAAACGGCGGATGAAGGCATACAGCTTAAGCATACACAGGAAAGCTATGAGAAGAACAGGTCGTCCGTTGAAGCGGCAGAGCAGCATCCATGCACAGCATCTTTGCAAGCACGGGAAAACCAAAACAAGTCCGTCCAGCAAAGGAGCCTTGGAAACAAAGACGCCAAGTAGAGCCACAAAATACGTCCGGCAGAGTTCAAGACACCCAAGGAAAAGAATTCGTCTGTACAATGAGTAGAATATCCAACACGTCACGATCTTAGGTGGCGAGAGAATTGCGAGATGGAGCAAGTCAAGGTATACAACAGCCAAAAAAAAACCAGAGTGAGCGCGAATATGTATTGCAGGTAACAGAGCAACATGGGCGCCATATACGAGAGCAGAATAGCGTCACTACAGATGGCAGCCAGCACGATTGACGGTAGTGACAGGAAAAAGCAACGTTCTGTTGACGGCAAGGACAGAGCAGCTGTAGCAAGTGAAGGTGGCAAAGACGTGTAATGTTCGACTGGCGTAAAGCGAGATGGAGCAAGCGTGAGCAGACGGTAATGAAGGACGTCGAAAGAGCAATAGTAAGCAGCAAAAGAACTTTAGTAAAAAAAAGGCTAAAGTAGGAAAAAGAGAGGAAGAAAAGCAAAAACAGCAGTACCCCTTGCTTCAGGTATTTATATTGTCCTGGTGCCCCGAGCCAGCAGAGCAATGGACCATCGGAAGAAGTGCTTTCCCACATGCAGTGGTGGCCATGACAACCGCGGCTTCACCCTTTTCATGCTTTCTTTCCTTACTGCTTGTGCTACGCTCTTCCTTTTCCATTCCTCCTTTTCCTTTTCGCTACTTCTTGTTTACGCTTTCACGCCGTCACTCCACTCGGCTAGTTCTTTCTTTTTTACTTGTGCTACGTTCTTTCCTTTTCGTTTCTGCGGTTCCCTTTTCGTCACCGCGGTTTCCTTTTCGTCATTCATCCAAAACGGGTTTGTCATTGTCACTTTGCTTTACCCTGCTTAATAATGCCTGACATGGGTTTCTACGAAGGTCATTTAAAAGCATCAACATGCACGTCCTCCGAAAAGACACAAGAGCAGTGCGCGCTATGAGCATTCGCAACGGATCATCTGTAGAAATGATAATCTGTAAAGTAACTGGTCCTGTCCTGTAAAACTCCCAAACATTTTGAACATCAACAACGACAACAGCAATCCCATGTCTACGATTACGGTCACTTTCCCCCGAAACCACCCTCTCCTCAAGTCGAAATGCTACTGCTGCCTCCCCTGTCGCAACTGCCGACCAAAAAAAAAAGACGAAAGGTGCTTAGTGGCGCAATGACGAGGATCAGCTCTTGGTCCAAGCCTGCCTTCTCGTCGACAAGGATGAAAAAGTTGACATCAACCAAGATTTTAAAAACCTTTTGGCAACGCGTTTTTGAAGAGTTTGAAAAAGGCGGCAATGACAAAAACCGCACCCCCGAAACTTGTCAAGGTCGTTGGAAATCATCAGCGCACAAATCGCGAGATATGCAGCGGCCCCGGCCTTTATCGAGAGAGGGCCACCAAAAGTGACGAGACCGATGGTGACAGGGTAGTCCTTTGCACAAGAATATGCATATTACAGATTCGAGAAGTTCCTTTAAGTTCCTATAATAGAAACAGCGCATAATCGAGAGGTACAACGGCAAAGTTGAAGCACGGTATAGGCCGTTCAAGATGGCTCTTGCTAGCCTCTGCTGAAGGATGAGCAGAAATTTGAGTTCATCAGCGACAAGGCCAACGAGGTCAGCGTGGATGGCGAGAAGGATGTGCGGCCCATTGGTAATAAGAAAGCCAAGGCTCTGAAGAGACGACACGCCGAAGACGACGATCTCGAGAGCCTGGCTGGTGAACAGGTGAAGCTCGCCCGTCTGGAGGTCGTCGAGGAAGGAAAGAGTAGGAGACTTTTGGAGAAATGCTGGAGGAGGCGCAAAAGGCGAATGAAGAGGCGCAACTGGCAAGGATTTGGACTCTCTTAGTCTTGCTCAAGATGGTACTACGAGAAGAAGCAACAGGAGATCGTTAAACGAATGAGAGAAGAAGAGATGGAGAAGAATGTGGTGCAGGAAGGAGAGCCGGCAGACGGTTCAGAGGAAGAGAGAGATCGTTGACGAGGTCGTCGAAAGAACTTGGTGCATGGATATTCATTTGGTATTAAATCAATACCATCAACGCCACATGTCTCCTCGTGAGTATTCAATATCGCGGCATCAAGCTCATCAGATATTAGCCTTTCAGCTTCTTCTGCAACATTTGATTGTTTCCTGTGAGACTAACTCCCAAAGCATCTCTGGCCCTTTGCATGGCAGTAAGCTGATCTACATCATAGAGTTTGCCGAGTTGATTCTTCCGATCTTTTTGATTCGCATCACGGTATTGCATGGCCCTGCAGTATCTTTGCTGCAGTGGTTCCTCGGTTAATAAGGCCAAAATATTAACGTTTGTTGTTGGGTTCAATTCTATTGTCTATGAACTTACCGATATTGAGGCGACGTTACTGTCTTTGTTTGATTTATCGAACTTGTTTGTTTCTGTTGGGGACATTCTTAATATATACAATGCGAACGTTAATAGCATTTGAAGCGGAATATGGATAGCAACCGGAGCACATTATTGAACAATTGTTGTGATTTAGTTGACTGAGAGCGTACAGTGGAAGGCTGTCATTCATTAATGCGCAATATTGGAAAATACGGCGGATTCGAATTTCATCAGTGCATCCGCATATCCGGATCGGGTGCGCATGGCCCTTATATCCGATCTGATGCGATACATGAAGAACGCTAGTGAAATCTTGAGGGAAATAACAGCAGTCATTAATGACGGAACAAAGAATGAGTGTTATCAGCCTTGTTGGATACAACAAGTAGACTGTCACGCTAGTTTAGAAAAACCATTTTCTCAACGCCAGTATGATAATGAGAAGATATAGGTCTTTTCGTTTGTGTGAAGGCGAAGGAGGGAAAAAAGTAGGACAGGAGAAAAGTAAGCATGTCGTGCTGCTGATACATGGAACCTGTCTGTGAGTCACATAAACCGACGTACATAACAAGGCGATTTGTGTACTAGCACGTTTTTTCTGAAGCAAAAAAGTATACAGTGGTCCCCCAACATAGCAAATCGGCAAAAGTGTTGAAGCAGTGGAAAAACAGTAGAAGCGAAATTGTTTTGGAAGGATGTATAAACACAAACAAGAGAATTTTCCAGAAAAGCACCGGAAAAGGAAAATGTTCAATATCTTTGCGGATTTTCTTGTGGTTTTAGAAAAAAATGAGGTTGGATAAGTTACTAAGATGAAAATGAAGTACAAGAAGAGCAGAGCAAAGTTGACTTAGGAAGTTTGGAAAGTTGAGATTGGGCACTAAGTGAAAAGTATTGGGGGGGGGTATGACGTTATAGGCGGTGGTCAGGACGAAGCGGCAGAGGTTCGGCGTATGGCAAACAAAAGAGATCGTGTTTATAGCGAGGGCTATGAAGAAAGGCAACGGAGCTTTTATTTCGAGAGCGTGAATGTGTATGATGAAGAGCTGACAGGGCGATAAGAGGATATGTAGCATGTAGCGGAAATAATACAGGAACGAGATCAGGACACCCGTTAATTTCCAACTTGAAATTCCCAAATGATAATTGTGAAAGTCAACGGATGCTAGGACACAATAGCTGTGTACGGATATTCGTTATCAAGACGCATCTTAATGCTACATAGATTACCAACGCTCATGAAGTTGTCACAATATAGGAATCGTAATTCGCATAGCCCATTATCCAATACATTTTCTGGCTGTATTGACTTTTTCCCACATACATAATAATAAATATACACCGAAAGAAGAGACAATGGGAGACCAAGAAGCATTTGGTAAATCAGCGACTGCTTGCCGCCCAGTAGTATCACCGGAAATCAGAAAAATTTATATACAGGGATAGGCATATCTCTGTTACTTATATCCTTTTGAATTATTCTATCATATAAAAGAACTTGAAGTCATAGGAGAGGGATGAATATTTGTTTTCTATTGAAATATTCTATAAATATAAGATAAACGATAACTTGTTCATGAATATTAGACTAACTTTTTGGATTCCTTGACCTCCGATGGAGAGGAAGAGATTATACCTAGTCTCCCTTCTAAACTACGGAAGTTACGCGGGAAGCTTCAAGAAAAACTGTTTGCTAGACAAAGCTCTTTAGACAGCTTCTTTTTTGTTTTTTATGATATTCGCTTTAATTCAACCGAAATTAATAATGTGCAGCGCTTTATTTATTTAAAGCATATATGGAGGAGCACTTTGTATTATAACGCGATTAACCCTGGATGATACATTGAAAGTGAAATAAACGGGGGTTGTAATTTACCATGTTATTTTTACCGTTCCCAAAAATTTTGTTAACGGTTGTGCAATGAAAGGGGGTATACTGTATTGTGATTATAAACAAGTTGGGTGGAAGAAGAGAGCCAAGGCTCAATGATTGAGAAAGGCATTAATGTCTAGAGGTCAACAACGTGTACAAGATTATTGGACAGACACAAAGAATTATTATTGTACGAAGAGTGAAATCATATTTTATTCATGGAAAGAAAGAAGACAACTATGGAGAAACAAAGACTACAAGCAAATAAGGCCAGCAAGCGACATGAACAGACAGAAGCTAGCTAAATCAGAGGTACCAATGGCGCTTCCATGATATCGTCACGAGACATATAAAACAGAAGCCGCAACGAGCTTACATAGACCATCGTAAAGGCGAGCGACAGGGAACTGGCCAGCAACAGCTGTGTGTCCATGACAGCATAGGCACCGTGACACCGATAAGCATGACCACTTATAAC